AGAGAAGTTATAAATGTCGAGCTAACTATTCCTCCACGAGGTAAGATGCGGCCTTTGTGACCATCGATGAGCCATATGCACAGACTCCTCCGGTTAACCTCGCTGATGGTAGAGATAATCCGATATATGCTTTCTTGAGGTTACCTATTGCGGAAGAACCTCGATTCTGTCAACGCAACGAGGGTCAGTTCTGCGCCTGACTACTGTTTACTCGGGAGAAACGAAGGCGTCTCTTTGCATTCGTCACTGGCAAGGCTGCCCATGGAAGAAAACCTTGTTTACACATTGCTTCATTGCTGTAGCAATGATGGATTCAGGCCGTGGACACGCGAGTTCAAAGTGGTGGTAGTAGTAGTCCAAAAGAGGAGGGGTCGCGGGTGATACTACTTACTAATAGTGACAGCCGGGAGCTACCGGGTTGATGCCCGGGCCGAATTTTGCCGGCACTGCCACTGCATCGCCACAACCAAGTTTTCTCCTGTTTTCCAGTGAGTCCTCTCTTTTTCCTTCAACAAGCAGCGTCCACTACACCGTGTACTTTGAGCGCGGTTTCGAATCATATCTATTGGTCTATTGGCTGCCTTCTTGTCAGAGGAAATCGGGCCCGGTGCTTACTGAACGGCGGAACATGTTACTACATTTCTGATACTAGGTTCACAGTCTATGTCTCCGGACGTGCAATACCTTTTCTCCGATATTGGATACTTTACACGCTTTTACACATGATTTTTCCGCCTGTGAGGTACCCGAAATGGCTACTTGTGGAATAGCCGGAATGAATTCGCCAACTTCGAAATGCTGGCCGCCTATACGCATGTATACACATCGCACCGTTTTCTTCAGGACAAATACCCAGTCATTTTTTTGACTGTTTCCCGCCTCTTGTCAATGCGAGCTCATGTTACAACGTTCTCGGCCCGGTTACTGCGTAGAATGATATTAGATGATATTACGCATGATCGGGTCTCCGAAACGGAACTTGGATATCCAGTCAATTTGGACGGATACACGAATCATTGTCTCCTTCACCGTTTCTCTGAATGCTCTGTGAGCGTACGTGCTTCTCCCTCAGAGGCGGATGCCTATATATATGTGTGTGTACTCATCCTTGACCTACAGGTATACGTGTCGGGCTTGGCTGACGTCTACATGAAGAATGTGTGCGCGAGGCTGCAAAATTGAATATCAGCAACATCAGCGGGATCACAATCACGTCAAACGGATTGATCGGAGCCCTAGCTTGAAGAACTTATCGAGGCGAGACGCGTTCTTCTTTACCACCATCATCTTGGCCACTACCGTTTAGGATTCACTGTGCCGCTGTAGAAGCGCCTTGATTTTCGGCGCACGATTGCATTTGTGATGGCTGTTAACCCTAGATTTTGGTTGTGTAACTCAGAGATTGGCGTCTTCGCAATCAAGTTTGGATATGGCGCGACATTGGCTCCAACCCAGTTCTATACTTGGATTAATGGATACAGTGAAGAGGTGAGTCCCGCTTATACAGTGTCCAAGGTCGTTTCCAGAGAGCCAAGGACCTGTACCGGCTTTCATTGACAAATATATTAGTCTCAGGAAAATTGTCATCAAAAACAACTTATGCAGATCAAAATCATAATTTTTATCCACAAGCCTCAAAGATGCTCTCGACCCTCTACAACTACCGGTGCCGAACTCACCTCCACACCGTATGGATGATTGCCAAGCTCACGCTTTGCAGCAGGGCTACGATGATCGACCGATTCGGAATACGGATTCACATAAAAACGCTCGTTCTTCAGTGTAACTCTTCACTCTCATCAGCATAAGCAAAGAGCAATCCTCCAGTAACACCTCGCTCCCTCATAGTCCCGCTGAGACCGTAGTCTCGAGGACCTCGTCCAAGCTCGCCGACGAGAAGCAGATGAACCCATGGGACGGGTACGAGAACGACGAGGTGCCAGAAAAGGTGCAGCCGCGTCTTGTGCGTAACTTGCGCTTGCAAGCGTTCTCGATCTACCGCCGCCTGTTCTCTGTGGTATTCATCACGAACATGGGAATCTTCATTTCATACGCGATTCGGGGGTACAATTCGCAAAAGGTTGCGCTGCTGGCTGTCTCTAATCTATTCATTGCAATTCTTATGCGACAAGAGTTGGTCATCAATACCCTGTTTGCGGCCGCGTGTTCTGTACCTCAATCGTGAGTTGTTTCTTTCTCTGAATTGTTGGCGTCGTGTTGACAAGCTGAATAGGTGGCCGTTTTGGATTCGTAAACTTGCTGCACGGGTATACCATAATGGAGGAGTGCATTCTGGAGCAGCGGTTTCCGGTACAGTCTGGCTCATTCTTCTCGCAGTTCAAGCTACAAGGGAACTTGTTAACAATAAAGGAGTAAGCTATCATGTCCATGCATCATCATTTGATCGCTGATGGTTTGGTTCACTTTAGACTTCAGTTGCAACGGTCGTACTCACGTATATCATTCTGGCATTCTTGACGAGCATCATCATCTTTGCCCACCCTACTCTTCGTGTGAAGCGTCATGACACATTTGAACGCATCCATCGATTCATGGGATGGACTGCAACTGCGCTGGTGTGGTCACAAGTGAGGACAACGTTCCTATTTGCCTTTAGTGTCGCGTTAATATAATGAATGCAGGTCGTCTTGCTCACGAACGATCACAAAGGCGAGAGGGCTCTTGGCAATGCTCTTGTACACTCAGCTCCGTTCTGGCTGATGATTGTTCTGAGCTGTTCTCTCATCCTTCCTTGGGTGAAACTGCAAAAGGTCCCCGTTCAGAGTGTCGTACTCTCTGACCATGCCGTGCAGCTGTTTGTTGACTATGGTAAGACGACCATTCGTTGCACATCTCTACCTCTACTTAGCTACTTTCAAAAGGCCCACACCCAGTACCTGGCTCGTTCCAACGTTTCTCTACGGATCCATTGAATGAATGGCACAGTTTCGCCACGATCGCCATCCCTGGAAAGACTGGGTTCTCTATCATCATCTCCCAAGCAGGAGACTGGTCTACGGAGATGATCACGAACCCGCCGAAAGAGATATGGGTACGAGGCATGCCGACGTGTGGTCTCTTGAGGATCGTGCCTCTCTTCCGAAGAGTACTATTCGTCGCTACGGGGAGCGGGATTGCACCGTTCACGCCTCACATCATGAGCGGGAAGATCGATCACAAGCTGTTCTGGATGGCTCCCAATACGCGTGCGACGTTCAGCGATCCGTTGGTTGATATGGTATTGGAGAATAGTCCTGGAGCGATTGTCTATGGTATGAATGCTTTCGTCATGTGTAGATTCGTGCTTACGCTTCGGCTTCTGCAGATACTCGGAAGCATGGGAAGCCTGATATTATCAAGCTCACACATCGTCTGGTGGATGAGTTCAAGCCGGAGTGTGTCTGTGTGATTTCGAACCAGAAGTTGACGGAGAAGGTTATTTATGGGCTGAGGAGCAGGGGAATGCTTGCGTTTGGTGCTATATTCGATTCCTAGACTTGGACTCCTTCCAAGGTATCTGTATGTGAATATGTACTGTAATGACCCCTTACATGGAGTCGCGCAATTAGTTCAAGATCTGGTATCTTTTCAGTGATTGGACTTTTGAGATTGGTAGAGCTGTGGAAAGGAAACACGACCTTGATTAAGTATGTCCTGGTCGGCATACATGAGCTAGGCCATTCGAGGACTCACGGTGGTGTCAGTCGATCTTTCATTGACCGTCAAAAAATATGTTAGGTCGGAATTCATGACTAGGACCTAGCGTTTCTTAAGGACAAAGATGTATCGGAAAAGACATGCACACGTATGCCCCGACTCAGTCAGCCCATTCATCTCCTCGTCGTCCTCATAATGAACCTCGAAGTCAATGCCCTTAATACCCTTATATCTCTTCCGAAACCACGCTGGAGGTTCACGGACTGTCTCGGAGATCTGACAGACGAGGTGGCATGCCACCGAAAGGACCCAATGACCACGTCGTTTCCTGGTGGGAAGTAGGAATTTATGGGCTGCGATGGCTGCGAAAAATGGATGGACGTGTGATGTGACGATAGCGAAATCGCCTGAGTGTTTCGGGATCCAAAGGTTCTGCGGAACGTGGGTCGACGGCGCTTTCATAATCGGTTCTGATTTGCTCTTCTTTCAGAAATTCTTCACGGATAGCTTTCCCTGCCGGCGTCATGGGTACAAAGAGGTATCGTAATGATGTTTCCGTCTAATTAATGGAGTCGCTGCTTACTAGGAACATGTAAGCATCGAACCAAGTATGCTCATCTTAACAACTTATTATAGGACATATGAACCTCGAAGGCATATCCACAGCCGCACCCTGTATATATCTTGTATTTTCGGTAGCCATAGTTTTCAACTACCGCCATCAACTGTATAGTGCCGATGTATGCTGCCAGTGTGTGTTTTTCGTTGAATCGTGCCAATCAGAGATCTCAGTCCAGTAGAGAAGCTGTAATCAGCCTTACGTTGAGATGGAGTAAGCGTAGTGTCTCGGTGTGCGAGCTCATCGAAAGAGGGGTAGATCATGTGATCGAAACAGAAACTTTTCAGGATTTCACTGTTCTGATTCAGTCCGATTTTTTTCGCCCATTGCTCACTATTATGGCTGTCAAGGCTCCCATAGCGCGTCTGACTCCCTTAGAGAATCAACTTGAACAAGAAATTGAGCCTGTCGAGCGCTTTCTTGGAGCTTGATTCATGGTATGACATCTGCAGGTAGACTCGAGCAACCCTCAAAGAACACGGTGCACACTCAGCGGATGGACATCAACTGAAAGGTGGTTTATGCTGCGATCGAGTAGTAAGTATAAGAAACATCGCCTCCATCCATAATCGTACGAATGAACCTGTTATCTTGGACTAACCGTGGTTTTTTAACTTTAGCTCCCGCGACTCCCGCAATCATATTGGCAACTGCAAGCGTCTTCAGTCCCAAGTGGGCTCAGACGGTTCAGGGTATAGAATTGTACGAGCGGCAGCCTTCAATGCCAAGGAAGGACGCCGGAACAGATCCAAGAACGGCTGCAGAGCTAAGAAGGAAGAAGAGAAGGATCGGAGGCTTAGGTGGGATGGACGCGATAAGATTAACGGGTGCTAATTCGAAATTGCGCTGCCTTGACAACCGAATCATCACAACCCCCAAGGCGCCCCTCCTTTGGTATCTTTCCTTTATTTCTCCACAGTGCATCCAGACCTAAAATTTTTCGTTCGTTCTTTTATTCTCTTACTTTACTGATCATGGCGGATATTCCACCCACCAGTCCCTCAAATTTTAGCTCTCAACATTCCCAACAATCTACTATCGGGAAGCACGATGGACATGTAGAGGGCAACCTCAATTGTGTCGCCATGTACGCCACGTCTTCCACCTCGAAAATGCGCCGCTGATGCTATTTTGTTCAGGCGTCATGGATGGTCTCGTTCCTTTTCTTTGCCGCCCACAGAGGTGTCCTCTATGTCTTATGATTCCCTTTCGCGGGCCTTGGAAATCCATACCCTTAATTTACGCCCCATGGCTCTTCGTATATTCGTCGAGCACCCAGCTTCGTCAGGAAACTGGTGCAAAATTCGCTCTTTCAAAGCTGACGGATCATTGCAGAGCGTCTTAGTCCGGACTTTCTTCGAAGAGAGGCTCCGGGAGGGCGTTGTCACGACGATAGATATCCGTGACGGTGTCGACAGGAAAGAGGAGTCCGACGGGAGGAGTCTCCGTAGTATGGGAAGCAAAATATTGCACCCACAGAAAGAGAAGACGGAGAAGAAACAAGGTGGCGGCTGGTTTAATGGATTAATTAATCGCATCAAGACCGTGGCAGCGCCACCGAAGAAGGAACTCAGAGACATTAACACCGACGAGGCCGAGGAGCTTCGCCCACATGACGCAGAGGAGGGCGATGCCTCGAACAAAGTACGTTAGGTGCGCTCATGTCCTACTTGAATAAAGACCGGCTGACGCTGAATCTTTTGTTGCAGCCTTCGATTTTTAAAACGGGTATCCTCTCCTACTTCCTTCCGCCTGCAACTATTCCACGAGCGCATAATACTCCTCCACCTGAACCAGCGCAGGACCAAGAAGTGGAGCAGATGCGTAAGCGCGGGTGGCTTCCGCCGGGCGTAAGGAGGCAACTTTCTTTCCGGCAGCGTTTGTCGTCGAAGAAAACTTCCAATCCCTTCCTTGGAGGCAAGCGTGCAAAGAAGCAGCAGGAAGACGACAATCCTTTCGTCGATCCAAGCCCTGCTGGTGCCGACGAAGAAGGAGAGGAAGGAGAGGTTGATGATTTCTTCGAACTTGAGCGGCCTGACATTGCCGATGCCACTGGGGTGGAGATGGACAAGTCAACTGGCAGGGTACTTCTATTTATCTTCAATGTAGTTCTTTTTGCTCATCAGGAACTCCAGGCATGGTCGAGATTTAATCCAAAGCGAAGCCGCAGTAAAGGTAAAGGTAAGGGGAAGGCCGTGGAACAACCACGGGAATCACCTACGCCCCCTCCGAAAGATGACGATATAGAGTGAGTCTTATACGTAAACTTTTTCCGCCATGAAGTTACGAACTAGTATGATTTCCTTTGGTACTTACATATTCTTAAATTTTCATTATCATCTCTTTATTTCTTATCAAATGGAGTACAATTTACCCCCTGACCCTTAGTTACTTACATCTTTCATGATGCGATATTATCCCCTTTATTTTACACCTTTTGCTCCGTATTTTGATTGTAGATACAGCTGTCGTTCGCTTCGTTCACTTATATTTTAATTCAATCGACGCGTGGGAATAAAAACAAATAACGCGTTTCTCCTGTTAATGTCACGTGCGCGTCTTTCCCTGTCTTTTCTCAGCGCTTATTCCTGGAAGTTCTACACGTCGGAAACCGGCTCTCCTCATTCTGTCCAAAACCAACATTCCAGCATTTTAATTACCAGTGGAACTGTCCGTTTCACTCGATAATTCTTCGCGTTGGTAAGTTGTGATCCCACTGTAACGCGTCGTTCAACAACTAAGCTTATCCGTATCGATCAACAGTTTATCTTGATCGGGAGTGTAAATAATCCAATTCTCTCGTGAGATGGCAGGTCGCGCGCGCCCTTACCATCCCTTTGAGCCGGATTCAATTCCAGGTCCCAGTCGCTATGGGCCCTCTAGCTCATCTCAGCGAGCAGAAGCTTCTAAAACGGCTCGAAAACAAGCCAATGATATGCCAGTGAATCGTAATATCAATCAAACGCGTTACCCTGAACAAGCTGCTGTGAAATTCGCGCGTAAAACTTCAAGTCAAGTGAGGTTCTTGGCTTGTTCGACTAATGCGAGCTGACTCTAGTGATGTATTAGGTGGAACGGGCGAACATTTCCAGGCCCTTTCCTCGCCCTGACGATAGAGCCCCATCAGGTAGGCGTTAATCTCTGTTGGGTATTTTGATTACCTGCTGACAAAGTTGAACAAAAGTCGCTCGAAAGGCTCCCTCCTCCGCGTTTCCTCGACCTGACGAGACGCCATGGCGCATGAGACACCAAGTCCATAGAAAACTCCCTTCTTCCCCAATTCCCCCAGCCGAATCTCGTATACCCGAGAACCAAGCTGCTAGAAAGCAGCCTTACACACCACTTGAACAGTGGGCTGTCCAAGATGAAGAAAGGTTAGCAAGAGCAGCTGTAAGATCGACACTTCAGCGACGGTCTATCATCACGCCGTCCCGAAAGCAGACCTTTGCGATGCCTCACTCAGTCAAGAGCAGGGATCGAGAGGTGTTCTTTCTTGGCCCCGGTATGAATATTGTTAACGCTCGCAACCCCACTCAACCTCAGCTTGGGTGCGGATTTTTCCCTTCCTTCAGATGATCAAATCTGACAACATTCTTGTACATAGCACGAAAGCTGCGCGCAAAAAGGACGTAGTTGAGATACTTTCTGATAGTGACGAAGACGAGGCTGCGTCACCGGACTCTGATCTCGAGCTCTCAGCGTCTCCGCCCTCTGAATCCGAGGCAGAACCGACACCAACCAGCGATGACGACGAACTGGAATATGTAGACAACACCCAGGAACAAGACAAGGAGACGCACGCCATACCTGAGCCTGAACTACTCGAAGCCCTCCAGGCACACTATTTTACAACCCTCCGGATGCAGGACACGTCGAGACTGCCTTTCCTGCGTAGGAGTCTCCGAAGGGGCTTCCGGAATCAATGCCATCTGCGTGGGTACGGTCTACAGCGGCCGTCGAGCAAACCGCACATCACCCTGGTGTACGACTGTCCTTCAGCTGAGAGGACCTGCACAACGCACGTAACTGACTGGCTCTGCCCCGTATGCGAGCTTCACGGTGCATTCGATAACCAGGAGCAGTTGGCTTGTCATCTGACGTGGGACCATCCCGAGCTGGAGGTCAAATGGGAGAGGGAGTTTAGCCTTAGTAGTGTTCAGGTACTCATGAACTCTTAAGCTTGTCTGATTTTCCTGTGCTTACTTTTGGTTCTTGATAGCGTGTAGGACCACGATGGCGATTGGAAGTGACGATACCAGCTATACCCGCATCACCGTATGTCCCTCTTTCCTGCACCTTGAACATATTCTCATTGTAATTGTGTGGGCGTGATAAGGCCTCCGTCTATACAATATCCCGCACAAGATACCATTGAGAATGAACCTCCCACAGAAGAGACTCACGAGCTTCAGTACGCTAATTTTCTATTCGCGAGTAAACATCTCATTCATATCGAACAGAGTTCAGCGTGAACCCAACCTGCGCGCTGAGCCTTCCCTTCCCGATGAAGGTCTACTCAGGCCAACTGTTGGGCATCCAGTTACACCTCAAACCAGACCCGTAGCAACGACAACCTCTCTTCGGTGCGTCAAAGTTCCTGTAGAATGCCCCTGTTAATCCCATATCTCCAGGTCAATGACGCCAGCCTCCACACTCCAGAAGATGAAGATGTTCCAACCCATTTTCCGACCATCATCCACACCCAGTGTAATCCCCCGAGTCGCAAAGCGCCCGAATAGATCATGCACTCCACCACCACCTGACCGGATGCTAGGTCCCGCCGCGCAGCCACCATACCTCCCGGATAACCTGTACTCATGCCGTCCCGGGGGTCCCCGCGTGTTTGACCTGCTCCAGATGCTTGACATGCGGCCGTTTGGGGTCTTGGCGTGGTCTGTCATCGAGAGGGAGGATGAGATCTTTGAGAGCGATGATATCAGAGATGAGCACAAGGTGATGCATGCTTTGTGGGCGAGGTGGATACTTCTAAATCGGTATAAGTGCTAGTTCGCTTTTTAGTGTCGTGCTAAATAGTCATATAGGAGCACGTTTATAGCGAATTACTGTCGGGGTATCACTGAGTTTGTGGATGAATATTGGTTGATGATACATAAAGCAGCGGGATGGAAGGCGTTAAGGTATTGGCTTATGGTACGTTAACTGTGTTATTAGGGCGTTTGAGCTGGAGGAGCTGATCGTGCGTTTACTTACAGACCATGCTCTCAAATAGATACCTTAAGGGTGAGGAGGTCGCGAGTGTCCTGAAATTTTACGAGGATAAGACCCAGATGGATCTATGGTATGATGAATAATTGTATACCCTGTGTATATCGAGTGAATGTACGACCGCTTTGAGGCTTATTCATTCTTCCGTATAGTGTCTAGGCTCCTATCGGTAGGTCATGGGGAGGATGAATGCATGCTAAAAACTGTGACTACATGAAATTTTCATAGACGCATGAAAGAGTTCACGGAAAGCATGTTTGCTACCATGATGTTCCAGTATTGCGCAGTAAGCGTTCGGAACTCCCACATGATCCAGCAGAGATGCCTCAGGCTCGTTTGTCGATCGCGCCAATCACGATCGATCATGTTTGAAAACTTGCTTCCGCGGAAACCTGGCGGAAGTAAATAGACAGTCTAGTAGCGCTTTTCCCTGAAAGATTGGGCAGGACCACGACTGATAAAAATCTGCACTCAGGTCTAGTTGGGGTATATAGTGCGCTCCGACATGGAGCACGTAGATGTCATCGAAATTACCATGAGGTCTGCGCGCGACTTTTGCGGAGATGAGGTCGTGCGACTTAATCTCCACCGCTGCATCCGACTAGCAACCGGAGATGTTGTGAGATGTCAGGCAGCTGCAAGCGTTCTACACGTGTCTGTCGTTGAGAAATGCTAAATGTCATATTGCAATCGGATGTCATTTTCGTGAAGGTATAAGGGGTATCGTTAGTCGTACATAACACAATTCACAGCGAGCTAATACTTAAGAATGAATCAGTCCCATTTGTGTCAAGATAAAGCAGGCCGAAACCCTTACCAATGAGATCCCAAACGATCTCCCTGCAGTCGATTTCAAAATCCGGGTCGACTCGATCAAAATACAGGGTTAAAATCTCCGGTCTCCATATATGACTGCCCTCAATGTGTAAACATGCATTCAACCTGGCATGGGATCAACGACTCACTGGGGAAATGACGGATCAGCCCTCATCTACTTAAAGACTGCATCTTGACATGTACACCATTCTTCTGGAGAGCAGGCAATCCTTTTCGCACCCAGTCGTCAACATGATTATTCACTTGGCCCCAGATACTGAGCTCGATCCTAACCGATTTGAGATAAGACATGCGCGGTTGCGTTAATATCTCGTCTAAATCCCCCCAGTCGAGCCACTCTGATACGTTGCCCGAATTTCCCGTGCTGTAAAGGTCCGCTTTAATCAGGACCTCTTCCATATGATTGTCCGGGGCAATCGTCTCAAGCATCCTAGATAGGTACGTCCAATACGAATTGTCCATCGTGTAGACCGTGGTGATGAACTGTACGACTTTCAGGTTCTGGCAATGCGTCAATTGGAAAACCTCTGGAATGTCCCCGACTGTGCAAACTGAAAAGTTAACGGAAAGTGCCCGAAATGAAATAAAATGGACGCACAGTAGATGTTCTCCTCGACCACCAACTTTTCCACGGTATTTCCCATGGTCAAAAACAGCTTCGTCGCGGCGGGCCTGATCTCTGGAGAGAAGTTTCCCGGCACTTTGAGTGTCAGATCTCTGACGTGACAGATATCGAGAGCAGCATATGGACTGAGCATATAATTGACGAAACAGTCACTCAGCCGGACCGACAACGAATGTGGTTGTGGCCGCAAGTGTGGCGGTGGGACTGGCGGCCTGATAACACACCCTGGAATAGCATGCCAAAACAATGGCAAAGCTAAAGTCTTCACCGGCGACCCCACAAAGAGCTCAAACAGACTCTGGCACGAATCAATGACAACCCCCGACAACTCGACAGAAACCATATCCTTCGACAGGAACGCGCCAAGGAGGGCGCCCTTCAGCTCCGCCGTGGCCTTGCGCCAATGGAATACGTGCGTAAAGTCGTGGTTCTGGTAATGGTAGCCCTCGCTGGTCAAGGCCATATGGCGCAAATGAGGCGAGAGCAGCTGGATAATCGCAGGGAGCCACTTGCTCGAGGCGATCCAGGTGTCGTCGAGGTGGTGCCTGGGGTCTTTCGGAATGGGATCCACGATTTCCAACCTATGGACAAGGGACGCGACGTCTGGGAAGGCTGTCAGTATGTCGTGGTACAGGCGACGACAGGTCGCAGCGTTCGATAGGACGATTGATGAGAATAAGAGGGACCTGCTGCGAGCTCTGAAGGCCCGGCATACCGCTGCGCAGCAGGAGAGGCTTGGCTTGTCGTCCCAGATGTAGTCGACGATGGCATCGATGAGTTCTTGGGGGAGGCTGGCGGCCATGCACTGAATCGGACGTGATGGTCAATGACCTGGCTCTGTTTGGACCTGTCTGCCTCAGAAGGCATCGTTATTCGGTTCCAGGACCTACATGGACCCATAACCTCTCAATATCCGACCCGAGAACCGTATACATCTAGTAGCAAAATTGAATGTTCTGTATTTATTTATTTAAATGATACAATCCAATTGTAATTGTAAATAGTGATTAATCCAGGGTTATAATAATATACACAAAATGCATCACGGCTTCTCTAATGAATATGGTGGTAATGATGATGTTGAAGATGAAGGCGTCAAGGGACTGAATGCAAGCCCTTTCAGCAATTTGGGTACCAATTGTGCAGAATGTTCAGTGTTCGGTCCAGGCGTCACAGGTCGTGAGCTCACAGGCGTGTTGGCCTGTGATCGGTTGTGGGCGAGGTGGGCGCGAACGAGGTGTCCAGCGGCGAGTGCACTCATGAGGGAGAGCTCGCCAGCCATGACCGAAGCAGCGATGATCCGTGCGAGGGTCTGGGCGTTCTGACCGGGGTTTGTCGGGTGAGCGCCCTTGACACCCAGCAACTCGAGGACAGCTTGTTGGGGGGCCAGAACGGTGCCTCCACCAACGGTTCCCACCTCGATACAGGGCATTGAGACAGTCATAAGTAGATCTTGACCATTATTAGTCCTAAACGCGTTATTAGCAAACAAGAACGAACTCAAAAGCGTAATCACTTACGGTTCCATGAGAGTCATACAATTCGAACTCTCCACGTTCTGTGCTGGATCCTGTCCAGTAGCCAAAAATATCGCAGTCAAAATATTTGCCGCATGGGCATTAAATCCACCAATCGAACCCGCCATCGCGCTCCCAATCAAGTTCTTCTTCGTGTTCAAATTGCACAGCGCCTCCACCGTGGTCTTCAACACACTCTGAACAATCTTCCCGGGAATGACAGCCTCCGCGACCACACTCTTACCACGGCCCTCGATCCAATTAATAGCAGCCGCCTTCTTGTCCGTGCAGTAGTTGCCCGAAAGCGCTAGGACGACCATCTCCGGGAATCGCTTCTGCATAACCTCCAGTCCCTTTTCGGTACCCTTGGAAATCATATTCATGCCCATAGCATCACCAGTGGCCGTCATGAATCGCACATACAGCGTCCGGCCAGCCATAGCAGTCTTGAGGCTCTTGAGCTTGGCGAACCGCGACGTAGACTCAAAGGCTTCCTTGATAGTAGCGAATCCCTCAGGCGAATCAATCCAGAGTTTGGCTTCGGCAGCGTTAACGATAGAGGGGAAATCAATCGCGGGTCCACGAGTCATGCCGTCTTGCGTGAGTACGGTAGTAACACCTCCACCAGCGTTGAGAGCCTTAGCACCACGCGAAGTTGACGCGACGAGAGTGCCCTCCGCCGTGGCCATAGGTATCGGAGTCAGGACGCCATCAACTTTGAGCGGGCCGGCAATACCCAATGGAAGCGGGATATATCCAACAACATTCTCACAACACGCTCCAATGACACGGGACCAATCATAATTGCTCATCGGGATGTCCGAGGTCTCCAATGTCTGAATCCTTGAAGATCGTGCTGGTGGGTTATAGTTAGAAATAGTAGTACATAATGAATGGATGGATGAACGTACAGATCAAAGCCCGACGAATCCGGACTGCCCTTTCCAGCTCCTCGCTACCGAGAACCTTCTCCAAAGCGTACGCCGCGATCTTGCCATTCTGGGCCAACAGGATGATCTCCTCATCATTGAGAAGTGACAAAGACAGACTCAAAGGACGTGGACCATTCTCGAAGATCTCGATGCATTCCTCAAGGGGCCTAACAAAGTCGTTGGCTGAAGAGTCGTCGCTGTCAGATGACTGAGGCGAATCGGTGAGAGGAGAAGTCGGCCGGGAAGGCACCGTCAAGTTACGAGCTTTCAGGATCTTATCGACATCATCAAGCGTGAACGTAGCTGCTGGGCGTGGTCGCACAACGGGCGCAGCAGGTTTGATCGTGACCTCATGTGTTTCCGCAACCTTGCCCTCGCTGTCCTCACTGGTAAACCGAACACCACCACTTCTCGACGCAGGACCCTTCCCAGCCAAACCAGCACCAATCGCCTTTAGCAGGTATCCGTTCAAGCTGATGCTCAGAGCGAGCACGACGACAATCCACTTGGACAGAAGAGGATCGCCGACCAAACGTGACCAAGACGACATGAAGCTCTCCACCATTTCTGAAGTTGTTCGGTGAACGATCGTAGCATCGGATGTCGGGATGGCGGAGGCGAGGAGTTGCGCAGGGGGAATCACTCGGACATGAACTGGCGGATAGACTTTGACGAACACGCTGGTTTCCTCATCGACATAGGCATTGTCGACCTGCTCAGCCTCGACCAAGGCGCCCAAAGCATGTCGGATCTCCGGAGTTGTGATGTCGACTTTCCTCACGGAGGTGGGAACGGTGTGCGTGCTGACTCTGGTCGGCGTCAACGGAGCGCAGAGGTTCAGGATGTGAAGCGTCAGGAAAGTAGCAATCTACCAAGATAAGATCAGCGAACCATCCAGATAACGAAGAGACAAAAGAGACTTACCAGAAGGAGCTTCAACCGCGCAACGGGGCTATCGGCTTGTTTCTCCTCCTTCTTGCCACGCGCTGAACCCTTAACACCAAGAACCATAGAAGAGACTCGCTGAGCCAACCTGGGCGCTTCCCCGCAGACGCGGTTTTTCGGTGTCCCATCAGCCATGACGACAGAAGGCGTTTTGGAGGTTGATAAAGCGCGGACTGTTCTTATCCGGTGGACCTGAACGGAGAAAAAACAACAAGATAAGTAAATGTGAAATGGAAAGGGAAGACAATAAGGCAGTAGGACCAGAAAAGGAAAACGAATCTCACCTCGATCATGATGCACAATATCGAAGCCAAGTAGGTGCACAAGAGGAGACAATCCAAGCCCAGGATGAGAGCCGCCAAGGCGCATACTTCGCGTAGGCCGCTGACTCGACTGTAAGCGCCAACGACGAGCACGGCGATCTCGAGTATGTAATCCCGGATGATGGGATAGTATACCTTGGTAAGAGATTCAAGGATCACTTCTCCAGACGGTTTCAGCTGGCCGCCAGCGCTCGCACCTCCAACTGGGCTAGTAAGATGTGGGTGCCTGAACACAGCACGGGCCAGGCGAATGGGTTTGTCGAAACCGACGGTACAGACAAGGAATGGAAGGGCTTCCGATAGGGCGACGGGGTCCATGGGGATGCGAAGCCACATAGCTATCGGAAGAGAAAGGAGAAGGGCGAGAACAGACGAGGAAACGATTCCGGAAGGCAACCAGAAGCTTGATCCGAGTTGGCGAGAGCGTGAAACAAGTATAAGGAATGTCGCATGCATTAGGACGTAGCCAATGAGGATCAGAATGATGTCTACGAGTCGGCCTTCTGGGGAAATGGTCAGTAGAGAAAGGCGACGTGCAGGAGAAGGACGAACCTTTGCGAGGTCCCAGAATCGCATAACAAACGCGCGTGCAGCATACGCGACCCATTTGCTACTCTTCATGTCTCCAATGGTCTCCTGCTCCCGTGTTTCCAGCTCAAAGCGTACTCCATGCTCGTCAACGGCCGACTTTGCAAAGCGCGAAAAAGCGTTCATGAACTCCTCCTTAGCTCCGGGAGTAAAACGACAATGTCTGAGTGAACGACCGTGGAGACGAGGTGATCGCAGAGAAGCACGTCGGAACATCGGAAGAGGAGTTATTTGTCGCTGAAATGGATGTTCGATGACAGAGAGAGCCGTACTTGCGCCCGGAAGAAGTTGGCAGGGCATCATGAGTAAATTTCGACATGTTGTACACGGATTCGGGCAGGGGTGACATATCAAGCGAAATGGAGCCTGGAACGGCCTGTAAAAACAGGGTCACGGACGATGCTTGGCTCGGAAAAAATTGCGCACTCACGTCTTTGCTTTTCTGTACCGAGTCGAGAGAGAACACGATCTGTTGTAGCTCGACGGGTATTATGGAACTATCCGTGGTTGTTTTAGCATGGTACCAGGCGTGCTCCCGTACGTTGACCCATTCTTGCTGCGTGTAACGAGCATGCGACGGACGAAGGGTGATTGGATTCGTCGTCGCGAAGAAAGCCGAGTGCTTAATGGCAGAGAGAACATGGAAGTAGGCGAGAGTACCGACAATAGAAAAGAAAACGATAGTTTCGATGGGAGAATAGGCTGCATGAATAACGAATGGCCTCAGTATGGCGCGCATTTTGGTTAGATTATACTGGTCGAGCTATATGTTGAATATATATCTGTACGGCCGCATAGTGTCAACGGTGTTGGGCAAGAAAGCAAAGGAATACTTACTATGGATGACACAGATAAAAAACGGCGATGCTGAGAGAGGCCCTCCCAGGCGAAACGAAGGGAAAGGGAGAAGAGCACAGTGCAAGGAGACGGAGAGCAGTGGAGAGCGGTGGTACGATCAGGCAAACTTTTATGGAATATGGACTGTATAGGGACCCCGATCACCCTGCCGGGACCCTCCCTATTGTATCCCCATGGAGGAGCCTGTCCCTGAGCGGGATTCAAGCTGCTACCGATCCTGCCTGCAACCAATCTTGTCTCAGATACTGTCATTCATCTCCATCCGTTCTCCGTATTTTATTCCGAAACGTTGCTGAAACAGACGTTGTATCCATTGTTGCCTCTTGTTCCTTTTTGTTTTGCGAGACAGACTGGTAGGCGTAATTTATTAACGGTGAGCTGCATTGTCGTCAATTACTTCCTGGCTGCAACTGCACCTATTCCTGTAAGCTTCATTCAATATGTTCGAGGAGACTAAAGGTTTAAACCACCTTCATTTCCCCTCCGATAACATCGATCGCTAACTTATCATCCCGCCTTTGCCTTCGGATTGGGTTATCGTTCAGTTACTACCTCTTTGAGTAGTGTTTTCCGGCGCCTTTGGTCATCAAACCCCGGCAACCATTATCGTGCTACCACGTTTACTCTGTTCCGCTCAATAAAGGTAATCCCCCCAGTCGCCTCTCCAGACCCCACGTTCAAGACATCAGGATTGTTGTGGATCTTCATCATGATACTGTTGTACCTTCTGGAGTCCTATCAGTCTCTAATCTCGCAAGAGATACTATCTCGAGCTCGGGTTCTGACATTGGCGCCATGTATCAATGATTTAGAACACACCGCCATTTGGAATGGTTATATGATGAGCGCACGTCCACTCTACTCGGGACCTGGAGCAGTTGTGGATGCTAACTTTCTTTCGGGCTTATTGTTACCAGTGCAACAATCATCTCCGAATCTCATCTCGTGCTTACTCTGTCAAACGCTCTTCGGTTGAGAAAACTGCCGTCCTATCTGTCTACCGTGAATTTCCTTGGGTCGTGGCCATCCATGGGAGAAAACGTGCAGGTACAGGAACTACAGCAAGGGTCAACGGAAAAATACCTGTGCGTGCACTCGTGCGACTCTGCACATCATATCTAGGCAGACGGTGAATGCGAAAGTATAGTCTCGACTGGCCGTCTCCATAATGTGTAGGAATGATGAGCCACATATTTCACGTTCGGGTCACAAGATACCAGCGTGAGGCTTCGCGGGGGCTCGTCGACTATCATGCATGCAGTGTGGACCTAGACAGACAGTGCATCTGAACACATTAACCTCGATGTAGTCTCGACTATCACTGTAATACTGTGTCAGCCCGATGGACCAAATTATAGCGATATTTTACCTACGGGTCCGTATTTCCCGGTAACACTTCGCGGGAGCCATGGCCATAACAACGCATGAAATATTTACCCTACTACCTTGTTTAATACCTACGCGTACGGTGGATAGAAAAGCTTGCCTCCGCAACACTCGGCGGGATTTATCTGTAAGAATGGTCGGTATGTTGACTCATGCGACTCAAACAGATGTTAGGTGAGATGATGATTAACCCCCGAGTCGACGAGATCTCAATTGCTCAGCAAGCAATGATTCGTCCCCGTAACATACGGAGAATGTACCGGATTGGCCGCTTGCTCGTGTCTGTCGGTAAGAATACGTTCAGGACTTCACATTATTAGATACTTATTTCTAGGAGAGGTGACCCGTGCCAATAGGAAGGTTTAATATAAGAAAGAAGGTTCATTATGCACCCGGCACACCGTACCGGTACTCAATAGCAGCGCTCTGGATAAGTGACTTCAATAAGCGCGTCCGAGTGAAGTGGGTATAGGCTACGCGCCCCATCTCCGTTTCTCACCGGCACCTTGACAATTAGAAGAATGTTAGATATCCGGGATATGAGAAGCCTGAGGACCGCTGGAACCGCTGGGTCTTAGTGTGAATTGTTACCGTTAATCGAATGCACATCGCCATACCGGAAAATGATAAGTAACTTCCAATGTTGGATGTATCATTCCGATAGTGATTCATTCTCCACTCCTGCCGCAGGCATGACGGTGGAAGCAAAAATTGGCGCAGTGCATGTCTGGTCACCTGCAGAGTCCATGAGAATTATCTCTACAAGAAAGTGGGACCATAGATTCAGGATGGAACCAGTTTTTGGTCGTACCACTTGGTGTTCGACTTTGACAAGTCAGATGTTAGGCACGTGGTCAGAGTCGGGCCGAAGCGGAGCTTTAACCTAACCGTCGAAACTATACAGTAGCCGGCACTCGGCAATCGCCGGACAGTCGCACGGGACAGAATATACAAGCCCCGTCAATATCTTAGTCGTCGTCGCCAGCAAGATGGTCAATATTCCCAAGTGAGTCTAATCTTTTACCTTTCTTTGTCGGGAAGATGCTGATTCAGTTTATAGGACACGGAGGACATGTGAGTAGCCCTTTTATCGCACTATCGACCGTCGGGATACCAATGGAATTTATGGAACAGACTGCAAGGGCAAAACATGCAAGAAACACACGTACGTTGACTTGAATGGCCTGGGATCCACTATGTGCTTAGTGTTTACCTTAGGCCTCATAAGGTGACCCAATACAAGAAGGGCAAGGATTCCATCTTCGCACAGGGAAAGCGTCGTTACGACCGAAAGCAATCCGGTTATGGTGGTCAGACCAAGCCCGTCTTCCACAAGAAGGTGCGCTATTCCAGCTCAGTCATGGATGGGGGCGGCGTTGATGTTGTTGATTAGGCCAAAACGACGAAGAAAGTTGTGCTACGGCTGGAGTGCACTGTGTGCAAGTACAAAATGCAACTAACTTTGAAGCGTTGCAAACAGTGCGTAGCTTCCTTGATCATTAATTTAGGCAGCCCGTTGATAATCATTTGCTCTGCAGCTTCGAGCTTGGTGGTGAGAAGAAGACAAAGGGTGCTGCCCTCACTTTCGTACGTGTCGTCTGTTCTGTGATTTACTTGTCATATTCTAACCTGCCCCCATCGTTGTAGTGAGTGTTACGCTGTCGTTGTATTCTTTTCTCTGCATTTCCACCTATCATACTGCTACGACATAAGCGCAATATGAGATATGCTCTACATGACACTCACCTGTGTGAATTAAGGTTACCCGAGGTAGTGCCATCAATTGGTACTCGCTGACTCGATTTTTGTGTGTCTCTGCTCATTTGTCTTATGGCTGTACAAGGCAGTCTGGATGCTGTTCCGTTTGCTGTGTTTTATCACATTGACTCAAATTTTTATCGGTTGTGGGAAGCCTGGATGTGACTCTAGAGATTTCATTCGGCGCCACGGCGACACATGATGTACTCCCGCTATCAGGTAAGAACGTGTTCAGGCGCTTATTCTACTTGCCTCGAACCACTACCATGAGGCATTTCTCGACTAACGATATCCTCTTAGTTGATGGTCTTAGCGGATATGATGACCATCTGGAGTATCTGACTGGTCTCTTCGAGGAGCAACAGCTATGCTGTGTCGAGGCAGCTACTTTCAAAGACGTCTTGGACTTGATGGGAAGCGCCCTTTGGTTCGGGCTAATCGTCAGGCAGGAACAACAGCCCGACCCTCCCCTTGAGGTGAATCAAGTACGTTTCTCTAGCTGTTGCTGGATCGGCCCAAGATCTGACTATTGTTAGGATGCGATATTGACAAATGTCGAAGATACCAAGCCGCCCGTCGAACACCCACCTAGCGCTGAGGCGGCAGTGGTAAGTAGACTGATACATTCACGATATCCTGTTGGCTCAACCCCCTCACAGGCTCCCCTCAAGCCCAAGAAAGCCCGTAGAAGAAAACATAAAAAATCGACTGGCTTTGGATCCCAAGCGCTTTATGATCAGCCAGCTAGGGAAGGTAGTGTAAGTCAATCATCGAGGTGCAGTGTTGAAGCTCGATGCTAACCGATCGGTTTTCCAGGATAAGGTCAATCAGCCAAAGCGAAAGGCCTCTGACCCATTCAGCGGGTCTATGGAGACGTTAGTTACCCCTACCCCGGCGTCTCGTGTTGTGGATGACAGAGATCCTTGGTGGGACGATACTGATGATTCCAGCACGTCAAGCGTGAAACCCTTTGGAAGGATTCCTAAAACCGATGCCCCATTTACTGTAGGGAGCAGCAAACAAATTAAAGAGGAGCGCAACGAATGGACCAGGAATTGGGTCTCGGGGTCCAATATGCCAGTATCCGAAAACCCGAACGATACCTTGAGCTACAAAATCACTCCATTCTCGTCATTCACGCCGACCGAATACGCGCGACCGGTGTTCACCCAGACCGAATCCGTGCGACCAGTGCCGTATCCATCTCCAAGTTATACCGATTGGAACTCCCCACCTGTTCTGTATGTCAAGGAGCCGCTTGGGTTCATATACCTCTTTTCCACCCCTCATCATGAGTCTCTGAACGCGGTGGGCGAAGTCAGGATCGGTCTGATCCTTCATGAGAAGCACCGGGGGTACGGGTATGCTCAACAGGCTGTGCAGCTTGTCGTGGAATACGCGTTCGATGAGCTCAAGTGCCATCGCATTCAAGCTACACTACTACAGACGCCGCTGAAAGCACATGCGCTGAAATTGTTCACGCGAGAGTAAGTCTCCTTTATCTCGTCTCGCTGTATCAATCTGATATTAACTGCCAACCGTAGGCGATTCAGCCATGAGGGAACCCGCCGAAGTGCTTTCTTCAGTCCGCTCGAACAAGAATGGAAGGATACAACTAGCATGGCGATGATCGATACAGAGTGGGTTATCCGTTCCTCGTTGCCTGGAGCGCCGCCGACGCTGTGGGATGAGATGTTCCTCCGACATGAGAGGGAGCGTGATACGCTTTTGCGATGGGAACAAATTGGTAGGGAGGAGGAAAGGCGGCTCCTTAAAAAGACCTCTAGCATGGAGACTATCCGGTATGACGCTGGCTCGTATTCGAGCGACCCGAAAGGAAAGAGGAAGGCTGTCGATTTGGAGGACTTTGTGGATGATCAAGAGTACCTTGCTGCGAGTGGAGATGTTGATTTGGCATTTGATGCGGAGGAGGAAGAGGATCCCGATACCAAGCGCCCAAAGCTTGGTTCTACACCTACTTTCGGGAGTTCCACAACCTTCATTTTCGGAAGTCTGGAACAAACGCTGACCTCTCCCCCGATGCCCTCCCCGGGAGTGTCTTACGGCCAAGACCACGATGGAGACAGCAGCTCCTCCGAAAGCTCCTGGGATGCTATGGAGACATCGAGCAGTTCCTCCTTCGACAGTTTATCAGATGTAGATTGAAGTGATAGATCTACCTGGTCAGATTCAACATTTAAAGTAAGTCGGGCTCTACCGCGGTTGTATACATATATTTTATGATAGCAGTGATTGTTGTACAGTAGGTTGTACCATGATACGCTAGCGTTCGCTCTGCGGCGGCAGGCTCTCTATCACCGAGATACCCGGCCCGGTTTATAGGTAAGAGTTTGTTATGCAGGTTTCTGGTACAGGTTTCTAAGGATAGAGCGTTGAATGGATGCCTATCAACCATGTATTACCCAACTTGAATGTAGGGCGTCTATTTCTCCAGGCGCAAGTGAATTGGGCTCGCATCAACACCCGGTTGAGAGCGATGATGGGATATTAGGTGATACAAGCTTTGGATTCATGTGTCACTTCTTTGGTTCACGTCATTTAGCAGATACTATCGCGCCGTGGGATCTTTGGCTTGCCAGTTCCTGAGCACGCTCTTATGCTCCGCGATTCCCTGGCAGATTCCCTGCCTCGTTTTTGTCTAAAGTTGGGTATGTAAACTGTAAACTGTTCTTCATGACAACGATAGAGCATCTTAACTTTGGAATCTCCTTCATGAACGGCCTCTTGGCATTCGTCTGGAAATAAAATGCTGGATAAGGCAGACCATCTCTCGGGGATGGCGATAATTGAACCCGAGCCCTGAGAACATGATATGTCTTTCTCAAAAGAGGGAGCAACCACGACGAAGTCGAGTCACTACTTGCTATCAAACCAAAATTAAATACACGAGCCGTTTTCGCTAAGTTCCTATCCCAGTGATGAGGGAGGCAAAGTTTGCCGTGCAGGCTTCGATTGATGAATTCAGTCGCGATGAATGTACCCTCATGTTCAATTTTGATAGGCACGATGCAGTTGATACCCATGCTCCGCTCATACTCAACATTGGTTAGGCTGAGGAAGTCGAAGCAAGGCCATGCTTGTGGGAGTGTTGATTTCAGTGTGAAACTTCGACGCGGTTTGATTACTCGACATGATCCAGCACTTTTGTTTGGACATGCAAAGACGGCTCGGTATGGATTTGAAGTATATCCAACGGTACTATTGTCTCAATAAATAGCCAAAGCGATTCAAATCATGGAGAAATACAATCTCTAAAGGCTCCACATTTGGCCCTCATGTATGGTTACCCGCCTGTTCATCATCATCACAGCTGATGCCCATTCTCTTTCCATCTACTTTCACATCTACAATGCGTCATGAATTCCCAACACACACGCGGAAAGAGAACGATGCAGATGAATTATGAAGTCCGTATACAGAAGGAAGGAGTGTTAGGCTAATCATATAGGATTATAATTAACAGTCGCGGTCTACGCGTTCCATTACTAATTGTACACACCTCAAGGCTCTCGATATACCATTGAATCTCGATCCCAAGTCATATGTGAACAACACGTTCGCGAATGACGCACTCGACATCTATATTCACCCAAGCATCCTCAGCCTCCCGAGACTGAGTCGCCTTCCGCTTGAGAAATCCCAGGGGTGAAAGAGACGGAGAGGATGGACATGAAGGTGGAGATGATGCGGAAGAAGCCTTTCGGCTGTATCCTGAGAAGTGTGAACGCGGGGAGAGATTGGTGCGCGATGAGTTCGATCTACGAGTGAGGGTAGACACGAGGGATTCGGAGGCGCTTGAATGATCTTCCCGTGGAGGAGATGGAAGGAGGAGGAAAGGCCGGGATATCTCGGGGTGTCGCGGAGTCGGTTGCGCGATTGGCTGGTCGCCGTTCACATTCATAAATGCCTGTGGCGTCTGAGGCTCCGACACCTCGATGTAATTTGACGTTGAGGTGGTGGAAGTGGAGAAACGGGAATGCTGGGGGTAATTTGTCGGAAATATGAACAATTTGAGGTGAAATGGATTCTGACCAACTGCGGCTGACATTCTGGATGGCCTATTAGGTTACATGTATCGAAGAAACCTTCGTCTTCGTGCCATCCTAATGGTTCTTGAGGAATGAAAGGGAGCGTGTAATGCTGAGACTCGGGATCCCAGATCGCGAGGAAAGTCAGCCTAGACGGAGGAGGCGATGGTCGAGGTTCTTCAAGAGGCTAAATGACGGGTATTGGTGAATTATGCAACTATCGTAAATACGAGCAGTCACAACCGCACTTACCTCGGCGACCGTTTCTATGTCTGGGGGAGGTATGTAATGCGCCAGCGTAGGTGTGATGGTACATGTCGATGAACAGTCGACTTCGTCATGATAATTGTTAGATTTCTACGGTGCAAAGCTTTGGACAAGACGAGAAGGAAATTATACAATGCACGCACCTTTGTGTTAATTCTAAGCAATAGAGTTTGGAATTTGGCCTTCATCGGAGAACTTGGACAGAGCAATGAGTGGGTAGGATTGGGTAGAATTAGAATGTAGTAAAGATAGCGCGCGATACAAGAGCCTTTAAGTGCATTTATAGAGGGGGGGGAATTTGAAGAGGCACCAAAGTCCAGCAGTGGCAGCCAAAATGAAGTAATAAGTAGGCGTTACGGTATTCGGAGCCTATTATGGTTTCAAGAAGCCTCGGGAAAAAGGGTACAAGTTTGGTGAGATCAATAAGAATCGTCGCTAAGATGGGAGCCATGGACACCGACCGCCTGATCCGATTGTGGTCTACACGAGTAAGTACTACTGCTCGGACATAGGAGAACGCCCATCCATGCTTGGTGGAATTTCTACAGCTGAATCGGAGGATCGCGCCGGTATTTTCACGTGAAGCCGAGGTGCACGTGGACGTCAACACGAACCTGAATTTTCTCAAGTACGACGTTGTACCCACCCAAACCCCACTCCCAATTTGTATGATGTAGTCTTCTTCAGCACAGCATGTCATGGCCGCAAGCAACGCAAAGCCGTCTCTATTATAGTCTATTATATAGTCGCGAAAGTCGTATCTACTTCTTAATGGCTTTTGTCTCTTGAAACGCTTGGAACTTGAAGGATAATCATACGTGCGTGACCCTTATTCTTTCTCTCTAAAATTCTCTTGACAGATAGGCAACAGGTAGTCAGGATTTGAAATATATGAAAATGCGAAAACTTGCCAGGGACGCTATTCAACACGGTTGAAAGTGTCCTAGCTTCTTTGCGACGCGTAGATCGGGTATAAGTCGCCCACCGCAACAATGCACGAAACCGACTAAAAATGCAGGGTTATCAACCATGAGAGCACCGGCAGGAACAAGTGGCATGCAAGAGCTTGACGGCAACGGTAACAGAATACAGAAGGGTATAGGGCCGCCCTTTGTGGATAAAGCGCACGGTGGATGCTAGGGTCGCAGCAGAGGCTAGGCTATTTTAGATCGTAAGAAACGAAACTTTGAAAGGTTTTGTTTTAGCGAAGCTTTTGTCACTCCTGAAAAGGCCGTCTGCAAAGCGGTATGAAAAACCTTTCCCCTATAGAACAATGGAATTGAGATTACTTTTCGTTTTACAGCACTCAAAACCAGGGCGTAAAAACTGAAGCTGAAATTGAAACGCTTTAGAATCCTGTTTACGCCATCAAAACGCACCAGCCACTGCAGTGAGTGTGTTGGGTAAATCGATGACGAGCTAGGAAGGTGCGGGAGAATAACAGGGAGCAATTGGGATAGCAGGCACAATGGCATCTCAATACGTCGCTTATCTGCACGGAGACACGATGAGAGTTAAGAACTTCCAAAGTCATCAAGTAGCTCTTGAGTGCATCTTGCATTCTTCGTAAGTGCTTTGTTGATCTTATTGGCGTATTTTCATTGACCTCTTATAGCTTTTCTTTGGACCTCGCAATTCTCTCCGTTTCTTTGATCTTCGTCTTCGTGAGAGTCTTAGTTGCCCTACGATATTTATGGTGTCCCGTAGTAGCTGTCCCTAAATTTACACGTCTCGTACCGGTGTCGTGCGCAAGGGAGACGGTGTACTCAACCACCACGAACCACGATCAGCCGTGTCTGAGAGAATATTGGTCCGATGTCAAGCCGGTGCAGGCCTTGGACCCATAGGCTTGGGCAGACAGAAAACGCCTGCAGAAGGAGAGCAGCGTAGGGCTATGTCACCGACGAACGAAGCTATCCGAGACCGAGGATTGTGCGGAAGGTGTCCTTCCTTTTTGTTCACATCGCATTTTCTCACCAGTGCAGTATATGTGAACTATGTCCGGGAACTGGCGCCAGTTCTCAGCATAATATCATGGAAATGTTGCTTTGGAAGCTCTGGTGCAGGTTCTGGCCAAGACAAAGGTGGATGTGGCAGGAACTCCGACTCCGAAAGCAATTGGAATACTATGGCGACATAGCAATTCCTCATTTGACGGCTTATTGGATGCGCCGCGAAGATAGATCTGTTCAGAGACTCAATGTCACAGGCGGTAAGTCGGACTTCGCCGTGCCTATATCCACATATTTATGCGGCAGGTCAGGCAATAATAGCGTATGCATCATCCGTATTCACAGGCTAGCGCTTGGCGGTGGGTCTCTATCACCGAGTTGAACGACACGTATATGAGGTTTCGCACGTCTATCAGTTTCTTATACACCAGAAGCTCAGGATGGAACGTCAAGTGAATGATGAACGCTGCTATCAGTCTGGACCATCTATCAGAAAATGTATCGCGGGTACATCTCAAGAGCAAGGCACCTTCGACTTCGAACTGGCATCATATGCCCAGAAACATGCCTCAATGAAGATCGCACAGAGAAAGAAGGAATACTAGGCCAAACACAATTTGCGGTTATACGCGTTCCATTACTAATAATATACTCCTCAAGGCTATCTCGATACAGCACTGAATCACGAATCATATGTGAATAACGCGTTCGCGAATGACGCACTCGACATCTATATTCACCCAAGCGTCCTCATCCTCCCGAGACTGAGTTGCCTTGCACTTGAGAAACCCCAGAGGTGAAAGAGATGGCGAGGATGGGCACGAAGGCGGAGATGACGCGGAAGAAGCCTTCCGGCTATATCCTGGGAAACATGAACGTAGCAGGAGGTTGGTGCACGATGTGTTTAATCTATGGGTGAAGGTAGACGCGAGGCAGACACTGGAACGCTCTTCTCGTGGATGGGATGGAAATAGAAGACAAGAGCGTGATATCTCAGGGCGTCGTGGAGCAGACGGATTGTCGTTAACATTCAAAAATGCATGCGGCGTCTGAGGCTCTGATACTTCGACATAATTCGATGTTGAGGTGGTAGTAGTAGAAAAACGGGAATGCTGAGGGAAACTCGTTAGAAATATGAAGGGTTTTAAAATTAAACGGATTCTGACCAGGTTTAGTTCACTTTCGGGATGTCCTAGGGGAATCCCTTCGTTTCCGTTCCCTCCTGGCGTCTCTCGAGGAATAAATGGGAGAGTGTATTTCTGAGACTCGGGATCCCAGATTGCGAGGAATGTCAGCCTAGATGGATTGGGGGACGACGGTCGAGGGTCTTCAAGAGGCTAAGCGATAGGTAAATGATAGGCAGGTAAACAGGATACCAGTCATAGTCATACTTACCTCGGAATCCGTGTCTGAAGGAGGTGTGTAATGCGCCAGCGTAGGTGTGATGGTACATGTCGATGAAGAATCAGCTTCAACATGGTAAACGTCGGTTATCTACCGCACAATGCTTTAGATGCAACGAGAGTGAAGGGGACGATTCACGCACCTTGGTGTTAATTCTAAGCAATAGAGTTTGGAATCTGGCCTTCATTGACGAGCTCATACAAAGGAGGGTGAGAGAAGGATTGGGTGGGATTAGAAAGTAATGATGGTGCGCAATACCTTGGCCGAATTTATACTGAGGAATTCGAAGAGGCACCTATGTGGACATCCGAGTCCGAAGATTATATCTTGAAGTCTCCGGAAAATAGACACTAGTTAGGTTACACTAATCAGAATCGTCGCCAAGACGGGCATCATGGTTATAAGCCACTTGATCCGATTGTGGTCTAATTCCCGTCACGGTGTTGCGAGAGCGTTTTGTATTTTGTATTCTTATATTTATTTAAGATACCGAGGAACTAGATTAAAATTCAGTAGCCGTGCATTTAGACAGTAAGTCAAAATTTTGAGCATACTCTGCGGATGAAAATTTGCGGGTAATTATTTATGTGAGACGAGAAGGTGAAAAGTGGCAAGGAAGCAGGAAGGCTGACGAGAAGTCTACGGGCCGGTGTTCCGGGACCATATGCCTTATGTAACCTCTAACTCTTCACGTGGCAAACTTCACTTCCTGCTGCTTCGTTCAATTGCACTTCATCACCAGTATTCTCTTCTGGCTGCAGCGCTGCCGATAAAGTACCCAACATGTTGAGTATGCGGTGTAAACAGGCTTTTCTGTTGATATCGCTCAGCAAACTTCGGAAACCTTCGTTGTTATCAAAGTAGCAAACAGTGATCTTCTCCCAGCCGTCAGTCCAATGCTTGGTGTGACGAGACTTGTACTTATTCCAGATTTTCTGATCCTGCAGGGAACCATGGATTTCAAAGATACATCGCGCGTTGATTCTGGCTTCTCAGCGCCCCATATTCTCGGATCTTCCCTTTGTGTGTAGCAACCGAAATGAAAGCGAAATCTGAGGCTGTCGCAGCAATATAGAATCACTCACGAACGTAGGATCCGTGGAGCCACCTTTCAACCTGCTTTGCCGAGACCGTCAGCAATACGTTTAAAAACCAATTATAATAAGGCCCATCGATGTACAGGGTATGACTCTGGCAGCCCATATGCTACGCAGTTAAATATCAACGTGTAAAATCCGACACGCTCCAGCTTCAGTGGCAATTCATGCGTTCGAGGCGTTAAATACTCGTAACTGGGTGCCTGGGAAACTAGAACACGGTGAGCCATGTGTCCGACTCGGTGGAATGGACGCGCAAAAGCTCACTGACCATGGCTCTATAGGGTGATAACTTCTCTAAAACGACCAATTTTGGTCATGCAGACTATAACGCTTCCATTTAACGCGCCCTGAGGCTTATCGCCAGCCATCACAATGCCTAATGTTATCAGTTTGAATCATTGTCACCTGAGGCTGAAGTAGTAATAGGCCAGATAAGCCCCTCACGCACGCAAAACTCTCTGCTGTCTCTCTACTCTCCGACTGATAGAGACCACAGATGATATACCCAGTGATTCTGTTCGAAAATGTGTCGAGATGACACTGAAGATAGCATCTTGCGCAGGGAAGAACGGCGTCATACTAGATGGATATGGGTATCGATAGGTGGTCGATGGTAGGGGGAAACCAGCAGATAGTGCAAAAGCGCCGTGCACAAGTCATTTATGGGGCCATGCTGCGGCAGCAATGCGACGGTGAGGTTAAGTGGCCTTTGCAAGGAGGCTCGCTTAGCTAGCTCACCACGTAGAGACCACTGGGAGCTGATTCCTTTCCTGCAGCAGCAGCGGTACCACTATAATTCACCAGTTTTTGTTCATACAACTGCCCAAGGTCTCTTACTATGGCGCGACAGTTCCATTGCCGAAGATCGCCAAAATATCACCTGTGACTTTTCTCACAACCTCGTGGTACGTGTTGTTGATTTCGTGATAGGAGAAGACGTTACAAGATAAGCCTTTTCGAAGCCATCAACTCCGCCTTTGTCTCCCCTAGACTCAGAGCTGGCGAGTTTCATTCTTAGATCTACTGTATCAAACTGAACCTCAACGCGGCTTTCAGACGTTGGGAAAGTGTGCTTCATGATCAGCCGGTATGATGCGAGTTCGCATCTTGACGTGGTGGAGTGGGTGTACTTAATACATCAGCTCCAAGGTTGCCTTGCGCTTCCAACCCCCTTCGCCAGCCCATCGCTGTTCACCCATGTCAAACGCGGGCGAATTCCTAGCTGACAACGTCAGAACTGCATTGGGCCCTATTCTCGCGGGGGTCACGACGAATGCATTCATCTTTGGTATCTGCACGGTCCAGTATTACGAATACTTCACCTCTGGATTCAGGGACTCCTGGATTCTGCTGTAAGTTCTCGGGACCGCAACGAGGACGTCTACTTACATCCATCCTTGCAGCGGGACCGTCGTCTGGCTAGCTGTCGTCGATGTTCTCTTTTCCATCAATTCAGTGTTTATTCTATGGCACTATGTCATAGACAACTTCGCGAACCCAGCCGCCCTGCACCAGTCAAATTGGCACTTCAATCTTGTCCCCCTGTTCTTGTCATTGTATGTTTCCCTAGTTCTAGGTATGGTGGATACTAATCTTGCGCGAATATGTAGCACTTCGGTTCCCGTACACATCTTTCTTGCAAACCGAATAGGGCACTTCTCCAAAAGCTGGGCGCTGTTCGGTTCGCTCGTCCTACTTTCGTCTTCAGCGTCTGCACTAGGTTCTATTTCGGCGATTAGATCTCAACTGGATTCAGATGTCATGTTTGGGTTAGACTCTGAGCTCCCAGCGCTGACGCTGATTGCTTTGTCACTCGGTGTGGCGTGTGATGTTCTTATGACGTGCGTTACCATCTCTGAAATTGCTCAGACCTTCGAGCTTACTATCTTTTGTTTCCATGCAAAGTGGACTGTTACTTTACTATCTTCGTCGGGACAAAAAGACCTTCCCAAGTATGTTTATGAATCTTTGGTCAAGCGAGATTTACAGAACCCCACGCATTAGAAGCCAACAGAAAACTGTCAGTCTGTGTTCAAATGTCTATTCAATCTGCCGTACCATCTACTATATGTGTGGTATGTTCTGTCCTGCTCTCTTGCCATGTGATATGTTTATTTGAATTAGGTTGTCATTTTGGTATTGATCAAGACGCTCGACCCAGCCAATTTCCAGCACATCTTCACGTTTCTGCTCGGCCGTCTGTACGAGTAAGTGCTCGGATGATATATGTCTCAAATCTGACCTTGCTGAGTATATTCCAGGGCTACGTTCTTGTCTGTACGTTCCCTCATCGTATGAATCCCCATTCGTGTATATTTACTGTGAAGCTTCCAGAGCCTGAACTTTAGGCCTGCGGCTCGAGAGATGGACAGCTTATACGGAGTTAACTCTATTGATTTGCTTGTAAGTGCGTACTCATTTTGTTAGCTCGGTTCTGCTGACATACGGTTCCTCAGACCATACGAAGACATCCCGCTTCACACGATTTTGCTGTAAGAGTGACGCAGGAGACCAAGACGTTGACGGACACGGAATGGCCTATACAACGATCTTTGGAACAAGGAATACAATCAAGGGTATCCACCCAACCCAAGCTATGTAAGCTCCTTGAAATTTGAGATAAAGCGGGTGCTAAAATTGAGCCTCCAGTTTAGCTAGCCAGTATCTTCTACTATGCTTTATTTATCCAGGACTACACTGTCACGTATCAGTGCTAATATTTTGTGTTGTAAGCGTATTGCTACGGTAAAGATGCAATTATAATTCGTGTATGATGAAGTACCTAGTATGTTTTGTTTAAACTGCGCTGATACAGTGGCGTTGGTGGTGAATACAACGCATATTACCCCCCAAGGCATACCGTCGAGAACCACCAGTGCATCCCAAGAAGTGGCGAAAACGGCAGAGTTGGGCGAAGCGGTTGTGCGGCATTCGTAATGACAGCCGTTAACAGCGGTGTAGTAAGCACGAACCATGTAGCCACCCACAACAGCCCGATGGTCCGCCACAGAATATGGTCCTGGAATCCAGCTCTCTTTCCCAGCACAATAACAGCGTCCTCGAATGTGATCGCTACGGCCTGTAGCTGGAACCAGAGAATCGAATGGCCAAATTTCGACCCCGCCATGCGATCTCCCCAGGCATGTACGTTGCCCGAAACGAAGAATCCAACGTAGAGTTGGGTATACGATGAGAGTTTTGTTCCGGGAGAGAAATCGAACGTTTGGACGACGAACTTTCCGATAGATGTGACAAACTGTCAATTTTGAGTAAAATATCTTCTCAAAGAAAGCACTTCGGCACTCACGCGACGTAATATTTGATGCCAAACACGACTGATGAGAAAAATATATCAGAGCGGCGATTTTGAATAAGACAGAACACTGACCCCCAAGCGCGACGGAGTGTATATGCATCATGTAGCTTCCCGAACATTGGCGGCCAAAACTGTGGCTCCGAGATACCTGAGCCGACGCAAATGACGGCAATTAAAGAGTATAGCATCTGCAGCGATGCATACAAGTTGGTCCACCACGCCCATACGTTGATTGCCTGCAGATAAATGCCCTGGGAAGTGATTGGAAGCGCTTCCTTGGCACGGTAGGAAAATATTGGATTGTGAATTATATATGTTCCTGCAATGTCGAGGATGAGAAGGTAATTGACAGTGTCACGAAGCGTTTGCGAAACAAAGCGCCAACGTGATTGTTTCGAAGTAGGAGGTACGTGTGGCAACTTTAAGAAGAGTTAAATGAGCGACGTAAAGCGTGGCCTGATGGCTCACTGACCTGATTGCTCCAACCTACGCCGCGAATCGAAATCCGAAGGCACAATGCCCACCAGAATCTTTTCAAAAATGGCATGTCCTTTGCGTCCTGCGTGTCATTGACATGCCTGGTACCATCGAATAGAGGCTCGACTAGAAAGAAAAAGTGTATTGATGTGAACAGAGAGGCGGCGTATATTCCACTGCCTATTCCGTAGTCCCGAAATGTGTCATTTGCGGTCAGAATGCCTGTAGTCTTCCATGATACAAGAAACTGGGAGGAAAAGAGGGCGTAACGTGCTAAAATTGAAGGCCGCCTCGCAATCACAAAAGCAATCGTGAGCTCGTTGTATAGGACGGACAGTACTAGAGTAAGTGGGCTTGAGACACGCGCCATAACAGCGACGGAGAAGTTCCGGGTCTTTTTGAAAGTCTGCTGGCTTTTCTTTCATTACTGTCTTGAAAGAGTACGAGTGGTGCCTTGACGGGGGAAGTTGAGGACAATTAACTAAGGACCCCCTCTTTTGGAAAATCAGATTCAGCAAGGCCGTCCAAACCTCGACACTTCGAATTCGATCCTATCTAGTACCTCTTCTGGTACTTCCCAGGATAACGTCTGCATGATAACAAAGGTGGGAATCTGAGTTAACCGTAACAGGAGGGGTGAGAGGAAATACCAAGAGCTTTCAAGTGCTTGTAGGTACACTATACCAATCCTTGTAGAACTGACTGGCGATCGCCGGGTGTTCAATAGCAACCGTTCCAGGGGTCCTGTGAGTTGCATAGTATGACGGATCTGGATCCATTAATTTGGAGGCACGGAATAGTAGAGAAACTTGAGAAAGTGATCCTAGACTAAAGCTCTAGACCCTTGACATCAAATCTTTCATTTCTAGCGTGTCACGGCACATTGGATACCTGAAGGAGGACAATCAGCTGAGTATGCTAGAGTGACTGAGTAGCTCGAGAGCCACACCGATAACACCGCCCACGTTGCGATCATATCAGCCGATGACCGCTCGTGGCAAGGTTTATCGATATCCTGCATCACGAACTTAACGCAACAGCCAAGAAAGGCGCATCCACAAAGGTATCCGAGCTCAAATAACCATGCACAAAGGTCGTAAACATGACTGCATCGAAGAGATGACAAGTGTTACGGATCAATACGGACCGAGTGGCTTCGCTTAGGTGATCAACCGGCCCTTTTTAAGTTCGAATCACACCTAACTGCTGACATGAGAAGGATTCCCTGGCATTGCTACAAAGGGTCTTGTAACTGCTGCTGCTTCTGCCAACTTCATGACCTTTTCCCACTACCGGACCCGAATCTTTGAGGTCACCATCCTCTCTGATAGATTGTTGTCATTCTGCCTTGACTCAGGCTTTTTGCTCGCTGAAGACTGAGTATAGACTTGGGGTGACTTTCAGAGTCGTATGGCTCGGTAACCTTATTCCCTCCGGCCCTCCAAGGATACTCGTCTCAAGAACAATCAATCAGTGATTGTTGTCCGACTTCGCCTTCGAAGTGCCTAAATCAAAGTACCATTAGGGACTACAAGCCAGCTTTATTTGTATAGACCACTGATATCAACGAAATCGCTTAGAATCTTGTGCCACCGTCTCCTCACCGAGCGTTCTCCCGGCCCCAATCTGGTTTGTATCCACAAAGAGGCGCTCATACTTCTCCCACACACGCGCGCTACAAGCACGATATTTGTAGGTTAACGACAACGAAGAAGTTGTGGGGTGACTTTGCGGATGCTCGTCGGTTTACTCTCGCATTCGCAGGCGAGTCCCTTATGATAGATAGCCTATTTCCACGGAAGGAATGAGCAAGAATGCCTTTATATGCGGTCGGATGGGAGCTGCTTCATCCTCATACTAAAAATGAGTAGCAGCTCCGCGACTTTGGACCTCACGGTCGGTGCCATTGTATGTTGTCGTTCGTCCTTCAAGCTATGTTTTGCGCTCACAGTGACGAACTATGTCTTCTGCTAGGTCGTTAGCTCCTTCTTTTCCGTAAGTCTTATTTCGTACTTTACATTCACCATTTTAACATTTTATGCCCTAGTTCTTGACTATGGGTATCGTTTGCGTCACGGCCTTCTATTATGTGGCCAACTTCCCAAACGACACACTACCCATTAAGCTGATAGTCTTGGCTAACGTTATCCTTTGTATCGCTGGAACGATCACTGACGGGCAAGTGACTCTTCTTAAAGCATGTATCTTAGCTAACTTCCGAGCGGCGAGGACAGAGTATGGTGTTATGATTGGGCGGTGACCAACTATGGAAGTACGAAAGAACCTCCCTCTTTTCAACTTCGCATTGATTAAATCACCTAGATCCTGCATCGATGGCTATCTTACCAATGTGAGAGAAGTCCTATTTATGTCTCTCTAACTTTACTTACGCCACTGAAAATAGTCCCGCCATCATTGAAATATTCTTTGTGTGAGTTTGGGCTTCCGAGTCTGGGAATCAGACAAGAAACTGACCACAGCACGACAGCGGGCTCACATCCCTGCTTGTGCAATGCTTCTACTCTTGGAGACTATGGGTGATCACGCATAAGCGCAATCATTGGCTTCCCGTAGCTATCTGTATTCTATCGGTCACCCAAATGTGTAAGTAATAATCGGTAAATTCGCTGCTGGATTTCTACTCACTCAATCAAAACTAGCCGTGATCATCTGGGTTGTCTCCTACTGGGCAAACCATCGGCTGATGACTGATATCGGTGGAGTCATGTACGTTCCGCCTTTTCAATCCATGTCGCTCTGACAATGACTTCGTTACATAGGCCTGTTGGTAAGAAGTCCCCCTCATTTGAAATCAGGTATCTAATAGACACACGAAGCCTACATTTGGCTGGCTAGTTCTATGTACGTTACCGTTCTTATCCAGAGTCTCTCTCTGACCCCGAATTTCAGAGCTGCAGATTTGCTGATTACCGTAGGGATGAGCTGGTATCTGAAGTGGAAGCTTCCTTCCAGTATATTCTCCTCCACGCTGTACGCATGCCCCTTTACTCGTTTCTATTTCTAATTGTTTTACTCTTCAGGTTCAATCAAATCATCTCTCGCACTGTTCAAGCCAACGTTCTCTCTCTCATTAGCCAAGTCCTAACTTTTGCATTCTACAAAGCCGACATCGGTCTTTATTTCTGTTCGTTTTGCTTGTCCTGTCGTTCAGGTCCTTTTGCTGATCGCTTTTCCAGTCCTCGTTGACTTTACAATTGTCAAGGTGTACACATTTTCGCTTCTTTGTTCATGTGCGTTCCTTTTGAGTAGTCTAAATTCCTCGTTGATCCACCATCCATCGGCAGTGAATGGTCGCGAAAGAAATGCTGCCGTTCAGACCCGGCCAAGGGCTGATTCGGAAGTTCTGACGCTCGGGATTATGGCCGCAGGTACTACGAGCAGGGCGTCTCCTACTATGCATTGGCCGATCAAGAAGGATGACTCAAGTGTTGGAGAGTGCTGATACGAAGGGGCTATGAATATAGCTGACAGGACTACCATTACGAGCGTGCCCTCGAACTGGATTTGTGTCGAGGATTCTTCCATGTATGAGTTTCTCGCGTACAGAGGTACCGCACTGTAACATAGGGTTGAGAGGGTACAGGAAATGGAAAATTACATGTATACTTGAAAGTTCAGCAGACTTGGAAACGTGCCTGTACCAGGAATCTTCCAAGTAATTACCGCGCCACAGGTCGGTCGGTGTATGAGCGCGGCAGTTTTCGACGTATGTCTCCCAGTACCTTGTAAATACGTTAAATGGTAAGAGCCGAGAAGCGAGAAGGTTCGGTCTCAATTCGACTTTCATTTTTTCTTGAAGTCGGCACGAGAATAAGATAGCGAGCACCGAATATTTGGGAAGAATAGGTTGGAGTTTGCAACACCTACGATCGCTGCGTCATCCTTCCAAAACATACTTGAGGTGATACTTGTTAGCTCCTAGGCTGGGCCCTCTCTTTGAATGATCCAACGGTGTTTTTACCCAATGAAGCCGAATTTGAAAGCTTGGAAAGTCGTCACGAAAGGCACCGAGTGTCGACATATCTTAGATTCCAAATGTCCGGGAATGAATGGTCTACAAGGCATGGAAGAGAATTCGGAGGCCTTACCCTGGAAGGAAGAGCTGCAATTATGGCCAGCTGGCGCTAACAGTAAGGCACCGAAGGAAAACCAACCCATGATAATTGCTACGGGGTATGGGGGGAAGTGCTCTCGACCTCACCGTCCTTAGTGTCCTCTAAGAACTAGCCGTCGTACCTGTTTTTACTCTCCAATAATTGTCGAACTCGTCTTTCACGGGCATATGTTCGAATATGCATCGTGCACAGCCGGTTTGAGTTCCTCTGCTAGGTAATATAAAGCCCCCGAGAGAATGCTCGCTGTAGATTTCCTGTGTGTAGGAGATTTCCGCAACTCGCCGGACAGTGCTTCCCCATCTTTGCTAAGTAGTCTCTGCTGTATTTCTTTCGTATTACCCGACCCTGAGGCCTTCCACATTACCATATGGTGTGCTTCTTCTCGAAGAATAGTGTGTCCAAAGTCGGTCTGGTTGCAGGAGAATGTTACCCAGGTGGGCGTCCCAGTGTTCAACACAGTTCGGATCCGTAATGCGTCGATAGGCAGCGAGGACGTTTTGGGATATACACTCTGCTTGTGCTGGGGTGTAACCTTATCCCTCAAGACTTTGAGCATCAATATATTCGAGGAACCTGCCTGAAGCAAAGTCGGTGACAGGATGGTGCATGCAAGGTGGGAGGATTCCGAGTAGGCAGCTCGACCGAGCCGAAGAAACGCGGAATGACGGTGCCCTATAGCGATTGAAGGAGGTGAGACGCTCTCACCTCCGTCCTCCATGCACGCGTGATCTCTCCCTAGAACTTGATCTCGTTTTCCCTCGCCCTGTCCTAACAACGCCATAACGAGGCTCTATACCTACTAGACACTTAAACACATTTTCCCTTGTTCCTCGCAGGATTTCACAGAGATTTCTGCATAGAACGGGTTCAACTGAAGGGCGCCAAGGAAAGTCTGAGGAATCATAGCCCCGGTTCCCACACCTACAGTTATTCAATTCCAGAATCATCTTGGAGTTGAAAGGAAACAGGCCATTCAAGAGTTTCACGGGTAGAAAACCACTGCGGAGGTGAATGGTGCGAAGGGCTTTTCAATTGCATTTGCGACATGTAACTTCCGACTAATGTTCGAATTTTCCGAAATAAACTCGAGGATAAGCCTAGCCCCAGGGAAATTAGTGTTTGCGAATCCTCGTATGTTCATAATTTTGAGCGCTGCTGCGAAGATAAACATGGAAAATGAGCAAATTCGGGTGGCGATATTTGTATCGGGTGAATGCCATCAAAGAATTCTACTACTTAGTACTTTGAAGAACTGTGACTCAGAAAGTGAGGAGAGGAGATTGTTGGTCATAAAAATAAGGACCACATAAAAGCCACGTGGAAGGAGACAATGCCAACTATGCACAATCAACACCGCACTGCCTCAGCATATAATCTTGACTTTCATGACCGCGTTACATTATCTTCCTTGATATCGTGATGTCTTCAGAGACGACGAATTCTCCAGGATGGCACTCTATACGACCTTGGATACCACCTTTGACGCTCTCAGTGCGTGAGATTACCTCCTGTCTCCGTGACCTTCATATTGTCTGCAACAAGTACGGGAGACACGGATCCGCTGCTGGCTTGCCTTGGTATCGAAGCACAAGAATCGGATGAATGCAGTAGGAAATAGATGACAGGGAGCTGAAGAGGCCGTCCATCGTTTCTGCCGCACTTGGCTGGAGGTCTCTCCGTCGAAGTCGACCGGTCTGCATGGCGAAGGGTGTTCATTCGAATCGACGACAAGGCCGACGAGGCAGTTATCATCATCTACGGCCTGATGCCAGGCAGGCAGTATGATGTCGACCTTGAACTGGTCCAAGGTGGCCACAAAAACAATATCCGTCGACAAGTCGTAACCGAAGTCGGAGGTGAGAATCGTTTTCCTCTTTTTCATAGCTTATAGTAACCGGAACAGACTCCTCCCTAGGCCTTGAAGGAGCCGCTGAGAATCCTGACTCATCGACCATGGACTCTTCAGTGAGCGCTCCAGAGCCGGCGTTTTCCTCCCCGTCCACCTCCCCTTCTCCAAGTACACCATCGTCCAATCAGCACCCATCTCCAGGATTCACTCCCTTAACACTGGAGGACAGGTTGAACCAGCTCCAACATACCTTGAATATCATGGCCACCGAACGAGAAACTCTTTCAGCTACCCTCAAGTCAGCCCGTCGTGACGCTCAAAAGGCGGATGCAAATGTACGGTCGGAGATTGAAGCCTTGAAGCGCTCTTCGGAGAAAACAGCAGCAGCCGAGCATCGTGCAAGACAAAAGGTACTTGCCCTGCAGGAGACTGTCAAGCGCGCGCAGCTCTCTACGAAGGAGATGGAGGCGCAAGTTAAAGAGGAGGAGGAGGCGCTCCCTGATCTACAAGCGCAGAGGGATTTGAAGGAGGGAGAGTATCTGAAGATCAAAGGAGAGGCGGACCGTGCGAGAAAAGTAAGGGAATCCGAGGCAGAGAAGGAGCGGAAACGTGTCGAGCTAATGAACACAGAGCTCAACAGCCTGAATAATAAACTGGAAAGGCTCCAGGCGAAGAAGGAGAAGCTGGAAAAGAGCACTATACCCGACTTGGAGGAACAGCTAAAGGTTATCGAACTCGAGATCGAAACCGCCGAGTTGGATCCTTTTGGATTCTCGTTCACTCCTGATGGTCAGGAACTGGACGATGATCCCATCCTTCTCCGTTCTCATCAGAATAGCTCGTTCCCGCGACCTTCGCCTGCACCAATACAGCGACCCCAAGGTTCTTGGAGTAGTCCACCTCGACAAGCTCAGCGCTCGTCTTCTCTGCATCATCAAAAAACGCCAGTAGTACTTTCCAACCCCCACCGCCAGTCTTCTCTGAAAGCCACACACCATTCGAACTCCAGTTCTTCGTCATCTTCTCCATTGCCTGCGGCTACATCAACACTTTCAAGTCGCGCGCCACCGTTTGAACCTGGGAAGCCATTGAGAGCGGCCATAGTAAGTTGAAATCTTGCGTTGTCTTTTGCGTATCTCACGGTAGTTTTATGTAGTGGGCTGGAAGTACTACTTCCCATGACAGTCGTGGTGGATAGAGTTAGGTCGTGTGAAGAGTCTCATCCTACCACGGACGCCACGGCATTGTTGACATTGTGGCGCCAAAAAAGAAAGACCAGCCCCCAGAGCTACTGACTTCTTGCTATGGAAATACGGTGATACCCCGCTACCTGGGCTGTCCTATTACCCAGCTCGACGATCGGATTGTTGAGTCAATCAGGTTTGTTTTAGGCGTACCGTACAATATGTACACAAGCTAATGTGCAATCTCACGGTTTCATGATGATATGGAGAGCTTCCTTGTTCTCTCTCGCCTCGGGAAATTCTTCTAGCATGAAGCTAAAACCGGTCTGGTTTTCTAGAAGGTTAAACGTGTGTGGTGTGGTGGCGTAATACACTGACCATGATTTTCGCTCTGATCCTTCCGCTTTCCATAGGGTATCGCTCCTGGGAAGGTCTGATGCTGAACCATAGTGCCGACAATATATGAAGGCCCCGTACAAATCAGTCAAGCTTCAAAGTTCGTACCCTGATTCGGATTTTTTTTTTCGACGGCAACCAATTGACTACTGGTCTAGGATCGGATGAGTAGACGACATCAAGCAGTAGCGTTCCACCCTTTCCGGAATAGTTAATTGCGTCATTCACAAGTGATATAAAACCCGTCGCCTCAATAACGGTGCCAAAACCAAATGGGTCATTATCGTTTAGCTTCTTCCACTGCACATTGATTTGTGCTCTGTCGCATTCCGATTTGACGTAGTCGTCTTCAGCGCCCATCTCACGGGCGATCTGCATCTTTTTGGCCCTTGTTGCTGTGAGTACAACTTGGGCACCACCGGTACCTTTGAGGATTTAGGCCTAGTCAGGAACACCGTCGAACAAGAGGGTCACGGATCAGAGTCTCACCGGACGCACCATCTCCGAGAACGAGGACCTCTGCTCCCGCGGGCGTGGTGAGAATGTCCAAGGAATGGGTTATGCATGCCATCGGCTCAATTAAGGAGGCTTCTTTGTCGGTAATCTTCGATGATATCCTGCGGACGTTCTGTAGGCCTGCACTAAGGCCGAGGTCCCTGGTAAACAAAGGTGGCATCATGTACGGCAAAACATCCCCGTCTGTAAATGCCAGCCATGGCCTGCATGTTTGCAGCGGTCATAACATCCACGTTTACATGGTACAGTGACAAGAATCGCACTGATCCAGTATCAAATCTCATGCAACGCTTAATGATCATAGGCAGGGTCGTACACTACAATAACGGGATCTATGACGCATCGTTCACCCTCAGCGAAGCCTTCTACAACTATCCGAAGAGAAATAACCGACAATTCCGTGTCCAAGGACCTGCGTAAAATTATATGCCTCAACGTTTCCTTGAAATCGGGAGAAGGTATAGATATTCGCATACAGGCGCTTCCGAGGTTTGGAATAACCCGAATTGGCCTGTCATACAGTGGGTGATCGGTGTTTCCTTTTTTCTGCACTCCAGGCTCTTACCGTGTGCGATGCGTCGATCCGTGCTATAGACACCGCCGCAGCCAATTAACACACTAGCATCATGCAGCAACATCAACAGATTGATGGGCGTCTTGTCATCTTTCACTAAAACCCCAGTATCTGAGGTTTCGGGTATCGGCGTCCTCGAGACTTGGAAGATGCTGTTCTATGTTCCCGTGTATTCAGTAGAGAAGCACAGGTGCTCATATAGGATGGTGTACTGACACCGTGAAAGCGCAGAGTGTCCGTCATCTTTAAGGGTTGATGCGAATTTCGGCTCTCGCTCGTTCTTTATATAAGTACTAGTGATGAGAAAGCCCCAGCAGACGATTATAGTTTTTGCTTTGAGAAAAATTGTCTCATACATAGATTCATCAGCAAGTCGTTGCATCAACTTTTTACTGGTCGTGAAAATTACCTACTTGCAGCTTGCTCGCTACAACTCTGTTTACACGTACAAGTACCGAAAAGGTTTTTTGTTAACTTGATGATAGGTTTTCGTCGTCACATATTTCTTTTCAACGTCACCCATGCATTGACTAAATCATGAAGACAATCAACTGTCTTGATGTGCGAGGCACAAACAGCTTTCTCGTGATGACCTTCTCTTCTCGTTCGAGTGGATCACAAGATGGAATGTCTTGTAATTTTAGTCGTCCTGGGTAAAAGCGATTCTGAGCTGGTGCATGCTCATGTAAATAGTAGGATCAGAGTAGGATCACTGAATGAAGTTCCAATACCTCGAATCGAGAATGCACCTGATTAGCCAGACCTGGAGAAATTTCAACCCTTTCCATATGGAATTACCGGTCTACGATATGCAGCAGTCTGTCATTTTCACAGTAACTCCTTGAGAAAAACGCAAGATAGCAGGAAGTTTTGAGGTCACTTTCGTTATCCACGTGGTGACCTCGTTTCATCAAGTTGCAGTAACCAGGAGAATTCGTTCTAATGGAGATCTCTAAGAACCTCAGAATTGCTTACTCCGGAATACAAAGAAGATAACCAGGGGGAAAGATAATCTGGGGAAATCTAACCAAACCGAACCTGACCGTGTCTTGATATCGTTAGAATTCACGGCTCGCCACTGGAACGGCCGAGATGCGCACCATCGTGTTGAATGAATTATCGATACTGAATTCAGAGAGAGAAACATAGAAATTTCACTGTTGAGATTAAATGTTGACCAGAAGTATAGTCACTATAGACGCGCTTGAAGCTTGCAGGAGGGAGAGTGTTCGGGACGAACCGCTCCGCAATTCCCACGGTCTGTTTATCAACTTTACCCCCAACATCATGAGCACATGCCAATGCCACTTTGTCAACCTAACACCGTCTCGGTTGGGTATCTGCTTTTTATATCAAGTCTTCGAAGATCCGAAATCAGGACATTCTCATCATATCTTTAGTCTTCAAAGCTTAACCCTCAGCTTGATATGCTAGCAAGGCATGTCGACAGATCATGGAAAGGTTCCCACCTACATGTGTATTGGAAGCGCACTGTATACTCTACTAAAGGGTTGCTCTGCCTCTTGCTTGCTATTTGGCAGCGATGTCTTTGCCAAGACGTCCACGTCGTTGTATATTTTTGCCAGGACTTGACATTAATTCGGCTAATAGCGATTGTCGCAGCTTCTGGGCCGACAATGGCATGACAGGCTGGAGACAAGTGACCAAGCAATCCTCGAAAGGTGGATCCAGGACGGCCATTGTCCAGAATTCCTGGATTACAGTTAGCCGGACCTATTCTCACGCAGTTACATGGGGGCGGTCCTCCGGTTGTCGACACGGGTGGATCCAAATGTCTCCAAGGCATTTACAAACGCGTAATCTATGTCTCGAAGCCCTTTGCTGGGGGTAGAAGAAGGCTAGATGCGGAGTATTCAATGTTATTCCATCCGATAAGTGCATAACTCCCTTCCCTAACGTATCAATGATGGTGACGTATTTTGATTATATAGGTGATTATGGCGCGTCGAAGGAATCGCCTTGCGATTGATTAAGACACCCTATGGCCAACTAGGGTTGTGCTTATCTGGTCATTTGACGTTGGGGTACAGACAACCCCCAGGTGGAGTACCGCGTCCACTGGCCACTCATATGTCTCCGGGTCGATGGCCAAAACCTTCCCGAAATGGGATCAATTGAAAGATGTGCGTAAAAATGCTCGGCGGCCTAGTATGTCGGTCGATGCGCGATCGCGCGCGTTTTATGTGCTTCACTGACCCTGAGGGTGCCTTCTGTCCATCAGATTTCGGATGAGATACATATCGTCATACCCGCCGGAGAGATAATTTTGACCCTGCGGGTATGCATTTTGGCAAGATCCACATCTCGACCCTTTTGGCTCATGAGACTTATGCCTTTCTTTCAGAATTCTGACATGATATTAAAAGGCTGTTTGCACCTCGCTAGCAATTGCCTTCGACCATCTCCGTGCTTAAGGCATTGCATATCCGGCCATCTCGTCCTCTTTCTGTTAGCGCCCTTCCGGCCATCGCTTCAGCTACTGGAACCATGCACATTCTCCCACAAGCTCTCGTGCTTCTCTTTTTCGTGACGTGGGGGGTCAGGGCTGCCCTACTGACGTCCGTCTCCCAACTGAATCCTGGCGGCTACGACTTCATTATTATTGGTGGTGCGTATGCTTTCAAATGATGACCATGACATGTACTGACGCTTCCAGCAGGCGGAACGGCGGGAAGCGTGCTGGCCAATCGTCTGTCTGAGAATCCCAAAATCAAGGTGTTGGTCATAGAAGCGGGGATTAGGCTAGTATCACATTTAAAGTCTATCCTGTTCCTGTTCCTGACAGAGGTGCAACAGCAACGAAGACATCCAGGATGTTGACATTCCTTTCCTTGCCACAGCGTTGCCCTCAACTAGCGTTGATTGGAACTTCACGACGACTGATCAAGGTCAGGTTTCAGTCAGACAGCATGTAGGATGATGTTCACTGGAAGCCCCTACAGCCGGCCTTAACAATCGTTCGATAGAACTGGCAAGGGGTTTCGTGCTTGGGGGAAGCAGCAGTATCAGTGCGTAGGAATCTGACTACACACTAGACATCCATTGATTTCATCATACTGTCCTAGACTACATGACATGGAATCGTTGCTCAAACGACTACTGGGACTCATTGGCAACTGTGTCCCAAGACCCTATGTGGTCTTGGCCTGCAGTTGAGTACTACTATCTGAGGGTCAGCTCATCACTTCGGTATCTAGCTTATCAGTATTTGACCATGTCGGAATGCGCAGACTTCTACGCTAGTCCCTCCCTCCGACTGGTCACAATACCACAGGACAAGTGGTCCCTAAGCTCACGGGCAGGATGGCCCTGTGCAAGTTAGCCTTCCTGGTTATGCGACGGAACTCGATCAGCGCGTTGTAGATTCTGCCTTCATTCTCGGTGGCCGATTTGCCTACAATGAGGATTTCAATACCGGAAAGTCGGTGGGTCTTGGTAAGTCACATGTATCGAGTATCGCAAGTCTTTAACTTGGTATTTCAAGGCTATGTACAGAACGCTATAGGAAACGGGACTCGGAGCAGTGCTGCAACCGCGTACCTTCTACCCATTATCGACCGTTGTAATGTCGATGTCATTATCTCGACGCGCGTTACCAAAATTTCGGGATCCCTCACGGCTTCCGAGATCGACACAGTCGAGATTGCTCAGAGCGCTAATGGTATATCCTACTCGCACCCTTGATTCACGGATTTGACTTATTAGATCGCAAGGCACCCGCACGAAAATCAAAGCGAAAAAAGAGGTGCTACTTAGCGCAGGTGTGATGGGTATGTTCACATCCCGGCTCTAAACCATGTCAATAGATCCTTGATCAATTCATTCTTCAGGAACGCCTCACCTTCTCTCGCTTTCCGGAATCGGGCCCAGAGATATTCTGTCAGAGCTAGGTATTGACGTTATTGTCGATGCGCCGGCCGTTGGCGCCAACCTTGTTGATCACCCACTGGTCGCGAATTACTTCACGGTTAATTCAAACAACACATGGGACCCTATCCTCCGGAATAAAACCCTATTTGGGGATATTCTCGAAGACTGGGAGACAGAAAGGCAAGGTTTATTCGTTGACACACCTGGGAACACACAAGGGTACTTTAAGTTGCCAACTTATCCCGGGGGTGTGGATCCATCAACAGGGCCGCTGTCGGCAAATACGGAAGTCATATTTGCAGTAAGTTATATGAACGGCACAGAGGATTTTTAACTTTTTGCCTGACATGACCTGTCGAAGAATGGATTTGCGCCCTTTGGCCCAGCATCCTTCCCGGACAGCGGCTCTTACATGAGTGTCCTTGCAGCCGTTGTCTCGCCGACGTCACGTAGGTACCTGTTTTCTTATGCTTCCGACCACACTCACCTTTTCCCAGGAGGAACGGTTGTCATTAACTCCACTGACCCTTTTGCTGCACCAGTTATCGATCTCGGCATCCTGAGCACCGAGTTTGACATAGTGGCTATGATCCAGGTTATTAAGGACATCCAGGCCATCCTCGCCACCTCCCCTTGGGAAGGATACGTCACCGGTATCTATGGAGATCTCGCGAATGCCACTACGGACGATGAATTGACGGAGTTTATTCGCAACAACGCGGTGACTGTAAACCACGCAGTTGGGACAGCGAAAATAGGTGATGTAGTGGACTCGCATCTCAACGTAATTGGTGTGTCAGGACTGAGGGTTATTGATGCTTCTATTCTTGTACGTTCATTCGCCCCTTTCCTGATTTTCTGGCTGATAGCACATTTAGCATACAATTCCCGAATGCCACCCACAAGCCATCGTTTACACGGTCGCTGAACGTACGGCAGCGCTAATCAAACATCAGTACGGTATTTGAAGTGAGGGGCTGTTGGTGATTTATACAACGGAGCCAATTTAATGACGGTACTATACATGTAATCGATACTTACGGATAGCAATGATCTCGGCATAATGGATCCATACACAAAGCTGGTACGTTGTATGATCGATTGATATATGTATCGCAGTACGTGGGCAAAGGTAGCTATTAAGGAGTTGAGTGCAGATGTAATTTGGAGTGGTTTCGGAAGATAACAAGTTAGGATGTGTCGACCACGAAAAAATATTTTTCCGTCTATATAGCAGGTCGGCTTAACACGATTGAGAGACGATTGTTTCCGCTTGACTAGAGCGGATTATTACATTGCAGTCAAAAGGAACTGGGTGGCTGGTGATTGCAATCAGCCAAAGACTTGACTAATTTGAATGAAACCTACTGGGCGAGGCCCTCACAAAACTCAGGAGTGGGCACTATATACTGTCCGTTTTTATCTGGCAGTACCTCCACAGTGAACATGGAGAGAATAGACGCCAAGGCAAACCAAAGAGTGGCATCTGCTACTAAACGTCCGGGGCATATCCTGACAAGACGTCTCAGTCTGTGGTTTACCAACAAGAAATTAACTTGCCTACGGCCATAGCCAAATGCTGCACCAAAGTGTGGTTCGCCGCGTCCGTCTGGTTTAGGCAGAAACCGTTCAGGATAAAACCGCGAAGGGTCATGGTATACACTCTCGTCGAGACTTATTGCTCTTGATACAGACAGGTTTGGAAATTGGGCTCCTATTAGCGGCATATAGAGCATGAGGCGCACCTAGCATTAGCAAATACTACTGATCCTTTTGGGATGAACATTCCTCGGTATATATCGTCGTTCATAGACAAGTGAGGAAGTCCTATTCGATGCGTGAGAAATCAGATACGGCAGCAACCAGATAGCAGATGCGCAAACCTAGAGGTATGACTGGAAACCACCTGTACAAATACACAACTAAGTTTGGATGATACAAAACGCAGTGGTGCTGACCGTTTGATTTCTTGGTATAAGGCTTCTACGTATGGAAGATGTGGTCGATCATCGAGATTGGGCAAGCGACCCCCACCTAAGATGCCGTCAATCTCCACCTGGGCCTTCCTCTGACATTCGGGATGACGCATCATGAGAAGTAGAAATATCGAAAGAGTAGCTTCCATCTTTTAAGCATAGACGTGGTCAGCGTGGTCATTTTGTGATGCGCCAGCTTACAGAATCTACTCCTGCGCCGAAGATGACGGCGGCAACACCCTTGATATCCGATATCCGCGCTTCAGTCTTACTGCCGGTCTCTAGCATCTTCTGGATTTCCTGACCCAGAATCGAAGGGTTACTATGCCCTTGTTCCTGGTTGGATATTAAATTCAGCACTTGACATCCCTTGTCAAGGAAAACACATACAATATCTTGAATAAGAGTATTGTAAGGAAGGTCATGTATTGTCTGGGGAACGCGGCTCCAAGTGCGGGCCCACTCTGCGAAGTATGTGCCAGGAAACCAAGAGGGAAAGTGTTGCACTAATGAATAAGCATCAATAATCCATACTGTTGTCAATACAGAAGAGCTCGCATACGGAACGGAAGAAAGTCGACCGGAGTATTTCCTGGGGGTCCCGAATTATCGACCGAGATCGTATGCTCCCTGGCAAGAGTGAGGTATATGTCGTCATCCGAGGTGATTGTATGACCGAACGCAATTTCGACAATGATAGAGGTCACAAAACTAGAAAGTCTTGTATTCAAATTATCCATAGCTTCATACACATGACCAAATTACCGGTGAAAGGCTTCTTCATAACCAGCGGGTTTTGCGAGCAGACCTTTCAGGAGGATCTGGACAGCCTGGATCTGGATGGGCTGGTACGATTTAATTTCCTCGCGTCCCAACGGCTGCGAAATCATCTTTCGATGCTGAAGAAAGCGTTTCCTATAGGGCAAGAAAGCTAAGGTCTGCCCCCAACCCATGCTATGAAGACGTTGAACAATGAATCAAAGTACACAGATTCATAACACAGACATATCCATGATGATGAATTTTGGTCTAGAGCTGTAGTTTAGACCTCTCTTCTCGAGTAAATCAGTAGCAGCTTCGTTGCTACTGAGTATGATGATGGAACGTCCAAGTACACGAAGTTGCATGACATCGCCTGGGAAGATCTTCAATATCTAAGATGTGAACGAAGAAAGAACCTCACCATGAACCTTAGACCACTCATGGAATGCGTTCTGCTGCCGCTGCGACGGTATTATCCTGAGATGTCCTATAATCGGGTCGGAAGGGGGGCCGGGAGGTAAAGGGGGGTTTGTCGCAGACGCTTTGCGTGCCCAAGCCCTTAGAACTATCAAGGAGAATACCACCATAGTACCATACCCAAACGCTATAAGGGACTGCATGGTAGTGAGACGAAGGCCAATGCCGCATTTGTATTCCACTTTCCCAGCAGTATCTATATGTATTCTAGAAAACACTGCGGCTGCTCACGAGTTGATTCAAGTTCCCATCAAACGCCACAAATGATAACACAGACCTTCAGAGGCAACATTATGAAACCGCTCATGTAACGTAGCTGTAAGCCTGTAGTTACCTAGCCCTTGTATAAGTTCAATGACACTCTGTCATGACATAGTGGTCGATGGTGGTGAAAGGAAAGAGATTGTCCGGTGATGCGGGCCGGCCACCATCAGAAGCTCTTCATCCCCGCTTTTTGACAGCGTAACGCGCATACTAGACTGCGGCAATAAAGTCAATGATTCGCTATGTTTAATGTAATGATGCTGTATAATTAAAGATCACAATTTTTTGTAAGAATACGCGCAACGCTAACTAGGAGTAAGTACGGTGCTCGACAACAGGTATACAAAAGAGCTCACCTCAGCCTTCTCTGTCCGTAAGAGAGCAAAAGCTGAGGCGCTAACTACTGGGTACGCAGTATAAATACTACTCTAAAGTCCGAGGAAGCGAGGAATGTAAGTAAAGAGTAAGAACGGGAATTAAAACAGAGAGTCGCAGTGTCCAAGAAGAGGATCGTCGCAACGATGAGCAAGAAGTCGGGATGACAGCGTGCGAGGCGCTCCCGAGGGCTTGGAACTCAACATTTTCTGTACGACTCTCGTGGTTGCGAAGTCTTCAAGAAAAATTTGATTTGCACCAAGAATAAGTGTAGATCCGTCTTACATTTGCTTCGGTATGTATAGTCCCTTTCAATATTTTATAACGTCAAGGTCATTGACGGAATGAATGTGGCGCTATATCGCAGCGATACACATCTTTGGTATTCATTCGCGTAAACATCCTGATCAGACACCTGTTGACGTCTTCGGCGTCTTTTTTCTCTACGATAAGGACGACGATGTTAGGAGAGTAATTTATTGAAGCAGAAAAACATTATATTTTTTGAAGGTTGTCCCATAACCCATCACGATGAAGCCTCACAAGAGACTCGCTTCAGATAGGATTATGTCTGCAGCCTAATAGAGAAACTGTCAACAGGTGATGATGGGAGGCGATACACGCTACATACCTTCTCTCCAATTGCGTAAGCGACGCTTTGTATGTTGCAAGACAATTCCTATAGCGGTAAGTACATAAGTATGCAAGAGGATAAGAAACCAGGGACATACCAGAGGAATGATGGAGCAATCAACCTTAAATTAGTTTTTTCAGTTTGATCGGTGCATCGATAACATTAAAGAGAGACCGGATTCTTACCACTCTTAGGTTTTCCGAGCCATACACACGAAGCCGGCTGTCCACAACGCCTCCTAGCTCCTTAGGCAGCATTGACGCCGTGCCCACAGGGTGATGCACTGTAGCCAGAGTATCAGCGACAAATCTGTTAACCTCGTCTGCAGGAGTGTTTTCATCGAAGGGCGGGACGGTGACAGACTGAATGGACTCGGCGACAGGACCGGTTTTGTAAAGACGTCGCATGAATGAGATCATGCTGGCGAGGACACCAGCATCGGCGGGATTAGCGAGGTACCTCGGGTCGAGGTCAGGGTGGGCTTTGGGGTTGGTGGTGGTGATATGCACTCGACCACGGGTAAATGGATGCATGTAAGACACGAGAAGCGTTGTGTACCGTTTCATGGGATCTGGTGTCACGCCTGCCACAGGGTAATGTCCATTAACAGTAAGAATTCTGCGGGCACAGGTTAACGAAGCAGAAAGAAATCAAGGATATACTGACTGAGAAAACACCTGATTCGGATCCTTTAACCACCCGCGAAGGATCTCATACTGTTTCTCCATTCCAAGACGAACCGACGGATGTAAAGCGTCGAGTTCTGGGATAGCAGAGACGCTTGCACATTTCTCCCAGTCGGCTAGGTTGGCTTCTGATCCAAAAGCCGCGGCAGGCATGAACGCAAAACATGACGAGACACCGGCCAACAGACCCTTACGCTCGGCGCTGAACGTACACCAGGATGTGAGCACTTCGTTCTCGTCAAGCAAGCGTGACTTGAACTTACTAGAGTTTCTGTTGATCGGCCAGCTGCTCCGGATCGCCGAAAATTTCAAAAGTCTTGAATGATTGGTCGACTTCGACGACTGTTGGAGCCAACGCGTGATCCTCTTGGGAAAGGGGGTCAGCATCTCTTGGTCGGTCTTACTAAATGACACAACGCACGGAGATTTTCACCGACACCAGGCAGATCGATGATGGTGTCAATACCAAGCGGAGCAAGAATCTTTGAGTTCCCAACACCAGAGAGCTCAAGAAGTTGCGGTGTATGCAAGGACCCTTAGACACACCGCTTAGTTCTCAGCAAGAGTGGAGATTGAAGGCTTCAAATCGTACCTGCTGACAATAATACTTCTTTCTTCACATTAACTGTAGACTTAACACCGTCCTTCTCGATGTCCACGCTTGTTGCCTTCTGCAGACCTTCTGCACCAGCCGTGAAGTTGATCTACGCCACATCTTTTGTTTGAGATTCGAGTCAAAAGGGATTAAAGCTACCTTTGTAGTCAATGTCCCTGTTAAGACCAAGAGATTGGGTAGGTGCTCATTAGGGGCATAATATCCTGACGCCGCATAAGAACGGGTGGCCGTTTTTGAATCCACGGACGTCGGCGCCAGGAACGCTCCTACTGGACGACCACCACTCTGACGAATACTTCATCAGTGGCGATAATGAAACGCATTTTTTAAAAATCACATTATCTGGGTTACGGGGAACACCTAGGCATTCCAACGAATCTAGAAGGGGCGCATGGATTTCGGAAATCTGAGGAGGATACGACTTTGCAATAGGACCTAGTTCGGGTGTTATTGATGAGCGGGAAAAATCAGAGGTGATGAAGTGAAGTGCCTTCGTATCCATGGTTCTTCGGGTCCGGGGATGCTGCGACGCGCTGTCCGTCGACAGATTCATCCGGTGTTTGAACGCGCTCGCTCTATACGCTAATGAAAAAAATGATCGCTCTGATAAAGAGGTACCTGCCTTCTTCATGTACGAGGATAGCGAATCCCAGTTCCATCCTTCATTACCGAGCTCCTCGATCGCGTCGAGTTCCTCTTTTGAAGGTCGGACAAATCCCAAGAAGTTGAGCTGCAAAAGGTATTAGCATATGGATTACTCGCCTAATATTCTAACAAGCGAGCAGACCATTGAGGAACCTCCTAGACCCTTTCCATGAGACTGTAGAATTTGACGATTACCCGCATGTTTTTGTGGGACCTGGATAAAAAGCCTGTTAACAAGATGGCCTGATCGAATTGAAACTAAGATTACGCACTGTGTAATACGTCCAATCATACTGGGGATTGTGAATGGCCCGACTCATCATTCCTAGACACGATTTACAACTAAAATAGATCCTTCCAACTTACACATACCTGGTACATCAACCAAAGGATCATTTTGATGATAATCACCAGCTTCAATAACAGCTACAACGGTGTTCGGACGATTCTGTGCTAGTCTTGGTGCAAGATCCGATTGAGCAGCTTGAAGGGGATGAAACGCGATCAACCTCACCGTGTTGCAGTCGCCAAACCGCAAGTTCCTCCCCCAACGACTAAGATGTCGACATCAGCACCAAGAAGATCCTGTAGGGAGACTATGGGCATATCGAGAGGACGGGAGAACAGTGAGAGATGGAGAAAGAGGCTTCAAGCATGGTGATTTATGAACCATGCTTACCACGATGACGTTAGGACGAGAACTCGAAAGACTGATGACCCTTGGATCAACGATATACATATGGAGAAGGCTAAGAGCCAGTCTCGTTGCCGAAACGACGCGTAAGCATCTTCATTTAAGCGCCTGACAGCCGGGTCAGCTGCGAACAGTTGAGGTTTGTCAGAAAGCTGTCGGATTCATGTCTGTGAAGGTTTAATGGCGATCAACGCCAGCTTGCGTAGGGGATAAAAGCCCGGACAGATGTTCGTACAATACAGCTCGACCTTCATCATTCACAATGAAGGCTTCCGAGCACAGAACAAGAAGTATTCCTTTTGGGCGCTGCCAGTCTTCTCCATCTCGTCTTCGACTCCATTCACCAACGCATCAAATTCTGCTTCAGAACTCACAAAGCCGAAGCCGCCGACATTCAAGATCGGGGTCTTCATACCCCGAAAGACGCTACACATATTTCTGGAAATAGAACAAAAGGGATTCTCGTAAGTGACGTAATGTATGAGATAAGGTCTGATACGCACTTTCGATCATCGCTGCCCTCCGCGCCGCAAAGTGATAATTGAATCACTTCGACACGGACATCAACAAAGCCTGCATTCCTAAGCATCAAGGGCATGGCTTTGTAACAGTCCATAAATAAACCCTTGGAATCAAGCAAGGTCCTCATCAGTGATTGAAACCGAGCGGTGAACGGACCAGCACGCCAGGAGCCGGCCTCGCAAAGTTGAACCCAACCGCCAGGAGAGATAACCCTGTACATCTCGCTGATTGCAATCGGCCATTCCACTTTGCGCAACGCCGCCAATAATAGCCTTTGGTGAACCAAGGTGAAGGTATTGCTCCAAGACGACGGAAGTCGGGTGATATTTTCAACTGAGAACTTGATATTGTTGGGATATGTGGTGGGAAAAAGTCGTGTTATAATATCCACACCATGGAGACGAACGGTAGGAGGTAACTGGGGTGCAAGCTCCAAAAGCCAGATGCCTGAAATAAATCAGTCGGAATGAATCAGGGCGTGCGAGCGGTGCCACCGGCTAGATTACCTGTACCAGTGCCCGAATCTAGGACTTGATCATTGCCTAAGAGACGGATACAGGGAAACAGAAGGGCCCCGCCAGATGTTCGCCGTATGACCTGGTGTTGTAAATTCAATCTGGAGTCATAGGGTTGGTAGGTGCATATGGATACCATATCGCGGTGTGGTTACATACCTTTGTCGCTCGAGTTCGTCAGAGGGAAGCACGTACTGCGAGCCTGGAATGGAGTGATGAGTCCTCTCTGTGTGCTGAATACGATTCATGACAGAATGGATGTGGGTTTAGTGGAATAGAGCCAAGAGACTGAAGATCCATTGTTATGAACCTCCTACAGCGCTTGGGACCCTGTGATCGGACAGCTAATCGTACGAAGACATCGGTCCTTCACAGTTACTCATCCTAGTCTCAGTCTGACGCGGAGCAAACGAAGTAGTCACAAGAGACGCCTCATGTCTTAAGCGAGAAACTTAAAAAACAGAGAAAAAGACGCGAATAGTTGAAAGCGGTAGGTACAATGCCTTGGCTCTTCTCAGAATCCAAGAATCGGGCATGATGACGACGGTTGCAAACGCAATGACGGTTGACCAGCCGACCATTGAGACTGCGCTTAGCGCGATGGAGAATTTGCCGGAGAAGCAGCCTGAGAGGGAAGTGACGTCCTGATAGCCAAAATTCAATACCCGACGAACACATTGCAAAGATACTTACATACCTGTGACCTATTCTGCTCGCCGCCCCCGGGAATACGTAGCGCCAGAACCAGAGATTAGTAGCTGTTGGTTTGATAATGCCGCCAAGGGTAACCAGACTCAGCGGAACTTATCGATACAATCACGATGCCCCACGAAAAACCCGATGGTCGCCTTCATCAACAGTGGCGGAATGCTACCCACGCTGAACAAAAGTAGCTTGGTGGGTGGGTCCACGGTCACGGTCTGCATATGGTAACCAAGAGAACAAGAAACGGCAGTTTCCGAATTCGAAGTTTGAATCAACGACATTCAACTCGGAATCTGGGGCACGAAAATATGGTAAGGTAAGAACATGTTACGTTGTGTTCTTCCTGTATAATTTTATCGTGAGATACAGTCAAAATGTCACAAGTCGCAAATTTAGGATTTACAACCAACTAGCTGCCACTGCTCCAAAGTTCAGCTTGTCGATCCGGGATTTTGTATTCGGATAAGCCTGTCTCGTTATCTATTCTTGTCCTGACGGAAATCTGTCATCATGAGGCATAGAAGTTGTGTTGTGGCGAGCGACTTGGGGATAAGATGGCCTCGATTTCGTCAAGACCCTTTAATAACCTGGAATTCTAACCGAAGTAGTCACCTACGTGTTCTTTCCCTTCCTTCATGCCATGTCGTCCGTCCCCATTGCTCAGTTGTAAGTGCAAATCATCCGCGTAGTACCATCTTGTACTGAGTGCGGTTTTTTTGCAGGACTGGTCCGTTGGTAGGACATTGGTTCTCATAGAAGGTTCGGGTTACTGATCGGAAAATTCTGTTCAGGTTATCGGACATTTTTTCAACTGGGGACTTTTCGGTGCCTTGACTCTCCAAGCATGTGGGTCCAACGTACTCTATACTCGCTAAACGTCTAAACGGACCGATTCAACAGACATATATTACATAGCTTTCCCCACCGACCGATTTTTCCCTACAAAAGCTTTGGCTCTGATTATATATTTATTTGAAATCGCGCAGACATGCATAGCAACTAGTGACGCTTTTAGGAATTTTGGTACTGGGTGAGTCTTCTGTCTTTCCGAGTGACGTCGTCCTCACGTTCTTCGCAGTTGGGGCGATCTAATACAGCTTGACGCGCTTGGCACTTATTGGATCAATGGTCCGTTAATGACTTCACTCGGTAAGCAAAGACTTTGATTTTCTGTCTTTAGTCCAGTAACTGAGATATACGGCTAGTCAGTGCTACGGGACAGTTTTTCTATGCCTGGCGAATCTGGATTTTGACTAGAGAAATTTGGGTTCCTTTGGTAATTGTGTTGGTGAGAAAGTCTTACTCTGTGTTAGATATTACCGTCTATTAATCGAGGCATTTTCTCTTAGCTTTCTTTGACTCAGGCTGTTGCCGGCATCTATGCAGGTGTTTGGGCAGACGAAATCGGGCACTTCTCAGAGATACAGACAAAGACATATGTGGTGACTTCGGTTCGTGGTCTTCTCTTTCTTCTTCTTCTCAGCGTGTTGACCACGGTTCTCAAAGATGTGGCTTGCGGGGACGGCTCTTTGCGACGTGATCATCTCCGTGACCATGACCTGGAGTTTGTTAAGAGCGCGCTCCGGGATCCGGTCAACAGACATTCTCGTCATCAAGATTGTTAGACTGACAGTGGAGACTGGCTCAACATGTGCAGCGTTTGCAATCATTGATCTTGTGTTTTATCGGGTGTATCAGCACAACAACTACCACCTAGTGCCTTCCATAGCACTTTCGAAGTTATACTCAAATAGCCTGTTCGCTGTCAGTGTTAAGATTGGTGATCCGGATGTTTGTTGTGCTCACTAATACCTGTCTGTAGGTCCTCAACTCAAGGGTGCGGATCGTCGGCGGCCGCACTGGAGACAGTACAGCCCCAGACCCAACACTAACAGTTAACGGAGCAGTACCACATCAAGTTATGTCAGTGAGACATCGTCAGCGCTCGAAAGTCAATTTTGCCATGGAGGAAGATGCACGTCCAAGTCGAGATACCTCGGACGATGTACTTGACGCTGATACCCATGTAAGTAATTAATTTCGAGTACTTGATGCCTTGCTGAAACACGTCGAATAGTCTCACCACGAGGCTCATGAGATGGATCAGGTAAAGGTATCTCCGTATACTGCTGTGTAGAACGACGTCTTAGTTTGTGTGTGCTGCGAGTAATCTACTGGCCGTACGATGTACGATGGTTGGGGTATTATACCTGTAGCTTATTCAACGGAGCTCCGTTCATACTAGTGTATATTGGCTGTACAAGTAGTGCAAGAACATTGTAGGGGAATAATACTGTTGGTGATTTGTTAAGTGCATCAACTTGGGAAGCAGGCGAACCTTAGTTTTTTCTGTGGCCAGTCAAAATGTAGGGAAGTCTCAGGGAACTTCAAGGAAGCGTTGCTCGAGGAAGGCTTTCGGTCCGGATTTCTCCGATGCCCGAGTCTCCCAAAAAAGGAGTTTCCAACACGTGATATCAATATGGGCCAATATCGAGAAATGGCCTGATTCTCAAGGCAGGCGACAAACTTTCTTTCCTACACCCATCTCGTTCCAACCATGCTGGATTTTTCAGCGCCATCGCCTTCAGAGTCGACGAGCTCCGGCTCTCACTCATCTACAGGCTTCGACTCGTCAGATCCCTTGGACCTCAACTTAATTTTACAGGACGATATGATCCAGGACAGCCCGACCGAAACCGACTGGTCTCAGCTGACTTCTATGTTCCAAGAACCGATGGGATATACGGATTTTGGTGGTATGGATTTTGGGACCTCGAATATGGTGGTTGAGCCCAGTCTATTGACCAAGACGAACCATTACGAATATGATTTTCCCTTCACATTCCAGTCACCCCCTGCTCTTTTGGCAGGTGACTACGGCTCTGTTCCCAGAAGAATGAGCGTATCGTCATTCAAGGAGTCTTCGCCGGATCCCGCTGCAGAATTGGCCCAACGAGTCCGTGAATCAGCCGGTGTTGTAATGGCCATGCCTACAAGTAAGTCCAGTTCATACCGGCTGGGCTCATCTATATGGTATGCTGTATCTAATACGGCTCGTTTCTAGTGGGTTCAGTGTCATCTGCGTCGCTGTCTTCGTCCTCTTCGGTATCATCAGCCGCATCGACTCCTCCTCCCAGCACCCCTCCCGCTTCCCAAGCTGCCTCATTCCATGCCACCGTCATCCCTTCCTCTGCTCCGGCACCCAGTACGATGCTCATGTCATCTCGGCCCAAAACGTCCCACACGACCATTGAGCGCCGATATCGCACGAACCTGAATGCCAGAATCCAGTCGTTGCGCATGGCAGTTCCCGCTCTTCGAGTGTTGGAATGGAACGATGGGCCCAAGAAGAGCAAAGGGACTAAGGCCAAGATCAGGAATGAAGAAGACTCGACAGATATCATTGACGAGCGAGGCTACGTTGATGGAGTCAAGGTGGCAAGGAAGTGCAGCAAAGCGAACGTCCTTGGGAAAGCTGTCGAGTATATTCGAGTGCTAAAGAAGCGGGAGATGCGGTTGAAGCGCGAGCAGGATGGACTGAAGGCTCTGGTTTCGGGGTTGGTTGGCGGATCTGCCCTCTTGCATACCTGGGAGAAAGAGTGGAGGGAGAAGTTTGGCGGTGAAGAGAAGGATGAGGTGGATGCCCTCGATATTGATGTCCCCGAGTCGGATGATGAAGACAACGACGAAGAAGAAGAGAGAAGAAGGAAGAAACCCAAGGTTGAGGTTCCGTCTCCACTACCCACCACCTCTATACCCGCTGGTCCGCCTGTTGTACCAGAGAAGAGGAAGCGTGGTCGACCTCGTAAGGTGATACCACCTGCGGCACCAGTTGAGAAAATTGGAGCCAAACTGGAAGCCCAATCTCAGGCACCACAATACCTCTTGGCAACATTCGCGCTGTTCTCCTTCTTCAATAACCCCTTCAGCTCGGCAGCACCTGCGTCAGAACATACTCACGAGGGAGTGATTCTCAATGCCAGACCTCCTTCTACTGTCAGCACGTACCAATCACTGATTCAGGCGTTCCATCTTCTCGTGTCGGTTCTAGTGTTCATCTCTATCCTATGGCCATGGGTGGGCAAGATCAAGAGCCGATTCAACTTTGATTTCGGAGCTTTCCATGCGGCTAAGAAGGAAGTTCATGGCCAGACTATGACGCGGACTGCCAGTCTTTTGGCCGCCCTTGAGCCGGCAAAGAGAGGCAAGCAAGGCGAGGCGAAGCGACTTACCAAAGCTCTTGGATGGGGTCGCAAAGACGAGTCGTTTGAGGAAAAAGGACTCGAGCAACGAGCGCGGGTCAGACTTGGAGAGATTTGTGTCTTCAACCCAGGTTTGTGATCTTCATTCTTGATATTGGTTCAACCTAATTATGATTCAATAGACCAAACATCATTGATTACTCGGCTGCTCACAATGTATCGACTTCGCACTCACTTGCCCTGGTTCAGCGCCAGCGCGGGCGACTTGAGCACTCTGGCAATGCTGTCGTGCCCTGCCGCCAAGAAGCACGCGGCTAAGATCTGGGAAGCTGCGAAACGCGATGGGGGTATCGCTTGTGCTTACGAGCGACTGGTGCTGGGGTCTGTTAATGTCAACGAGGCCGTGTCGAGGCTGAAAGCCGCCGGTACCAAGGCTGAATGGGACAGATACACTCCAATTGGCGTTGTCGCGTATACCCTTGTCTTGGAACGCATGAAGGCGCACCTAGAAGCCATGTTCGTCGAGTCTGTCGTCCCTGCTAGCATTGAAACTGCCAGTGTGAGTGACAAAGAGGACGATCTCCGTAGGATCACGGTTGATGCTGCTCGTTCTTTGGGAGGAAAGATGTCGGAGCTTGGAGACATCTTTGAGAAAGTGTGGCTGGGCGGTGGTGCTGGACTAGAAAGAGTTTGGATCGATGAGGAGGAGGAGGAGGAAGAAGATGAGGAAGAGAAAGATGGTGTAGAACGTGACATCAAGTCGCTGATCCGTGGGATTGTGCTCTATAGGAAGCTCTTCCCCTCGGCTGTGATGGGATGTGGGGGTGAGGGCGTGTCTATCCTGTTAAGCCCGCCACCGAGTCCGTCGTTGACCGACCATGAAGGCGCTGGGTACAAGTTGAGGACGATCATGGGGCGGAAGGTGTTTGATAATGAGGAAGTTGAAGAGGCGAGGGATAGGGTTGTCGATATGCTTGTCGCGTCGGAACGGCGTGGTCGGCCATGGGGACAGGTTTAATACTTCGGTTGGGATGTGGACCAAGAGTATTTGTATATCTATATTTTAATACTTATATCCTTCTCAGCTACTGTTGTACGGGACTCATGCTTGGATATTTAAATACAAACGATTTATCATGAGGCCGTTCGGTCACCAGAACGCAACAATACTCTCTGAAACTCAGCCCAAGGTACGTTATTGTAAAGTAAAACGTTGCTTCCGATGACGTTTAAAGACACTCTTTGACGCATTGCTATAGATATGTCTTCGCCATTCTTTGGTCAAGATAAATCGCTATAAATTCGCAGAAGACCGACTTTATCACTCCACCGCTCCTACGCAGATATCTCATTTTTCTACCCTTATTTTTGGACCTAAGCCATCGTCTACAACGATTTTTACAAAGGGAGAGAATCGGGAATCCGGCTGCTGCCGCTGCTGGATAGCTTCATAGCTGAGACCAAACTGAGACTGGCAGAGACTCCTTGCTCTGATACTCTCATTGTAACTTTCAAGGCCTAAATAGCTTGACACACTGGCTACAGACAATCTCATGTGGCACGAGAAGAACCTAGGGGACATCGACTCAGCCGAAATTCCTGATGAAACAGACCCTGATGAAAGTTGGCAGATGCTTAATGAGCCAAAACAAAAGGTATCAAGCAGCAATAATTCTTGGTCGGATGCTTGGGACTGACCACAAAGCCCAGGTCAGAGACGATTCTCGATTCTGGGCGGTCATCATCGGTATCGACGGAGATACACATTATCCTTTGTATGGTTGCATATCGGACGCAGAACTGATGGAAAAATATCTCATTGAGGACCTTGGTGTTCCCAGCGATCACATCCAGCGCCTTTTGGGTCCCCTAGGTGAGGAGACCACCAACAACTCCGAGTCTACTAGACCTACTCGCGCCAACATCATCAAGGCACTTTACAGCCTCATTGACAATCCTGACATACTGAACGGGGACAATATCATCGTCTATTTCGCGGGAAATGGCGCACGCTACGATGCCCAAGATTACTATCAAGATTATCGTGACAAGCTACCTCCAGGAGTCTCTATCGCATCAATCAGGCCTATCAATGCGATATGTCCCATAGACCGTGACGCTTTTGACGGCAAAGGGTCCCAAATTCTTGACATTAGTGACCGAGAAATCGACGCCATCTTCAGCGAAATCTCTCAGGTAAAGCACAAGATGATGATCACGCTCATCCTAGATTGCGGACACGCCTGTGCGAGAATCAGGTGCCGTCCTCCAGTTGGATCATTCCGCGCACAGCGCAATGCGCCTTCGCTCCTATATCATGCGGTTGAACCTATGCTCGAAGATGCGCATCAGCGTTTGGCAGCCTATCCTCAGTATCTTGCGCGGCGCTGTTCGGTAACTGCGCATGATTGGCAGCCGGATACGAGTTCTCATGTGGTTTTGGCTGCATGTCAGAAGAACGAGCTTGCGCGAGAAGCAGAAGACGACACAGGAACAGTTAATGGCGTCTTCACAAAGTCACTCGTGGATTCTTTGAGGTCAGGTCAATTGAAGGAAGAATCCAGTTATGTTGATCTCATCGCTGGACTGCCCGAGTTGCCTTACCAGACTCCCTTTGTCGCTGGAGATTACAAGGATGAGCCTGTCTGGTACCAAGAACCAGTGTCGACTGTCTTTCCTTCTCATTTTTAGGTCACAGTCATCTTCATTGTGTACTCGTACGTTTCCTACCCTTTCCGATTTTTCCTTCCAGTTGTATTATATTCTTGCCTGGGTTCTCTTCATAACTTTTAGAGAATCGCGGGAATTCAGTTGACTTATTTCATCCGAGGTTAGTATACCCATCTGGTGCCCATCATCGGCGCTCTGTATGAGTCAAAGTACTGCAAAATCTGAGCAACATTCATTGGTTTGAAAATGATTCATGAGGACGACAAGCTGATAACACAGGATACGTACATATATGTCCCATATCACGAACTTGCCAAAACTTGCACCGGGTCAACACCAGTCTCTTCCTTAATCTTATCCGCCAACCACCCAACCCCACGCTGAGCCTTCATAAATCCCATCCCCTTAAAACTCACCCCCGCCACATCCGACCTCGCCATCGCCCCAGGCCGATTCAAGCCCCGTCTGTGCTCCACCGCGGTCTTGTACAGCCCCTCAAACGTCGTAAACCCACCCTTATAGCCCAACCCACCCTTCTCTGGCGGTAGCCTCGCCCGGGAATCATCAAATATCAAATGCACCATTGTCAAATTGTACAGCGAAGGCTGGAGGTTCACAAGATCGCCCCCACCGATATTGGGTATGAAACTAGCGAGGAAAGGGTATCCGCGAGCACTCAGCAGATGCCGCGTGAGGTAGAGAAACTCGAAAACGTAGGCGAGGAGGAGCATGAAGGTGGGCGAGAGGTGGGGAAAGGTGACTTCTCCATCGAGGACTTCGAGTTCGGTGTAGACGTCGCCATACGTTGGAGGTAAGCCAGGATCAGCGATGCAGAAGGCCTGCCCGCCGAGTTTGGATGATTCGATGAGGTGTTGTTCGTACAGGAGATGCGCAAGGGCGCAGTTTTCGACGTATGAGAATGACGAGACGATGTTCTGTATCCATGTAGGGTTGCTCTTCCGAACAAGATATGCCCCGCAAAGCATGTCACCACCAGCACCAAAGATGCCGTTCCCTGGCCTCAAGCACCCCGTTCGAAGCCCATCTGCGTTGTTGGCTCCACGCACCAGTATTTCCGCTTGTCTCTTCGTATATCCATAATTCGAGAAAAAGTCTTCATGTTTTTTGGGAATAAGCTCATCGTCGTCATTAATGACTTGGACGAAATGCTTCGGCTCCTCCTGCCACGGCCAGAGCAGGAAACACGAGCTGCGCACCGAAACAGAGCCAGAGGAAGTATGCACGAGAATCGACGCGCCGATTTTCCGGCACGCGTCGAGAATATTCTTCGCTCCTTGGATGTTGACTTTTGCGGATAATGGGAGGAGAGAAGCGTGTCGTTCGTAGAACCGGATGTTTGCGGCCGTGTTGAATACCGATATCGGGGACTTGTCGTCGTCGGGCCAAGGCTCGCTGAAAGCCGCGTCAACGGCCGTTTTGTCGCTGATATCTACTTGAATGAACAGCACGTCCTTTGCCTTCCCTTCAAGGAGGTCCAGCCGTTTTGGAGGACGAATGTCGAGGATTCTGATACGCTTGGGGTCTTCCCCGCGTTTAAGCAATTGCAGGACGATCCACCCGCCAAGGAACCCCGCCTACAGTCATTTGTGAATTCCAAGGAAAAGAAAGAAAACAGACAACGTACCCCACCAACGACTATATACCTCCTTCCAGTCTTTGGCGGCAGTTGGTCATCTATCGACGGAGCTGCTCGCTTGCACTCTGATGCCATCCTCTCTACATCCTTGGCCGACCAGCGGTTTGGAGATAACTTTGCTGCGCGCGCCGGGATGGCCTTGAGCTTCCTGTCGTTGTCGCGGATGTAGGCCAAGAGTGAAAGGAAAGCAAGGAAACCTAGCGTCGCCCATTGAATGGGGGACATCGACAGGACTGAATTGTCGTTTCAGCGATGTCGATGATGGTATGAGTAAGAGTCGTGAAACTTGAAGGTGTTGAGGTGCATGGCGGCTGGGTGGTGCTGCCGGCACGGCCCGTATAGCCGTAGGTAATTTGATTTGGAAATTTGGTCGGAATTCGCGATCTTGTTTTCTCCACCACATCGTCGCAGACTCTTTGCAGCGTTAAGTACCACTACAACTTTCTGGCTAAGCATGCGAAGCAGGGAATATAAATATTGGTGAAGTTTACACGTGCATACAGAAGCATGCCTTCACTTTCGTAATGATTTCCCCCTTTTCCTTGCTTCTCATACGCTGATGTGTACACTGTACGTGATTTATCCATTCCTGTTATTACTTTGTGCGAGCTAACAGGAAGTAGGATTATGAATTCCTGCCATGGAGAGTCTCACACTACCCACCAAGATAGTTGACGATATCATATCCAGAGTCTGATTATCGACCTCAATAATGAAGAAATCAGGCCTCTAGCCTTACTCTATTATTACACTTTTGGATTTTTGAAATATACAACAAATGGCAGGAACAATTCATGCGCCACTCCTCCCAGCAGCTTTTACAACACCTCCCGCCAATATTGGTAGCGCCTTAGCAGGATTCTCAATCGTCGGAGCAGGCAAAAAGCCCGCTCTAACCAACCATGCCAGGTACCTCCCCATCAACTCCTCATTCACTGTCATATTCACCCTCTCCGTATAACGCCCCAACACACTCCTCGCATTCGCATCATCCAAATCCGGCGCCTTCGTACTCGTAGGCAAGTCATCCAACACGAAGTGCAGGAGAGGGTACAACGCGTTATCCTGCACCTCCATGACGTGCTGCTCGAGCTTCCGCCGCCAGACGAGGTACTCGACCTGTTCGGTGGGGAAGCCGTACTGGGTGAGGGAGGAGAGCATGCCGTTGAATGTGGGGAGCGGGCGGGCGGTGATGTGTAGGACTGAGAGGGGGGCGGAGGGGAGAGGTGAGACGGTCGCTAGGGAGGTGCATAGTGCGACGTGGTCTACCGGGACCATGTTGACGGTGTTGTTCATGTCGGGGACGAGTCCGAGTTGGATGCAGCCTTTCACCATACGCCAGATGAAGTCGTCGGTGTTGGTAACTGGGCAAAAGAAGATGAGTCTTTGGCTGAATGATGGGGGAAGGGACGTACCGGCACTCTGAGAATCACCAACTACATATCCAGGTCGGACGATGTGTCCCCTCAGACCTCTTCGCCCAGCTTCAAAAAGAAGCTTCTCGGATACCCACTTGCTCTGTCCATACCCAGTTTTCAGGGACGCTCGAGCACCTTCTAGGTCATCACTCTCGGGTACACCTTGATGATCTGAATCAGTCAGTGACTCCGAAAGGCGGACATAGTGCTCAGTATCGATAGCCGACGTGGAGGACACGAAGACGACGAGCTTCTGCTTCCCCGTCGACGCAAGCTCGATAGCGGTCAACGTGGAAATAACGTTAGCCGCCCGGAGTTTCTCGTATGGGTAAACCCAATGCACCTATCCCAGTAGTCAATATCATGAAAAATAAAAATAAAAGAGGATATACGAACCAAAGCGCCGTTATGCAGGATAGCATCAGCTTCTTCTGCCACCCTACCCCACTCCTCTCCCAAACCAAAGTTGCCCAAGCTTAGATCACCAGTCAACACCTCCAGCCGCCCAGAATTCACCCACTCGTCATCCCACACCCCTCGATCCGTTGACCCTTCCTTCAACCTCGCCAGGGCTTTTTCGCCATCGCCCGCCCGGACAAGGCAAATGACTTTTTTCACCCTCTCACGCCGTAAAAGCAAATCGCGCAATACGAACGCGCCCAAGAAACCAGTTGCACCGGTGAGGAAGACTGTGATAGGCTTCGTGGCGAAGTCTGAAGGAAGCGGCGCGTAGGTCTCCCGCAGCTTTGGTAACAGCTGGTCGTAATCCGTGCCATACTCGATAGTCGCAACGGGTTTCTTCTGAAGGAAATCGTTCTGGGGCAGGGGGGTAGCCGGTTCCTTGTACGTGAGTCCCAAATCCGCATTCCGCAGTGCCTCAACGGCTTTGACGAGTCCAGAGATAGTGGGCTCGTCGAAGATCAGTCCTAGAGGCGCGTCGACTACGAAGGTTTTGCGGATCTCGAAGATGAGACGCGTAGCGAGGATGGAGTGCCCGCCGAGATCGAAGAAGCTTTCTTCTAATGGTAGTGGGTGGGGTGCGTTTGGGAGTATTTTAGACCAGAGCTCGCGCATTTTCTCTTCTGTTGATGTCGCTTTGCCGGTGGCGGGTGCGGCGGTTGCGGACTGGGCGGTATCGGGGAAGGGGAGGGCGGGTTTGTCGATCTTGCCGTTAGGGTTGAGGGGCATGCGTTTTAATGGGACGAAGACTGGCGTGCGTGTCAGTGTCGTTGTGGTATGCAGAGATAAGCGACCTACGAGTGGGGATGCTGTAGCTAGGCAGCTTCTTTTTGAGGTGCTCTCGGATATCTTTGATTAGCCGCCTGTACTTCCTGATGCCATGGACCAGTCCTTTGGGGCCTTCATCGTCGGTGATGTCGCTCGCGAACTCATCGAGTTTATCACCACCCAAAGGAACAAAGTAGCTAACAAGAATCTTTTCCTCATCTTTATTACGCTTCACCAGCGTGACATTCTCTCGAATGAGATGATGTTGGCTAAGATGAGTGTCAATCTCTCCAAGTTCTATTCTGAACCCACGAATCTTGACTTGGTCGTCAGCGCGTCCTGTGCACTCTACTATGCCATCTGGCATGTATCGTCCAAGATCACCGGACCGATACATCCGATCCCGTATGCCCTTCCAGTGCCTAGCCTCGGGCCCTGGGAGTGCATTGTTCAGAGGTTGCTTGATTGTGTCTTTCCTTGGCGGGGCAGAAGCCGAGAACCAATTCGTGACGAACTTTTCCGCTGAAGAGTCGGCATCGAGGTAGCTTTCTGCCAAGCCGCCGGAGCGAACGTAGATTTCACCTACTTCACCGATGGCGCAAGGGATGTTCTTGTCATTCCTGTTCACAACCAGGAGCTGTACGTCGATCATCCCTTCGCCGGCAGGCATGATGTCCTTCTGAGTGGCAAGGAAGGTAGGGTCGACGGACACGGGTGGAATGGCAAAGTAGGAAACTGCTCGTTGTGTCTCGGTCGTTCCGTACATGTTGATGATGCGGACGTTAGCAGCTAGAGACTGGAGTCGGAGACAATCGCGCTTGGTGAGGACATCACCAACGAAGAAAGCGTTACGAAGCGACGGAATTTGACGCGTTGCTTGTGCTGAGAGCAGCTGACCCATAGCTGGCGTCAAATGAGTAATCGTCACCTCGCTTTCAGCCATCCATTCTGCCAATCGTCCAGGAGTTCCTATGTCATCGGCCGTGGGAACATGTAACTGGGCACCAAAGAAAAGAGGCGTAAACACTTTTCACGCCATCAGAACACATTATGCTGAGCAGCAAGAAGAGAACGTACTATCGCGTTGGATTGGATCATGGGCGATCCCGCTAAGCATCGTAAACTTGGAATTCTCGTTGAGACCAAACCGTTCACCCATCCAAGGAAAGAAGTGCGTCAGACTGAAATGACGTCCTCTCACGCCCTTAGGGATACCGGTACTTCCGCTAGTGAACGACAGTGTACCGATGCTATCCGGACCAAGGACCACATTTGGATCGGTTTCGGCCAAATTGGATAGGGAGTGCAAGATATCGACGTTGTCTTGTCCGACACCACCGAATATGGTACCATCTGGCTTGATCTCCAGTGCAGGTACCTCTACCCGAATTTTGAGGTCCGTAGAGATGAATTCGCGCACGGATGGAGCAATGACGCCTGCTCCTTTGAGGACGATTAGACCGCGTGGTTGGGTGACCCTGAGGTATATAATCTGACGCGACGCGGGATACGCGGGGTCTATGGTAAACGCGTTTAGAAGATATGAATAAAGCAAGGGGGAGATAGTAATGACCAATTACAGAGAACGTCGCTCCTGCTTTCAACACAGCCATTACGGCCACCACTAGATCCACACTGCGATGAGCATATACCATAACGACCTCTTCTCGCTGGATGCCCCCTTTGAGTAGGTGGTGTGCCAGAATGTTGGAAGCTCGCCTTATTGCACCATACGAGTAAGTAATCTTTTCCTGCGGATCCGAAAGGGAGAGCGCTGGTAGACTTTGGATGACACACGGCCGGTCCGGCCATTCACGGGCATTTCGGGAGAATACATCGGTGATAGCGCCCTTCCAGTCGCACCAATTGAGGTCAGCGGTCGGATCTGGAAGTTTTTCTCGTTGAGCAGGGGTCAGCAGTGGGATAGCGCCAATGGGTGCGACTGGATTAGACGATACCCGACGGAGGAAGCTCGATAATTGGTCGACTATGGTTGTGATACGAGCATGGGTGAAAAATAGGGAGTTGTAGAGTATACGGAGGGAAATGCGTGGGGCGATGGATGCACGGGAGGATGCTGGTGGTCGTGTCACGAAGATTGTGAGATCGGAAGTCAAGCTTGTAGATCGTATGAAATTCTCTACTGGCTGGTCCGTTTCATCGAAAAAACGAACTCGGAAGAGGGGGCCCTCTGTTAATGGGTCCCGATTCTTGTACAGGGCATTGGTGATGGCCTCAAAGGGAATAGCAATCGACTCTGCCTCCTGCTCGACCTGCTGCACCCTACGGACAATGGCCCAGAAGGGATCCAAGGGATCGACTGAGATACGGAGAACAAGAGGATCCTTGGCAGACGCAGAAGATGATCCAATGACAATATCTGTCTCTCCGGTGTAACGGTGCAAAAGGACGATAAATGTAGCCAATAGGAGATGGAACGCTGACGGTCGCTGGGTGTCCTGACTGTCCTCCTCATCTGGATCTCCATTCTCGTCATACAGCGCCAATTTCATAAGAGAAAGAGAGGCAGGTTCGGAGAGCTCTGCCAAGTGAGCGGCCTCGACGAGTTTGTTGGCTCCTACAGGTCGTGGGTAGTCGGTAGGCAACGAAATCGAAGGGATATTTTGCAGCCTCGCGATATTTTGAGCCAGGCGCTCCTCCATCGTCAATGGCGCCATGGTCCTAGGAAGAGAAATCTCAGACTCGAACAGTGGTAGAATGCAGAAAATGACTCACTGTTCAGAAGAAAGAAGTGTCGGATTTGCTCGGCCGAACCCACAGTCGCGTAATGTCACACATCACGAGAGATCGATGTCACGCTTTATACTTTTGACTCCTACACTCACCTAGGCGTACTGTACGCGACTTTGGCTGTCTGGGTCCCATATTCTGCGCAAGGATGATACGGTGTGCTTCTGAGGCTCTTTTTTCAACAATCAGGGCGATCTTTGGTCCAAATGCCACCGAAACGTACAACCTGTGGCGGCGTCGGACGTACTACTTACCTATACCAGAGCCCCTGCTTCTTTCCGGTAGGACTGGCGATAGTGTTGCATCCGCCGTCGCTGTGGCCTCGAATTCGCGGCGTAAAAGTGGGTATATGTGTCGGAAGACTCCCGATTATCCGACGTGGTACAACATCCACCGATGACGACTGCGATAGGTCAATGGACAGAGCATATTTACGTTATGCAGCGGCTCGAGTGATGTGGTCAGATTCCACCATTCCAAAGTGGGTATCTATGGACGTCCTCGAAGTTTCTGAGATCAGCTCGCGCCTCAAGATGGACATCTCTTACGATAGGCGCTGGGAAAGTCGGGTACTAGCTCACGGCCTTTGCAAATGGGCCCGTTCTACCATCTTTACTGAATGATATACCCCTCGCCAGGGCTCATCTCTTTTCCGGAAAGCGTCCACCAAGAAGCTAAATGTAGTGCGTTGCTTGGGAAATTTTTTTTCATAATTCGAAATGATTGTGTTGGAACAAGGACGTTTGTCTGCTTTTTTCAGATAACCCACCGATCCTTGAAGAACGCGTTGCTAAAGACATTATTACTCAGGTGAGGAGCATCCTCGTTCAGTTCATTTGCTTTCATCCTCGCTTACATAGGTCTATGATTTCAACCATACCTTGTTACTCGGATTCTTACGTCTTCAATCATGTGTGTGTACGGTAAGTTCGCCCGGTACAAACAAGCCTTTCATCTTTAGCCTGCTTAGCATGCTCCTTTTGCACTTCTATGAGCAGTCATCTCCAAAAGAACTGTACTCCGGCTGATAGGAATGCGAGGATCCACCTCATCTCGCAGCACCACAAGGAGACAACTGAAGATGATTGTCTCTGATCGTCGGCCGGAGCAAACGTTAATAACGTGCATAACCTGGATCCTGATCAAAGCAGGACATTACTTTCCCGGATGTACGGGAAAAATCCGCAGCCGGGTAACAATGGAAGATAACACGAGCGAGCCAGGGTGTGTCTGTCGCCTGTCGCCTGTCGCATGGTTGAACCCCATTTTTGCTCGTATTGCTTGGTTATGGCAATCTATTCCCACGATCATACGAGGTACGTGCGAGACTTATCTGCGTCATAACAATGTTTTTAGGTCAACCTTGACTCGTGTTTATAGTGATGCCGGTAAATGCACTTCAGACAAACAGGCAGGCAGGCACTAGGTTTGAGGTACACCTCTCGGAGTTGATTAAATAAGAAAAAACTCGACCTCCGCCTTCTGCGCAACATAATTCAAGGTGTCCAAGTTTTTCCTTTCTTCCGATGTGAGCTCATCATATGTCACAAGGAAGCCTTCAGTACGTACCAATAGCATTCCTGAACCTTTCCGGAGCCGGGAGATCGTTGAAGCCTTCCACAGACTCTTTCCACGTGGCGTTAATACCGTCGGCCCAGGTTCGATCGTATCTCGGTCCTCATCGGACGACCAATGCGTTTTGGAGTACTTCATAGGGCCGGTGGTATCTCTATGACTCCAGGCCCCCTTCAGCTACTCTGCCTCGGCCTCCTGACGAGACCTGACAATTTTTCCTCGCGATGACGCCTTCCCCCACCGTGACCCCCACTTCTCCAGACACTCGGAACGTATCCTTCACGGATGTGCGAGAGCGAGGCATTCCGGATAATGATGACCGCTCTGTCGTCTCGCAGACTATTGAAGACATCGTCGTAGATATCGAACATATGCCCGTTCATGACGATCCGCGAAAGTGGTCAAGGTTTCGCAAGGCAAGTACTTTTCTATGTTGTCGTCCGGCCACTGCTTATGACACTGCCATCCAGAACTTCATACTGGCTGTTATATGTTCGGGTACAATGATCGCCGGATTTAGTGCCAATATACAAAATCGTGAGCTCATTTGGATAATTGTTCTTTCCAATTTGCATTGACAGGATGTACAGCTGCGAACGAAGAGATGGAGAGGGACCTGCCCGCAACAAGTGGGGAAATAAGCTTGAGTGTATCGCTTTTCATCCTCATGCAAGGGGTTACTCCGCTCCTTTGGAGCTCTATCAGTGAAGTGAAGGGTCGCCGAGTAGGTTATGATTGTATTTCCATTTGTCTACTTATCCATTTGATGGCGTTAGTTTGTTTATCTCATATCACTTCTCATATTCACTGTCGGTTCGATTATCGTCGCCACGAGCAAGACCATTGGCTTGTGAGTCTTCTCTTATTTAATGCCCACTTCATTTATTCATTCGACGCTTTAGAGTGATAGGAATGCGCTGTGTGCAAGCACTGGGGTATGTTTCGCCATGCCCTTGCCTGTATTTTCTGCTCACTCAGTCTACTCAGGTCAAGCGCTGTAATGACCATTGGTACAGCTAGTCTCGCGGATATCTTTGAACCAGTGGAGAGGGGTGCGAAGGTAAGCGCGCTTTTAATATTATCGCGGTTGCATTATCCTTATTTCTTATTTGAGATGGGCATCTACTACATTTCCCCTTTACTTGGACCATCCCTAGGTCCCGTTTTTGGCGGAATCCTTACGACGGGATTCAATTGGCGTGCCCCATTTTGGTTCCTGGCCATCCTGGCAGGCACCGTTTTTCTGTGCTTCCTGTTCTTCTTTAATGACACTTTCCGGAAAGAACGGAGCTTTGCGTATCAGACGGTGCTGAAGCGTATGTTGAAAGAACGAGCGGAGAATCTGAGGAGGGAGGAAAAATTGCAGACGAAGCTGGCGGAACGAACTGACACGATGGAGACGGCAGAACATATTGCGATAGTTGATATAGAGAAGCAGGAGCCAACGTCGCAAGCCGATACATTGGCTCTTCCTACCATAACTCTGACCTTGAAGGATGTCGCTCCCATTGCAACATTATGGCTAGTCATCCGACGGTGGAATAACTTCATACTATTGCTGGCTTCTGGTAAAGTAACTGTCCTGCGGTAAAGAAACCGCCTCTGATGACTTTACGTTTAGGTATACTATTCTCATACTGCTTCACCGTGGTATACACGACGTCCCGCACCCTAGCGAATGCTTATGGATATGATGCGCTATACACAGGCCTCGTGCTGCTCTCTTTCGGACTGGGTTTGCCGATGTTTTCTTCTCATCCGCCGCGTATTTTTCAGAACTAATACGGATGTCGTACAAGGTTCTATGGTGGGGAGTATACTAGGAGGTCGCTACTCCGACCACGAGCTAGCAAGGCTTACAATAAAGAATGGTGGTAGAAGCTGCCCGGAGGTATGTTATTTCCCTGGTAGTCAAGTTTTGAATGCCCGTCATCTTCCTGTAGATGCGCCTCAAAAGCACGTTACATGGACTCTGGCTTTTCCCCATTTCTGTTGTAGGATTTGGATGGGTGTTGGAGCGGCATGTGCACATTTCGGGAGTGTGTGTAATGCTATTTCTATCTGGAGTATTTGCCATGTAAGTCCCAATTAAAAATGACGCCTCCTTCTAACAGTTCTACGGTAATCTAGCTCCATCTTTTCGAGCGAATTGGCGTACCTTGTAGATGCAAACGTAGGTCGTTCATCCAGTGCTGTCGCTTTTAACAGTCTTTTCCGTGGAATTGCCGCTTTTATTGCCGTGGAGGTTGCGGTTCCCATTCAGGTTGGTTATGCATTCTTTTTTTGCGTGTCATTCTCAGGATTTACACCACTTGTCCAAGGACGCGCTTGGCGACGGTGCGTTTATGTTTATTCCTGTCGATTGACCGTGTATTGTTTATTTATTGATGAAATGCAGGCTGGATGTACACCATATTTTCCATTGTACAGGTGATCAGTGGACTACTGGTGTTACTGGTAAGAGCAAAGGGGAAGAAGTGGAGAACTCGAGCAGAAGCTCGCGAGGCTCAGGAAGCCCGAGCAGCTGCGTAACGCTGACGCGTCATTTTAGAGAATCCTAATTCGCCAAGTAGTGTGAAGCGTATAATAATGGCCTAGTGGAAATGTATAGAGTTCTTTTTCTGCAAAGTCCGCTAAGAAATCCAAAGGATGTCCGTTGTCCAAGTACTCCGTCGCGTAATGTCACACATCACGGGAAGATCAGGTCACTATTTCGAGCCGGCCCCCACTTTTTCAAATGCCCCTTTATCAGTGACCACCACAACGCGTCAACTTCGTGTCCTTCAAAGACTTTGATCACATCCGCGGATACAAAACCAACCTTTAAAAAAGTTGCTATGATCATAACTTTCTTCTCTGACGCATTATTGTAAAAACCACCGGTGCCATTTGGCATTAATAATATCATCCCGGTGCGCTGCTCCGGCAAACTAGCTATAATGATTATGCTAGCAGAGAAGTGACGGTGAGAATTTAGTTAGCATCAGTTCTTCTCTCGCATCATGTTCCCATCCACCATGGAAGCAGTTTACTATCACGGAGTACGTATCGTTACTCGCCGCAGTCATGCCTGTGCTGAACAGAAACTCTAGGCCAACAACTTGGATATCATAACTACCCCGATTCCTCAGATTAAAGAAGACGAGGTCTTGATCAAGAGTTGTGTTTTTGTTTGCGGGACTTGACGAATGACTGATGTCGACCACAGTTGCATGCTGCGGAGTATGTGGTACTGATCATCATATCAGTCAAGGTAATGCCAACATGAAGTGTAACGCAGCAAACTGACTGCCGGATGAATAATAGGAGAGTTCATCACCAAGTTTCCAGTCAGTCCAGACCGCATAGCTGTCCTTTCTTGTGGCCGAGTGACTTTATTTAGCTCACGCCCGGTCACGAAATGGTCGGAAGGATTGCTAAGGTTGGCCAATCAGTGAAGGGCTTTGCGGAAGGAGATCGAGTCGTAGCTGATCCTGGAATCACTGTACGCATGTTTTCATGCTTCGACATGATGTTGACAGTTTCATTCTAGTGCGGCAACTGCTTCTACTGTCGCCGGGGTACATCCTTGTTGTGCGAAAACTTTGAATCTTTGGGATGCACCGTCGCAGGTGGCTTCGCAGAATACGCTGTTGCGTCCGTAATCCTGCCTGCTCTATCTACCTAGCGATGTTGATTATCTGTCCCTCAGTCATCAAAAGAAAGTCTACAAGATTTTTAACCTTACTGATGAGGAGGCTACTCTCATCGAGCCTGCATCTTGTGCCATTCATGGTGCTGATAAACTGAATCTTCCAGTTGGATCGGAAGTTCTGATTATCGGGTCAGGACCGACGGGTTGGTTTCAATATCGCATTGTTTTCCCTGGTATTAACAAGTATATTTATAGGCCTGATCCTCTCTCAATTACTCAAGATCGACGGCGCTTCCAAAGTCGTCCTCGTAGCCAATAAAGGCATCAAGACTCGCATCGCCAAAGAGCTCGGAGCAGCTGATGAGTATATCGAATTGGACCGCGAGAATCCCCAAGCGCAGTGGGACAAGATCAAAGTTGATTACCCTTACGGGTTTAATGCAGTAGTGGGTGGTTTGTAGATAAAATTTTGATTACTCCTCATTTGATGTGCCCAGATCGAAGCTACTGGATCAGAGAAGGTTGCCAATGATGCGATCAACTATGTTCGACGGGGCGGCACTCTAATGGTTTACGGAGTCTATGCTAATGCTGATCGCGTTCACTGGCCACCATCTAAAATCTTTAGAAATGAAATTCGCGTGAACTTGTTCTTTACTTCGGTGTTCTGTTGCAAGACTCACTCGTTCACTAGATTATCGGATCTTTCGCCCAAACGTATTGCTTTCCTCGCGCTGTGGCTTACTTGGATAGTGGGAAGATTAATGTGAAAGGGATGGTACGTCAAACCTATCGTGTTTTTGAGTGACGCTGACTGTGTGGCGCTAGGTGACGGATGCCTTCGAGATCAAAGATTTCCAGAAGGCGCTTGATAAGATGAATAGCAAGGAAGCTCTGAAAGTAATCATTAAGCCTGCTCAAAAATAGGATGTAGGTTAGTGGATATGTGTATCTACCATTCTCTTTGATTAATAGTGCTTGGCATCGCTGGTGTCGGTATATTGGAGTCGGGCGGTGATTACTCTTCTCAAGATCATAATTTTTTTGTGGTACTGCTAAGTTTAGGCAACCTGCCTTTCTGGAAGCGCGCACCATTCTTCGAGAAATGACTTATTCGAACTTCACCGTGTGGACCCGACAAACTGACATTGACATTGGTATCTGATAGGTGTATGAACGCCAACGGATATACAGATATAATGCTAGTGAAGGGGAAGGAACGATAGAAAGAGGATAATCGAAATGAATATGGCCTAAACAAACCAATAAATCTCGGTCCCAAGAACAGCAGGTATGCAAGAATCCTCACCCGAATCCAATGTACATTTCGCTATCATCTCTCCAGATCAACGCAGGACATCTACTCGCTATAAACCAAAGTCAGTTCAATGGACGCATCAGTACTGAGCATTAGTCTACTTACAGGAGGGAGAGGGTGATGTCGCCGTTGACCTTGGCCTGGATGGCGATCTCCACCTCGAGGTTGAGGTCAAGACGGAGCTTCAAAGCTTCCTTGGGAGCGACGGTGCCCTGGTTAGAGCGGGTAGCGACGGAGGTAGTAGTTTCTGGGGCAGACATCTTGTGGATGGAGGACTACTCTTGATGAGTTGATCCTTTTATATGCGCGCCGACCAAGGCATCAGGGTATAGGAGATGTTATTTTTGCGCCATGATGCTGTCCGTGAACCGGACGCCTCAACTTCTTTGGTCTCGAAGACAAAAAAAAAGAAAGGCATCGCACACGTAACAATTCCTATTTCAAAACTCAACAGTAAATCAGAATGCTCAAATGACGGGATTCTAGACCTCTGGAGATGAGCGCGTGGGCGAGGGAACGGACCAATTCAATTTCCTCGCCATGTTCTGGGACGCTGGGTTTCGGCAACAGTGGGTGTATGTGGGTCCCAGATTACAGTCCAGGCGAAGATGTAACTGTGAGATAAGCTATCGTCCATCACTAGACTTAACCAATATAGTATAAGATCAATCCCTCATGTAGCAAAATTACGCACGGTGGCCGAGAATACTTCTCGAATAACATCAGTTTTCTTCCTTTGGTTACCAAGAGAATTTCACAGAAGACGCCTTCTTGGCCCTAGCTCGTTACCACATAAAACAGATTCGTTGCACACAGAATATCGAGAAATGACTGGAAAGCACCTTCCGTACCACAATTTGGGGGATTATTTGCGTGTATCTCCCTGCCTTGAGGCATCGCTGGACTGTTTCTTCTCGTTGCCACATTCCTTTTCTCGTAATAAAACCCTGGTAGCCCGCCGCCACACCTTTTTTCGCCTTCGATTATCGAAATTCAGTGTTGGACGATGTAGACATCGTACCATGATGAAGACGCGTTCAAGGGACTAAGGTCTGGGCGTCACCAGGCGTGTGCATCAAGTGATCCGACCCCAGTTCACGAGACGAGATCCACGCTCGGATTTGGTAAACAAGCACTGCTTGCACCACAGAGCGTTGAATGCGTGTTATCTATTTTCCGGGTAGCGTGGATGTACCAACGCTGTCTAGTCTCTCAAGCAGTAGAAATTCTCGTTTGAGAAAACTATGTCCCATCCCCATCACGAAGACAGAAAATTTTCGGCATTGAAAGTTAGTGTCAGAATAACAGTCGGTGGTCCAGATGCAGCGAGCTCCACTTCTCAACCCGCATCTCCAAATTGTCCCCAATAAGAATTCGGATATCAGCCTCTATATCACGATCGTCAAAATCGCTCCCCTCCTCCTCATTGAACTGTACTTCGATCGTTTTCAGTCCTGCATCACGGCGGGAGCGGATCATATCAAGTAGGGGAAGCCTCTCTGTCTGCGAATGGCGGAAATACTGATTCTCAAAGCAGAGGATGAGACGGTGCAGATTGGATAGGATCGAGGAAGAAGTGAGGGCCCTAGCAATGTTGTACCATACCGACCCGAGTTCGAGTTTGAGGTGAGAAATCGTAGAACATGCTTCAGATGAGAACATATTGCTGATTGAGGTCGGTGGTTCCGACTCCAATACGTCCATGCATATACTGAAGCTCTCAAGACGACATCCCGATCGATGGAAGAAGAGGGTGACGTTGGACAATGATTTCGGTATATCTGCAGTAATGGTCAGGCTTTGGAGTATTGGTGCCGTTAAGAGCTTGAGGATATCTAAATCCTGTACATAGAGCTCGCGGAGCTCCGCCATAACCACCGGCGCCTCAAATGAGGCTGGCGACATCCAACTTGACTCGAGGTGACAGGTTCTAAGCTTGGGTAGCTGTGAAAGAAGCTGTAAGTCTTCCGGGCAGGTGATATGTCCGGAATAATGAGTTATCCCTGGCGGTAACTTCACTTGAGATATTCCTTGGCTTGGAAGGGTTGCTTGCCATAGCCGCGGGGCATTCAAGCATATGTTCGAGCAATAGTCGTCGTCATCCGTGATATCTATCTCAATCGTCTGCAGGACGGGAAGATGCGATATAGAATCCAAGCAGTGCGTATGACGCAAGGTAGTGCGAATGCGCACATTCTTCCACCGATGGCAGGATTGAACGAGTAAGGGGATGATTTCGCCGTCTAATATGAGACGGGTACTATCGTTAATGATCATCAGACTGAGAGGGTGTTCGCCTGTGCGCTCGAGATAGGTCTGCAATATCTCACAAGCATGCTTGGAGAAGGGGAATTTCACCAAGACATATCGAGCCCAGGACGCTGGCGATGAATGTAATACATCCCTCCAAAGCCCACAGACGCGGCTTAAAGCCCAAAGAGGTCCGGATAGGTCTAGGCTGTCACGAAGTTCGTCCTCGTCTGCACCCTGCCACCAAATGTCGCAAACGGAATGGAAGATTTCGACGAGAATATCTCGGGGAAGACGACGGATGGGGGTGTAGATCGACTCTCGATTTTCCAGGGCTTTCAGCACTGCATGGCGACGCAACTGGATCTCCTGAAGCTGTACATCGTACCAAGACCGCAACGGTTCTAGCTTTGCAATTTCTTCCCTCATCGAGGCATGCTCAGAGTCAAGCAATGTACGTGACCCACGTAGAACTTGCGAAATGAGGTTGTCGGAGCTCTGGATAGTTTGGAGAGTCTGTAGCTGTGGTTCTGGTGGAAGGAAATTGACGAATCCGCAATTACTGCAGGTGAGACACGACATCGAGTGGTGAATTCTGGAAGATGGCTTAGGTAATGTTGGAAGAAATGGACCTGTATGGTGACTTTCGCTACAGCTCGTAAGAAGTCAGCCTGGACAGCCGCGTTACGTAGCCCGTACCTGTAAACGGATTCAACGAAGGAAGGAAAGAAGAAGGAAGGAAGAAACTCAGAGGTAAGGAACGCACATGGCTGCTCTACACTTTGAGCATCGCCACAGCGTGCCACACTACGACTCTAAATTGTTTTAAATTTGTCTCCAAATTCTGATAACGGGTCGTTTCGATGAGCCCTATCTTCTCTTTATATACAGTAACGAGTTCTTCCGCCTGCGGGTATCTCATAAAGGTATTTTACTAGGTTATATTCTCTTCACTGGGTGCGACTTCCCGCCCTGATATCAACGACAATGTTGCACCGGATGGCCCACGGCTGCACTCTGTGCGACAAAACTGGTGCCTATTTCGTGGCAGCATAGGCGGATTAACGCTGATCAGTTGCTCAAGCAGTCGGAAAACCAAGCCTCGTCCAAATCAAGTTCCAGGAAGACAGAAAATTGTCGGCATTGACAGTTACTTATGGGTCCCAAAATGAGAGACAGTAGTCCAGATACAGCGGGCTCCACTTCCCGACCCGCATCTCCAAACTGTCCCCAATAAGAGCTCGGATGCCGGTTTCTATATCGCGATCCATACGAATGCCCCGCCCCTTATCATCAAACTGTACTTCGATTGTTTTCAGCAGTCCTGTTTTACGGCGAGAGTCATATCGAGTAGTGCAAGCCGCTTCGTCTACGTATGGCAGCTATGCCGATCCTCAAAGCAGAGAACCAGATGATGCAGATTGGGTAGGATCGAGGAAGGGGTGAGGGCCTTGGCAATGTTGTACCATTCCGAACCAAGTTCAAGTTTAAGGTGGGATATCGTGGAACATGCTCCAGATGAGAACATGCTGCTAATCAAAGCCAACGGTTCCGACTCCAATACGTCCATGCATATACTGAAGCCTTCGAGACGTCGTCCGCGCCTCACGTGCCTGATCTCCATGACGCCGGTCTTCAGCCAGCCTCGTTTCGCCTCTTCCAGCCTAGATCTGGGATAAACTGCGATGCTCTGCGTGCTGCGATGGACGCCGGATCACGTTAAGGCAATTCTTAAATCCCTTCGAGCATATGGTGAGCGCTAAGTAGCGGGAAAACGATTAATGTCCAATCAGCAATATGCAATCAGCGTTACCATCGGTATGTGCGACTGCCAAGTAGCTAATCGCCCTGTATCCGCCAGTATTTGTGGTCTCGAGACACGGTGATGAAGATCGGCCTTGCAGCGCCTCGAGGGTTTCGGTTATCTTTCGTAATTTCAATTGTTGAAGCATCCGCCGCTGAATTCAATGCAAACTCCATTATCTCCGAATTTGTAGAACATACGTCACTTTGGAATTCCAAAAACGATGGAAGATCACAGGTCCAACGGACCGAGAAGCTAACCTGGCGTTCTCCAGTTCAAAGGGTGGTGTGCTGTATCATGCGGTCAAAGATGGATGTCAGATTCTTGATAGTATCATGTGCAGAAAGGATGGACATGAAGTGCAGCTGATACACTGAATAGAAAGGATGAATAGAGTTAGCTTCATTTCCGAGACGATAGGCAAAGAGAAGTATAGATGCCACATTGGCTAATGCGTAGATAGATTCCGGGTCTATACACGCAATTCGGGCAGGTATCTTTAGAGAAATCAAGAGCTTGATACAGGAATTACAGCAGTAGCGACATCGCTGCCTTCACCTTCAGTAGGTGGCGGCGGAGGGGCTACGAATGATGCAACAGAGGCCCTTAGCATGCTATCAATGCCAAGAGTGGTTAGCAGCAGCATCTGAATAAACTCTAACGACTCACTTTGCCGCAGCATCCCCATCCACTGGCGGTGAGGCTCCAGTCCCGATAATAGTCTTGTGTCCAAAACTCGGTACTCCTTCGTCCGTGACAACGAAGAGGTAAGCCGGTCCGGGTGGATATAGTCTGGCTGTAGGCGGTCCCGTGACGGTTAGAACCTTACCGTCATCCGAGAGGGAGGAGTCAAGCTTGAGTAGACGTTGATCCATATGCACCCCGTGTGTGGCAAAACCCAGGTCCATCAAAGACACTTCGCGCCCATATAAGGTTAGAGAAGAGGAAGAAGGGATGGGAATCTGGAAGCGCACCGGAGACATTCGTTGCGGATGAAGGCAAATTAACGTTGAGAGTGAATTCTTCGCCATAGTTCACTGTAGCAGGCAGCCCGGTATAGGTTGGACGAGGTTCGGCCATGTAAGGAGGTGAATAGAACTCCATCCTATTACAAGAAGAATAATTAGCAATCGAACACATTAAGTCGATACGGCATAGATACCTGTATTCGGTGGGAAACTTAACAGTCGTTACATCGACGTTTGGGTTGGAACCCGCTGGCAGAATGCATATACATATGAGATTATGTAGAGACTGGAGGCCCAGATATTTTTACCAAGCATGATCGTTCCATTGGGTGTCAAAGACGCAGTCGAGTGATATACCCTAGCGATATCCGTGGCTGGAATTCCCGCGGATGAAAACCGACTACCTGCTGGAGCAGACGGATCATAGACGACTGGGGTAAATGCGGGGTTATCGGCATCGCTTTGACCAACAGGATCGGGGCCCTGTGAATTCTTTGTTAGCGAAGACGGGGGATTCTAAAGATGCTCATGCATACACTCCCATACCCTGCGACACCGGTTTGTGCCCCATTCACAATGACGATTCTCCCATCCGGCAACAAAATCATTTCTGGCATAATCCTAGCTTGTGGCATACTCTCCACCTGCCATCCAGCAGCTATACCAGCTGCGTTTAGGACTAGTCGGGAACACTGGGCCGACGTGGGAGTCTGCGAAGAAATGGTCGATGGCAACACGGTATCAGAAACTGTCGACCCCCCGCATATCATAACTTCCGGGGTATAATTGTTTTCAGGAGTGAGAGGAAGAAGTATGGCGCCTGCCGAGAACGGCGAACTTTGGTGAAAGATGTGAAGAGGGCAGAAAGAATGAAGGCATGCACTTACGAGATGCGAACGCCGTTGGGGATACCTGGAAGAGCGGTTTCAGTGTTGGCTTGCCAGTTAAAGATCATCGCGTTCTGGTTCGCGGCAACGAAAATAGTGCCATCCGGAAGGTAAGTCATGAAGGGGAAGTGGTTGGCGTTAAGAGTATCATGAAGGAATTGGCTAGGAATCTGAACTCCATTGTGCCCTACGAGATACGAGGTCAACGAAGAGATGTCAATTCATTGATAGAAGGCTTACCGTTGATGTTCTTTGGTGGGAAGAACTCGTAGGTAGGATTATTGATGGAGTCTGAGTTGGTGAACCTACGTTGACCAGTAAAAATCAAAGGAAGTGAGGCATATATGCGAAATTAGTCACCCTCCGACGACAGAACCCCTGTAAGATGGTGAAATTCAGCGCTATTAACAATGAATAAACTCAGGGTCTTACCCGAATATAATGATAGAACCATCCTCAATACGTACCTGTCGATATCATACAAGATCGCTTAGCAACGAGGAAGCGCTGTAGAAAACAACTCACGGATGCTGCGTACCACCTGTTTGATGTCAAGTGAATGTGATCGGGGTCTTCAAAAACATCACAGGTTTTATCATCGCAGGGCGTGAACATCCGGATGGCTTGCAAGCCGCTAGCGCCTAAGTAGAGCTTCGTGAACATCTTGTCAAACTAGTGATATGTCCATAGGTGCTGACCGGTAATGACGACGGGATTTCCACCAGAGCCGACCATGGTGCCGTTTCCGAGGAAACTACCAGTTGCACACCAAGTATTACTCAGAGGGTTCAAGGCGCGTACAGTGAGAGCATTGAGATCAACTTCAGCGGCCCATGCGATATGTCCGTCAACGGTGAGAGGGTTGTGTTCCCTTTGAATATTGCTTCTGAGTTTCTGCTAGACGCCGTTAAGAATGGCATTGACGTACACTTTGTCATAAATAATTGCGGTGGTTTCTGATACGATTGCTAGTTGCATCCCACTAACGCCAGTGGTTCTATGAGATGCATTAGTCATAGGGTCATTAATTGGATGGAGGGATCACTTACCCTTGTTGGAGTAAAGACCAGTTTCCCTCAGCAAAAGCACGTTGCTCAAGGGAAGCATGACCAAGTGCGGCAAAGCTCCAAGATTTAGCAGCTAGCAGAACAGGATACAAGTACCACCCGCGGACCATCTTTTACAGAGACGACGATGCAGAGAGAGCAAAGCCAGGTGATGTACTGGGCTTATCTCCTTCCACTAGTATTCATGATTTTAAAGAACCACCAAGCACAAGTCATACGCCATGGGAGTGTGAAGACCATCATGGGCTGAGAGAAACATAAAGCCAGCCTGAGAGGCGACCTCACTACGAGTGGCTAGTAGTGTCTGGTGACGGCTAAGTATCAGCGCATAGGCTGCGCCGATCTGCCATATTTTGACAAGGCAAGACTCATTTAGTTATTACAAAAATAACTCAAGGGCACCATCGAGAGGTTCATGTTGAGATCTCAGGGTATGCTTGCGAATACAGTGTGAGGTGAGTCAGCCAGAACCACATGCGACACATATACATGTCGTGTGTGCTTCCAGTGTTGACATGCGACACATATACATGTCGTGTGTGCTTCCAGTGTTGACATACGGAGCAGCCATATGGTGGAAGGGAAGACGCCAAGCCGCCAAGCTGCTCATATCAAGATGCTTACACGTACAGAATCGGGCGCTATGTCTAATTTGTGCAGTATTCAGGACAACACCAATCATCGCACTAGAAATCAAGGCATATATTCCACCCATAAGAGTTAAAACACCTTCTGGATCTCGAACGGAGACCAGTTTGCTGTATGGATACGCAAATTAAGCAAAACAAGCCCAATCATTCAATGACTAGCTGACGACAGTTGGAGAGAGGGGGCAACAGCGAGAGCATACCCACCAATTCAACCCGATATACCAACTGGGCGCCAACAAAACAAGGAAAGGCCAACAAGGAGAACCTTCCTAGGAGATATAGAAGCAATATTGACACCGGAGGATGAGAGGATTTCACTCTTCCCAATTGCACCATGGGAGAAATCACTGACAGAATTCGACAAAAATGAATGAATGAATACATCTTGTTTAAAGTACCTGGGGCCCATCAGGGCCCATGTGTACAATCTATGACTACTGTGCATAATGTGGGGATGCCACATCATGGTGCGTATGTTTATCAGGGAGCGTTTGTCGTTCTTGTGACGCGTGAGAGGGACAGAATTCGACAAAAGGTTCCAGACATCACTGCCAGTGAGCGGTGAATCGAAAGAGGATGCAAATTGGTAGTGGTATAGATGTACATAGCTGTAGAGTACTATATCCATTACGAGGCGTGTTGCGGGTAACCAATCCAGACCATCATCATCACGTTGAGATCTAGACATGCATGGTGAAGTTGAAGTTAGAAATGCGAACTTCGTGCCGAGGTAACCGTTGATTGCCGTTACCGGCGGCCGGAAATCTCCGCACCTGCAAGTCGCCCGTTCGTAGTCATTAACCACCACTTGCTGTATCCGTTGTCTTGTTCTCGAAGGCTTAGAATTTCTCAGTACTCCGAGGGGGGGTCGATTCTAGTGAACGTCGGATACTTGAACTTGGAAGACCTTAACAGTGCCTCACGTACCTGTGGTGCCAAAATTTTATTGTCTCGCAGTCTCTCGCAGTACGTATCATTTCTGATCTATTCATCAATTGATACCAACACCTTCGTGGCGTCTTCGGACTTCATAAAGAATATCTTAACATGAATCTATCAAAACAAGGACTGCTCTGATGTGGGTGAAGCGGAACCATACCGAGTCATGTTCCAGTGAGCCATTTTCTTCGTTCATGTCATCTCAGTGTTCCGCCGACCATGAGACACAGACATGGAAAATATGAACGACTGCTGTGAGGAAGAAAGGGAAGGTCTGAGCTTTTGCTTGACCCTTGTTCCGGTCTTCTGTGTCGTCCTAGTGTGGTACATTTTCTCTCCAGATACATCGTAACCTTGATATCTGTGGGCCAGGAAACTCACCAGTCAGTTACTACTATCGGTGTAGCAAGTTGCTTGAACATTCTTTCGCTCGTACAATCTGACTATTATTTACAGAGAATCAACCTTAGAGAAGAAATGTTGCTTGAGGCGGGAATAATATCAGGATACATCCCGAATGAGGACGTCACACGGCTTCAACCGATTTGACGAAGGACTTTTCCAGGACCGTTTCGCTCAATGGACGAGTTATGATCTACTGTCATTATTTTCAACGAATGTTTTTCACTCTGTGTATTGCGCATCTCTTGGGCAGTGACATGGCAGGATACAAACATCTGCCCTTCTCTTGTTATTTGTTCTCATCGTAGGACAGCTGTCTTTACTGGCGAGGCTGGCTTTGGACTGGCTCAACCTTCGCTTCGAGGGCAATCGAGCTGCACCTCTCTAGTTAAAACATGTCGACTAGCACGTACCATCTGCGTTGCCCATCTTCGCTCCTTTCTTGACGCGTTGATACTCAAGGTTAACGAACGACGAGAAGGTGCCCTACTTTGACACCCAGTTGTTCTTGTTTGGACTGCCTGCTCAGCTCGGAGTATCTATCCCAGGCGTCGTGGTTCGCGTTACGATGTTCTGGCAATATCTACTGCCTAGTTTATTTTTGATTCTAATACATTTCTAGGTTGATGTTCTTTCTTCACAAAGCCACACCCCAGATCTGGACAATTCATCGCACCCATTGTAGCGTTCCGAGCTGTTGGATAGAATGCACGCCAGCTGACAACAGTTACACCCAGGTTCACTCAGGTGCCCGGCTGTGCATGTCCTTCTCGTTAGAATGCGGGTTCAAGCTTCCTACATCTTGCCCAAGGTTCGTCAGCCACTCCCACGAGACTGCTGCGGAGAGAATACGGTTATACCGGCACACTCCCTCATTAGAATGGAATCCTTGGCGCTGAGACATTTGCAACATCGGCTACCGTGCTTGAATTCGGCGGTGAGGGTGTCGGTGACTACGCTGTTGTCGACGGTCTATTCGCCAATAATACCCTTCATATCTGCCCTGGAACTACCGATATCAACCATTCACTCACCCGCAAGCCTGGTGTGAAAAAATCTCAGCAGGCAAGTCAGACTGATATCGATATGATGAACTCGGTCAGCGTCTTTTGAGTTATTCCAGGAAAGTCTTTCTGGTTCGCTTCACAGAACGGAGTTGGAGGAGACGTGTGAGTCCTTGCAGACAAATTTTTAATCTATTGACCTGATTATTCGATTCCAGACGGTCAATATCTCGGTGCCTCTTCTTTTTGCATGCATTATAGCTGTCTAGGCTAAGTGCATAATTCTCTTTGTTACTGTGACAGTGAGCCTCAGCTCGTGAATTTTATCTCACAGGTTTAGTGGGAATGGCGAGAAGACAGTGAAACTAGGAACCACGACTTTGAGGATGCGAGATTTGAAACCGTGGCAGTCACTAGCTACGTTAGTACGCTACGTTTAACTTTTCCGACACTCCAGGCTGAACCATTTTCGCCAAAGCAATTTGTGATCACCCTTGAGGGTGAGTAACTGTCTCTGCGGTACAAGTCACACCAGCAGTGGATGCTGGCGCGAATCAAAGTAGTAGATAGACGAACAGGGCATAAGTGCGACGGCCGCTTGTTTTGCCGGCCTTGTCTCTCACCCTGGGCTTTGAAGCCTTCGGCCCTTCAATTTGCTATTGTTACACGCTCTTCTAACTGCTAGGCATCTATTCAAACGATTTTATCTTCTTGGATCATCTGAAAACCAGACATTCCCCATCTGGGTCTTCACCGCTCTGTGGGAAATATCCTTATTGGTCTAGGGTGTCGGCGTCTTTCGTTCCTTAGGACGTAATTCACTTTCGACGCTTTGGTAGCAGCGCAGGAATCTGCGAATCATGTTCTCAGTCGCGGGGAAGTGCTATGCGAAATGGAGATCCTAAAGTATACTTGCGCTTTTCCCGGAGACTCCTTTCTGCAACTTGTAGTGCCTGGAGCGCTGTAACAGCATCTGATTGTTTGTACGTGGAAGGGTACCTGCTCGAGCCGATCTTGCTAGGTCATCTACAGTGCCAGAAGTAGTATCAGAACAGCTTCGGCATCGATAATTTATCATTGAAAATGGACGCGGAGGTTGAATCCTACTAGGGGTGTGGATTGTCTACGTTCAAACTTTGCTCGTATTTATCTCGTCATCTACTCGCTCTTTGAGTTGATTGATATTATGGCCCTTCCAGTTAAGGACTTCTAGTTTTGAGGAAAGTATCCTCAACATGGAAACATGGAACTTGATGCTGGTTCATTGTATTCAGATATCTGTCGGGATAAGTTCACCGACATGCACAATAGTAACTCAAGCTCAGCTTAATTCCACTATTACTAGGAAAGTGCTTTAGGCTGTCAACGAGACAAAGGTTCTGATGAAGAGGGTATAATATACAGAATCCGTGTAATTAGTTGTACTAACCACTTAGTTTGTGCTTACTTGGTAGTATCACGCGATTCGCGCCCACCCTGATATAATCTTTCGATATAATAATATTTTTAAGTATTTTTATTTATCATATATCTGTTTTCCCTCCGCTTTAGTTTGCATCTCTTCAGATGCATTCTGTTGATGGAAGCCACGTGATCGCATTCGCACCGTTCCTCGTTCCTCCCACGCCTTTTCATTCCGTCATTATCACTATCACTATTATCACCGCCCTGGACAATTCTGTCTACCGACACTGGAAGGATGCTCGAGAAGACAGACGATGAACCCCATGGACCGCTGCCTATCCGACGTCTGCAAGAATCGTTGATAAATCGAATTGCTGCAGGAGAGGTTCGCCCTTTCAACTGAACCACCCACGATTTGATTGGACTATTGTCTTCAGGTTATTCATAGGCCTGCATCTGCACTGAAGGAGCTGGTAGAAAACTGTCTCGATGCGGGGTCGGACAACGATTCGGAGGTACAAATGGTCAGGCTCTGGAGTACCGGTGCCGTTAGCAAGTTCAGGAAATTTGGATCCTCTACGTGAAGCTCACAGAGCTCCGCCATAACCACCGGTACTCCAATTTCGGAAGCTGGCACCGATTGACTGGCATCGAGGTGACAGGTTCTAAGCTTGGGAAGCTGGGAAAGGAGTCGTAAATCTTCCACGCAGCCTATACTTCAGGGATAATGAGTTATCCCGGGTGGTAACCTCACTTGAGATATCCCTTGGCTGAAAAGGGTTGCTTGCCATAGCCGTGGGGCATTCAAGCATATGTCCCAGCGACATTTATTGTGGTCGTCATCCGTGATATCTATTTGTATCACCTGCAGGATGGGAAGATGCGGAGATATAGATTCCAGGTGGTGTGTAGAGGTGCAAATGTACACATTCTTCCAGCGATAGCAGGTTTGAGCAAGTAGGGAGATGATTTCGCCAGCCTCTGTCGGCATATCACTGTCACAGAGTGCCTGAAGGGTGAGTGGATGTTCGCCTGTGTGCTCGAGGCAGGTCTGCAGTATCTTGGGAGCGTGCTTGGAGAAAGGGGTCTTCACCGCGACACACCGAGCCCAAGACGCTGGTGAGGTGTGCAATGTATCTCTCCAAAGTCCACAGACACGGCTTAAAGCCCAAAGAGGTCCGGATAGGTCTAGGCTGTCACGAAGTTCATCCTCATCTGCACCCTGCCACCAAGTGTCGCAAACAGAATGGAAAACTTCAATGAGAAGATCTCGGGGGAGACGGCGGATGGGGGCATAGATCGACTTGCGATTTTCCAGGGCTTTCAAGACTGTAGACCGGTGTAATTGGATGTCCCGAAACTGGGCATCATACCAAGACTGTAGTCGTTCTAGCTTCGCGATTTCGTCCTTCGTTGAGACGTACTCAACGTCAAGTAATGGCCGTGACCCACGTAGAACTTGATAAATGAGGCTATCTGAATTCTGGATGGCTTTGAGTTGACTGTGGCTTGAAGGAAAGGGAATTGACGAATCCGCAATTGCTGCAGGTGAGGCACGACATTGAGTTGCAAATCGTAGAAAACAGAAGATTGTTGGAAGAAGATGCGCTTGGACAATGGATACTGGTTTTGCTACTGCTCGAACGAGGTCAGTCTGGCAAGTCGCGCTATAGACAATCGCGTAGCTCGTACCTGTCTATGCGGGGGATGAGAGTAAGGAACACATGTGGCTACCAGTGATTGCCGGGATTTTGAGCATCGCCACCACGTGCATTCTAATTTCAATTTCTCCTAACAATCCCTGCAGCGCGGTCACTCTTGTTTTCAAAGCAATATCCAACGTTGACCTTTCTTTCCTTCATGACTGACACCCGCATCATGGAGAATTTTTGGAGCAGCTTGCCATCGGATGCATCTTGATGGAGAGAATTCGTTGTGGATGCACTCTTGGCCTATCAGAGCAACAATGAGCCACTTTGCAAGGCTTTATGTTTCAATTTTTCAGCAACTCGCTCATATATTGGAAAGGATACATATCACTGTTGATCTTGGCTCTTGGGTATAGACTATGGTTTGTGGGACTTCAAGGATGACCGGTGAACAGCGCTGTACTTTCTGCACCTTTCCCTACTTCCCTGGCACCACATAAACACCAAGTCTCTGTAGACATGTTCATTTTTTCATCGCAGCCTCACCCGTGAATCGAGAAGAAATTGGTGGTTTCGCGAACTTGTTTCGCCGACAAACTGTCCTTCTCTTGGCAGACATATTGGTGAGATGAACGTTGCTATGGAAGTAAAAAGGAACGGAGGCCATTGGGCACTGCAGAGAATCTCGTTTTGACTCTTCGTCGCAATGCCTCAATCATGCTGCACTGGATGGCCGTAGCTGCCGCCAGTCGAGGATTCTCTACCATTCGAAACTAGTAGCCCCTTTTTAATCGACCGCAGATGATACTTCCATGGAACCAAAAATGCCTCCGTTCGACATGAGGGGCCATTTGAACCGGCAGTCTTGGCTGCCTGTTTTCCCGGGGTCCGTTGCCAAGAAGGGGATAAACGGCAACGCACCAGGCACATCATGAACCCCGACGCTCATCGACATCCAGAAGATCCTTGTGACAATGAAATTCAAAGCTCAGTTAATATAAAAAGTACATCTGGTTGCGTTCTCCAGCAATAGATCGATTCGACATTTCGTACTCAATAAATATTGGACACATACTGTGCGCATCATGATAGTCAACGTGTCACTAAGAATCAGTGCTCCGGTCTCAAGCCAGAAGATGGAATAGTGGCGGGTTAGGAATGGCTTGACGCGAGTCTTGCGACTTCATACACAGGCAACGGTTTGAACTTGGTGGTGGTGGGCGATTTGTATTTTCTGAGGCGCTGGCGGTAAGGACACCTTCGACTAGGGCTATTTATTGTACTCACATTGGAAGTCATGGGTCCCAAAACAACAACCGGTGGTCCAGATGCAGCGGGCTCCACTTCTCCACCCTCATCTCCAAATTGTCCCCGATAAGAGCTCGGATGTCGGCTTCTATATCGCGATCGTCAAAATCGCCCCCCACCTCATCATTGAACTGTACTTCAATTGTTTTTAGCTGTCTTGCTTTACAGCGGGAGCGGATCATATCGAAAAGAGGAACCAGCTCCGTCTGCGTAAGATAAAAAAACTCATTCTCAAAGCAGAGAACGAGATAGCACAGATTAGGTAAGATCGAGGAAGGGGTGAGGGCCTTGGCACTGTTGTGCCATACCGATCCGAATTCGAGTTTGAGGTGAGAGATCGTAGAAAATGCTTCAGATGAGAACATGTTGCTGATCGAAGCCAGCGATTCTGACTCCAATACATCCATGCATATACTGAAGCTATTGAGATGGCATCTGGATCGACGGAGGAAGAGGGTAATGCTGGATAACGATTCCGAGGTACAAATGGTCAAACTCTGGAGTATCGGTGCCGTTAGCAAGCTCAGGACATTTGGATTCTCTACGTAAAGCTCGCAGAGCTCCGCCGTAACCACCGGCGCCTCGGTTGGGGCCGACGACATCCAATTGGACTCGAGGTGACAGGTTCTAAGCTTGGGTAGCTGGGAAAGGAGCTGTAAATCTTCCCGGCAGGTGATACTTCCGGAATAATGGGTGATCCCAGTCGGTAACCTCACTTGAGATATCCCCTGGCTTGGAAGGGTTGCTTGCCATAGCCGCGGGGCTTTCAAGCATATGTTCGAGCGATATTTATGGTCATAGTCACGGGTGATATCCATTTCAATCGTCTGCAGGAAGGGAAGATGCGATATAGAATCCAAGCAGCGCATATGATGTATGGAAGCGTGAATGCGCAGATTCTTCCACCGATGGCAACATTCAACGAGTTTGGGGATGATTTCGCCATCTTTTATGACACTGCCACTGTCACTCATGACCATCAGACTGAGAGGGTGTTCGCCTGTGTGCTCGAGATAGGTCTGCAATATCTCACGAGCATGCAGGGAGAAAGTGGTTGTCACCAAGACATGCCGAGCCCAGGACGCTGGCGATGTGTGCAATGTATCCCTCCAAAGCCCACAGACGCGGCATAGAACCCAAAGAGGCCCAGATAGGTCTAGGCTATGACGTTGGAGCTCGTTGCCCTCTTCATCCTTCCACCAAGAATCGCAAACAAGATGGAAGATTTCAATGAGAATCTCGCGGGGAAGACGACGGATGGGGGCGTAGATCGACTTGCGATCTTCCAGGGCTTTTAGGAGTGCAGGGCTATGCAACTGGATCTCTTGAAGCTGGGCATCATACCAAGACAGGTAAGGTTCTATCTTCGCAATTTCCTCCCTTATTGATGCACGGTCAGCTTCAAGCAGTGGCTGTGACCCGCGTAGGATTTGCGAAATGAGACTGTCGGAACTCTGGGTGGCTTTGAGAGTTTGGAGCTGCGTCTCGAGAGAAGGGAAATTGACGAATCCGCAGTTGCTGCAAGTACGGCACGACATTGAAAGCCTGAGATGGTTCGGGAATTTGTTGTAGAAGATGCAGTTGTATGCCTAATTTCGCTGCAGCTCGAAAAAATCAGCCTGGAAAGCCGTGTTGTAGACAGCAGCGTAACCCGCACCTAGAGCAAATGAACCCGGAACAAGGGACACACGTGCTTGAAAACAGGAAAACAGGATTGATTGGCCACTATTAGCCATCTTCGCTGATAGCCTACGGCCCAGGCAAACAGAAGTAAACTGCCTGCACCGCGACTCGGATTCATTCATGTTTCTTTAGGAGCGTCAGCTTGCTGCAGATCTTCAGGAATAGATACCGGCTCATAGCTCACAACGTACCTAGATATGCATCGGACCCCCGCAACCTTCCACTGTATCATCCGGGTCTGAAGATCTATCTTTGTCTAGTTTGTGTCTAGTATAGCGACCTTCTGGTTCTAAAACCCTGTACTCGCGGAAAGTTAGCATCGAAATCAACTTGACTGAAGCAGAGTGCCGATTTCTGCTTCTTACCCGGGACATGGTCCCTTTTGTTCTTCTGTTCATCTAACGCCATCTCAGATACTGAGAGTTACTGAGTGCCTATGGTTTCAGATGAACCCAATTTGCGTACTAGACCTTATAATAACATTGATATTATTATGCACTAACCGGTAAAGCAATGATATAACGTCAGGCCACGAGAAGTAGCGACGGGTCTTGCGAATGCGAATCTCATTAAAGGCCGGCAAAGTTACTGTACCACTTCTCCGATCCCAATGTACGTTTGTTTACTTGCTGTGAAAACGATCAGCTGGAAGGGTGAACGACGATAGGAATCATCAACTCACCGGAAGCCTGAAAGGCGACCTTCATCGGTTATATCAAGGTCAGCCCCAAGAGAGCAGCAAATGGTCCCGACAGAGCGGATTCCACTTTTCGACCCACATATCCCAGTCGCCCCCACAGAGAGCTCGAATATCTGCTATCAGTAGGTCCTCAAACTCCTTGTTCTTAAACTGCACCTCAACCTGTTTCAGCGATCCTGGGAGCAGGTCGGAAGAGACAAACGACGAGTCCTTTGAAGGCCGTGATATACATAGAGCAAGATGGCTCAGGTTCGGTGTGACTAATGAAGCTTCGACGGTCCGGGGAATATCGTTCAGTCTTGAACCAAGCTCGAACTTGAGGCGAGAGAGGGTGGAACATGCTTCCGATGGGAGGATTTTCCTGATTGTGGATGACAACTGCTGAGACGCAGTTATCACCTTGCTGCTAATGGTCAAGCTCTCAAGACGACATCCAGATCGATCGAGGAATTGGGCGAGACATTCTGCTCCGGACGCCCTTTGTGGGATCCCATTAATGGTCAAATTGTTGAGGAGAGGTGCAATTAGGAGGTTAAGAATGTCCACATAGGCAACATAGAGGTGACGCAGTTGCGCCATAACCACCGGCGTCACCTTTGAGACCTAAGAGTGCCTAAGGTGACATGTCATAAGCTTAGGTAGCTGGGAAAGGAGCTGTAAATTTTCTGAACAAGTGATAAGTCCGGAATAATGAGTTATCCCAGAGGGTAACCCCACTTGATGGATTCCTTCTGTCTGAAAGGTTCCTTGCCATAGCTGTGGGGCATTCAAGAAGACGTTCGTGCGATAATTATAGCAGAAGATGTCGAGGATATATATTTCGATTGTCTGCAGGACAGGAAGGTGCGATATCGATTCTAGGTAGTGCAAATAATGTGTGTGGATGTAGAGAATTAAGTTCTTCCAACGTTGGCAGAATTGGATGAGTAACGACATGATGTCCCCGATTTTTGAGGGTCTGTCACTGGGAAGAAAGACCTTCAGATTGAGAAGATGTTCACCAGTGCGCTCGAGATAGGTTTATATATCGGGAGCATGCTTGGAGAAAGGGGCCTTCACAGTAATCTTCTGAGCCCAGGACACAGGAGACGAGTGCAACGTATTCCTCCAAAGCCCACAAACACGGCCTAGAACCCAAAGCGGCCCAGATACATCTAGGCTATCACCGTGAAATTTTGATGCGAGAGTGCAGTCCTCTTTTGCTTTCGGCCACCAAAGGTCACGAACGAAATGGAAGATTTCGATGAGCGCATCTCGGGGGAGACGACGGATAGGAGCATAGATCGACTTGCGATTTTCCAGGGTGACTACGACTGCACGTCGGCGCAATTGGATCTCTTGAAACTGAGCATCATATGAGGATAACAGCTGCTCCAACTGAATAATTTCGGCGTTGATAGATGCCTGGTCAGGGTCGAGCAACGGCCGCTCCCCGCGTAGAATTTGTACAACAAGACTGTCGGAGTTCCGAATAGTTTTGAGATTTTGTAGCTGAAGGTCAGAAGAAAGGACACAGTTCCTGCACGACATGAAGGGAGAAGGCAAGAATTGCACGTGGTCTAAACTTTGTTCGTGTTTTCTTCGGACTCCTATCGACCGAACTGAACATGTCACTCCCAGCAGCGTACCGTTCATCGACATCGGTTGCTCCCTCGCAACCTCAGGCCTATCATAATCCACAACTTTAAACTTATTGCCTGGTCGTGGAAGTTGAATACATGGCATGGACAGATGTAGGACTTGTCGCGTGAATGGGACGCGAAGCACATTACCAGTAAGTAATATACATATTATGCTTGTCGTACTTAAAGTTTATCCAGATACGCGTTACCGTGGCTGGATAATAGCTGCTTCCCACATCGTTGCGATGGAGAACATATCCTCATCATGGCAGGGCCAACTACATACCACTACGGCCTACAGAACTCTAAGTTCTTCTGATGTTCGCTCGGTGGTTTCTCTACCCGTGATAATCTATAGAGCTCACGATAGTCCATATGCCCGGCTCTCTGCTATGCCCTTTCTCCATGAATATTGACGGCCATGAATCGCCTTCAAGCGAAACGCTGTAGCGGAAGAAACTCGGAATTTCTGGCGACCGGCGAACAACCGCGAGGTCGCGAGGGGAGAACACGCGGAAAACGGTATAAAATGGCCATTGTGACAGAACATATCTTCACAATGACTCTCATCTTTACGCTGTGGCTGCTACTGGGCTTAGACCGTGCTTTCTGACAATTAAGGTTCGAAACAACTCGGTCATTATTAGGCAAACCTTTTCTTATGAGCAGAACAGCTCACACGAACCTACTAACTTCAATGTGCCCATCAGTCGTACTGAGAGTGGCTATCGAACGGTCGCCCTTTCGTAAGCTTCTATTAGTACGGGAGGCGGACTTGGCTTCATTGTATCCTAGGTTGGGTACACCTCCCCGAGAGTTCAGTCTCTGGCTTGACACAGGCTCAGATCCTACATGGGTCCTGAGCCAGTCGTGTATAGAATCGTGCTCTATTTCAGATACCAAACGTACGCCTTATATCCCATCTGAGTCCTCGACCAATAATGCCACGGGAGAGACGCTCCGCGTTGACTACCTCGGGGGCGCCGTTGCTGGGTGCGTTTCTCTTTGGATGATCAGCACTGTGCTTACTTGGAAGACAGCACAATCTTCACTGACACGTTATCCATTGCGAACACTTTGACTGGAGTGTCCACACGAGCCCTCCTTGTCGGCTTTTCTAATTGGGCATGGCTCGACGCGGACGGAATGCTTGGCTTGGCTTTCCCTCGCGTAGAGTACGTTTGCCATATACCCGAGACGAGATTTACTCACAGCGGTGTAGGGAGCCCGTCCATGCCTCCCTCCTTGAGAGTCTCTTCCACCCCGAGATCCTCGAAGCGCACGAATTTGCCATTTATGCTGGACAAGACCTGTCCCCAAACAATGGTGTCGTCCAATTTGGCGGCCACTCCACAGAGTACAACTGTACGGACGTTACCTATTTCAACATCCAGCGATACACAGACGATAATAACGCAATCATCTATTGGACGACCTATATCAACCGTGTTGACTTCACTTTGAATACAGACGGGAACACGCACAGTAACACCGTATTTGTGGAGAACTTTGCGGTTTGGGATACTGGCTCGTCTCATATAACTGTGCCAGAGACTTACATTGAAAACATCTATTCGAGCATCGGTATGAACTACACCTTCATCCAGGAAGGTGGTCGTCCACTGTGCGAAGATCTTCGGAAACTGGACTTCAACATGACTATCATTCTTCTAGAGGGTACGATCACCGTCCGCCCTGCAGACCTGATTGTACCGGGGTATACGGAGGAGCAGTATTGCTGGCCTTTGTTCGAGCCGTAAGGAACCCTTCGTTTTGTGTCGTTCTCTGGTATATTGATTGTCGGACTTTCCTAGGTCTTCTAGCGGTAGGTGGATCATCGGTATGGACCTTATTCGCAATTTTTACACGGTGTGGAATCTGGGTGGCTGGGATATACGGTCGGACGAGCTGCAACCGCGGCTAGGGTTTGCAGAGTTGAAGGCTGAGTATCATCCATGAGTGTAAGATCTGATTGTACCAATCTTGCGGTTTAATTGATACGTACAACGTAGATCCTTTTCTAATAGGTGTAACTTTTTTTTTGAACAAACACTACTATACATTAGTCGAGTGATTCGCACTTCCTCATAAATCTCGACTGTCTTAATTTGAGAGTCTGCCTAGGGGAGACTAGTTTCCTCATACTGATGACGACAGTTATGGCTTTCCTTCCGAGTCCTTCCGTCGTTTTGTCAGCGTCAAACTCGAAATTGATGAGTATGACTCCGCTCTTATGATCTTGGTATCCACAATACTCCTTTATCACTTTACCTTGCGTTGACAACTTGACACTTACAAATACATCGTCCTAAATCAATATTCGAGCTGATTTTCGGCCCATGAAATTCGGAAAAATTCGGAGAAGATATCGGTGACAGGCTCTCGCGGTTTCTATTACGCTCGCCCAGATCCGACATCCTCGAGGCTGTTAACATCAACCGATTTGAAAGTTTTGACATCGAAAGTAGTCGCCGTGTACGTAATTTTGTTGCTTGCCGGACCGCTTAGCCGAAACTTTGGCCTCAACGGTGACCTCAAGGAGAAGAAACACTAAGAGACCGACCCAAGCCAGATGGCTAGAAGGGATTCCATCTTGACGACACCTACTTCACCTTTGGCCCCATTTCCTCCCCTTCCGCCTCCTGAGCTTCGTAGTCGAGCACCAGAATTCTATGGGTTCGTCGCATGGACGTCGACGTCTCTTCTTTTCGTCGTTTACCTCCTCTGGGCAATCCTCCCAGATGAATACATTGAATGGCTTGGCGTTACGTGGTATCCTAGCAGGTGAGTTCTGAAAGGGGTGACAGAGCAGGAGAGCCGATGATTTTCTCTAGAGAATGGGCTGTCCTTCTCCCTGCGTATTCCGTTGTTGTGTTTCTACTGGCGTACTTTGTGTACTTTGCGCTAGCTATCTACGGTGCCCCATCTCTTTCGGATACGTGTACCTTTACTGGTGAGGGTGTTGCTCCAGTGTGTGTTCAGGCTGTGATTTATTACGATGGCAGATTCGCGGTCTCATTACCTTCCCATACGTGGGGGGAAGCAAGGATACAGCTCATTTACTCGTTCTGACGCTGTTCCGGACCTGTACGATATTCCAATTGGACTCGTGAACCGTGTCTTGTACAATGATGATTCTTCTACCGACTGAATGCGGCATCGTACCCCAAGAATACTCTATTTCTAGCTGGTAAATTTTGGCGCTGCCGTCACACGTATGCCAGTTCTTTCTGTATTCAAAATCACCCCGCTAACAAATCAGAAAGAAAACTTTAGAATGCTGATGAAGATTCATCGAGGTTGTCCGGCTAGCAAAGAGATGACAGGTTCCAACCTGAGTATGAGGAATCTGCGAGAGCGCTGAAATTGGCTCGGCATGCATCGTAATTGACCATTTTCCAGACAGATGTACAGATAATGCATGTAGAAAGGCACTAATAAAATGCATATATTTTATCAATATTTTATTCCCATTTCCACCAATCGTTGACTCAGCAAACGTCATTTTCTCTTTTTGAGGTGGGTCACGGATGTGTCACAGTCACACCCGCTGCCGCGAAAACGCGTCAAAATATTGTCTCCTTCTTCCGCACTCCGACGATGCGAATTCATTGATACCTGCCTTACAGGAATATGAATTCAGATGGATATCATCCAGTATCAGAACTGGGTGATGAATCCGCTATCGTGACGGCTAGAGAAGCCTTCAAGGATATCGCATTCGGAAGTGTATGTATGCTTCCCTTCATGAATACTTTTTACCTTTTTTTCTGAGATTTCACAGATCGCTGGAATGATCTCGGAGGTGTTCGAATATCCATTCGACCTCGCAAAAGTACGGTTGCAGTCCCAAATGCTGACACCTGCATCGGAAAACATTGGAAGACGTTTTGATGGACCGCTGGACTGTTTGATGCAGACATGGAGGGACGAAGGATTTAAAGGCCTGTACAGGGTGAGTGACAATTGACTGAGACTTTTATTGTACTGAATTATCTTGCAGGGCCTGCCTGCACCTCTCATCGGCTCGATGGCAGAGACCGCTGCCTTATTTTTCGCCTATTCCTCATTCCAAAATGTTATCCGTGCCTATTCCTTCCGTAAAGATCCTCAAGAATCATCTTTGCAACTTTCCATACCCCAACTAGGCCTTGCGGCTGCCGGTGCAGGCTTTGTCACCAGTTTTATTCTGTGCGTCCTTTAGAGGCTCCGTTTCGTTGACTAAATACATCTCTAGGACACCCATTGAGCTCGTGAAATGCAAAATGCAAGTTCAGATGATGAACCACCACACAAGCGCACATATCCCACCCATTCACAGCACGCCAAAGCCCATTAAACAGATTGTGAACCAAACGCAACCGCTGTCATCTCCATCTTCATCTCGTTCGCCGCTATCTACTCTTGCGCGGACAATATCTACGCCTGTAGAGGCAGAGGCTTATCGTCGGCGTCTACCGGGCCCCATGTCCATTATCAGGACCGTCGTACACGATCATGGTGTTCGAGGACTCTGGTTAGGCCATACTGGGACGTTACTCCGCGAAACAGGCGGCACTGCATCATGGTTCGTCCTCAAAGAATGGCTCGCGTCAGAATTCAAGACGCGGAGACTGGGTCAGGGCGTCCCCGGCGAGCTTCTACCGTGGGAGTCAGCCGTCTCTGGGGCTATATCTGGCGCGGCATGCGTGCTAGCGCTATATCCTGCCGATACCGTGAAAAGTGCAATGCAAACAGAGGAGGAGTTGCGTTCGCAGCTTGGGAAGAAGATGACGAAGGGGCCGACCTCTTTTTATCGGACAGCTACGAGGATGTACTCTATGCACGGGATTAGAGGGTTGTATGCAGGGTGCGGCATGACCGCCGTGAGAGCGGTGCCCAGCAGTGGGATTGTCTTTCTAGTATATGATGGGCTGAACTCCTGGTTCAGTAGACTATAAGGCAGCATTTACTTAGAACATACACAACTAATCAAGAGCCATTTTTATTGTATTTGCATACATTTGTCTATCTAGATCTTCCTCTCACTCACACCCACCGGAGAACGGGCTTACAGTTGCGCTTTTCTTCATTCGTCAACATACCTACACACGCAAATTCTAGATCTACTCATTATCCCAACGCAAAAGACAGAAAAAGCGCCAACTAGTAAGATCTGCCAAACATCGTCCAGCGCTTCGCGTCCTTCCCGCAAGCCGGGCATTTAGTCTTGCCAGGTTCGATAGGAGTCCATCTCGACTGGTCGAATGGAATAGCTAACGACTTGGCACCGGCAGATGGGGCTCGCTCGTCTTGCGCCTCACCACTACCCGCAGAAATATTAGCAAGTCAAGCGACAAAGATAAAAGACGACTACTGACTTGAGAGTAGCACGCGCACTGCGCTCCTTGATATCATCTTCACACGCCTCGTCCTCGCACCACGGTAAGACCACAACGCATTTGTTATCCAAAGTCGGCACGACATCCTCCCACTTGGTGACCTCCTTCAAGCGGGAAAAGTAAGTATCGCGAGCGCGTGTGAACATGTCGTTCTGTATCGTCTCCAGCAATTCAGTGACAGTTTTCCCGATGTCAGCCGTGGGAATAGGGTTCTTGACTCCCGTATCTCGACGGACAGTGAGAGTCTGTTGCTTGGCGATATCGTTCGGGCCGATTTCGAGACGGAGGGGAACGCCCTGCAAGTAAAAGGTAAGAAAGCTGATGAAGGAGAAGTAGATCCAAGCATGCCTTTTGCTCCCAGTCGTTGAATTTGTACCCAGGAGTGTAGCCATCGCGCAAGTCAGCCTTGGCTCTGATACCCGCTTTCTTGAGCGTCTTGGCGAGTTCATCACAGGCGTCGTTGATCTGTGCGCGAGTCTCGTCGGACGTCTTAGCCGTGATACCACACGGCACAACGACCACTTGGATGCTAGCCACACGCGGGGGAAGAACCAGACCCTGGTTATCACCATGCACCATGACCATGACACCAATCGATCTCGTCGAGAGACCCCAAGAGTTCTGCCAGACGTAGAGCTTCGTCTGCCCAACCTTATCCTCGGGATCCTCGACAGAGATATTGAACATCTCCGGCCTGGAGAAGTTCTGTCCAAGACAGTGGGACGTGGCGGCTTGGATACCACGTCCAGAGGTGGAGATGAACCCTTCGATGGTAGTGGTGTAGAGACCGCCGGCGAATTTCTCCTTCTCGGATTTGACACCGGGGATGACAGGGACGGCGAGGAGCTCTTCGTATACTCGGCGGTACAGCTCGAGAATCTGGCGGACTTCGATATCGGCTTCGGCTTTGGTGAGATGCGCGGTGTGGCCTTCTTGCCAGAGGAACTCTCGTGTTCGTAGGAAGGGCTGGGGGTTCTTGAATTCCCAACGGACAACGTTGTTCCATTGGTTCAACTTGAGTGGGAGGTCACGGTGACTCTGTATCCATTTCGCGTAGTCTGAAGATTGTGTGAGCGAAGGAAAAATGATCAGCTGAGTGTTCCGTACAAGGGTACATAGCAGTCTCGGAAGTCGGACGAATAGCAATCGGTTCCTCGATATCTGAGCTACCTGCTCGTGTGACCCAAGCGACTTCGGGGGAGAAGCCTTCAATATGGTCTTTTTCCCGCTCTAGGACCTTGGCGGAGACGAACATGGGGAAGTACGCATTCTGTACGCCCATTTCTTTGATCTTAGAGTCGAACCAGTCTATGGATGTCATTTATGAGCGTGTCGTTTCCATCAATCATCGGAACGTACGTTGAATTTCTTCCCAGATGCTGTAGGACCATGGTTTGAGAATGTAGCAACCGCTGACACTGTAGTAGTCAAGCATATCAGCTTTGAGGAGCACCTGTAGGGCGGCGCATCAGGAAGAGAATGGAGGTGCTGTAGTAGTAACCCACGTTAGTATACCATGTTGAAAAGTCAACTTCTTTCTTCACACCAACGGCAATCTGGATGGCTCCCTCGATTTTCGCGTCTTCCTTGCCTTTGGCGGCCGCTTTGGGGGCAGGAGCGGCGGCGGGGGCTGCATCGGACAGATCAAGCTCTTGCAGTTTGGTATTGGCTGTCTCTAGGCTCTGGAGATAAGCAAGGATGTCCTTCCCTGTGAGGAAAACAGTAGAGCTGGATGAATGTGCGTGGAGGGCAAACTGGGACGATGAAGAGGCAATCGATGAGTCGACCACGGTGACTACTTTTGAGAAATTTCCCGCGTTGAGAGCGAGCGGGGAGACTAGACGACAGTCAGCTCCGCGACGACGAAGAAAGCAGAAAACGTACGCGAGTCCTTGTCCAAAGCAAAAAATTCCTTCAACAGATCCTCGGAAGCCAACCGCAATTCCTTTAGATTCAGCTTCTTGCCTATCGCCGCAGAGCTGGGATTGACCGATTCTGGCGCGATAACGACGACGGGGACTGGGACGGCCGTTTTCGCAGTCTTGGGTTTGTAGACAAGGGTTTTAATGAGTTCGAAGGGCCCCGATACGGACGTCGTGGCTAGCGCTGACCGCCAGGCTGCTGGAGAATCGGTTGCTGCATGCGACACGGTCGCCGTGGGCTTCAAGGACAGGGCAGCCAGTGACTGTGTTACTGAATCCATGGGTGATACCCGAGAAAAAGGTCGAAGTGAAGAAGTAAGGATAATTCGAGTCAGGCGGTGTCTTATCAGATGGCTGTTCGACACAATTCGAGTCAAGCCGCAAGGAATCATAAAAGATGAGAAAATATAAATAAAGGAAAATTCAATATGAGGGCACAATGGATATCCAAGACTTGGTACCCCGTGAACCGACCTTTTGGCTGCAAGGAGTGCCGTTGACGGGAAAAGTCAGTAGAAGAGCTACGTCGAGTCGTCATGAAGTAACATTTGCGTATTACATTCAAAAAATAAAAACTCTAGAATCTTTACCAGGCTGCCAGCTACACTGAGTACATAATTGCTTGAAGGAATAATTTCCAAGGCACACCACAAAGACTTAGGATAAATTTTTAAAAACATAGATATACTTTCACAGCTCTCTGGCTGGGAGTCGAACCCAGCTTTCGCGCGTGACAGGCGCGTGTACTAACCGATATACTACCAGAGATTATTAAATGTGTGCACACAATACATATAGGTCACAGTGTCTCCTTGTGTGTCCTGCTGACCCTCGCTTTCTTCCCTTTTTCCGTTGTCTTGATTGCATGAACTCAACTGCATATTTCGGATGCAGTCGCAAAGTATTCACTCTACCTCCACGGTGCTGTATATCGACCGCGGCATTCAATGTCGATTCCAAGGCCTTTTCAAAGACCTTGAACTTACCGAAGACTAACTTTCCTCTATGGCCCGACCGTGAAAGGAGCGAAGTTTCTCTGCGTCCAAGGATTTGCGAGGATCTGTATAGGGCACAAGTGAGCATTTCACCTCAAAATTCGCGTTATTCTCATCTGATTGCGTAGGCACGTAGAAGGGGTGGACGCGAATTTGTCTTGCATGACGGTCCTCCGTATGCTAATGGCAATCTGCATGTCGGTGAGTAGCCTGCATTCCTACTTTACCTTTTCTCACGTATATAGGACATTCCATGAATAAAATACTCAAGGACATTATCAACCGATTTCATGTCATTTCTGGAGACCGAGTACAGTCCGTTGTTCAGTTTTCCAGCAACTCGTAGCCCTCACCATCTTCGTAGATACGTTCCTGGATGGGATTGTCACGGTCTTCCTATCGAAAACAAGGCATTAAAGGACCTCGGAGTTCGTCGTTTCCTACTACCATTGAAGACAACTGCCCATGTCACTAAAGACGGATTCAAGGTCGCTTACACCATCCGACATTCGTTTGGCTGCCCGGAAAACTACCCTGCGCGAGATTGAGATACAGAAGGAGGAATTTCAGCAGTTCGGGATAATGGCTGACTGGAGTAAAGAAACTACATACCGCACTTTGGGTATGTTATCCATCCTATTCTAAATACCAACATCTAACGCGACTTCTAGATCACAAATACGAAATGCGGCAGCTAGGAATATTTCAAAAGATGGTGGAGAACGGTTCGCGGATGATTTTCTCCAGTTTGCATCATGTAACTGACAACTGTGCCCAGGTTTAATTTACAGGCACTATCGACCAGTTCATTTCTCTCCCTCTTCTCGGTCTGCATTAGCGGAAGCAGAGTTGGTATACAAGGATGATCACATCTCACACTCGGTCTATGTCACGTTTAATCTGGATGTAGCACAGTCAGGCGAAAGATATGCAAAATTTGGTCGTGATATCAAGCTCTTGGTCTGGACCACGACTCCCTGGACACTAACGGCCAATATGGTAAGCCATGAGTCTTCCTTTTTCGCATCACTCTCACCCTCTACAGGGAATTGCGGTGAATCCGGAATTGGCTTATACTTTTGTCGAGCGCGAGGATGACAGCGGAGGTCCTCTTTACCTGATCGCTACCGGACGGCTAGGTGACACTCCTACGGAGCCCGTCTTCTCTGCTCTAGGGAATATTCGCTATGTCGACAGCATCCAAGGTTGGAGCTGCGTTTTCTGAGGTTTTTCGCTTGTCCTAATCAGGAGTTTATTGTAGGGTCTGACCTCGTTGGCGCATACTACAAGCCGATCTTCTCTCATGGAGGCTCTAAGAGAATTGTCAGAGCTTCGCACGTCACATCCGAATCTGGTACTGGCCTAGTGCACTGCGCTCCTGCTCATGGTGTGGAAGACTACAACACCTTCCGGGATCAAGGTCTACTATCTGGTACCGAATCGATGCTATGCCATGTTGGTTCTGAGGGAGAATTCAAGGCGGACGTTGCCGATGTCGTCGGTGAAGCGGCTGCTCAAACTCTGGTCGGAAAGCCAGTACTCGAAGACGGATCGCGTGCGGTGGTAGCTTTACTGAAGGAAACCAATAGCTTGGTAAAAATCGAGCGGTTCAAACACAAGTATCCTTATGACTGGAGAACGGACAAACCTATTATCGTCACGTAAGTTGTGACCGTCTCTTTCTTGAATACCTTCATCGCTGATCACGTCTATTCCATCAGTGCGACTTCTCAGTGGTTCGCCAATTTAGACAAGATCAAAGACGATGCCCTGAATGCCCTTGAACACGTAGAAATGTTCCCCTCTTCGTGTATGTATAACCCTTCCTTCATGCTATACTTAAGCCCTTAATTGTCCCTCACAGCTCGTCTACAATCCTTTATTCGCTCACGTTCAGAATGGTGCATATCCCGCCAACGGGTGTGGGGCGTACCCATACCCGCCTTGTATCATATTCCTACGGACCGCGCAGTCCTGGACGCGGAATCACTTTCCCATATCCTCCCCATCCTCCAAGAGAAGGGCATCGAATACTGGTGGAACGGACCTGTCGAGGAATTCATCCCTCCTACCCTGCGGCAGACAGAAGGAGTGGATGGGTGGCGCAAGGGAACTGATACGATGGACGTGTGGTTCGATAGCGGGTCTTCGTGGTCTATGTTGGAGCAGCGTGAAGATGGACTCCGGCAGAAGTACCGGGCTGATGTTTGTGTTGAGGGCTCCGACCAGCACCGGGGGTGGTTCCAGAGTCAGCTACTTACTGCGGTGGGGTCCGGCTCGTCCTCTATTCCGTACAAGGCTCTCGTCACACATGGGATGGTCTTGGACCATAAAGGGAAAAAGATGAGCAAGTCGCTGGGTAATGTCATCAGTCCTATAACGGTAGTTGCTGGTGGTAAGGTAAGTGAATACCGCTTGTTTCAGTTTTCGAGGTTGCTCATCTGTTCTTAGGATAAAAAGAAAGAACCTGCATATGGCGCCGATCTTCTAAGGCTGTGGATTGCTTCAGTGGAGTATTGGAACGATGTGCCTCTCGGAACAAATATTCTGAAGCAGACTGCAGAGTCACTGAGAAAGATCAGGAACACAGCGCGTTTCTTGCTTGGGAATATTGGAGATATATATGAGCAGGACAACGAGGATGCATGGGAAGATGTCAAGGAGCATATGGATTTGGTAAGTTTGTGTCGAAACGTATATGGTGGTACACGTTAAGTGTGTTTGCAGGCCGACCGGTACATGATCAATGGACTGCAAAAATGCGAAGCAGAATGCGCAACGGCTTATGCTGCTTATAATTTCCCCAAAGGTCGGTGCAGCGCTGTCCATATGCCTTGCCTGTCATCTGCTGACTTGCCACAACTCAAGTTGTGAAGACACTCCAAAACCTGTGCAACATAACTCTGTCCTCCTTCTACTTCGACATAAACAAAGATAATCTCTACGCGAATCCTTTGAACGGGTACGAACGACGTGCTACTGTTTTCGTGTTGAAAGAAGTATGTCACTCCTTTTTCTACAAAGCCATGTCTCATGTGGTGTTCTCTAGATACTAGCAACTATTGTCCGTATCATGGCCCCGATTCTGCCCCACTTGGCTCAAGAAATACATGATTCGATGTACTACAAGAGCAAAGGATTGGTTTTCTTGGAACAGCCGTGGAATTGGCGAGAAGGTGGCTTCGCAATCAAAGGCTTCACGGAGGACGATGTGAAAGCGGTGAACAAGGACTCGGACAATATGATCATGCTTATGCAGGAAGTGCGCCCTGTTGTTACGTCCCTACTGGAACAGGCTCGAGAGCAAAAGTCAGTCAAGTTGGTTCGCTTCTTTGGCAATGGCTGACAACGTGTATAGGCAAATCAGAAGTTCTTTGGAAGCTGAAGTAGATGTTATTCTCCCAGAACTGCCTGATGCGGTCTCGGATGCGCAAGAAGAAACTACATTACTCGAGGACAACAGGAAAACAGGACTTGCTCAAATTTTCCGAGATCATGGTACGCGTTGATAACCTTCCCTGGCGGAGCTTCGTGTTTACCCAGTTCCTGCAGAGGATTTCATGGCGAAGCATTTCATCGTGTCCAGAGTCACAGTAATGGACGAAGGGTCGCTCGGGACTGCGTCGCCGGAATGGATCTATGTTCGTAGTTTGAGCATACTGGGAGAAGGTTCCTCGAAGCCTGCATCTGCCCTCGGAACCGAGGACTCCTATGATGTCGCCATCCGAGTTCGTCCTGCTACGAGGGAGAAGTGTCCTCGGTGTTGGACCTTCACAAAGGAGGCTGAGGATGTATTATGCCAGAGATGTGCAGATGTCACACAGGATATGGATTAGTAGATCTACATTAAAGCTGAAGGGACCTTATTTGTACGATAGAAGCTTAGATAGTACCCAAAATCGTAGTTCCATCTCATTCGTAGTTCACATAGATCAGTGAGTACAACGGCAATTGTAGGCAAGTTAGCTAGCTAATCGACGTCGCAAGACTCATCTGCCTCGTCAATGTACCACAGCTGGGCATCGCTCCCGACAGATGGGGCAAGTATAACCTATAGAACTTTGTCAGCTCGTGTCAGCTAAGAGCTTCTAAAAGCTTACAGCGCCTTGGTAATTGACCGGATTTTGAACAGTCCATACGAGATCCTCGTAGGGAAGCTTGATCTAGAAAGCAGAGTCAACAACAACTCGCTTCTCAAATTTACTCAAGTACTTACTACGTACGAGTCTCCGCCTGCAGGCGAGATGGCAAACGTTGTTGCGTTCCCCTCACTCGTGGTAGTCACTAGACGTTTATCCTTGCGCGTAGTGAATTAAGTACTCATGAGATCAGAGAGGCGGACATCACGTACTTCAGCCTTGATGAATCCGCCAGTGGCCACATTTCCAATAGTGTATCCGCCTTGAGTCTTGGAGAGTGTCCACTGTAGTACAATGAGTTCGAACGAGAGGACAGTCAAAACTAAAAGACTTGACTTGTTCATGTTCACCGCCCTCAACGTTGACGAAAGGAACGTAGATATCCCTGTCCGGTGTGTACGAGCGGACAGAGCTTTGAGAATGTTCGTTCTCAAACAGGACTCTTTGTTCTCCAGAAGTGATCTGAGTAGAGATGAGAAAACGCGGGAGACATAATATGCCGTTGAAGGGATACCTCAGGAGGAAGCTGAGCAAAAGCGACCAAGAACAGAGACGAGAGAACTAGCAACTTGTCAGAGACCATAGTGCGGATAGACGCTCTGGCTGTGTACGATAGTTCTCTTTATACTACAACGAAACTCCATGGAACTATTCGGTCCGCCGCCTTATCCACGGATGCTCGAAGGAATTCAATTTTCTTTGGAAATTAGTACCCAGACGTGGCTTCCGAGCAGGAACGTGTCAAAGCCATGGCTGCTGGGCTCATAGTTCCCGTTGCTCGCAAGCATGGTAACACTAGAACTTGAAGCTTGATAAGCTTGAAAGCTCGGACGGTACCGAATGCCATAGACAGGAGCGAAACGTCAACGTTAGTATTTATTGAAGTTGTAACCTTCATCCCGAGGAATTTATATAAGAGGGCGAGGATCACGGGCACCAGAAACAAAGTAGGAAGGGGAAGCTTTCTCGCACCACCCCTGAGGACCATATGCAGCCGGCTGCACTCTTACGTCCGATCTCGAACTTGCCAATATAATACAACCAGCGATCGACCAGCAAAAAAAAACATCAGTAAGGGTAAATAGTGTATGTCTGACGGAGTGGGGTCAATTGCAAAGGAGACAAGGCGGACAAGGACAATAATAGGCAATCTCTCGGCCAGATCTCTCGATAGCCCATGACACCGGAATCATTGCCCGACTGAAGTCCTCCAAGTCTTTACAGTCAAAAGGAGGTAGGACTGTTCCCAGTGATAACGCGCCGAAACATGAAAATCGCCGAGGGATATTCCTCTATCGCAAGGCGCCGGTGTACACACTCGAACTCTCCGACTCTTTCCGTTCGCTCAAAGCATCATCCGTCTGGTAAAGTATCCGATAGAAGCTTGGCCCGTCTAGTCGAAATATGATGTATTATTTGTGTGTCGTGAAATGCCAAATGGAGTGCGGGTAATTACAAAAGTGTTGATGTATATGTAAAATGAAAAAAATGCTTGTGAGTAATAGTACCATGTAGTACAGAAACAAAAGGAATTAAACCTCGTCAGATCCACCTTCCCGTCATTATCGTCATGTCATCAAATGCTCTAAGGAGGATAATTAAGCGAAAGACCACTACTAGGTCCATTCCTCCAATTGCGCGGAGGCTGTGGCCCACCGCCGCGACTCCCTCCAGGAGGACCGCCACGCGGATGGAAAGGCCTACTGTTATTAGGCCTCGAGCCTCTGAAATTATTATTACCACGACCACCGCCAGCGTATCCTCCTCGGGGCGGTCCAGCGTTAGGAGGATACTGAGGTGGGCCGCCGGCTGGGTTGTATGGGTAAGAACCGAATGGGGGTCCTCCAAGAGCGGGGCCACCGTATCGCCCGGGAGGTGGACCGTTTCCGTAATAAGACGGTCTAGGAGCAGGAGGCAGAGGTTGCACAACCGGCCGGTGAACAGGTGCACGTTGCCCACGTCTATCGAATTCATGGGACGCTTCATATGTAGGCAGACTAGATCGTACGAGACTTTAGCCATTACCAGGGACTATTCAAACCAAGACCGACCTTTTTGGATCCGCGGGTAACGGGTCAGTCCAAAAGTATTCGTGATCCAGCGCCTGAGCTGCCGTAATGCGCTCTTTGGGATTACACGTCAGAAGTTTATCGAGAAGGTCGACTGTCTCAGGCTCCACGCTAATGGAGGTACGAAGGCGCGAACCTGGTGAGCATAACTGGATGGGTTATGAGAGGGCAACCAACCTGACAAATTTCATCTTGATCGTCCGAGGAAGAGATTGTGTGAAACGAGGAAGACCTTCACACCCTGGCAGTGTGTCGTAGTTTGGCCACGAATGCTGCGTGGGAGTTCCACAGAGTTGCCATATTTTTTCCAGCTGATCAATGTCGGATGTTCCAGGCAATATGGGACGACGGTTAAACATCTCTCCAAGAACACATCTGAAAAAACCATTAAATCAAAGGTAACCGGTTCGAAAGAACAGCGTACCCAATACCCCAGATATCTACTTCGCCACCATACTGCCTCGCACCTAAGAGCAGTTCAGGAGGTCTGTACCATCGTGTCACAACACAATTGGTATATTTCCGTTCCCTGCCTCTGTGATCTGCAGGTTTGGAATCATAAGCTCGAGCGAGACCAAAGTCAGCTATTCGCAAAGATCCCGTGTTGGAAATGAGCAAGTTCGCGGCCTTCATATCACGGTGCAGAATATTGTTCTGGAATAAGAGTGGGTAAGAAGCAAAATTCAGCTAATATATGGAAAGGGTAACTTACACGGTGCATGTACTCTGTGCCTTCTAATAACTGCTTCATATATAATTTAATTTGACTGGGCTGTAGTTTGACTCGCTCATTATCTAGAAGGCCAGCGAGATCATGGTCCATATATGGGAACACCATGTACACAGTGAGAGGCTCGTTCTCGTTGCCTAGAACACCATTAACACGTGCCGTCAGGAAAGTCGAATAGACTTACTGCGAACCACAAACATGTCCAGAATTTCAATGATACAAGGGTGCTTGAGGGCCTTTAGGATCTTGATTTCTCGAAGAGCCGTGACGGGCATTCCCTCTTTTTCGTTATGCATGAGGATTCTCTTCAGTGCCACGAGCTTGCCGGTCGATTTCTGAACAGCCTTGTGGACTTCACTAGAATATACACAAAAATGATTCAGACAGAGAAGTTGGGAACTCCGTTGTGAAGAAATACACCCACCCGAAAGTACCTTCACCGAGTTTCGTAGTAACATCATAATCACTTTGCAGTCCGCACCCTTGAAATACGCGTCCATAAGCCAGCTCTTCTTCCTTTCTTGACCGGCGCGGAGCAAGTACTTTCCGAACTGGCTTTTTTGGTGATTCCGTGGATTTTCTTGGTGGTTCGCCATTCACAGGTTTATGAGGTAAGGACATGGACGGTGGTACGTGTCCTTCATTGGGCGCGGGTGGTCGTTTGAGTGGAACATAGTAGCTGTTATGATGAGGCGGGGGCTGATCCCATTCCTTAAGGCGTTCATCTGGAGGGGGAGGAGGAGGGGGAGACATTGTAGGAGGAGGAGGGGGACCATCTAAAGGTCGCAAAGGACGGTCGTCGCGTATAGGATCCGTGGGAGATTGAGGCCGATACGCGGGGGATTTGCTAACCGGCGGCCGACCAGCGGGTGTTCGAGCATCGTCCTCGTAATCGAGATACGGTCGGGAACCCTTGGACGAGGATGCTGGAGACAATGGCATATAGCGGTCCATTTTACGGCGCTCATTGCCATGACCCCAGTTGTCTTCTCTAACACCCGAGTCTGAAGTGTCGTCGCGTCGAGGCCACTCTCGACCACTAGCTCTGCGGTAGTCGTCGTCGGGACGGTAGAATCGGTCACTTCTCCGGTCGCGAGAGTAATGACGGTCGTCTCGATCTCCGTAGTAGTTTCGGTCCCGACTAGAGTCGTAATCCCTCCTATCGTAGTAATCCCCACGTCGGTCATGCAACGGTCGATCCCAGTCTCTGTCATCCCTTCGACGCGAACCAAAGTTGGGCTCCATTGACATATCCAGCCTGTCAATGAGACGGTCTCCTCGGTGTGATAACGTTGGTGACAAAGGTGACCGTGGATGCAGAGCAGGGTAGTCAGAAGGATATCGGTTGGGTCGTGGCTGGCGAGAATAATCACGGTGACTACCTCCCATACTGGGATCCCAATGATCCATTCTACTCTTGGAGTGATTCTCGCTACTACCTCCATTTTCCCGGATCTTCTTTCCGCTTTCTGTAGACCTTTCATATCCTGAGGACGATGAAGGCTTAGCTTCTCCCAAAAGGATAGACGTCGACGGTACTATCTGAGAGGCGGGCTTTTTCTTGAATGGAAAAGGGACTCGAATTTTTCCCTGAGGGGCCTCAGAAGGTGGTATTGGTGCCGCGGATGGGGGTGGCGTCGAAGAGTCGTCCAGCTCTCCTTCCTCAGGTGAAGAGGGTTCCCGTCGTTTCCTAGGAGGTTCACCATCGGATGAATTCGAATTTCGCCTCTTCTGTCCTCCCAGAGGCGAAGAAACCATAGCGAAAGGAAACGAATAGACGAGCAACGGTGGAAGAAATTACGAAGAGCCTTCAGTGGCTGTGCTCAAAGTCCAGCTCAATAGCCTCCGAACCAAATACGAACAACTAAACAGCTCAGCGTGATGCGTTTCTCTTTCGTCGACGATAATGTCATCAACTCTGCCTCCAGGACTTCATGGCGAATACGAGGAGCACATATCTGGTGGCGACGCGTCGGAATGGGAGAAATTTCATAAAATACGTTATTACACCAACGCTTTCATTGTCCAAGGCGAAAAGGTACTAGCCATCCTAATTTGTGTCCCGCGTACCGAACTACGAAGTAACTGTTGCCCAGCTCCTCTTGGGGCACAAAAAAAGGGGATTTGCTGAAGGAATGTACGTGTTTCAGCTCCTCTAGTGTTGGTTATTTCATAGTACGTTAGGTACAATGGTTTTGGTATGGCTTAGCTTGTATCACGGAGTCAAGCAACTCACTTCCTATTTTTCAGGCGGGAAGGTAGAATCAGGGGAGACGAGTGCTGAGGCAGCCTTGCGAGAACTGAAGGTTTGTTTATATATATACTTTATTTGTTCACTCCGTCCATGACTCATTCATGACTCAGGAAGAAGCCGGTATCCAAGCACCTCTGCAGCACTTTGCCGTTCTTTTTTTCACTCTAGAAGGCTTAGAATCTTCCTTCTACATTGACATATATCGTGCAGCCGATTTTTCCGGGGACATCGTCGAGTTTGTGTTTTCTGTAAGCCAACTTCGTTCCGTGATTGACGTACGCCGTAGAACCGATGAGATGAGGCCGCAGTGGTTCAAATTTCCTGGATCCATTGCAGATCTGCCCGATATCCCCTTGGAACATATGTGGGAAACCGACAAGTATTGGATGCCGCTCTTGCTGTCGAACAGGCAGTTTGCCGGACGCGCAGACTACAAGATTATTGATGGCGAGACACGCCCTGTGAAATGGTGGATAGGAACCACCCATAGATCTTAATTTCTTTATCATGTTAGTGCTCGGCGGCATGATCAATGATCACGGACTTCTTCGTGTGCCGTCCTTTCACACTGTCTGGGAAGCAATCTATTTCTTTCCACATTATATTACTGAGCTCCTTGGAGAATTTTACGCAGCTCCTATGCTACCTCGCAATTCACCTCTCACGCTAGCCTCATGCGAGCACAAGACGATTATTCTCGCAGAAGAAAGGTCAAGGACCCCGATCAATTCCACAGCTTTCTGTCTTCGATGGTTCCTCGAGCTTCAATATGCATGCCTAAGAACTTCCCGAGGATCAGAACTTCTTCATTTTTTATTAGAGGACCAAGTTATTTGTCAATGAAATGAAGCGGCAATTCCGGATCAGTATCAGACTGTGCACAACAAAGCACAGCGGAAGGTGAGTTGCATCTGATCAACGGGGATTTCTACTGACATCTCAGTTGGCTTTTCAGTCTCGCCTGAGAGACCGCTGAAAACTTCTAGTCAATGTTCACCCAGGCATCATCCTTTTCACCACAAAGTGACTCTCGCCTCCCAAGCGAGTTAGACTTGTGGGACATACAGGAACATAGCCTTTCAAGCCGGCCGACAATGAGTAGACATTTCCTGGTACCGAGATGGGGCAGCATGCGAAAATCCGCCAGACATTTCCCTTGCAATGCTTGGTGATATCGACCGACAATGCCTCCAGGTACAGTCAAATAATACATTTGTTTACAAGTCACTCAACTGCTACAATTTTCCCATGAATTCAATCATTCCTTTCTTGCCAATACACCTTCCAGCAAGTTCAGAGCCGCACCAGCCGTTCCCCAAGATGACTGATACCCGTACCCACCGTGACCATAATTGAATACCAATGGAATATTACCCGAAGAATCGACTTCGAGTCGAACACCCCCATTCCTTCCCGGTCTAAGCCCGCACCCGTCCTCGATCACGATGGCCTCGAGGTCCGCGACGGTTGGCTCTCTTACCGCGCGAACTTCGGGGGGCGCTATATTCGGGTACAGTTTGATCACTCGCTCCAGTATCTCCCGCTTCGTGTCCGAACGCGCCGTAGGGTACCAATCATCCACCAAAAACGTTCCCCCAACAATCACATCTCCGCTTCGACGGGGGATCACGTATGAAATGGCACCGCTAGCTGTGTGAAAACATGGCATTTCCTTCACCCAAGGCGCCCGTACGATGACGGTTTGTCCACGAATGGGATACATGTCCTTGTCTTCGACACCGCCGAGGAAACGAGCTCCGAGCCCCGCACATACCACAACGGCTGCTGGTTTCGGGCAATTTTTTGCACCGGTGAACGCCCCAGCACCACCTTCAATAATTTGCTTAACGTGCTGAACTTGGCCTTTGACGACAGCGCCTCCCTTGCTGAGGAAACGCGAAAAGAGATAGTTGAGATAAACGGGCACGTCGATGGTCATCGTAGTGAAAGATGATCCGTCGACCATAGTGGGAATAAGTTCTTCTTCGGTCAAGTATTTGAACTATAAAGATCGCGTCAAATCATTTGAAAAAAACAACAGTGTCTGACTTGCGTCGGGCATGAACTCCCACACCGACGGTTTCTCGAGTTGGTGTCCAGCGTATGATACCATCTTAAGTCGCATAAAGCACCCTGCTGCATCACTCCCAGGGGCTGATAGGTCCCACATTATACGGAACGTCTCCTTGTCCATTTCTATCACTTCATAAGCGAGAATCAATGTCATCCAGTCAGCTGGACGTACCTAGCTGATTCAGATGCATACCAGGGGAGTCAGCAGAGGTGGCGTGTTGTGCGCCCTTGAGTTCCTGTGTATGAACTGTTCATAAACCAGGTAACTGGGTTGACTCACTGCCCAATGGCTTGTATATCTGCTCGTCTTCGGGTCGGTGGGTAAAGTTTCTGCTATGATAGTGACATGATATACTCCCTTCTCTTGGATTTTCAGGGCGGTAGTCAGACCGATGACTCCTTACAATCGTGATCTTCTTCAGTACGTGTAGAAAGAAGGTAAAGAGGGGCATACCTGCTCCGATAACGATGATCTCAGTAGCAGTCTCGGACATTCTTAACTCGAGTATAATGTCGGAGGAATTGATACTTATCGTTTGAGCAAACCGGGATTGCACTGAGCCAAACGCTTTATCGTTATGCCTCCGTGATATCTCCGGCGGTGATATCTACCAGTTATCTACCTTATCTGCAAAGATCTATAACGTCTGTAAATATGTTGCAATTTGTGTTGACTGCATGCGGAGCTCCGTCCGAGTTACGAACTCTCAAAGTAATTAGTCAAGACTCAGTTACTCGTGATTTCGGTTGGTGTGTCGTGGGCCACGGCACACCAATGCCACGGCCCGCGACCTTTCGCCTGGTGGTCTCGGGCCTGCCCCGGTTTCTCCGGGCCGATCAAAGATGACGCTACCCTTTGTTGTATCAGCAGAGGTGGCCAATCAATCCAGTTTTCCAGTTTGCCGGAAGCCGCAACCAGTCCTGCCGCATTTGCCGCCATTTCCACTGTCACTCGAGCCTCTGGTATCCGATTACAAGAATACAACAGTTCTTCTCTGTACTCTCCTTTATTTAAGTTTGCGCTTGGTATATGAAGCCGGAGCTGCGGCACTTTGCGGAGACATCCGCCATCACACTTCTACCATCTGGAAAATGCTGGTGAAAGTAGTCTTGTCCCGTTCTCGGTTTGCTTCGAGCCTCATTTCTCCCCAGGTGGTAAATTTTAAGTTGATGCTTGTCGCAATTTCCTGGAATGACAGCCGTCCGAGTCGCCGCTGTGGATAATAATTTTGCTTACTCTTCTACTCCGCACACCGTCTCTATAGGATGCAATTTACCTGTGAGGAAAGATTTCCAGTAGCAGTCTTCCTGTCTGAAGTATCTCAGTGTCAGTGGCTTCACTGTCCCAGTCGTCGAAATATGGAGTGATTACAGAAATATCTCCGCGTAATGATTTTTGGCAGACTCTGCGAAAAGCCCTGAAGCTATAGTTATTAGAAAGCGCCGAGTTTTCTGATTATCACAACACACAGGTCTTCTTCATTTATTATATTTTATACTTTGAAGGGATGTCGACACAAGTGAGCCAGCTTCTTGGGCTAGTCCAATATCAGCAACTTCGATCCCTAAAGTAGGCACTACTGCTGTTCCTATTATCTTTGCTTACAGGAGTTACACCTTCACAGATTGTGAGTATTACTTCGTCTACAACGTCAATCGTCGCATGGGGCTTTCACATAAGAGTGCTTGCAACTCCATAATAAAAGAACTTCTCTTGAATTATTCCGAATCACAGGCTCCACTTAGTACACAAGATTACTTATTTAGATGTGGGTATATACGCAATCATGTGGACGTTCGACAGATTGTTTAAGCCCTCTACTTTCGCTGGACTGGGATCTATGGAAAGGATTTAGAATCTCTGTGCCAAAAACCAAAAGCAGGACATGGCACAAACCAGAAAAATGTACCCACTTCCAAAGGCCTATAGACCGGAGCTTGGGCGCCATGTACGCTGTGGGTCGGAGGGAAGTAAAAGACGACGGCTTGAGAGACTCTCTGAGCCACCCCTGATTCCACCCACCCAGCGCTGCTTAGATCGCTAGCAATCACGTTGACCCAATGCCTACACCCCTCGTGACTATCAGTGAATTTGTAACGATCACGTCCATTCCTGATGATAAGGCTGAAGACGTGTTCCACGGTGAGGCCGGGAACTGTCGCCCCCGAGACCCTGAAGCAGCAGTTCTGGGTGAATGCGTATCTCGTCGAGGAGACTTCCAACAGGCCGGGATATTGCGATGACTCTCCCGAGCGCATGTTGAGTCGAACGGACGAGTTAGGTCCTGTCTGAAGGAAAATCATCCAGTGGTTCGTCGGCCGTACATCTTCTTCTGTCTCCTCCTTGTTCGAGGCGCACCAGTGGAATTGAAGAATGGGCGATGAAAGATGCGACATGACAAGATCCTCCGCATCCCAATGGCACTCGGGATCATACGGATATCGGTCAATGTATTCGGCGACTGGCAGGGACGCGTTGGACATCTGAAGCGCTGTCAGAACTGAAAAGGGATGAAAACATGAAAGTAGACACCTTTCGAGGATGCAGGGAAGGTTGAGTCAATGAGACACTCCTTCATACCTCGCCATTTATAAATGTACCTTGTCCACGACACGCGACCTTTCGACGGCAGTAGAGCCCAATAAAGACGGATCGATAAAACCTATGATGTAAGATGAGCAGTCGCAAGCCAGGCCGGAATTAGAAGACATTACCCGGGTGGTGCTCAAAATATTCCTCGACACATCGATGCGAAAAGCAAGCAAAGAATTTGGGGGTGACAGGAAGTAACCGAGTCAGATTTACAACAGCTGCAATGCAACGAGCTCCGAGTACCTGGAATCAGGCACTTCGGGTATCCAAATCTGACAATACAATGCGAACCAGTTCCCAGCACACACACAAGGATCAAAAATTTACCCTCACCTGTGTAGTACCTGCGCCGCTGATAGTTAATTGTCTGGCAGGCTACTTGCTTATATTGGAGGAGATAGATGAGGTCAAATTTATCGATCTTCACGTCGTTCATATGAGTATAATGAAACCTTGTATCGGCGTCTCGGGTTGTGTCATAACATGCAAAACTTTTTCTTGAGAATTGTTCGACGGAAGTGTTGCGGCTCGGCCCGATGATGACGATCATCGATCAAGGTTTCCTGTGGCTGTGCCATGTCAACCCTGTAAAATGATGTCAACATCGAGCCTGTAATGCACAGGAATTAAAGAACCGGAAACATACGCTAGACATTCATCTCATAAAAGAGGTAGTAATTTTTTGGCACAGTAGCGATCGCATCTAAATTTTATGATCACATCTTTGATGGCTCCCTTCACCACAGCCGAGGAACTCTGCGCATTCACCGAGAAGGCAACTTTTGCTTATCTGGGTCCGTAGCTGGCACGTGAACGAACATCATCCCCTCCCCTCTTCGCGCAAGCACGCGCCCCAAAGTTACCATCTATCCATTGTCGATAGAGTGCCTGTAATGGGACTATTAGTTAGTGGCAACTCGGTCCTCTGGGAAAATTCATGGTCGACGCTAAGATCATGATGGTCGCAAATAGCAGCGCAGGCGATGCGTCCAAGCGTTGCAGGCTATGACATCACCTGTCTCGGTTTCGGATCTACAAAGGTTCGAGCGATCGCAGAGCATGTTCACAAACGCCGAAACGCGTAGGGCTGTAGTAGCGCCAGTCTCGTAAACGGTATTTATTTCCAGACCATCAGCGGTGGATGTATCCCATATATTGGGAGTGGAGTGATTTTCACTGAACGAGTGAACCGTCATGTGAGCCTTCTAAGAATACATTACTGGATAACGGGAGAACAGGCGTTGCCATCGGAATCAAAGAGACGAAATATCTTCGGAAAACTCTCTTGCTAATATGGCTATCTACCGGTTGTTCCATGAGATATGTCGGGTAAACAAGATAACAGGAAATGCGCGTGTTTATTGATGGTTCCCCATTATGTTGACCTTTCCAGTATAGACATTGTCAGTTGCGGGAGCAAGGCTTGTCAACAGTCGCGTTAATCGGAGCAGAAGTCAACGAGAAAGAGAGATTCACTTGCATCACTTCACTATCGATTTCCAGTCTTCTAGATGAGCTGGATCCCATGTGTTAAAAACATGAAATTCTTTCGTGGAGTCTGTGTGATTGACGAGACCGAGCCTAAATTTGGTAGCTTCGTTCTCATGGATTATAACGTTAAACCCACATACGGCTTATGACTCATAGAGGCGTGAATACGAAGTCAGTGAAGATGAAGCAGACCGACGGACTTCGACGACACCCAGGCACTTGCATCTCCTCTGGGGATAACACCTCTGGCGTGGATTTTTATGTCATCTTCCGACCCACTCGACGCGGGGTTCATTTCCCGCTTAGAGTCATCACCCATCCAGGAACTGTGTATATAGTTAACGCTTAATTCTATTCACGGACCGTTACCGAGAGGTGACAATGAAGAAGGGCCCGGATGGATCATATTCAATGTCCTTGAAGACGCGCGGCAAGGACTAACAATAACGGACTTGTGTCAGAGCTATACAGAAAGAGAAAAGATGCATACTAAATCATTCCCATGAATAGAGCACGGGAACGCGCGAAACGACCTTTAGACTCGGCCTTAGAACATCGACGATACTGAATATAGAATTCAAGTGGATCGCGAGCAGCAAAATGAGACCATTTTGAAAGTGCTTAGGGACAGAGCCGATGGTCCAGCAAGACAGTATTTGCATCTTCTAACAAAGTCTTGATATAGCTGAGTATTGTTTTTGCGATGTGGGGCCATAGGGTTGGTCCGCTGTCCCATGACTGTAAACACGCCTTCATTTGAGTGCCAGATTGACAAGCCGCACCGTATACAATGCGACTGCGTAAATATATAACGCTCCCACCCCTTCATGCTGATAAGTTCAGTGAGAGTCCCGGCAGAAAGCGGTTTTCAGCACGCAAAAAGCCGCTATCGAGCATGTCTACTTACACGCTTGTTGTAGAAAGTTCTGTTCGGAATAGTAACGGTGAGTAGGGGTCCCAAGTGAAAGGTGGCTCGTTTCTTCGGTACCTGCACGCTTCGACCTTGAGTATTCAAATGAGTAATGAACTCAGGATGCTTACAAAACTGACGGGCATATGTATCATCCGTCACTTCATCGAGTCCTCGGAAACCTTCCGATTCACATCGTAATGGTAAGGTCCTATTTACACGGATGGTCTACTTCCATTAGCCATATCTTGATAAATCCAAGATGAGGCCGAGATTAACGATGTGATGGTCTTGGGTTTCCTCATCATGATACCTACTTGAGACTGTCCTGAAAAGATAGCCTTACATTGGTTTGACAGGGGCCAGCGGTCAGAGGGTATCTCTTCCGAATGGTATACCGTACGTACCAAAAGAGTGAGGCTCCGAGTCGATAGTAGTTGCGCAGCAAAGGTACGACTTAGTGATGGATTCAAGACACCTATACATCAACCACAAACTGTCACGGGAGAAGTGGAAGTATGTTGGACTTTCGTCGACCCTGTGGGGAGCTAGGAAGACGTGGGGAATGATGGCTGTGTGCATTCCATTTGCCGATACCGTTGGTCGGCAAAAACCAACAAAACCGACTCGAACGTATTTCCTGGTAAGCAGCAGAAATATCCCCGTTTCATTGTACTGAGTAGAAACGCAAGTCCTGCGCGGCACGGTCCCGCCGTAAAGCATTCATGGAACGGCCGAGCGTCTCTCCAGAGTCCAGACCACTGAAGATTCTCAGAAAGCAGTGTGCCAGAATGATAGCGCATCAGAATCAAGTTTCAACCAAACCATACTAGCACTGGCAGTACTGTTTGAAGAAAATTTTCACCCCATCGCAACAGACTTGAAAAGAACAGCTTTGAGGCCCTCGGTCAAGAAGAAACGTGCGTGCCGAACTCGCCCAAAAACGGAAATTTGCGCTGTTCGGCATCCGGTCCGATGCCGAATTCGTCGAACCATTTCTTTCTCGACATCCATGACGGTGGACAACAATGTTGGTAAGGACTGTTCTGCTGCAGGACGTGCTTTGATTAACATTGCTGTAAACAGACTTTAGCCTCTACGGTGGAGCAGAGACCACGAAAGAACCTAAAAGTACACGTTCACCGCGTCGAACAGTTGTAGTGACGCCTACTGCGCAAGACGATGGCAAATCATACCCAGGACCACCGCCCAATCCCAATGATTTCCTTTGGCTCATGACAGAAGAGCCCCACAAATCACGGCGAACTGCTATAATGAAAGTTCATCCAGAGGTGTGTATACTGCCTGTTTCTCGTATCCGTGTCACGGTTGAACTTCGCTGTAGGTCACAAAATTAATGGGACATACTCCAGTGACAAAATATGTCGTCTTCTTTGTCGTGACCCTTCAACTATCTATTGCCATATACCTTCGTAATACCCACCCCCTCTCATGGCGCTTCATTGCTTGGGCATATATTGTCGGTGGGACCGCCAATCATAATCTTTTCCTCGCTATCCACGAAATATGTCATAACCTCGCCTTTCGTGGTATCGCTGCTAACAAACTTCTGTCTACTTTCGCCAACCTCCCTATCGGGATACCCTACTCGGCAATGTTCAAAGTAAGTGGATTTGACCCTTGAGAAAATACGAGCCTCATTTTTATGCACAGAAATACCACATGGAGCATCACAGGTACTTGGGGGAGGATGGTGTCGACACCGATCTGCCCTCTAGACTAGAATTGCTTTGCCTGAACAACGTCCTTGGCAAAGTTTTCTTTGCGTATGTTCACAGTCCGCCTTTTGATACATATGATGAACTCACAGGGCTTTGAAAGGACCTTCCAAATATTGTTCTATGCCCTCCGTCCGACATTCATCAGATCACAGACTCTTACCCGTTGGCATTTCCTTAACATCAGCGTCCAACTGGTGTTCGACTATTTCTTCATAATGCGATTCGGTATACCCTCTTACCTATACTTCATCTACAGTAGCTTCTTCGCCGGAAGTTTACATCCATTAGCAGGCCATTTCATTGCTGAGCATTACCTGTGGGATGGGCTCCCACAGGAGACTTACAGCTACTACGGTTGGCTCAATATCTTCGCATATAATGTTGGATACCACAACGAACACCATGACTTTCCTTCAGTTGCTTGGACCCGTCTTCCAGCTCTTCGCGCCCTCGCACCCGAATTCTACGACACTATTCCATCTCACCCGTCTTGGCCAATGGTGACCATCAATTTCATTCGGGACAAGGATGTGGGTATCTTTGCTAGAGCAAAACGGGTATCCAAAAAGCATCTCGCGATGCAACCAAAAGCCGACGGAAAGGATATGGAGAACGATGATGCCAATGTTTTGAACGCGTCAAGTAAAACCTTGTAATATACTTACATGGAAAATACTATACCTCTTCGACCAGGGTTTCGGAAGGATACGGGATTATTTTTTGCCGAGGCCAAGTGGATAGCTCGGCACTATCCGACACCTGTCGCGTCCATCTTATCGGGTGAAAAGTCGACTGATATGCAGTTCCTCCCATCACAACCCTCTTACAGATCTTTCCCATGGAGCAACTCAAGAATATAGTTGTTATCGGTGCAGGAGTGATCGGATTGACTACTGCGTTGAATATCCAAGAAAAAGGAGGATATGCCGTGACCATTGTAGCTGAAGTCTTGCCATCAGATCCCAAGACGATAAAGTACACGAGTCTCTGGGCGGTACGTGATGTTCTTGTTCTGTATTCAATCCTCTTACTATTCGGTCTCAACAGGGGGCTCATCATGTCAGCCATGCAGAAAATGACCCGCGACAGTTTAGTACGCCCACTCTACGCAGTCAATATGTTTTCCGTGTGTGCTAATGGTCATGAAAGAACTCGACTCGGATACGTTCAAGGTTATGTGGGAACTCTCTGCTCCGGGGGGAGCAGCAGAGGCCTGCTTCTTGCGACTCCCACAAATTGAGTATTACGGTCAGAAGTCGGAACTCGATCCTCACCATCTATCGTGGATGCCAGACGTACGCAAACTATTTGGCATGGTATCATATACTGAGACGTGTACTTTCTAGTTCAAAATCTTACCGGAAAGCTCTCTGGTGCCAAACACTCTAAGCGGGGTGTCGTTCAGCACGCTTACCATCGATACGCCAGTGTATCTCAATTACTTGCTCTCCCGTTTCCTTTCTAAGGGTGGTGCCATTGTCCGTGGAGCCGTCCAGGATATTGCTCAGGTCGTGGAAGGCGGAGTGAGCATCTTTACTGGAAGCAAGATTCCCACGCCGCCTGATGCTGTAATCGTCTGCGCAGGCCTTGGGGCTAGATTTCTGGTGGGAATTGAAGACAAGGACTGTTACCCGATCCGCGGGCAGATCCTGTTGATTAGGGCACCGTGGATCAGGTTTGGTAGGACAATCAGCACGAAGGAAGGGCTTTGGACGTATATTATACCGAGAAGAAGTGGTGATGTGAGTGCCTTCCGAGTATTGCGTTGACTCCGTTACCGACTGGCAATTTTAATACATAGGTCATTGTAGGTGGCACGAAGATCGACGATGATTGGTATGTTCCACAAGACACGTTGCACGTGCAGACTTGTGTTTGATGGTCGATTTAGGTACCCCAACCCACGGCCCGAAACCTCTGAAGACGTTCTTGAGCGCGCGTTTGCACTATGCCCGGAGCTCGCACCGCCAGAGATCCGCGCACAACGGGCACCTACAATTGACGATGTCCGGCCAATCATCATTTCAGAAGGGTGTGGTTTGAGACCCGGAAGGAGGGGAGGTATACGGCTTGATGTCCGATGGACAGAAAACAGCGGAAAGAAAGTTCCTCTCATCAGCAACTATGGGTCAGTGATACGCCGATTGTTTCTCTGAGTTATCGGAAGCTAATTCTGCACGACCTTACTTAGACATGGTGGCCAGGGATTTCAATCGTCGTGGGGATCTGCGTTTTCTGCCACTGAGCTTCTAGAAAATGCATTGAAGGAGATTTAAATGTTGAAGTATATTGTTTGTGAAAGTATCAAGGGTCCGAAGACCTATAAGTAAAAGAATTTGAAATCGATTTGAACGAAGTGCCTATCATGATGCCGCGGCCGGGCCTTGGCTTCCTCTATCTTGTCGAAGTATCTCATGGCGTCTCAAATCACTGACTCTAAGAAGGATATCGTTGTGATCGGTGCAGGTAAGTAAGCCTCGTCGCAGTTTGATTGACGTTAACCTGCTTCTTAGGCGTGATTGGTCTGACGACTGCTCTGCGGATACAAGAAACCGGGAAATACCATGTCACCATTATCGCGGAGACATTACCAAGCGATCCGTTGACCATAAGATACACAAGCCAATGGGCGGTGAGTCCTGCAGTTCATCTGCGCTCGTCCGAGGTGCGATCATATGCTAGGGAGCCATACACTCCGGCAGTTCTCAAGCTTACGTCGACGAAGCACATCCGAAACAATCAGGTCGGTCTTTCTGTTCTATAAATAAGTAAGCCTGACATAAACACTCACGCCGCACGATGCGTTCAAGAAATTGATAATGAAACGTTCAAGATCATGTGGGACCTATCTGCTCCAGGCAGTGAAGCTGAAAGATGCTTCAAGCGGCTCACGAAGAAGTCATACTACGGTGAAGTAAGACCAAAACCACACCTCTTAGAGTCTATGCCTGATGTACGCTTCTATTATTCCTATTTTCAAATCTGGGCATACCAAACTCATCCTAATAGTTTCGATACATAGATCCCGGAGAGCTTCCCGAAGGATCTGTCGAGGGCGTGTCTTTCAGCACCTTCTCGATTGACGTGCCGATATACCTCAATTACTTACTATCTCGATTTCTCGCACATGGAGGTGCAATAGTACGCGGGCAAGTCCAGCATGTGTCCCAGGTCATGGAAGGCGGCGTGGGTCCATTCACCGGTGCAAAGAACTCAAGTAAACCGGCCGCGGTTGTCGCATGCGTTGGCCTCGAAGCAAGGTTCCTGGGTGGTGTGGAGGACAGAGACGTGATCGCAATTCGTGGGCAGACCATCTTGTTGAGGGCACCGTGGGTAGATGAATGCATTCACACCTACGATGGGCCGTTAAGTTACGTCATTCCCAGGCGTAGCGGGGATGTCGTTATCGGAGGGACATTCGTAAAGGATGATTGGTATCCCCGTGCTCGCCTAGAAACAAGCAAAGAGATCCTGGAACGTGTTCTCAAGATATATCCGAAAATCGCTCCCCCGGAAGTACGAGCAGCCAGGGAGCCGAGGGTGGAAGACATAGAGCCTATCTTCATCGAAGATCGGTGCGGTTTGAGACCGGGAAGGAAGCAAGGCATTCGAATTGATGTGGACTCGAGCGGGGCTGTTCCTTTAGTGCTCAATTATGGGTAAGATTCACTTCTTCTTGATCTTTCTGTGGACATTCCTAATGCACTCAACGATACAGACATGGTGGATATGGGTATATGTCTTCCTGGGGATCGGCAAGTCTGGCGTTAGGATTATTGGACGACGCATTGGAAAAGATAAGATAAACTCTGGAAGGCTTAACCATTAGCATCGGGCGCGTTCAATAGATTTGGTCCTACTTTGCTGACCTTACATGCCGTCTACCATCATGAGCTTTGACTCTGGTATCAAGGAGAATCCCCGACGTCAGCAAACTCGTTCCATACAACTCAAAGATCGACGTACAGTACAAGATGTGATAATGCAAGAGGTGATAATGCATAAGATGTGGTAATACATACGATGGGGTGACTCCCGACCTCGTTCGCAGGGATTTATGCACAAGATATAATATTTCATAATGCATATCGTTGCCGAAAAAGTTTGGCAGAGATATGCATTATCACATCTGAAATGATACCGGATTTGGAGCATAGTGATGCACATGCACCTGCTAAAATACCATATGCATTGGTGCGAAACTCACTAAAATTGATCCTGTTAGGACCAAAATGCAAATATGTAGGAAATAGAGCAGAAGACGCGAGAAAATACCCGAATTGGGTGCGGCGCATCCCATTGTCATAGGAATGTCACGTCGTGTGACAACGTGTTCGTGCATATGATGTGATAGTGCATAAGCTGAGGCAGCTCCCGACCGTATGCATTATCGCATCTTGTACTGTATCAAGCATGTCGCCGTTGCTCATACAAGTCTTCATTTGGATAAGTGAAGCACTGGGCAACCTAACGTATTCTAGTTCCATACAGTTGGAAAAGAAAGGCCAGCGGGGACAGTGACGCACATGACAGAGTTTCTTAGCAGTTCTTCTAGACAGTCCTACGAAACCTAAGTCAAATTTACAAGAAGGGGCAGAACTCATGGCAAGTTTATAGATGAGTGGCATGGTAACCATGCTTCAGGTGTCAATTAGATTTAGAGCATTCTGTAACCAAAACTCGTGCCTGATTACGCTCAAGGGTGATACTCAGCCTTCAACTCAGCAAAGCCAAGCCGTGGCTGCAAGTTGTCAGATATCTCCCAACCACCCAGATCCCACCGTGTAAAAATTGCGAATAAGACCCACACCGATGAGCCATCCATTTCCAGAGGTCCTAAACAGCCCGTCAATGAGATAACTAGACAAGAAGTCCGGGGAGATATCCTTACGGCTCGAACATGGGCCAGCAATACTGCTCCTCCGTGTACCCCGGCACAATCAGGTCTGCAGGACGGATAGTGATCGTACCCTCCGGAAGGGTCATGGTCATGTTGAAGTCCAATTTACGAAGATCCTCGCATAATGGTCGACCACCCTGCTGTATGAAAGTGTAGTTCATTCCAATGCTTGCGTAGATATCTTCAATGTAAGCCTCCGGCACGGTTATCCTGGACGCGCCAGTGTCCCAGACTGCATAACTCTGCACATATACGGTATTAGCCTGTGTACTCCCGTTCGTATTCAAACTAAAGTCGACACGGTTGATATAGGTGGACCAATAAATGAGCTCGTTGTTGTAGTCGCTGTAGCGTTGGACATTAAAATAGGTCACGTCCGTGCTGTTGTACTCCGTGGAGTGGCCGCCGAATTGGACGACGCCATTGTTTGGGGACAAGTCTTGTCCAACATAAATGGCGAATTCATGTGCCTCGAGGATCTCTGGATTGAAAAGACTCTCAAGGAGAGAGGCGTGGACGGTATCCCTATACCGCTGTGAGTAAACCTCGCCTGGGTCAAGTGAAAGACGTACTCGGCGCGAGGGAAAGCCAAGCCAAGCATTCCGTCCGCATCGAGCCATACCCAATTGGAGTAGTTGGCGAGGAGGGTTCGTGTGGAGACTCCGGTTGAGGTGTTGGCAAGGGACAATGCATCGGTGAAGACCGTACTGTCTTCAAAATGAGCACGATAATTATTATTCAAAGAGAAACGTACCCGGAAACGGCGCCACCGAGATAGTTGACATCGAGAGTTTCTCCCGTGGCATTATAGGTTGAAGATTCAGATGGGATATAGGCCGTACGGTTGGCGTCTGAAATTGGGCACGAGTCTATACATGACTGGCTCAGGACCCATGTAGGGTCTGAGCCTGTGTCAAGCCAGAGATTGAACTCTCGTGGAGGTGTACCCAGCCTAGTAGGATACAGCGACATCAATCAGCCTTCCAAACGCCAGGCAAAATAACTCACGATATGGGTATTGTTCGATAGCCTTGCTCAGTTCTGCTAATGGGCACCGTGAAAGTGGTGGGCCTAAACGTACGGTAAGAAAAGTTTGCTGGAGTTTGAATGGCTGCATTGTTCCATACCTTTCTTGACAAAACGCACCGCCCAAGGTTAGTAGCAACCACAGCGTGTAAATGGGAAACATTTTGGAGAAAAAGCTTGGGTGTGAATGGTCATTTTATACCGCGCTCTTCTCGCGACCTCGCGGCTGCTTCGTTAGCCCGACCGACTTTCCGAAAAATTTCCGGCACTAAAAGCGTGTCAGAGACATGACCGAGATCCATGGGGAAGGCATAGATGAGCTGGGCATGTTCGACGCTCAATTTTCAGATGGATGAGGAGAACAGCGATCACCGCCGGTGCGCCATGAGTCATGATTATTTATGAGAACACTGAATGGCGTGATTATGCATGTCCATTGTCCAACATATAGCTCGACGGTCAATCTTTGCCACATAAAATGCAGGAGTATGTGACGTAGCCGTCGCGTAGTCGACTTCAAGGTCCCGAGGAAAATATTTAGTTACGGGGAAAATGCCGGATTTGAGAAAATGGACAGCGTCATCCGTTCCCACGTTGTTGCCTGTGTAATAATCTGCGTTTTACGTGTCGTTAAGTATTCCATGGTGAGAAGCACAGCTCTGCTCGTATATACAGGAATGAGATGCGTGGATTCTTGATCAGAATTTTATTTTCGGTCACTAAGTATTTTCTCCATTGCGGTTTAAAAATGGGTGACAGGACCGGGAGTTGAATAGCGTTCCACTGAGTGGTACCACCGCTCTGCTCTCATTCAAGAGAAAACATTGCTTAGAAGAGTAAAGAGTAAAGAATCTAGAATCTACATGCTAATCGTCGCAAAAAAATCAAAGAAAATTATCTGAGTCGACCCAGGTTCGAACTGAGGACCTTCTGTGTGTTAGACAGATGCGATAACCAGCTACGCCATCGACCCATGTCACTGGGCCTTAGTATTACGTAATTCAAGAGATCAACAGTACTCCTCACAATCGGTCTCATACTTACACCTTTACTTATCTTGGTGTTCTGCTGCACACTTCTGTAGCCCGTTCTGCCCAAATTTCACGAAGAATTGCATCGTTCAATGAGCCGCAATGAGGATATGACAGAAGGTCCGGATCCGCGTCGACGTCGTTCGAGTCCAACAAACCAGATATAGATCTATGGGAAGAGAAGAACAATCCCCCGCAGTGCTACGTAGTAAGATAGTAAGTGTGAGAAATATCGCGTCGCTACCAGCATCCTCTTTACGTCACAGGTGTCGAGAGGTGGCCTGCCGAATAGTCAAGCGCCGCTGATAGTTGTGAAGATCGACTCTCGCATAAGAGTAGAGTTCAAAGCGCAGTACGGAAAACGGTAGTAACTTTATTAGAAATGCTTTTTCATCTGTTCGTGAACCACTCTCGCCTTACTTCATCTATTTAATTTTCACTGATCCTGCTTGTTTATCTTCAAGTTGGAGAATCAGCGTCTAGCTTTTGATTGATATCGATCAGTGTACGATCTGGGCCGTAACTGGGACGCTTGACCGCGCTTGACATCACGAGAATCTGTACTCGCATGTTATTTATGTAAGACCGATAGGCGCCATACGGATCTTTGGTGATTGAGGTTATATGAAGGCTGTTCTTCTTCACTACCGCTGGTCTTTCTGGACGAATTGCGCTCCATACAGTGTTTACACCAATGCGACAGACGTTCAACTTGACACAGCTCCCTCCGCGCTGTACTCAGGTCTTGTGTCTTGACTTTCTTACCCTGTCTTCAGCTAGGCGGCGTTATGTTTGCCCCTGACAAGCGATAGCTAGAGCTAATGTTTGATGCTTCTTCTCAGGAATGCGGAATTCATTCGGCTCCATCTAGGCGCTGCAATTCATTTCTCTAAGCGCCGCGCGCTTATCATTGGACGCCAAGACAGCTGACCAGGCTGTAGTCGTATATAAGTCGTTGAATAACTCGGTTACAAGAGCATAACCCCCATCTATTTCACCACTACACCTGTGACAAGATGCGTCTCTCTCGAGCTTTTGCATTTCTTGCCACATCCCTGGCCCTTGTGCCTCAGGCCCATGCAGGCCCCATCGCATATGGCATTTGCCAAACTGGTAGGTACACAATCAACATCTGTGAGCGTTATCTGATCGTCCGAGATGTATAGGCTGCAATACCGTCGTGGTTGCGTGCTATGCGGCTGCTGGATTCACCTTCGGGACAGTCATCGCAGCTCCTGCAGCTCCTGCTGCCGTTCTCGCCTGCAACGCTGCGCTGGGAACGTGCGTACTTTTATCTTTAAAACTAATATTGCATTTAGAGGCTTGTACAGATGTTCCGCTGCCTGCGCTACCGTAGCTCTTTTGGCTCCGACTCCGTGAAGATACATGAATTGAGGGTATCATAGTGCAAAGTTCGTTGAGCAATGAGAATTCTACATATGTGCCGTTCCGTGATGAAAGTCCGCGTGTCCATACACTGAGTGATAGAGAGGAAGAAAGGAAAAGTCCATGTAAGTAAAAGAAGCCTAACGTCTTTCATTATCGTCATTACCAGCCCTCCGAACCAGCACCTACAGAGCTGTTCTACATGAGTGTGATCAGTCTAAGGGCATCAGAGAAGGGAGACGAGCCTACTGTTTGGTCCTGTCGTTTGGCTTCTGAATACACAAAAATCAAAATGAGAAACACCTCATCTTTCGCAAGCCCCTCCCGGGTGAGTTCGAGTGTAGTGGGAGTGGGCTTGGAGAATATATGGGGTCTAAAAGGAACGGCGAAAGTTCCGGCGACCTCGTCGTTTGGAAGAATAGCCTACACGACATGTAACGCTGGCCGACATAGTGAGCGATGCACGCACCTTCCAATCTTCATAATTATATCTTAGCGAGTACTCGTTTCTACCTTCTTCCCATTTCCAATATCTGCATCTATGAAGCAGGCAACATATAAGAAATATATATATGTTACTTCTAGTGAATGACTTACTTGCGAAATGGTTTGCCCCCATGCCTCTTGATATCAGAGAATTTCTTCTTGTGTCCAAGGATTTCCATAACCCTGTCCTGCCAGTGTATTGCTCCAACGGTCACTACACCACCTGGCCCTGGATTGGCGTCTTGAAGAATAGTCAGGTGTCGTCCACGAAAGTTGAAGGTCGTCTTCAAGGTGTACAGCACGGATGAATCTACAGAAGAGCGAATTTGTGCATTCACGACGTTATTCTTGTTGTCGAAGAAGGCCTCCATATCGCACAGCACATAGGGTGGTAGTTCGGAGGCAAACGCACAATAAATAGATACATATGGACCCACATGGACGCGGAATTTGCACATGTTTACCAGAGGGGCCATCAACCGTAACCGGCAGAAAAGTTCTTGAACTTCTTCCTTGCCTACTGCTGCACTTCATTCGATATCGACTTGACGTCGCTTGACGCTGCCAGAGGCAGCACGGGAGGCTTCGACGTGTTGGGAGGATTGGTATACCCGCTATTGACGACTGATTGACGTACTGAGGATGTCTGAAGGAATCCAGATTACGATTCCAGGTGCGTTTTGCTTGTTTATTGTTCTATGGTCATTTACTGGAATCTTCAATAGATTTTGAGGATGATGACTATAACTCCTCTACAATCCCTTTCGGTCGGTCTGCTGGGAACCAGTTTGGATTTGGAGGAGGATTTGGGGCGAGCGCCAATGGCTCAGGCCAGGATTCACCTATGTTAATGACGCCGACCGCGGACAACAGAAGCTACTTCAATTCCCATGCTAGAGGGGACTCTGTCACGTCTGTTGACTCCACGAATTCTGCCACTGCGCGGTATCCTAACAGGTCTCAGACCTCTTTTGTTCATTCGTCACATTCCTCCATTGCGGCTTCCAGCTCTTCCAGCTTTCCCAAAAAGTCTTCCTTTGCTTCCTTGAGGAATGCCTTCAAGAGCGGTAAGAATACGGAGCTACCTCCCGTACCGTCTCTTGACTATCAGTCTAATTCCGTGCTGAAGAATGCTTTCAACCGCTCCACCTCTTCCCTGAACAATGTTTCACCGATGCCAACCTCTGCAAAAGGTATACCACCCGCTATGAGTCCCCAATTTGGTAGACCAGCTACCCCCGCTTCTGCCGAACCTAGATACATGCGTGGTTTACCGTCTACTAGATCCAAGAGCCATTCCTACGCCAAGTCGTACCACTCTCAGTCCGGTTCCATATTCCACATATCTGATACTGGTAGCGATGGGCATGGACAGTTTTCATCTTCCCCTCCACCTGTGCCGCGATTCCCAAATGGCATGGTTCGCTCCGAAACGCCAGATTTTGAAGAAGACAAGGTAGTCATGGATCCTAAGACGCCTTCGGACTATGCACTACATGCTGTCTTCATCCGGTTTGCTAGCTTGGCTGAAGGGAAAATCGATACGTTTCTACGGCAAAGTTTGGTGCGTCATGATTTTTCGGTGGTGCTTTTTTGATACTAAATCAATCGCAGGAACAAGAACCTTTGCTGACTCGTTTCATGGGGCCTGGTGTCGATTCGGCGTTTGACGAAATTCTAAACTCTTTAGGCAAGATTGCGCAGAAGCATGCAAAGCCTGTCGTTGACTCCGTTATGCGATGGCGAAAAAGTCAACTGGAAAATGTCGGCTCGGACATAATAAGGTTTCACATGGCTCAGTCTCCTCCTGGCGCCGTTCGCACAGTGCGCACGACGGGCGTTCCTGCTCTGCTCAATGAGCGCAAGTCACTGGCAGCGATTTATATCATGTGCCATGCTCTAATCGCGGTACTGCAATCGTTACCGAAGGATGGGCTAGGAGAGGCCCTGGGCTATAGTCTGGAGAAGACCACTTTCGAACAGTTCAAGAAACCGGACCTCAAGCTTCTGTTGCAGTCTGCGAATCATCGTACTAATGCAGAGTTGTACGCCACCATGCTGGGACACTTGGCTAACGTCAGGTAAGCAGTTGTCTACGCTGGAATTGAACTCAGAACCAACACCATTTTACGAAAAAAGATTTGTGAGCATTACAGATCGGTTCCTTTCGGAATTGGGGCCGGTTACTCAGGGCCAAGTTACTAAAGATGACATGAAATTTGAGAATCTTGTCAAAGGTATTAAGCACGTGAAGTTGAAGGTATATCGCTTCGCTTTCCCCTAAGGTCAGAGTCTCATGAAAATTCTCTAGGTTTGGCCTCCGGAGGATTTTGAAGAAGGTGCTGAGTTTTTGGAGTCTTTCGCGAAATCCTTTGCCCATGCCCATGGTTTCAAATTAAAGTCTGCATTTGCTGAGACTCTAGTACAGATCTTGCATCCGATAGGAAAGGTACGGCTAATCATGAGATCGGTACAACTCAATCTCAAAATGCAATTCATAGACTGCTCAGGCCGAAACTAACAATCCCATGTGGGCCAAGGCGATCGAGATTATCTATCCAAAAGCAAAAGAGATGATGTCAAAACCGCGGTATTGGAACGTGGCGTTTCCCCTGGTAATCACCAGTTTATGCGTTGCTCCAGAAACCTATTTCCGGAAGCATTGGGTGTCGTGCTTTGAATCAAGCTTGTCCAAGCTCAAGGTACGATTATATTTCTTTCAATCAGTCGGCCATTATCTCAATATTATGTAGGAGAAATCCCTTCGGGTTCCAATCATGAATGGTGTCATCCGCTTGATGTGGACATACCTCTATCGATGCCAAGAATCCGCTTCCACGACTACCACCAAGTTGGACAACCTACTCAAACACTTTTTCCCACCGAATCGGCTTACCATTTTCCCTCAAGATGACGGCCTTGACCCACTGATCTACATCACCCACTTCATCTTGTCGCGACATTTCGATTACGGGAGAGACCTCTGCTTTGAACTTCTCCAAGAATCCGCCATCAATTCCACCAATCTTTCCGGAGGAAATGTCGCCAATGTCCTGGCCTTCGAACGAATGACTGTTGCCATTCAAGCAATTATGCTGTCTTTCAGACTTATTGAGGTGGAAGCTTCTGCTCCCTCCTGGCCTTCTAGCAGCGACTTCTTTTCCCCGGTCCCCACTGAAGATTATAGTTCATCATCTGAATGGCTTCCTCTCTCCGTCTTGTCCAGGTCATCGTTGCAGGACGTGTTCGATCGCATCGGTTCGGTCCTTGTTATTGTAGCGAAGTTCTGCTCTAACGCAGTTGGTTCATTTTCCGTTCTCGATGACCAATGGGCGTATACGAGTACATCGTATGAGGAAACTCATAATCTTATTGTGAGGCGCCATCCGGAAGGAGTTCGTATTGCCTATCTCAATCATTTTCAGTCCCAGATCAGCACCTTGGCTGCATGTTTCCAGACGTGGCCACGATTCCTGCATTCATCGATCTCCATCTCTGACGCCGTTGACATGCTCTTGCGCGGTGTCATTCATATCGAGCCTATCCTGACTGAAATTGCCGGTGAAGCTGTACGACGCTTCATGGCAGATCCCGTCCAAGCTCTCGTAGTTCTTACGAGATACAACACCTTTCTTTTCAATCCTCCGCGTTCCTTGCAAGATGGTATTGGGAATAAGTTGCTGGTCGAGTCGGTGCAGCTGTTGTCTTTGTGGGAAGAAATCGTTGAAAAATGGATCATCGATCTCATGCAATCGCCACGAGAGTCCTATGTCAAGGAAGAGAAATCTATTTGGGCAACGTGTCACGAACTCGAGGCAGACGTTATGTTCTTATTGACGCATGAGGCAAGCGGAATCCACGACACGGGTGCGAAGATCGCCAGGCTTTTGTCCCAGCTATCTGAAAAGCTGTGGCCTGAATCGTCAAATCATCCTGATGGTTTGATGTATTACATATCGCTGCTTTGCAAAAGCACTGACAACTCTTACTTCACTGGCTTCGATGAATTCCTTGACGAGGTTGACATTGATCGTCTACGACAATGGCGGGAATCCAAGAGAACTGATAAGCTATTGAGGGTAGCTGAAAGCAAGACGGACAAGGACCGGAAGCTATGGCGATTTATATATTCGACGTTTATGCACACCTGCGCGGACAACGCTGGACCCACTCTTACAGCGTTCCGGGACACTGTTGTATTTGCCGCTTCCCGATATCATTCTACCGTGTCACATCTTGCAGGGCTGACAGGGATAAACACGCGGGTGCCGGTTGGTCAGTCTAGGCCGCCAGATGGGTTTCGCAAGGTCAAAGACAACAAAGCTATTATCGACCAATGGTATCTTTGGGTCAAGATTCTTAGTTCGACTGCCACACTCCCCGAATCCTCACGACCAGCTTTTACACAGCTGGGTCGAGAGCACTCCCGAGCGCCGTCAGATGTTAGCTTTGAGCGCGAGCGTCTGACGACGACAAGGGGCTTATTTCGTTATCTGACACCATTTTTAGACTCGGAATATGTTGCATTCCGTGATGCAGCCGTTCTTTGCATTAGTTCTTTCCCATCCAGCGCCTATCCTCAGCTTCTGGAAGATTTGAGTCTTCTCGTAGGACGTCAAGTATATGATGACCCTCGAGGCAAGGCAGGCATTGCAGTAGCGGTGGAACAGAACATGGGCATTCTCGCTGCGCGCTCGCCTAATGATACCAAGATTGGAGTTGTTTTTGGTGACAGAAGCCGTCGACAGGAACGTCTGCACGCAGCTGTCGCCAGAATTTACTATCTGACAGCCCATTATCTGCCACAACAACGATCGACGGGAAGACAAGCTGCATTAGCGAACGTACTCAAATTTGTTCGTAATACCCAGGCATTCCTGGGCGCTCCAGAAAATCGGGACAGCCACAGTTTCCATCGACTACGTACTTATTTCTGTGGTATTGTCGAAAAGGTGTTTGATGGTCTCTCTACGCTGGAAGGTTCCGATAGATTCATTCCAGGGAACACCCATCTTGCCCTCTATAGACTGTGTGAGGAGTGGTGTATCCTTGGCCCTCAGTCTGAAGTAGTGAAGCAGCGCTTGGCCTCCATGCAAAGGACTGCGGCGTCAGACCTTCAATCTGAGGGTGGCAATGCAGTCGAGACATTTAAGAAAGAGTCCGATCTCTTATCTTATGCAGCCATCGGTGCGTTGGCATCATTATGTGTATGTGTTATCATTTCTTTTACTATGTGACGCTGACTTTCTGTCTCAGCCTAAGGCTTTCTCTCCGCCTGGTGTTTCGTCTGGGTCACCATTAGAACGTTCTTCGTCGGAGAATCTCAAGCCTCTGACCGCAACTGCTGTCCTCGATCGGCTTAGCTCGATTCTTGCATCAGAACATGTCCCATCGCAGGATCGCGGCAAGTGAGTTCTCTCGGACAGTAGCAAATTGCGGCCTTTCTGAATTCACGTTTTAGGCGAGCATTGAAAGCACTGCTTCTCGCGAACCCCAAAGAGTCCACTCTTCTTGTTGAGTCGGTGAGACGCGCTGTGATTGGCGCTGATGACAGCGAAACATGCAGTAGCCGCTTCTTTGAGGTCGTCGTGGACATGGTCCATGATACGGACGCCCATGGCTTTACCTTTGCCCAGATCGTGTGTCTAGGACTGTCGAACCTCTGTCATCAACGTATCGAGGTTCGTCGTCAAGCTTTCAGTATGCTTGAATCAATCCATCGCCAAACATCCGACCTACTCAGCATGTCACAATTGGAAGCAACGGTTGAAAGCTCAGCGTCTGCCATGTACACTCATGCGCATGCCTTGGTATCCGAATTTCTTGCTGGAGCGCACCCAGAAGAGGCATTAAACATACTTTCGGAGTTGGGAACATGGCTGCCAAGTATGCCAGCGTCACCATCCACTGTCATTCTCCTCCTCTTCCAAAGTTTGGAATTCTGGATTTCCAATATTCCCCTCATGACAGACGATAAAATCGGCCTGCGGGAACATGGCCATTCAGCGCTCTACCATCTGCTTTGCCTAACCTTACGGTATGCAAAATCGCACACTGAGCAAGTCATGGCTCTCTGGTCGAAGTTGGTCGAGCATCCCCATGAAGCAAACGGCCATGCCACTGTTCGGTTTCTTGTGGAACAGTCGCACAAAGTTGGAAGTATCGTCTTCGTCAATTGTGCAGCCAACATTGTCGCGTGCATCTGCCAGACAGCCATCGGGAGGGCTATCTATGAAGATTTATGTACGGTGATTGAGCCCGTGCGGGTGATACCCACGATAGACCACAAATTGGCCTTTCCAACCGCTGGCGATCTGGAATTGTGGTCCGATCTAGATGCGTTGTTTGCAGATAAGCAACCGCGACTGTCTTTGGGTGGCGCTCAGTTCGCATGGCTTTTCCTCGCTGATGTTGCTCTGCAACGGTGCTGGGAGCTTCGGCCACAGCTACCTATCCTCCTTCACTCCATTTTTATCCACATCGACCATCGGACTCCTTTTGTACGGCATAGAGCACAGTATATGTTGTTCCAGATCTTGCGGTCGTGGGCCCCCGGTTACGATGAGCTCCAGGATCGTTCCTCGGATCGGAGTCGCGCATCCATCAAAAAAGCTATCAATGACATGGAATCGGAGGCACCAGTAAAGTATTGGAGGGAAGATGAGACAAGTCGGGAATGTGAACCGAAGATGACGTGGTTATGTGACCGCGTTTTGGCCATTCTAGAGCCACTTTGTCCGGGCATTAGAGAAGCCTGGGGTACACTGGCTTTGGAATGGTGCACTCAATGCGCTTTTCGCCACCTCGCTTTCCGGTCCCTGCAGACTTTCAGAGCACTCATGCCACACACCTCAATAGGAGACCTCGCTAGTCTTCTTGGCCGACTTTCTCTGACTATAGCGTCTCCTGAGGATGGTGTTCAATCATTCGCGTCGGAGATACTTTTCACATTCAATGCACTCGCCGCTCATGAGAATTTCAACGTTTCGTTGTTTCCTCAGATGTTCTGGTGTGCATGTGCAGCTCTCTCCACAACGGTTGAGAAAGAGTTTTATAATGCGCTCTGCTTTGTCAACACTCTCCTGAGCAGGGTCAATCTCGATGACCCAAGCACATCCGAACTCTTCCTCAATCACCGACCGAAAGATTGGATTGGGTCATCCGGTCTACAACCTGCACTGCTTGCTGGCTTACGCTCTTCGGTGACCAGTACGAAAACCATGGAAATCCTGCAGACCATGACAGTGTTCAAGGACGATACACTGATTGATCCTACGGAGGGACGCGTCCGTGATCTGTACACAGTTTCATTGCCTTGGTTTCTTCATGCCATGTCTTCTGATAAAGGTCTAATTGATGAAGACTTGTCGCGTTTCGCGGAGAACATCGGGGAATTGGCGAAACAAGAGGGTAGACAAAGCATTGGAAAGATCATGTCCTCTTTTGCGAAAGGCCATTTTAGGACACGAGACGACTTTCTACGTCAATCAGTGGCTAGCTTGCGAGAGCACTACGGGGCTACCTCCTGGACGCAGATAGTGACCCTTCTTTTGGGACTGGCATTGAACCAGGAACGGTGGTTGCGCATTCATGCCATGCAGATCGTGAAAGTTCTTTTTCAACAAACCCGAAGCCCTGTTGAACGTCTCGGTTCGGAGATGCTTATGCCGTTGCTACGACTGTTGGAGACTGATCTCGCACCGCAAGCGCTTGATGTCCTAGAGGAGCCCATGACTATGTCTGGAGGCCTGGCGGCAAAGCATGTACTGAGGATGAGCATGCATGCTCGTAACCTTATGAAGGAGGATCAATCCGCAGCGATCGTCTTTGGAGTTCCAGAAGACTCTGGGTGGTGCGTGGCTCAAGCAGACACTGTGCGTGAAACTTGTCGTGCCAATATGATGGGTGTTTTCGACACTTGTTCGATGCCATCACGACCGTCTCGTATTGACTTCCAACCAGAGGAAGTTGAAGCCCTCGTCACACGCAAACCTACAGAGGAAGACTTAGGTGGTCTTGTGCAGAACCTGCATGATCTCACGACATTCTTCCAAGATGAACCATCCCGCCCAGCCCCCATGTCCGTACCCAATCGCAGATTAGAAGCCCGTGTAGCTGCTATCCTCGCGAAGTCAACTGCTCCTGAAGCGATTTCCGATGTACCTCCAACCCCCTTTGTTGACGTGTTCCGGGTTAGCGCAGTGGAACGCTCAGACGATGACTCGGACGAATTTTCTGACAGCGATGAGGAAGCGGATGCTTTTATTTTTGATTCTAACGTTTTTCATAGTGTTCCAAATGGCTCTCGATATCATTAGTAGCATCTTCTCACTGTATATTGCATATCTTTCTCACTTCGCACACATTACATGTATTACGGGACATTACTGGCATCATTACATTACACGCTCTGGTGATTGGTATTATTGACAATAATAGAATGTACTCTGTATCTCGCGTAAAGTATAGAACTATCTAACAACGTTCAAATACCTTGTAAAGATTAGGCAGATCAGCGATTTGAACAACATCTCGCTCCAGCAACGATTTTGGGGCAATCAGATAGCGTCTCATTGCAGGAAAGAGAATGTGCTGGACCTGCCATCGTTCAGCTTTGTCTTGCGCCTCTTGTTCGTCCGTCTTTGGCGCTGCTGGATCAAAGCAAGGTGCTGGTCCAGGAACATAGAAATAGGCCAATTCACGAAGAAAAGATTCGAAACATTCTTTCTCAGACGTCCAGTTCACCTATATAATGTGGAAATCAATATGACCATCAAGCCTCAACGCAGGCGCTACATACTTGCGGACCCAGGCGCATAAGAAAGTAAGGGACTTTATCCAGATTGGGCGTGTAATCACGAAGCAAGAGTGGGAGACTTTCAATCAAGCCATCGGGTGATATGTCGAGGGAAAAATACTCCGCTAACATATCTCGTCGTGTCACGAGAATATCGACTATCCGCTACGTTTAAGGTGTCAGGTACCAATCAGATTCATAACATGCAGTTGAAAGTAAAGTACTAACATCAACAATCTGGGCTTTCGTTAATTTCGTATCCTCGGTTGTATCCTCAGCATCTACAGCGATCTGTATTAGCTTTCGCAGGGGAGGCGGCGGATCCAATTTTAATTTGGTCATATCGCCGAATTGACGCAGCGCCAGCTGGAAGAACAGTTCTTCTCTGTAATCATTACAATGAATACGCCGCGAAGTAAATAGCGCAAATGTCACATACGCAAGAGCCGCGTGGTTGACAAGATATAATTTAGTCGAATGTTGGACCAAAGAAAGACACCGGTTAAGATCGACAATACCAACAAATATGTGTTTCTCGAGAATCTCAGTGAGAACTTGGTTCAAAGTCAGCAATGCCACAGGCCAAAGATAAGGAGATACGAACGTCGATGTTTTCCCTTGACCACACTATGTCGTAGGTTCTGAACAGAAGTAAGAATGCATTCTGATTCTTTAATTTCCCGCGCCTTGGTCATTCCAGGTGATAACACGCTGGTAGCAGTACGAGAAGAAGAACCGTCTATTTGGCTAGGATTTATGATTGGGAACATTGAATCCAAAGTCCGGTCCTGTAGGGACGTGCGAACTTTATTGTGAGAGTATGTTTTCCTCCGAGATTCTGCCTCTGATACAACTGTCAGATTAAATGAAGAATGAGACGGGCTCCTTACGAGAGGATGATGGTTCATTCTCTTCCGCTTCGTCGGTCCCTGTGTCCACGTCGCGGTCTTTTCTTGTGCGGGTCTTGGAAACGGACTGATGAGTGTTGTCCGATACTCCGCCGGTTAGTAGGGTTTGATATTCAAAGACTCGTGAATGGTTCTTCGTGGTAAGCGCTTGCAGCAATTCATCGCAAATGCGTTCAACGATGGCTTCCTCGTTCAAGAAATGTACCTCTTTTTTTGTTGGATGTACGTTAACATCCACTGAGCGCGGATCAATAGTTAAACTGGTATGCGATTATACCAGGGCGTCGAGTGTAACTATTGATCAACGTACCTTAGATATATAAAAGGGAAAGAGCCCTTGGGTAAGATGCCGTTATAAACACCCTCAAGCGAGCGCTTCATACGAGATGATTCTACGAGTCGATCTTGAAGGAACATGAGCGAAGCATGCCCAAAGTAAAAAAGACGCACACCCACGATTGATAAAAAGCAAGAAGGTAGTTCTTTTCGCCTGATAGTTGGCATTTGTGAAGTGCGCTTCGGCGGACCAGGACTCTGCATCGGCACTGCCATCTGTGGATAAGACTTCGGAATGGAGCAGCTCTTTGGCAATGGAGTGGCCATAAAGCATCCGTATGGCTTGGGGCGTCGAAGAAGAAGAGGGAGTTGACAAGTCCGGCGCAGCGGAACCTGCCTATCTCGACACCGTCAGCGCACATAGAACAATTCCTTGATACGGTAAAGGATACCTTTTTGCAAACGAAAGACACATTAGGGTTGTGAATAACATACTTGGTTAACACGTCCAGGATCCGGGAATACTCCTCCGATGCACTTCGAAGGGCAGATAACCGTGTGGGTGTATTGTAAAAGAGATCCTCTATCTAAAGACAAGGTTAGTTCAATCTGAATGAGTGGGAAGTGCCTACGGTGATAGTAGTCCCATCATTTCCGGCACAAGGCTTAGGTTCGGAAGTTTGCCCTCGCTGCTTCTCTGTGAGTTTTCCGTCAGAATAAGAAGCTCTGTTTTAGAAAAGATTAGCAGTGACAAGGTATTAGATTTCGGTCTCCTTACTTCCATGCACATGTCTCTGTCTTTGTCTTGGTCACAACGGTTAAATGTGCGACATGAGAAATGGAAGCAAGGGCTTCTCCCCGAAAACCGTACGTGGAAATCTTGGACAAGTCGGAAAAGGTAGATAGCTTAGACGTTGTGAACCGCTCCGCCAGAATCGGTAGGTCTGCTTTCTTCGGAAAGTGAGAAACGGGATACCAACTTGCCGGATACAAAGACACGTACGCGAATGCCGCACCCATTATCTTGGATCTGTAGAAGCTTCATACCACCTTCTTTCACTGTGACTCGTACTGACGTCGACCCCGCATCGAGACAGTTCTCTACCAGCTCCTTCAGTGCAGATGCAGGCCTATGAATAACCTGAAGACAATAGTCCAATCAAATCGTGGGTGGTTCAGTTGAAAGGGCGAACCTCTCCTGCAGCAATTCGATTTATCAACGATTCTTGCAGACGTCGGATCGGCAGCGGCCCATGGGGTTCATCGTCTGCCTTCTCGAGCATTCTTCCAGTGTCGGTAGACAGAATGGCCCAGGGCGGTGATAATATCGGTCGTGGTACGGAATGAGTGGGCGTGGGAGGAACGGTGCGAATGCGATCACGTGGCTTACATCAACAGAATGCGAAGAGATGCAGACTAAAGCGGAGGGAAAACAGGTATATGGTAAATAAAAGTACTTAAAAATATTATTGTATCAAAAGATTAGACGGTTCAGATATCAGGGTGGGCGCAAATCGTGTGATACTACCAAGTAAGCACAAACTAAGTGGTTAGTACAACTAATTACACGGATTCTGTATATTATACCCTCTTCATCAGAACCTTTGTCTCGTTGACAGCCTAAAGCACTTTCCTAGTAATAGTGGAATTGAGCTGAGCTTGAGTTATTCTTGTGCATGTCGGTGAACTTATCCCGACAGATATCTGAATACAATGAACCAGCATCAAGTTCCATGTTTCCATGTTAAGGATACTTTCCTCAAAACTAGAAGTCCTTAACCGGAAGGGCCATAATATCAATCAACTCAAAGAGCGAGTAGATGACGAGATAAATACGAGCAAAGTTTGAACGTAGACACTCCACACCCCTAGTAGGATTCAACCTCCGCGGCCATTTTCAATGATAAATTATCGATGCCGAAGCTGTTCTGATACTTCTGGCAATGTAGATGACCTAGCAAGATCGGCTCGAGCAGGTACCTTTCCACGTACAAACAATCAGATGCTGTTACAGCGCTCCAGGCACTACAAGTTGCAGAAAGGAGTCTCCGGGAAAAGCGCAAGTATACATTAGGATCTTCATTTCGCATAGTACTTCCCCGCGACTGAGAACATGATTCACAGATTCCTGCGCTGCTACCAAAACGTCGAAAGTGAATTACGTCCCAAGGAACGAAAGACGCCGACACCCTAGACCAATAAGGATATTTCCCACAGAGCGGTGAAGACCCAGATGGGGAATGTCTGGTTTTCAGATGATCCAAGAAGATAAAACCGTTTGAATAGATGCCTAGCAGTTAGAAGAGCGTGTAACAATAGCTAATTGAAGGGCCGAAGGCTTCAAGGCCCAGGGTGAGAGACAAGGCCGGCAAAACAAGCGGCCGTCGCACTTATGCCCTGTTCGTCTATCTACTACTTTGATTCGCGTCAGCATCCACTGCTGGTGTGACTTGTACCGCAGAGACAGTTACTCACCCTCAAGGGTGATCACAAATTGCTTTGGCGAAAATGGTTCAGCCTGGAGTGTCGGAAAAGTTAAACGTAGCATACTAACGTAGCTAGTGACTGCCACGGTTTCAAATCTCGCATCCTCAAATCGTGGTTCCTAGTTTCACTGTCTCCTCGCCATTCCCACTAAACCTGTGGGATAAAATCCACAAGCTGAGACTCACTGTCACAGTAACAAAGAGAAATATGCACTTAGCCTAGACGGCTATGATGCATCCAAAAAGAGACACCGAGATATTGACCGTCTGGAATCAAATAAATCAGGTCAATAGAATAAAATTTGTCTGCAAGGACTCACACGTCTCCTCCAACTCCGTTCTGTGAAGCGAACCAGAAAGACTTTCCTGGAATAACTCAAAAGACGCTGACCGAGTTCACCATATCGACATCAGTCTGACTTGCCTGCTGAGATTTTTTCACACCAGGCTTGCGGGTGAGTGAATGGTTGATATCGGTAGTTCCAGGGCAGATATGGAGGGTATTGTTGGCGAATAGACCGTCAACAACAGCGTAGTCACCGACGCCCTCACCGCCGAATTCAAGCACGGTAGCCGACGTCTCAGTGCCAAGGATTCCATTCTAATGAGGGAGTGTGCCGGTATAACCGTATTCTTTCCGTAGCAGAGTCTCGTGGGAGTGGGTGACGAACCTCGGGCAAGATGTAGGAAGCTCGAACCCGCATGCTAGCGAGAAGGGCGTGCATAGCCGGGCATCTGGGTGAACCTGGGTGTAATTGTTGTCAGCTGGCGTGCATTCTATTCAACAGCTCGGAACGCTACAATGGGTGCGATGAGTCGTCCAGATCTGGGGTGTGGCTTTGTGAAGAAAGAACATCAACCTAGAAATGTATTAGAATCAAAAATAAACTAGGCGGTAGATATTGCTAGAACATCATAACGTGAACCACGACGCCTGGGATAGATACTCCTAGCTGAGCAGGCAGCCCAAACAAGCACAACTGAGTGTCAAAGTAGGGCACCTTCTCGTCGTTCGTTAACCTTGAGTATCAACGCGTCAAGAAAGGAGCGAAGATGGGCGACGCAGATGGTACGTGCTAGTCGACATGTTTTAACTGGAGAGGTGCAGCTCGATTGTCCTCGAAGCAAGGTTGAACCGGTCTCGCCAGTAAAGACCGTGACAGCTGTCCCACGAGGAGAACAAGTAAAAAGAGAAGGGCAGATGTTTGTATCCTGCCATGCCACTGCCCAAGAGATGCGAAATATACAGAGCGAAAAACATTTGTTGAAAATAATGACAGTAGATCGCAACTTGTCTATTGAGCGAACCGACCGGGCGAATGCTCCCGTCTTTTCCATGAAATCACTCGGCGCTGCGATTCCTTCCTTAGTGCCGAGGATGTCTGGTATGTATATGGTCCTTGACACCTCTCGAAGGGTCTCCCGTTGCTCGTCGTATAGAGGACATTCGCGTAGGATGTGCTCCCGCGTCTGGAATGTTTCGTCACGCGGGCAGTCAACGTCCTTGCTTGGTACAAATTGGGAGTAGTACTCATCTATGTATCCATGGTGAAGAACAAGGCCGAATACCTCTCTTCTCGCTGCGAGGTCTGAGATCTGAGAGGTGGCGTGTTAGTTTCAGTGACGGCGGGATTCTATTTGCTGTCGCGTATCGTCCATGTTTGGGGCTGGCCTCCCACGCTCGTCCTTGCCTTCGCTTCCCTTCTCGTGTTGGCTCTTGTTCTGCCTATGCCCTCCGTTGGTTTTTCTGCTCCTTTCTTTGCCAAGTAATCCGCTCTTTCATTTCCTGCAGTGTCCTTGTGGCCTGGGCACCACGAAATTTCGACTGTGCGTGCCGGGTCGCTGTCAAGAAATTGGCGTATGCGTCGATGGAAGACTATTGGGAATGCTTGTCCAGTTTTGGGTAGGGGATCGAATATGGCATCGATTGTTGTCTGCAAAGAGGTGTAGGTGTTTTACCTCATCTTCTTCTTTCGCGTGGTTCGTCGCTTTTATTGTTCCAATGGTAAGGGAGACCATCTCTCCATCAGACCTCTGCTTTCTCCCCTAGGCCCATGCTAAACTCAAATGCCCGTGTCCCGTCTGACCTTGAACCCTACTATTTCTGCTCCTACTTGTCTTTGTCCTCGTATTTCCCACTGTGAGCCGTCCATGTATATTAATACTAGGTGGTCCCGGGTTTGTATCCTCTTGATGTTTCTGTTGTGCTGGCATGCTGCCTCATCCTTTGACTGGCCGTTTGTCCCGTTTATGCCGAGTCTTTCCCCATGGTCGCGTTTGGTACACCTCCACGGTGCGGCGAGCTCACTGGCAGTGATGTCTGGAACCTTTTGTCGAATTCTGTCAATGATTTCTCCCATGATGCAATTGGGAAAAGTGAAATCCTCTCATCCTTCGGTGTCAATATTGCTTCTAGATCTCTTAGAAAGGTTCTCCTTGTTGGCCTGTCCTTGTTTCGTCGGCACCTAATTAGTATATCAGGTTGAATTGGTGGGTACACTCTCGCTGTTGTCCCCTCTCTCTAATTGTCGTCAGCTAGTCGTTGGATGATTGGGCTTGTTTCGCTTAATTTGCATATCCATACAGCAAACCGGTCTCGTTCGACACACGACATGTATGTGTCCCGCATGTGGTTCTGGCTGTAATCGCAAGGATACATATCCTGAGATCTCAACGTGAACCTCTCGATGGTGCCCTTGAGTTATTTTTGTAACAACTAAATGAGTCTTGCCTTGTCAAAATATGGCAGATCGGCGCAGCCTATGCGCTGATACTTAGCCGTCACCAGACACTACTAGCCACTCGTAGTGAGGTCGCCTCTCAGGCTGGCTTTATGTTTCTCTCAGCCCATGATGGTCTTCACACTCCCATGGCGTATGACTTGTGCTTGGTGGTTCTTTAAAATCATGAATACTAGTGGAAGGAGATGAGCCTAGTACATCACTCGGCTTTGCTCTCTCTGCATCGTCGTCTCTGTAAAAGATGGTCCGCGGGTGGTACTTGTATCCTGTTCTGCTAGCTGCTAAATCTTGGAGCTTTGCCGCACTTGGTCATGCTTCCCTTGAGCAACGTGCTTTTGCTGAGGGAAACTGGTCTTTACTCCAACAAGGGTAAGTGATCCCTCCATCCAATTAATGACCCTATGACTAATGCATCTCATAGAACCACTGGCGTTAGTGGGATGCAACTAGCAATCGTATCAGAAACCACCGCAATTATTTATGACAAAGTGTACGTCAATGCCATTCTTAACGGCGTCTAGCAGAAACTCAGAAGCAATACTCAAAGGGAACACAACCCTCTCACCGTTGACGGACATATCGCATGGGCCGCTGAAGTTGATCTCGATGCTCTCACTGTACGCCCCTTGAACCCTCTGAGTAATACTTGGTGTGCAACTGGTAGTTTCCTCGGAAACGGCACCATGGTCGGCACTGGTGGAAATCCCGTCGTCATTACCGGTCAGCACCTATGGACATATCACTAGTTTAACAAGATGTTCACGAAGCTCTACTTAGGCGCTAGCGGCTTGCAAGCCATCCGGATGTTCACGCCTTGCAATGATAAAACTTGTGATGTTTTCGAAGACCCCGATCACATTCACTTGACATCAAACAGGTGGTACGCAGCATCCGTGAGTTGTTTTCTACAGCGCTTCCTCGTTGCTAAGCGATCATGTATGATATCAACAGATACGTATTGAGGATGGTTCTATCATTATATACGGGTAAGACCCTGAGTTCATTCATTGTTAATAGCGTTGAATTTCACCGCCTTACAGGGGTTCTGTCGGCCCAGGGTGATTAATTTCGCATATATGCTTCACTTCATTTTTACTGGTCAACATAGATTCATCAACTCAAACTCCATCATCAATCCTACCTACGAGTTCTTCCCACCAAAGAACATCAACGGCAAGCCTTCTATCAACGAATTGACATCTCTTCGTTGACCTCGTTTCTCGTAGGGCACAATGGAGTTCAGATTTCTAGCCAATTCCTTCTTGATACTCTTAACAGCAACCACTTCCCCTTCATGACTTACCTTCCGGATGGCACTATTTTCGTTGCCGCGAATCAGAACGCGACGATCTTTAACTGGCAAGCCAACACTGAAACCGCTCTTCCAGGTATCCCCAACGGCGTTCGCATCTCGTAAGTGCATACCTTCATTCTTTCTGCCCTCATTCACATCTTTCACCAAAGTTCGCCGTTCTCGGCAGGCGCCACACTTCTTCCTCTTACTCCTGAAAACAATTATACCCCAGAAGTGATGATATGCGGGGGGTCGACAGTTTCTGATACCGTGTCGCCATTGACCATTTCTTCGCAGACCCCCACGTCGGCCCAGTGTTCCCGACTAGTCCTAAACGCAGCTGGTATAGCAGCTGGATGGCAGGTGGAGAGTATGCCACAAGCTAGGATTATGCCAGAAATGATTTTGTTGCCAGATGGGAGAATCGTCATTGTGAATGGGGCACAAACCGGTGTCGCAGGGTATTCGGATGTATGCATGAGCATCTTTAGAATCCCCCGCCTTGGCTAACAAAGAATTCACAGGTCGCCGATCTTGTTGGTCAAAGCAATGCCGATAACCCCGCGTTTACCCCAGTCGTCTATGATCCGTCTGCTCCAGCAGGTAGTCGGTTTTCATCCGCGGGAATTCCCGCCACGGATATCGCTAGGGTATATCACTCGACTGCGTCTTTGACACCCAATGGAACGATCATGCTTGGTAAAAATATTTGGGCCTCCAGTCTCTACATGATCTCATATGTGTATGCATTCTGCCAGCGGGTTCCAACCCAAACGTCGATATAACGACTGTTAAGTTTCCTACCGAATACAGGTATCTATGCCGTATCGACTTAATGTGTTCGATTGCTAATTATTCTTCTTGTGATAGGATGGAGTTCTATTCACCTCCTTACATGGCCGAACCTCGTCCAACCTATACTGGGCTGCCTGCTACAGTAAACTTCGGTGAAGAATTCACTCTCAACATTAATTTACCTTCATCCGCAACAAATGTCTCCGGTGCGCTTTCAGATTCTCATCCCTCTTCCTCTTCTCTAACCTTATATGGGCGCGAAGTGTCTTTGATGGACCTGGGTTTTGCTACACACGGGGTGCATATGGATCAACGTCTACTCAAGCTTGACTCCTCCCTCTCGGATGACGGTAAGGTTCTAACCGTCACGGGACCGCCTACAGCCAGACTATATCCACCCGGACCGGCTTACCTCTTCGTTGTCACGGACGAAGGAGTACCGAGTTTTGGACACAAGACTATTATCGGGACTGGAGACTCACCGCCGGTGGATGGGGATGCTGCGGCCAAGTGAGTCGTTAGAGTTTATTCAGATGCTACTGTTAACCACATTCTTGGCATTAATAGTATGTTGAAGGCCTCCATTGCGTCATTCGTAGCCCCTCCGCCGCTACCTACTGAAGGTGAAGGTAGCGATGTCGCCACTGCTGTAATTCCTGTATCAAGCTCTTGATTGCTCCAAAGATACCTGCCCGAATTGTGTGTATAGACGCGGAATCTATCTATGCATTAGCCAATGTGGCATCTATACTTCTCTTTGCCTATCGTCTCGGAAATGAAGCTAACTCTATTCATCTTTTCTATTCAATGTATCAGCTGCACTTCATGTCCGTCCTTTCTGCACATGACATCCATCTTTGACCGCATGATACAGCACACCACCCTTTGAACTGGAGAACGCCAGGTTAGTTTCTCGGTTCCGTTGGACCTGTGATCTTCCATCGTTTTTGGAATTCCAAAGTGACGTATGTTCTACAAATTCGGAGATAATGGAGTTTGCATTGAATTCAGCGGCGGATGCTTCAACAATTGAAATTACGAAAGATAACCGAAACCCTCGAGGCGCTGCAAGGCCGATCTTCATCACCGTGTCTCGAGACCACAAATACTGGCGGATACAGGGCGATTAGCTACTTGGCAGTCGCACATACCGATGGTAACGCTGATTGCATATTGCTGATTGGACATTAATCGATTTCCCGCTCTTAGCGCTCACCATATGCTCGAAGGGATTTAAGAATTGCCTTAACGTGATCCGGCGTCCATTGCAGCACGCAGAGCATCGCAGTTTATCCCAGATCTAGGCTGGAAGAGGCGAAACGAGGCTAGGAAACAGCAGCAAAGTCCCAAAAAGGATATCGACGTCATATCGGCGGCTGAAGACCGGCGTCATGGAGATCAGGCACGTGAGGCGCGGACAGGGGATATAAATTCCTCCTTGGCCTGTGAATTCAGTATTTTTTCTCTTACTCCACCTCTCATACGCCTCGAATATCTCAGTATCTTCCACAATGCCTGAAGGAACGATGAAAGCTCTTTGGTACAATGCGGTATGTCGTTTAAGATACGCTCGTGTGCCCAGCCTCTGACGAGCGCGTCGCTGGCAGCCCCAAGACTTTGAGATAAAGCAGGTTCCTATACCGAAAGTCGGCGACGACGATGTGTTGCTCAAAGGTGTGTCTCTTACTGCAGTTCAACGAGCATTAACTGACGACGTAAACAGTGAGCTGCTGTGGTATGTGCCAGCCAACCCTGAACCTTTGACGTCATTTAATAAAGGCTGTCACTTAAGGCGTGTGCGGAACGGATGCGCACATTCACGAGGGTACGTGTAGCGATGTTCACTGATATTACTTTTGGCTGAAAGTACCATAGGCGAGTTTATTTCCAAGTTCCCAGTACGTAGCTAGTTTCTCCGACAAGGCTCGCAACCTGAGACCTGCCCAGCTTATCCCAGGTCACGAAGCCATTGGCACTATCGTCGAGTTGGGCAAGAACGTCAAAGGTTTTGACCTTGGGGACCGTTGTGTAGCAGACGTTGGCATTACGGTGCGTCCTAATTGTGTCGATGGAAGCCGAACCTTATTTTGTCACGTTATAGTGCGAAAACTGTTTCTATTGCCGAAGAGGGCAATCGCTCATGTGTGAGAACTTCAACGCACGGGGTGTTACCCAGGATGGTGGCTTTGCGGAATACATTGTATAGTACGTGATGTCTTTGACCATGTTGAACCGTCTTCTTACAGTTTGTCTAGCAAACAACACAAGCTGTACAAGATTAAAAATCTCACGGACGAGGAGGCTACTCTTCTTGAACCTGCTGCATGCGCAATCCACGGCATCGACAAGCTGGCACCGCCTGTCGGCGTCGAGGTTCTCCTTCTAGGGGCTGGACCTACTGGCTTGATTCTCGCTCAGTTGCTGAAGCTCAACGGTGCCTCCCGAATTGTTGTCGCTGCCAACAAGGGTATCAAGATGAACATAGCTAAAAGCCTTGACGTTGCAGACGAGTACATTGAACTTGATCGGCAGCACCCTGAAGCACAGTGGAAGAAGCTAAAGGAGGACAACCCTTACGGCTTCGACGTCGTTGTAGAAGCAACCGGGGTAGAGAAACTCGCTAATGAAAGCATTAACTATGTCCGAAGGGGCGGTACGTTGATGCTGTATGGGGTTTACGAAAACAAAGCTCAGGTGCACTGGCCACCATCAAAAATCTTCGGCGATGAGATTAAGGTACTTACTGTTATTGAATCTCCTCGTAATTGTCTAATCTAAGCTGGTTCTTTAGATCATCGGGTCGTTTTCGCAGACATATTGTTTCCCCCGGGCTGTTGCGTACCTCGACAGCGGCAAAGTTAAAGTCAAGGGTATGGTTACAGATGTCTTTCAACTAGATGAATTCCAGGCCGCGTTAGACAAGATGAGCAGTAGAAAGGCGCTTAAAATTGCTATCAAACCGTAGGAAGAGAAGTGTAAGAAGAATTGAATTCATCATCATTCACTGTAGATTATTCACTGTACTAGTCGTATCATCTGATATATTTATGATCCTATAGCAGAGGGTCTGATTCATAAATAGCCTGCTTCTCGTGCGGATTGGAATTATGCAAACTGTCAAATTATTACAAGATGTGAAATATGTCAACACTAACGGGAAAGGTAAGTGTCAGCTCTAAAGCTCTAAAGCTTAAAGCTAAGCGGTAAGTACTGTAAGGATCTATATAAACCATTCAAACCCTGGTAGTATTGGCAATTATCCCTGGATACTCCTTCAATTGTCTCGAGCCTTGATCAGGGAATATTCTGCCTGCCCGAGATGTAAAACTTCGGAGCGCGACAATGTACTAGGGAGATGCTGTTTTGAAGAATTGAAAGGGAAAAGCGCATCGCTTCTCATACACATAGGTCGTTATGGACAAAATCACTCCGGCAGTCTCAACTGAAGTTGATTGGATCTCGTTCGGGTTCGGACGTCCGAACCGACACCTCCCCTTCCGGCCCGAATTCCGAGCGTCTCCCTGAAGTAACCCTGAAGTCCGCCACTTGTTGCCGCATCACACATGGACCGCGCTCAGGTTGAAGTATCCCGTCGCCTTCATAATATTCTGGTATACCCTACCATTCTCCATTGTCTCTCACACCGCCTTCTTTATTACAATCAGGTTGCCTGATGCAACCGGTATCTGTATACGCAGACAAAGGAGGGTAATGAAAACATGACCATCTGTGGAACAAAGACTTCACTTCATTGTCCTCGTCACGTTCTAGCAATGCTACTTGGGCCAATGCCACTAGGTTAGAGGTATATATCACCTCTCACTAGGCCACTATATTGTCGTACAAGCTCTATACTTTCAACAGCCCATTTCAGTTGCTAGGATGTTCGGTTGTTGCGCTCCTCTTCGTCTCTCTTCGCTCTCTGCTCCGTCTCTTGTTCTGCCGCTGCGGTGGCTTTCCCGCGTCCACAGTGCAAGGACGAAGAACCGGTTGTACCACACACGAACTACTTCAACTTTGGGGAAGAATTCTAGGAGTTTCTTCCGCAGGCTGTTCTGCTGCTCCGCTGAGCTACAAAACGCAGATACAGCATCTTCCACCATGAATTCAGACCAAGCGACTGTGATTTCCCACATAAACGAAGTCAACTCGCGGTATCCAAGCGGCGCTTCTTCTGAAGGCGCCTACTCTGGGGACGTTTCTTCCATGCCGGTGGTCAAGGAAGAAACCATCATGCCACAGCCTGCACAAGAGGTGATTCCGCTGACCTGCTTCCATCCATCATGTTCTGACACCCTGCCCCAGCGATATACAGGACCAAAACGAATTACGAATGACTTCGGTACTATGCTGAGTACCATCACAGTGCCACTACCTCGGATTGTGGTCACTCCTGATACGCCCACTCGAGCGGGGTCTCCCGCGGACGACACGACGCGCTTCTCGTTGCCGCTAGAAGCGTATATCGTACCGCTTTCTCCTCCGCCAAGGCGTAGACGCCGCCGGTTTGAATCAACGTCAAGTTCTCAAACAACGACCGACATTGAAACCATGTCAGGCGGAGAAAGTTCAAGTTAAACTTGGGAACTACAGCCACTGCAGTGGGAAACGTAAGTGCGATCTATTCGTGGAGAGATTGCCGTCCAACGCTGAGCGTCTCTTCTGACAGTTAAAATTAAGAGGACGCATTCTGTAAAACTATCTATCCCATCAGATATGCAAAACTTCTTACCATTCGCTATACTTATTTTCTAATTCATTACACCGGTCGGCGTCCGGTGTTCCATTATTTTACCTAGTATAACGTATCTATGTATAATGTACATACATCTCTTCCTGTGATGACCAAGTCCTGGCACCTACGTACTCCCGGAGAATAAATGAGGTGCAGAGAGGTCTGGAATATCGTTCAATGGCATGGTTTGTCGGAAATATGAATGCTCCAGGCATTCTAGAGCCGTAAGTCGTTCTTCAGCGTCGTACCGAAGCAGCTGCCCTATACATTGAATCAACGTCGGTGGTACCCTTCTTGAGAAGTACGTATGAAGATCTTTGGGGCGGACCTAAAAATCGAGGACGTCAATAGAACCTATTACTATATTTAACTTCTTCCTAGGACCAACCTGCGGAAACCTAAATCCTCGCGAGCGACAAAGTTCCACACCATCAGGCCACGGCCCGCCACCAATAGGGTCACCAAAAGAATCACGTCCATAGTCATTCATTGGGTCCCCCATGATCGAAATGACCTTGTCAATCTGGTCCAGCTGGGTCATACCAGGAAACATGGGCTTAAGCAACAACAGCTCTGCCATAATCACTCCCAATGACCACATATCAAGGGACGTAGAGTAGTCTGCGCCCATCAGCAGTACTTCAGGCGCCCTATACCAACGCACACCAACATATTCCGTATACACCTGCCTAGAATCCACGGCACGCGACAAGCCAAAGTCGCCGATTTTGACTATCGCGACAATATCCACCTCCGTCTCGCGGCCGCTGGTGGCGGCGACGACGGGGCGGTAGGAGAATAACCCGGTAGTGCTCACGAGGATGTTTTCCGGCATAAGGTCGCGGTGGAAATAATTTAGGGAATGCATGTGGCCGATACCAGATACCATCTGGAAGAAGATGGAGGCCACGAGTCCTCCTGCAAACGGACGGCCTTTTCGAGCCTTGATGAGGTGCTGCAGGTTACCCTCCATAGGCTCCAGCACCAGATACAGAGTTTTCGTATCTGTGCTGAGGAAAAAATCGTACAGCGAGATGATGTTGGGATGTACGGGCATCTCGCGGTGGATCTGATAAAACAATGGCCGGGGGAACTGTCAATATTCATATATGCCGAGAGAGATTAGACCTAACCTGGAGTTCCCGTAGGAGTTGACATTCGTCCCAGCCGCCTGGGAATACCCTGCGGAGCTGTTTGACAGCCACGAGACGCTTTGATGCCCACTCCCGCCGTGCCCCCTTGCCTGTTTGCATGACAGGCAGAGTCGTATTTGGGGGCAAGGTCTCGGGGGATTTCCAGTCACATAGCGCAACTCGCCCACTGTGTCCTGTACCGAGCACTTTGAGGATAGTGAACGAGCGATATAACCCTAAGGATTTGTCAGCGACGCTAGTCGGAAAAATATTATATGAAGTGGAAACCAACTGCTCTGCGAATTTCCGAGCGCACGGAGGCCATTAGAATAAGATACGGCTGGAACGCCTTGGATTCGATGCTCAGAGCCAATGGAGAACATATGTGTGTGAAAACAGTCGGGCGACGTTTAGGCAAGTTCTTGCGTTGGTGGGTTTCAAGTGGGTCTTCTAGCGGACGCCTGAAGCAGTACCTTCCGAATCCACTTTAAGCTTCCTAAAGATGCATCACAAATGACTGCCAGTTACATCAACTCACCGCCCTATCAAATTGTGTCCCGTATTTACGTCCACCGGTTATTGCAACATGGCCCGAAAAGATCTGGCTTCTTTCGGAAATTGAATTGTAAAACTCAGGATGCAATGCACTGCCGTCAGCAGTGCGTCGGGCTACATACGAGAATATAGGCCCCCTCAAGGACCCAGGTGGCTGGGCGTTCTGAACTTTATTCACACAAACGCCTCGTGGCTGAAGTCTAGACGAACGTGAATAAATTATCTGGCTTCTATGGGACTGATGCTCTTCCGGCCGGCGTACATTCCGCCTCCCAGTCCACGGGGGCGAGTTCTTTGATACGATCAAAGAAGGCGGTCACCGTACAAAACTCTGGTGATCCAGGAAGGTGTTTTCCCTCATCTGCGCAGATCGGGAGGTGCATGTTCTTGTTCTGATATCGCATTCGGATATCTAGTCATCATGGTCGTGAATAACAAGGTGAGAAAGGAATAGAGGAGACGGCCAACTTACAGTGTTCATCAGCAGGTTTAGTATGAAACGGGGCCATTACCGTCTGAAGCATCGACCGTGACTCAGCATCTCTACTCTTTCTGAACAGTTCGAAGGTGATCGACGCTGTGAAGGCAGGCCATCTGCCGATCAGGTGTGAAGTTGAGATACAGTGTCGCATGATCATCAAACGGGACTTTACTTGTCGTCAAACACGTCTAGAGTTGAGCATAGCCCAGCCAATGCTGTGTCATGTGTGCTATGAACAAGGATCTTGAGCGGATCTTTATCTCCTTGCTCAATTTTGGTCCGCATCTTTCTTGAAATATCGTCCAGTAAGCGTCCCATGCCAAGACGGCGAACTTCTTCTGTTTTGTCTAGATAGATGTTGGTCATATCCTGGCGGCAGAAATACGCAAGTAAATGGAAAGGAAATCTCACACCCTATGATACTCGGGGTCAGAACAACTTCGTCAAGTGAAAACATCTATGATACCTGAAAACCACTCATTCACTACGGCTCGCTCCTGTCATAGAACGTTACGTTGACTCATCGGTGCAAGTAGACGGAGAAAATGAACCTACAATCAAGTCCATGACAGGTTTTTCCTCAAACTCTGGGGGTACTTTAACATTGTGGGCTATAGAAGCCCGAATCTAAAACCCAATCAGCTGCGATCATCGAGGAAAATGAATCATGATTGAACTGTGTCCAAAATTCCAGAAGCTCGCGGTTTCCCGTCGACACGTACAGGGTTCCCACCCAGGTATTTTGATAGTTTCTTATCAAGGGGCTCGAGTGTATGGTTATACGCGGAGGCCGCGGCTAGAGGCGGAATTTAATTATGAAACCCAACAGTCAAAGATGACGCTACCTTGTGCAAACCCTACTAATAGAATCTCCAACCGTTTACACGCATATGTATTTCCGAGCATATTCTCATCTTTCCCATTCCTGCAGAAGATATCAATGTCTGTGAAAGATAGATATATCATCAACGATCAACTGACCGGATAATCAGAGGAGGCGTCAGAGTTGGATGGCACTTCTCCGTGGGGTAGAGTCCATGTATGATCTGTTGCAACGATTCAATCGTTCTGGGCATGTTGGTGCTTCTGGAATAAAGCTCAAACAATTAGTACTTAGCGACAGAAGGCGGTGCCAGTACCGGAAATATGTAAGTCCCTCCGTTTGGAGGTAGTTAGGTAGGAAGCCTAGTCTATACCGGACATCAGCTAAGAAGTCCTCACGAAACACGGGCCAGAAATTGATGCACTTGTCAATATAGATTTGTCTCAGCGCGGCACCGTAATTGTATGTTGACTGTGGATTTCATCAGAGTCACGGAGAAAAGAAACCAAGCGCCGACTCCATACCTTGCGACCGATATCTGTCAGTTCACCAAGCAGACTGGATATTAGAAGAAGTTTATAAATAACAATGTAAAAATACACAGGGAAGGAGGAGAAGGAATAACGGTTTGTGTGATATATCAGCCAGGAAAACACTCACCATTCTCCCTCGACACTCGATCCATCGGGACGTTCAACCAGTTTCCGGGTGCTTAGGGTCTGCTCTTCCAACGATCCAGTCACTACAGGAGCCTGGTATCGACGCGCCTTTGTGCAGTGCATCCAATGTTGGGGTATACTTGCTGGTGGATCAGCCAGCCGTACTCCTACTGGACTTCGCTCGCCTGTAGATGCTATGAACAACAGGTATCCTATCAACGACAAGTCAATCACGCACCGTGCCTCACATATATGTGAACCTGCTCCAATTTCAATCCTTCAGGCGTGACAGGATAACGTTCCACATCCAAGGGAGCCTGAATTGGTCGATATAGATTCGCCGCCGAGGTATGGTCGACTGGCACTGGATTCACCATGGTGAACGAGTCGAAAGATGTTGAATAGGTCGAGTTTCCGAGTACAGTTATTGAAGAAAGAAAAAAGGGAATTAGAAAGAGACCAAGTCTAAGTTTCATGAAGCAGTCGCGTTGAGTACGTGGTAACGAAATTATGATGAGTTCATGACTGAAAAAAGAAGGGGCCCGGCCACGTGGCAATTCTTTTCTTTTTTGCGATAACCAATACCGTGCTCGAACATCTGCCTTTACTTATGACTGCTCAAGGTAAGGAAAATTGAATCAAAACGAATTTATTAAGTGAATTTCTACTATCTTCTTACGCCCGACAGGGTCAGGTTAACGTTTATGAGAACTTTGGGATATCGGCACGAGCCCATTCATAAACGAGACTGCCAGCACTTCAGTACTTACGGATTGGCCCAGGTAAAGCATCCAAAACACCTGGGCGTGTATGCCAGGAAGAAGAGGGATAACCGAGGCATCGACGACATGAACGTTGCTTGTTCTATACTGAATGATAGTCTATCAGGACAGGATATACCATCACATACAACAATGAAAGTCGTAGGGTCAACAATACCACCATCTTCCTGAGCGATTGTGAACTGGGTAAGTAGCTGGCCCCATAAGGCATCGGCCTAGTTACTCGCTGCAGCAGTTCCGACGAAATGAGACTTAGTAAGGAGAGTCGTCAGATTACTTGCAACCTGAAAGACATCGAGAGAGTTGCGCACCGAAACTGCTGTCAGTTGTGCCCCTCTACAAATCACGGTTTGGTTCACGAGTATAACATTCTATCTATTCGAAAACTGAACTTAAAGAATATAACTATAGTTGTAAAAGTCCCGAATGCAGAAAGAGGATACAGAGTCCGATGCCAGAGACACTACTGCCGGTCAGCCAGGGAATCTCAAGTATCCTTAGCTCGTCGCAAGAGCACGAGTCGTCGCCAAGAGATGACCGCTCATAGTCAAGAAGACGCAAATTGCCATCCCGCCCTTTTGCTACATTCCTTGGCGCGAGATCACGGTGATGGAGCCCAAGCGAATGAAGAGTCTTCACATGTTTCCAGAGGAGTTGGCTGTCCATTGCGGGTTAAAATTGTGTATACAGGCAAGCATAAAGACACCTACAGCTCCTGCACACTAAAATCTGCTTCTTTCCACGAGACATCTAAACGCTTTCCCGGCGTCACTCAAGATTATAGCGCCCCAGGACTTATCGGGCATTGTGAATAGGCCATAATACAAAGGTGCAAGGTCATCCAGGTGGTGAGAGCTGATAAGTTGATACGCGAGCACTTCTTTCTTCATAGCGCCAAAGTTTCTCCTTGAAAATATCTTGACGATGACGGGAACGGTCGCCTGTCCATTTGAAAGGCATCCTCGTCAAACTTGTGCCACGGGGCCATACGAGAGGAGCTCAGAGACTTCTACATCGGCAGTCCGAGGGGGGAAAGGAGATGATGGAAGATGGTCTTCCGTACTACATGAGAACGCGTTTGAAGGTGAAAAAGGGGGTGTAGGCACAAGCAGCCGTGGGAGCCGAGTCATTCCAGGGTATTCAATCCTGAAAGAGATCTGAAGTCCGCATTAGAAGATTGAAGATACGAATCAGAAGGGAAGGGACCGTTGAAGCCCGGATCGTTCCCACCGAGGCCGCATTTGCAGCTTCATCGCTGGCCTTCGATACCTCCTTTTTGCCCTGAAGAGGGTCTGTCATTAATCGTGTCAAAGCTTGTGGTGCATCTGTTGAACACTGATCACATTCCGAACTGCAGGGCGGATACCCTGACGAACGGATTCGTTGGGAAGATGGAGAAAAGTTAGGATTGCTACCAGAGGAATGCCTTTTTCGCAGTACCGATCGGCAGTAATGAATGGGTATTCGGCTGAAGTGGGGGGATTGTCATCTCGAAAGAGGTGATAGTGAGGAGATACCAATAGAGCATTATGATCTGGCTGGAGTAACACTAAAGGAACAACTGAACGCTAGGATATGGAGGATTAGAAAAAATATACCCTTTTCGACAATGACAGCGGATATCCCGCTGAAAAAATTTCCAAAGCGTGATGGTGGCGTGGATGATGCGAGGTGAAGCCACATCTAAAGAACAAGTTTGTTCTGTGCAAGTCGATACACAAAGGCTTTCAGTACCTTAATGGCCATGGCTCTCCCATCAGCTTGCTCAACATTGGGCATATAATCATGTTCCAGCTGGAGACCGGCTGCGTGACGAAACAAGACTCGAGGCCGCTTCCCTTCTATTGCCGTAGTCTGTGTATGCGCACCCGTTCGACTATTCCTAGTCACCCAGGTACTGTCCCCCTGCTGCGAGAATATCAGGGATGGTGCCGCTAGGGTCACATACGAATGTTCAGCATTGGTGCTGGTCAAGGTTTCGACAGCCATGTCAACCAGATTCAGCAGCTGGGCGTGGAACAGCATGACGACGGATTCGTCAACCAGGTTAAGTCCAGGTAAACGGCCCTGAAGCCTATGAAGTGACCGATCAAGATGGACAGGAAGCAGGTCTTCTAGGCAGCCTCTACGTTCTAAGAAAGAGAGAAAAGAACTGAGGATGCGTTCGACGATAGCTGAGTCAGGATCGGATTGACGGATGAATTCTTCAGTGGGGGGACAGTTGATAGCAGAATACGATTGGGTAGTATCCAATGCCGTGCGTTCTTGCACAGCGATGTGATGTTCAAACCGAATTCCGAGAAATTCTCGCCATGTGTGCCGCGGTATTACAGAGGTCATGGTGGTTGGAAGTGAATTCGTTGCAAGCCCCTTTCCCTTTCGAATTCACTTTGGCTCTGTTTGTTGTAGTACAACACGAAGATGTCAACATTTTTGTCCAATTGTCGCGCCGACCAAGACACTTACTCATCGTGCTTAGAAAATCCGGGACACCCGCCGAGCAACGGGACGATTTTATGTCACCGGATGGAGTCGGAAAACATATAATGGAGAGTATATGAATGGGCAGACCTCGACACGCGTCCAGTCTGTATTGACACATCATTTCGACGCCGGTCTTGGTCCAGTCGTGAAAAGTCGTGAAAAATACGGGCAAGTGGAACGCGCCCAGATCTCATCACGTGGTTGTGGAAAATCATATTTTCCATTTATTGTGGCCCGACTTTTGGTTACCTCTCGCCGTTCGTCATGTCGAAAAGGATTCGAATCTACTCTCCGGAGGACCTCAAAAATCATACGACAGCCTCCAGCTGCTGGGTCTCTTACAAAGGCAAGGTCTACGACATCTCTGGATTCCTGGCAGATCATCCCGGAGGCGAGGATATCCTTCTTCGTCATGCCGGACAGCTAGTGGAGGATGTAATGGCCGACAAAAATGAGCATGTACACTCGGAGGCCGCGTACGATATGCTAGACGAGTTTCTAGTTGGAAAATTAGGCAACGAGGAACACACCTGCAGCGAAGGTACGTGAACCAACCGTTGCGTGCAGAACGGATGGTCTCAAATTGTTTGTCTCCTATAGATTGGGCTGTCACCGACGACTTTCACCCGGAAACCACTGACTCTACGCAGGATTTCGAAAAGAACGAGTTTTTGGATCTGCGTCGGCCTTTGCTTGCTCAAGTGTGGTATGCTAACTTCAGGTATGACTTCAACTGTATTGGTTCTGTTATTTGACTCAAGGGAACCATAGTAAGAGTTTTTATCTGAAACAGATCCACCAACCGCGCCATCTGTCTTATTCTGCCCGCTTATTCGGTCCATCCTATCTGGAGGTAATGACACCTTGAATTTTGGCCAATTTAGTGCTCATGATACTCCTAGGTGTTTACGAAAACCGTATGGTATGTGGTGCCTATCTTCTGGCTGCCGATTGCAACATACCTCGGTCTGCGGTCGATTCTGCAATTCACTACGCCACTACCTTCAGTCTTTGTTAACCCATACCTTCCGTTGAATATGCTTTCCCAAATTCCTACGGCGTCGTATGGTAAATTCGCGGCGTGTTTCTTTACTGGAAACTTTATTTGGACCATCCTGGAATACGTGATGCATCGTTTCTTATTCCATCTCGATGATCATCTTCCTGACAAGGGTGTGTTCCTTACCATGCACTTCCTTTTGCATGGTGTCCATCACTATCTCCCTATGGATCGGTGTGTAGCCGTATTATCTTCGACCTCCTCTGACTAACCCTCCTATAGCTTGAGGCTTGTCATGCCGCCTATCTTATTTACTGCCCTGCAATTCCCTTTCACCCAATTGGCATATAAACTCTTTCCAACGCCGATAGCGAACGGAATAATTGCCGGGGCTTTTGCGTTTTGTACGTCTCAATTTTCTCGACCCTATTTCTTTTTTAATGTCACTTGTTTAGACGTGGTTTATGACTGTATGCATTATGCGTAAGTAACGACCCTGCCTTCTGAAGATCTCAATATTCACCCGGTCTGATAGGCTTCATCATACAAACCTTCCAGCATACTTGAAAGAGCTGAAGCGATACCATCTTGGGCACCATTACAAAAATTACGAGTTGGCGTTTGGTGTAACAAGTACGTGTTTTCTCTCTCTGAAACCGAGACGTACTGACAACATGTTTCAGGCAAATTCTGGGACTATGTTTTCGGCACGGTCCTGCCACTCTGAGGCATTCCTTTAGACAAAATGATATATACCACTAAGCTTTTTTAAAGATCTTGTTTATACCCTGTCACGCTGTCGAACAATTCTCAGGCTACTGTAGGAACTCTGTAAACATATTTGTGTTCACTGATAATGACATTAAGGTTTATCATGATACATAATACGACTCCACTTATTCAAAACCGGCGTAGTGACCACAAACCCTAAACCTTATCCCTTAGCGCTCACCGTTATTGTTCTCCAGTGGTTCCTTTAACGGTCATGCACGGGTGGCCATGGATAAATGATAGACCTGTTGTTACGAAGTCCTTCGGAAGCCTTCAGATTTGGGGGGGTGGAGGGATCTACCACGAGGCAAGAGCGAGTACTGGCGCTCCGCCGATCTAAAGAAAAGGGAAAAATAAACCTAATGTATGTACTCTCTATTGACGGCAAAATGGTCTGGGCAGGCATCGTTGGTTCCCGACCATGGCTAAACTGTTCAAACGTTCGTCAATTCGAATTCATCACGGAGATAAGGGTCACCACAGGGCACTTTTAGTCGCCGTAATTCAACTCAATTGAAGACTCCACAGGCAAATTTAAGGCTTTCTTCGGGATTGTACTTATTTGTGGCTCCCGTGAAAGTTTAAGCTGTCGACGCGAATAGATCTATGGGTGCAAGGAAATCTTGAACGATGCGCGACCCACGACACCACGACCCTTGCGCCGGCGGGCCGTCCGGGTCCGACCCTGTCACGGTTGCACGTCACACGCCTAATTTGGATTCACCGCTTTCGTTACTCTCAGCGTTGTCGTCGTCGTCAACGTACGCGTCTTGGCTATGCCCAAGCTAAACTTCAATATCGACGAAGCGTCACTACTGAAGGCCTACAAGATTTCGACACTGAATCCCACGTACGACTGGTAGAGCATGTTGTCATTTGCCTTCCTTCTCTGACCGCATTTGAATCGACAGACAATGGGAAGAGGTCGACCACGATTTGGGTGACTCTGTAGCAGGAGCGCTCACCGGAAACTATGACGGCGAGGGGGATCCGCTGGGAATTGGATCGACTGTTGAGTACGTCGACCGAGTGTCCAGCCAAGACTAGGTGTACTTACTGTCCTTTGTAGCGTGCAGGACATGGACATGGAATCCAGTGAGATTCATGCAATATCTTAGCAGAAGAATGCACCTCTCATTATTATTCATAGAAGCGTCTGTTCTAATTAGTTCCAAATCATTCGACCCCAAGGCATTCCTCTCAGTAGTGCACCCCAACGCGACTTACCAGGACCTCGCCTCTGGAATATCACGTCTCCAGGCGTCTATCGATGCCCGCTCCGAGGCTATCCGCATTCTCGTAGAGGACAACTTTGACCGATTTGTGGCAGTGAAAGCTTCCACTGATGGTACGTACGTCCCGCAACGGAGAATTTGTCATTAATGAGGAACACACAGCTTTGTATGCTGAAATGAAGGAAGGCTTATTGGCCGAGTCTGCGGAGTATGCATCGAAGCCGCTTCGGGATCAGCTAAAGCGTCAGTAATGCCCGATCTCGTCGTGATACTGTAATCACTGACATGCCATACATATAGAGGCTGCGGTCAAGGCGAATCAGGTTTTCCTCCCCGTACTTGAAAATGCGTCCAAAGCCCAAAAACTCCGGACAACACTGGGCGTTTTTGAGCGATCCAAATTTTTCTTCAACCTCCCCAGTTTTATAATCGAGTCAATCGAGGCGGTAAGCGGTCAAGCCCCTTGTCCTGCGCATTGTCAATGACTGACAAAAATACAGGGGCGTTACGAAGTCGCGATTCGAGACTACAAGAAAGGCAAAACTCTGCTTGAGACCCGTCCTGGTCAACTTCTTCCAATTGGTGCTCCGAAGGATGGGCAGACATCTGCGCTAGCAGAGCAACAACAGAAGCGGATTCTTGACAAGGTCTGGGCTAGCGTAGAGAGGGCGATAGGAGAGATGAGAAACGTCCTACTATCACAACTACAGGATCCGAGCCGAAGCACGGAAGAGCATGAAAAAACAATCGAGTAAACCTTTTTCGCTTTCATCTTCCCCCACATTTTTAATAACGTTATTACCCCAGACTACTTTTAGACCTTCCGACAAATGAGGACCCCGCCTGGACGTATTTCGATAGTCAGCACAAGTATATCATAGCTCAGATGAACAAGACGTATCGTGCTTCCCTTGATGTGGTCAAAGGTGTGTCTGTTTTGCAGCAGTAGAGATGTTGGCTCGCTGATGGAAACCGGGCGACCAGCTACATTAGAAAAAACCGCCACCGATCCAGATGGTCCTGAAACGCTAACTAGTGTGATTACATCCCAACTGCAGGCGTCTCTAGCGGCCCTAGAAGCAAAGCAACCCGAAGCCGTTGTTGGTATGTAATTTTGGTTCCTTGTTCTATTTCTTGTATCAATTCATTCTATAGCAGAGTCCGCTGGAGAACCCGTATGGCAAGCTATCGTGGACCTAGCCAAGAATCTATCAGAGGTGATGATGGCATCTCTCCCCAATTTTTGGAAGATTTCGACTAGTTTTACGGAGGGTAAATTTAAGAAGGTGACATGAGGTTTTTTCTGTTTCCCGTGTCTACATATTTAAAATTTATCTTAGGTTCAGACCCCAACCGGGACTAGACGGAGTCCCACACAATGCAAGATTATGGCTTTGGATATCATCAAGTTATATATTTCCTTAATTTCTGAATTCTTCACTTTATCGGACATGGCGGTGATGTCTTCTCCGGGGGGAACAAATAACGTCCTACCGCCTCTCGTTCCCGCTAATTCGAGTTCATTATCAACTGCGCATTACCTCATGAAGATTCTTGGCGAGATCCAAGACACGGTGAACGAAGTCAATGGAATGGAAATATCTACCGAAGCTACTGCGAGTTTGAAGAGTTTCCTGGAGACCGCGCGTTGGCGTTTCGAGGACATACTGGTGAACGCGTGGACGAGAGGTAAGTCCTTTACACCGCCATTGAACCATCCCTGATGGGGCGGGATTATCCTGACAGATGCCCAACTCTTCTATCACCTGGAGACGTGGACGGCTAGTCCTTCAGATCCCTCAGCGACCCTGTACCTTACACAGATGGAGGTGTTCCAACGACATGTCACTACAGCTGCTTATAAATTGGCCGGGGGCGTTGATTTATCGTCGGTGTCTCTGACAAAGCCGACAAAACAGAATCCCATCACGGCGGCGTTTGTGACGAAGATTACAAGGACGTTTATAGATGTGTTGTATTCGTTCCTTAATGGCATGGTGCAACTCGTCTCCGACGACACGCCTGGTGCCAGTGGGAAGCGGCAGTCCCCCAACCCCGAACTGGATCTGGTCAATCCCATTGAGTTGTTGGATCTTTCGAATAGTGTAAGACTTCGTGACTCGATGTGCAATGATTAACTGACTGGCGCCGTATTGATTAGGACGTCCGCTTGCTGTTGGTATTGTCAAACTTCAATCACCTATCGACAGTAATTGTGCCTAGCATGATTACGCAACTCGAAAATGCGTTTGGAATAAGTATCACCGAGGATCGACAGGTGGGATCAAATAGCAACTCTGTTTGCTGCGACGTTGACACTGAGAATATTGATAGACTTTAATGACGTCTGTTCTAGACCTTGACAAGAAATTGTTCGAGAGTTATGCAAAGTCGAAAGCTACCGTTGTCAAAAATCTTGTCCGCGGCGGTATCTTGGACAGTGGCATGGACTGGTATGAGACACCTCAACCAACAGGTGTGTCATGCATCTTCGATTGATGTTGTTGATGACTTATTGATTGGGCAGAGATTCGGCAATACATGTACAAGACAATGGTGTACCTCGTTGGCGTACATGCACAGATTAGTAGTACGGCAGAGACGCTGTTGGAACGGATCATGAACTGCCTTGTCGATGAACTGGCCGATGAAGCGTTACGCTGCTTCCGACAAGTGAAACGCTTCGGTATGGGTGGCATGTTGCGAGTACGCTCTGCTCCTTGACTTAATGCCGACTTACCTCTGACTGAATTCCGTATAAAGGCCACTCTCGAGATTGAGTATATGCACCAAACGTTACTCAAGTACGTCACAGACTCTGCGGACGCGGCATTATCAGAGCTGTACAACAACATATCTCATGCTTACGCTCGACGTCCTGGAGATGAAAATTTGCAGACCAATCTGGATCGCGTAAAGAAAACTTTGGCAGATGCGCGTCGGGCAACTGGTATTGAGTTCCTTTGCTTCAGAAAGACGACGAACAGGTCGGCGGGTTCTGCCTCGCACGCTAGGCCGCCTAGGGAGCGAGATCCGGCTCGAAGCGCGCGGCAATAGTGCTGTGCACAGGGTGCGTGTCGATTGAATTGTAGCTATAAATTATTCATAGAATACCATGTAAGTTTCCATTTTGTAATACACTTAAATTCAAACATGTGAAAATATGAATACCGTAAAAATTATTCGCAAATCCCTTGGACGTGTCGTTGGGTATGACACTCGTCGGAGTAATACCATATGCTCATAGAAGACTTCGTTAGGGGTGTGACCACTGCGCAAAACCGAGAGACACGGCTGTGGGGAAACCCAAGTAGGGCAGCTAGGTATGACCCTGGCCCAATCACAGGATCAAATCCACGAGGATCGTCACAATGCCAAGGACTGCACAGATCATAAGGAATTGTTCATTTCAGGGGGTAAACGTAAGTACCTATTTCAATGGCAATTAAAACGATGACAACTTGTTCAAGACGTTCAGCATGTCGACTTGATACGGACTCCTTAAGTAGCTGGAGCATGTCTTGGAGCACCTGTCGGAGGAGAAAGCATCAACGGTTTGTGGGAGATCGAACGAGGCACGAACCCACCTCGACCCGGGAATTCAATAAAATAACACGCTGTGGTATCTCCAGGTAACTTCTGGCGGCATCATACAGTGGCTGTAGATCGGGAAAGCTCTGGCGCCGGTTCAGATGTATGCGCCAGGCACCGAGGGAATGTACGTACCCAGAATACTTCCTGAAACAGTTGGTGAGGCCAAATAACTGGGGATACAGACAGAATAGAACATACCGGAGAATCCAAAACGGAACCCACAGAGTTGATGTTAGTGCGCAGTAGAAACAGCTGACCAATATTCTGCATGATTTCTAGTAAATCCAAATTAAGCACGAACAACCCATCCGCGAAAACCTAAAAGTAAGGCATACCCTTATGAGGCATTCCAATCTTTCCCGTCTCGCTGATGATTTCGGGAATGTCCTTTGTATCTTCAATAGTATTGCTAATCAGCGCTTCAAACTGAATGGTGGGTATTTATAGAGGGCCGCTGAGTTTGATATGATAACGCTTACAAGAGAACATTTGACGCTCTGGGATAACGCATGGGAGAGGGATAGCTTCGTCCTATGGTAACATTGCATCAGGTCCACAGAAGCTCAAAAAGTAATAAACGATCGGTCTCACATATAGCTGGAACCCTTGCGAAGAGTAATCACATCATTATAGATTCTGCAGGATGCAAAGCGTGTAAGAATTTAATGAAATGTGGCCAAAGAGGAACTCGCCTACTGTAGTTGGCGTAATAATAATTGAGGTCCTCCATTTCAACATCTTCCGGTGCTAACGGGTGTATTAGATTTGGAAACTGCCAAATCACCAGTACACACCTAGTTTCTCGATCTCAAACCGTTTCCTGCATGTCGAGTTAATGGCTATGCGCTTCAATGGCGATCGTGCTCACAGTGAAGACAAGAAACGTTTTTCTTGAGCTTCTGTCATACCCCAAATAACTACTGTACCATACTCGAAGAGGAAAATCTCAGCCTCCGCGGACGTCGCGTCAAACTTTCTTTTCTTCGGTTTTGTGGGCTGTTCATCGTCTGGCCGCAACTCGGGTATACCAAGAAGATCACTTTCAGGAAGCGCCTGAGCCCTAACTGTGGACTGTCGGGTATCGGTAGATTGTGCCGGCTGGTACAGATAAGGTGTGTAAATAACTTCATCAATCAGCTTTGCGTCCGTATGGTAGGCGGCTTTGCGAGCGTTTAAAAATTTCATAAGGTCTTCCATGCGGTAAGAGCTAGACGACATGAACGTCAGAATATGTTTGAAATGACGCTTGTAATGAAGCACTTTGCCGTCGCATAAGCGGTGACTCGCGGAAGCGATTTAGCTTTCTTCTTCGTCAGTCGCAGGGCATCCCGCCGTGCAGTACCTGCAGGAATGAGAGATATTTGGTTGTACACCTAGAATCGCCATGGTTGGATCAATCTGCAAGCACGACACGACACGGACGCACCTCTACTTCACCCGTATCACTCGTATCTGACTCGATATCGCCTTCATCACTATCCCCCGGGGTTCCAACGCTCTCCTCCGCCTTGGGCGATACCGTCTCATCGGCAACGATAGGTTCAGGTTGTTCCGGCAATACTTTAAGCTTTCCTGGAATATGAATTCAGCGTGGCGACAGCACCCAATTCATATGACCAACCAGCTACTTTTGTCGAGCGATTAGCACCACGAACCTTGGGTTCCGACAGTCCCTGCGCTTGCTTTGATACAGAAGGTTCCGGCATTGTTGTTGGTAGTGGGACCGTGGAAAATCATGGAGGACTGGTCGAAGCCTCTCGAAGGGCCGGACCCCGGTCAAGAATCGACGTCACATGTCACTGCGTTACAAACATCACAAACATTACATCAGCTTCTACAAAAGGTAATTACCAGCCGTCGGCGCGCATTTAACTTTCTTCCTCCCTCCGATCGCGAGTGGAAATACTCATCAATATTTCGCGAAGTTGTGACTTTACTTAACCTTCTTCTGCGCATCGTTTCCCTTATCGCCACTGCCGGCCTGTTTTCGCTTCAACGTGGAACCGTTGATCTAGTGGCGAGAGTCGTTACCCACATACCCGAGCGCTTCCTTGTAAGCGCCTCGCAGAATATCCTCGGCAGATCCGTCTGGGACTTCGTTGTTCGATAGCATATGCAGCTTTGATTCTGATCATGCGTCGTTTCTTCTGCAGTTCAGGATCCAAAATTGGGGCAGGGCCCAGTGACAGGGCCTGCCTTTTTTGAATTTCTGGGGGAGTGAGATGGGGGGAAGATGGGGGAGTAGATGTACTTGACCTGGTCAGCGGTTCAATTGTGATCGTTGAAATGTGGACTTACTTTGTCGGGAACTGCACCAGCCCGGGCGGAATTGGCGTACCACCTGGCCGCTGTTGGTGAACTTTCCTGGGAACGCTGCAACACTGTAAACGCGATCTAAAATACCCGATGGAACCTAAAAAGACCGCGCATTTAATGGACTAGAACTTGCGATACACACTGTAGGACGCTAAGGTCTACAGCCCTGCACAGCGCGGGACGTCAGGTTAGTCCAACGCAAACACATGCCAGCCCTCTCGCCCTCACATCCGGTTACCAGAGTACTTGATTGATTTGGATCCTTTTGTCAACCCTGCTTTAGTATCATCTCCATTTTTCTGAGAGAAATCAGTCCTGAATTAAACCTGATTACGACCGTCAAACACTCCAGCCCGCACTCCCGTGAAATATAACATTGGCCTCGAGTAATGAAACACAATTGACATGATCCAGGTTATTGGCCTCGGCAAAAAAATACCGGAGACACCATCTCACTGCCACGGAGTGTCGGGTGAGATGATGAATACCCTCTTGTCGCAAGTGTCGCATAATCATTTGTATCGATCCACGGGAACCTTGTACGTCCCTCTTTCTGATTCATACATTCAACATTCGTGATTTAGTAAATGAAACGAACAAACCCAAGCCAGCAATCCATCTTCGGGCTCTTCATCCCTTCTAGGTAGTTCGATCTTCTCGCCATCAACATTATATTCGTTCTTCGGGTATCGGGAACAATGTTAAACCCTGCAAACAGAAACGATATACGAAATAACTGCAGGCTCCAATCAATAAATCTAGATGAAGTGGTGAAGCCTGTTTCTCATAATGTGGCGTTGAGAAGATGATTACCGGCAAACTGAATTCCTCGAATTTGGCCGAACGTCAATCCCTGTGCATACTCTTCTGCGAGTATGTCTCTCTGAAATGCCAGCTGACCTTCTAGATTTTCCGGTTCTTGAGAAATGCCTTTTATTTCAAACGAGCGGTTCGATCTGTCGCGACAAGCACGGACCCACCCTTCGTTTCTTGCCTTTCGACCTTGATGTTCTTTTCTTTCCATTTCGTAATTGTGTCTCTGATGCGCCATAGGAACTCATTAATACCTAAACACCCAAACTTGAGACACGGTCAGGAGATTTGAATTCAGCGAGATTTGTCTTCTACTTGGCTACTCTTTGGATCCTCACAATATACATCCAATCGGCGCAACACCTCTTTTTCGCTGCCGTGAATAGAGGTTGTGGCTGCAGGCAGACCGGGTTCGTTCGGAATCCCAACTGTTTCCTGGGTCCTACAATTGATTCTAAAGAGTGTGAGTGTATGGCTCCGTTTCAAATCAACCCTTCCCTTAGGCATCTTACTGTAGCAGGTGACGTTGGATACCCATATTTCCTTGTTCAGATCCACTTCTTGCACGACGCTTGTCCGATGGAATATTTTGAAACGATGTGTCACCCGGTGACGGAATCGACCTTGGCGGAACTAAAGGTCGTTCTGGCTCCGGTAGACTTTTAGCAACCTTGAAATTGATTTCAATTAGCTCATGTATGTCTAAAATTAGGGATGTGAATGCTTGACCCCACGCCATGCGGCTAACGACACTGTCGCTTTACCGCCATTGAATTTCACAACGAGCTCTGGGTCATAAAGAGTGTGCCCGAGAACATGGAGTACCTACACCCCTGCATCAATCGCCAGTTTCTTAATCTCGGCGTTACGGGCGAGTGCGTAGCCTGCCGTGTCCTTCTCGTAGACCAGGTGACTGATACGCTAATTCTTAAGAGCAAAAGGAGGACTTTTCGGAGCAAACCGCGAGTAGCTGCTCGAAATTACGACTTTTGGGTTACAGCTTGTAAGGGAGCTCCAAAGGATCAAGATCATTCAGGCTCTCAATCAAAAAATTAAAGCCAATTGAGGTAGTATGAATCAGACGTAACAGGATTGGTACGGTGTTTTTCTCACCGATTCACGCCAAAGCTATGAGCGTAAACATATTCCGGATCCCATGTCCATATCTGCGGGTCAACATGAGGACGACCCCAAGAATGCAGGACCAAACCGAGTATAGAGCCTCTGGATTTAAATCGAGTGCAGTGCGCAAAGTCGGGCAACTTCTCAGCCGAAGGTTAGTTCGAAACCAGTGGAAACCTCGGGCGGCCATGCTGTATGCCATGCTCGACTTCCAAGAAGGCGCGGGCGGGATCAACTTTTCCTCGGATCCCGATCCAACCAGACGATCGACTGAAATCAAAGTCCGCGACGATCGTGGTCTGGCTGGTACCTTATGCGTCATACTATCAGGTGATGCTGTCCTTTGCTTCCGCCGAGGAACCATTCACTGAGACGGGTACTTTGCGGGTACTGTTCATTTTCGAATGGGCATGGTACGATACGCGACAATTTATTCGAAAGCAGATCGAAAGCAACGACAGAATGAAAACAGTAAGTATGTATGGTACAATGATAATAATGATGTCTAGTAGAATCAAATTGTAAAGTCCGGGAGTGCTTCCTCTGCTACATTGATATCGTACAGAAATCTGAAAAATGTGTCCGTAGGGCGGCTTAGCCGTCTAACATCTTCTTGAAAACAAGTTCAGGAACTGCTCATCTACGGGATTGCGACGAGGGCCTGATACGCTTTGTAAGTGCTCTAGAGGAACAAGCATGGTCCTCTTGGGATGAGTGGGCGACAATGGAGACGAGGTTCCATCAGTACTGATCTCCGAGTCCGACGGCGGAGTGCCAGGAATGTGTGAGGAGGGCGCCTCTTTCCGGTAGTTTGAACCGGTCGGGTACGGGCGAGTTAGATTGTGAGGTGATGGGGGAGAATACGTCAAGGATTTTGGGTTCTCGCGACGGGACGTTTTCGTTGTCCTTGCGCTTCGAAACCATCCTTCAGGCGGTAGCATGCCTCCGATTCCTTGGATAGAATCCACAGTCTGAAGGGATTCGAGCGTATCCTGGCTGAAATAGGCGGCTATTGTGTGTATTGAGCTAAGGCAAATTAGGAAGTATAAAACAAATGACTCACTGAGATGCCACTTCCGTGTAATACCTTTAGGTCGATCTGCGGGGAGGCTAACGTGAACGCTATACGTTTGCTTAATGAGGTTTCTCGTTTCAGGCAAGGTTCGAAATGTTGATGATACAGAATATCCCGGAAAATGGGAAGACTCTCCATTCCTTCTGAAAGTGTATTAGCTCAGGTCGTTTGGAGACAAGTATAGGTGGCTCAAACCTCGTTAACCTTGCCCACGGCGGAGACTGAGTGATAGGCCCGCAATCGTCATCGGGGTTCTTCTGGTGGTAGAACAGGAATTCCTAATGGTGGAAAGCGTCAGCCAGCAATAGGCGGTGAAATTGGGGGCCAATATTTACATCCCGAACGCCTATGCAGTATCATCGTCAACCCAAGTCCAAGACGAATAGTAGATTTGACACGTACGACTTGGTCCCCATCCCATTCCATCCGTCCTGGGGACAAAATATTAATCATCTGCAACGAACAAAACAGGCAATCGACATACCATCGTTCCATGCCTAGTCCAACAGTCTCCGTGTTGACGCCACGCTCCTCCCAAACGTACACGTTGCCGGCTGCAATCGCCCTCCGCTCCTCGATATCGAGCCGACGCGTGATGAGGGGAAGGATTTTCAACGCCACACCATGGAATACCACTAGGGCATCACGGGGAGTCCGGATGCGTACATTCTCGAGAGTAGGGCGCTGCATGGGGGTGCTATCCATTGGGAGAGGAAATCAAAACCCTGTCACAAACTACAAGTGTGGCTTTTATACGTACCATGTTGTAGTATAGAATATCCAGGGAACATACACAGGGTGCATATGACCACGAGATAGTCATTATTTTAAGGTTTAAATTGAGTTGAATCGGGTGAAATTTCAGGGAAGCAATCTCGAGAGAACTTTAGAATGCCCATTCTCGTGACATTCTCACGGTATCGATCCAAAAAAATTGTGACATGAAGGTGGTAAGACGAGGGTATGCCATGCCGGAAATGCTTACAGGCATTTGGGCAACATATGGGGAAAGGGCAGATCGCGAAGTATATCTCAGATCTCCGTCATAATCACGGATTGTGATATATGTATGGCTGTTTGATTCTTGGGTGTCGAAACACCGGAGAAACTCAGATTTGGTACTCTGGATGCAATCCTGTTCATTGTGCAATAGCGGCTGACACTACGTGGATCGTTCGACTTCTGACCATAGTATCCTTGCAGTTCTATGTCGTGAATGACATGTTCCAGAATACCCAACCCCTTAGGAAGTTCGACTGGGCCGAGGGTCGTTGATGAATTTTAAAAGCTTAACATAGAGAAGTGAGCCGACGGGAAATACCATGAAACCGCCACATGTGCGCACCGTCTATCACCATACTATCGTATTTAGCATCATGCTATTTGAGGTGTGAAGTTGTGCTGTGAGAGTTCATGTCCAAGTTCCGGGCATGAGAGAAGACTTCAATGCATCGCTTTCCCGGGCCTGATGGAAATACGTACAAGGAAGGACTCGGTGCTTCCTACGAGTCGTATGTAAATTCTTTATATGGTGCGTGATATTGATTGAAAGGATGCATGGTACGTTTGGACGTATCCTCGGGAAGGGTTGCCCAACTGACGGCTTCTCCGCATATCGATAGAATGCCACCATCAGCACATTCCGGCATGGCCGGGTTTGGAATTGGAAAACGGACCGCAGGATTCGCAAGCCCCAAGAGTTGTTGATTACCATGCCCCCCAAGGATGGATGCCGGGGAAATGTCACAACACCTTAGGGACGCTGTGATTGGATTGATCGGCCATCTACTCAGTGCTCTGATATCGGCTTCCATATCATCGAATCGGAGTCGAATCCTTGCGATGAGGTTTGTTGCAGTTGCCGCATGTTTTCATACCAACAGGTAGTAGCTGTATCCGAGTTTTTGGAATATCAAAAAGTGCTCTTCGTGCCTGAATTTGAGGATACGCCTAAGAGTGGGAAAGGCCTGGAATGAGGGTGAGAGTGTAGCAGGCGGAGATGTATATTACATCCTATGCCATGATCTACGGATGGAAATTTGATCTTGTATTACGAATGCCCTAGTTGTCGGATCTGTTATGTTCACACGACGATAAGATGTTGCGGGTGCACTCAAAGGATCTCGCCGTTATAGTGCAAATAGTCGGTTTTCGGATCCGAGCGCTACAGGGCCAGCCTGTTGGGTTTCGTGAGTTCCTTGCAGATCTGTCGTTGGTCTCTGGATACCTGGATCTTGGTCCTGAGATTGCAGGCTCGCAGTGCCCGTGGAGAAAAACAAGAAATCCCATAGTGACAGACAGACGTTACAACCAGATATATATTAAAAAAAGCATACTTAGCTCCCGACCCATTAATAAAAGCTTCCCTAGTCAATAAGATGGTCTGAAGAATAGTGAAGTGAGTGTATGAGCGATATTAAAGGCACGAGAAAATTTTACCTGCCAAGGGTAGTACGACAGGTAAATCATCTAGGAATTCTGCATAATGAACCCTGCCCTGGAATGTGTATCGTATACGCAACGTCTTGTGAGCGAATGGGGCGAGGTCATAAAACCCTTGGAGCCCAGCCTGAAGAACCACCTATGTCAACAGACGCCGGGGCGAATATTCGCTTGAAATAACGTAGACCCACCTTGCTTCTGTGGCCTGGAATGTGGAGTTGAGAGTTAGATACCAACGCTTGGACCGCGACGGTAACATCTAGGTCAAATTGACTCCCAAAGTCAATGGGTTCCGCAGGGCCGTATGTAGCCTCAAGAATAACCAGCCCTAACTCCGTGCGTGAGCGGCCAAAATTACTACGTCACTAGGTGCTTACATACCATCCTTCGCGGCCTCCGTCGCCATGCGTTTTTTGGCAGGCTCCGTCAAGATGGAAATGATATTCTGCGTCTTTTGTTTTATCGTAATGTCTTCATCCAGTTTTTGACGAGCCTCAGAGATCTGCCTACCGGAGAGTCAAGGAAAAAAGGTCGCCACACTTAGAAAAATGAGTAATGAATGACCCACCTGATACGTTGCCTTCGGCGACGAGGAATCACGATAAAATGATAGCCCAGAACCAAGGCAGATGATGGAACAACAATAGTCCAGAATGCGAGGCCTGGGTTATATTCACTCGAGAGGAGGACGGGGACATGGAGACGTTGACCTAAATGGTAGAAACTGCCTAAGGGTCATGAAAAATTCTGGGGAACACACGCGAAGTCAACGAACTCCAAGTCAAGTCCAACGCCCAAAAATCCCAGGGATAGGGAGGCTTTCACCGACGCCGTATCGCCTGTCCATCCACCGGAGAACAGCCATGATAATCCATCAAGCCCGAATTGTAGCCCGGCCTTGATCTCAAAGGCCAGCTCCGAGAAAGCGATGCCCCACTGACCGATGACCTTGGGCTCGCGGGGGTTTAAGGAAACTCCGTAGGTCCAGAAAGAAAAGGTAGACTCCAGACCAGATACGGAGGGCGAAATTGGGGTCGAAAGGGTGTCTTGATCTTCCCATGGGGAGTCCGAAGCGTCTGAGGTAAGGGCCAAAGGTGACGTCGCAGTCACAAAGACTGAGAGCTGTGGAAGAGGCCCAAAATGGCAGGAGAGATCACCTTTCCAACGGTGTTTGGCTGAGAGAACCCGGGAGAAAGAAAAGGTAACAGGTGGCACTCTTCCCGTCACTCGCAGGGGCAGGTACGTTCGGACGGAGATATTGCCAATCTTGTCATCTCGAAAGAGCGTGTCCAATGTTACGGTACGAAATGAAAACAGGGAACTCGTAGCCTTTGTCATCCATGTGAAAGAAATCAAGTGACATAAGTCAAGGCATTTGAGTGGTGCATTCCACTTACGCTGAAGGTCAGACGCGGAGAAAACTGGTGTCTTATTGTTCCAACGACATCTCCGCCGGCTTCTCGACCGCGACTATTCATACGGGTCATGAGTAGCAGGTTTGTTTTGTCCGACAAAGTTCTCTATATTAGCCTTTATTAAGCAAGAGCAAACCGACAGAAAGAATCATTAAATTTACCCTCGTATTATACTTTAGTCCCCATGTCAGAAGAGATATATTTTGCAGCCGATGTCTCATCCTTTGCGGCCATCGATAATGTGAGAATCCCGGCTCGAATAAGGACGATGCATCGATGCTGCAGTTGAGCCGAGCTTCGGGAGATATCAGCTTCCTCAAGTCTTGATGTTTTGACGTCCATTTCAGTTGTTCAAGCACCTTTTCAACCTATGCGAAGCATTTATATAAATGAACCGACATAGGGAATGAAATTTTAGGCACTAGCCTCTTGCGAGGGTAGCTTTCGCAAGCTCTCGGGCCAGATCGCCTTAAGTCCATCATTACCTTTGAACACAAAAATCAATTGGAATCTACGTGCAACGGGAAACAAGCCCACCAAGAGTGTCGTAAACATTTCTGAAAGTAATTCAGTGGCTTGAATCGAACGATATAGAGACCTGGATACCTGAGGAAAGGATCCGATAAGACTTGAGAGAATACATCAATCAATATGATAATCAAGGTTAGAAAATCAGTAACCTTCGTAAGCTTTTTGTATGTCGAGGAAGTTCTTCGCGGCAACGTCTCGCAGTTGATCGTTGCGCTGCTTGTCAGGGTGAAAAATGAGCGATAGCTCCCTGTATCTGTCGTGTATTTCCGCCGGAGACGCGTGCTTCGATACATTGAGTACCGAGCTAATCCAATGCGGCAACCCGTCAATTGAACGAATTACACCGTTTCTAAACAAACAGGCGACGCACTAGAGAAGGTCCCCTTCCTTGTCAGATAATTCCATTAAGTTCAATACCTGTCTGTCCCCAAGGGACCTGGAGGCAACTGGCAGACTGAAACCGATGCGAGCCTGCCGGCAAAAACGTTGCTGAAAAAAAAGTCAGGCTGTGATGTCATCAAGCGTGATGACAAGACACCGCCACGTAATGTGCCTGAAAAGGGAGTACCACGTGGCCTCACATCTTAGATCACACTTTTCCAGGAACGACTTACGCGTAGTCTCACAAGCGGACCGCATTCGATGACGCGTCGATGACCTCAGTCACTCAACTTGGTTGCTTCGCCTGCCGGAAGAAATGCATTTGTACGGTGCTTAGGCGGGATTCTGATCCACAGTTTGCTTCCAAAGAATAGTCAAGTACTGAAGGGGAGACCTCGCCGACGCCGTAGCACCTCTAGATTGCTCCCGTCGTCTAACAACGACCCGTAACAATGTTGTGACCGGCTGCGCTCAAGCGCACCCACACGCCCGCTGATAGCTATTCCCCAATAGTACTAGCCATGTCGTCAACATGTCGCAAACCCTTCGTCCTTCGACACAGATGTTTGAGGGTCGTAAGGGCCGCATTGGCAAGAGAATCTCGCCTCCGAGAAGGATGGATACTGTCAGGCATGGAAGAGACGCTTGACGACCCAATCTGACGCCGGCGACTTCTACTTGCCTGTGGCAAACACGTATGACTAGAATTCGAAGCAGTAGGAAGATGAGAAGGAAAGGGACGCCGACGTGCGTATTCGGCGCTTAGTGCTGTGGCTTACGCTGCGGGCGCGTAGAAATTCAAGAACCGCGCGAGTGAGAACATTCTGCAAGAATTTTGGAAAAAATTGTGACATAGGACAGCATCGACATTCCACTGAAACCGGTCTTTTGTCTCAGACTCCGTGTCAAGCGCGACAGAACGGCCCAATAACTTGAGTTCATGGAAAACTATAATTTGATTTGACTGTCGCAGTTAGCACGCAAGTCACGAGCTAGCGGATCACATCGCGGTCGACATGGAACAGTATGTGGAGAATTCCTGCCCCCGAATGGCTATGGCATGGTGAATAACCTCGAAGTAGGAACTAACACCGGCTCTCCGGTCCATTCCGTTGTCAAATATGTCAAATGGGAACAGTTCTATATAGCTAACGCGTTGAGAATGATGAAATTACTTACCTCTTATCTTCGCCGATTGTACGAAGAGGCGCTCCCAGGTTAACCGACAGGTACACGCCGCTAGGCAGCAAGGTTCTCGTCAGAATATCGGTGTAATGATCCACCCTTGGATAACGATTCGACAGAAACCTCTATGTTGTCCTGATATCTCGGAGAAATAAACAGACTCAAAGCCCTCGCGCGGTTCCGCGGCCCGTCCTACGAGAAACGCACCATAGAAGGGGTGGGGATTCTTTAATTTTTGGGTGGGATCTAGTATGCAGGACCGGGACATTCTGATTTGTCTGATCGGCAATTCAGCGTTCAATTGATCACTGATCACCCATAGTTGTTACCCCGACTACCCCCCGGGACTGAATTAGAATTTAGATTGAATTCACCAACGTAACAAGGGAACGTGCTCTCAGCCTTGAGAGTCCTACCGGCGGCACCTATAGAACGAAATTGGAATATTGAGACTCGAAAGGGTGGATCCTCTCGTATGATCGCAAAAAGCCGCACCCTAAGAATTTGATCAAGGATAACGCTTTCGTGGTAAAGCCAGCGATCTTTGACACAGGTCAGTCTCTAAGGCTTCCCGGTGCCAGTAAATCTAACCAGCACTCAGGCCAAGTTCCAGCCCGCAGTTTTCTCCTGTTCTGGAGCATTCTACATTGTCGTTGCCCTGATATCTCACGAGCTTATGGGGCACAAGAAACCGTTGTACAACCGAGTCCGAGTCCGAGTTCGAAGCTGCCCACAATACGTTGATAACAGTACGTGAGGCTAAATGAAGCAATCTCTCAGTAGTCAGCTAGAGAACAAATCAAAGATAAGTTAGTCTTTGGGAAGGCTCATAGAACGTACATCGATTACGTGTCTTCGCAGGAATTGTATAGGCCCGCTTCACACCTAAAGCTGAACCTTTATGCCGGAAAGCAGTGATAGGAGACTAATCAGAGAAGAACCGGAGAAACGGAAGGCAATTGGTGTCAGAGTGTATTTGAGCAGAAACGCCGCAGCTTGAGAATGGCTGGTCGCGATGAATGCCACGGATATGAAATCCTTCAGCTTTGATGTAACATCGCCGACTGCCGACGAAATACCAAGAAAATCCCAGCGCAGTCATTCATGAAGGAGATAGAGCAGAAGATCTTAGGACATACGCGTGAAGCAGAAGTCTCCGCCGTCGCTGCGTCAGGGTTGTTAGTAAGAATATTTACTCGCCGTGGGTGCGTCCAGGGACCGACACGTCGCGTCATTTGCGTTGGAATCGGTCTGATTTCCGTATTTGGGAATAGTGTATTTCCATTCTCAGGGCCACCCTGACCTCCGCGCTGTGAATAGACCAGATAGGATAGGACAGACATCGATGGTATACATTAAAATCATGTCGGTCCCTTTTCATTCTTACAAAAACGACCGCAAATCGCGTGGGTTGATGTGATCGCTATCAAGCTCTTCGCGCCGTGTTCCCAAGCTTAGTCTCGCATGGCCGTGAGTACAGTAAGTCCAGAAGCACAAGGTTCCAATATATAATTCCATCTGGTAAAGATTCTCAAAGGCGACTGTTTACCACTCTGAGAGTTTTCGAGAGCGAATCCAAGCGGACTTTTTACTCCCCTTGAATTCATGGAAGTGAACAAGAAACCAAGCAGGTCCAACATCGCGCGGTGAGCCCTACATTTTCACGAGTTCTTCAGGGACGATTATATTGTACGATGAATGATGATGTGAAGTTTTGCAGCCGGCCCGGAAGGGAATGTGTGATCAACGTGGATTTGATACGACCCCAAAAGTCCCTGACATGTTCGCAACCCTCAAATTTCGCACTTGGTTCAAAAAATGTTTTCTCCCACCCTTCCACAGTGCGTGAGCACAGGTGGACATTGAGCAGAATTCATTTACACAGTGAAAAGGGGATATTATCCAAATGGGGAGAGATAACCTTTCATGTCACGATGTGACTTGCGTGACCATAATTTCTTTCTCCTCAACGACGACCTTCAGGCAAGGCCCTTATTCATCCCGGGCCCTGAAGAACAAATATCATGGCTGCAGACGCCCAAGAAGTAAAAGTATACACTGTTAATGGTGCCGCGGCAGGCTCCTCATCATCTCTACCCGACTGGCTCACTCGAAAACGAGCTGGGAAAGGAAAACGCGCTGTGCGGGAACACTTCGAAGGGACTATTGAGCTCATTCAGGGCTTTGAATTCCCAGAGGCCAGCAATCGTATCAAAACTACACGAGATGGTACCCATGCCATTGCTACCGGGACCTACAAACCTCAAATGAGGGTATGGGACTTGAGCCAGCTGTCTCAAAAATTTGAACGGCATACGGATGCAGAAAATGTTGACTTTGTTGTACGTGAGTCGTCTCTTTGCGTTTGGAAAAGCCTTTTTGCTCATCATACGTTATCATAGATGCTGTCTGACGACTGGACCAAATCAATACATCTACAAAATGACCGTACGATCGAGTTACACACGCAAGGCGGTTTTCATTACCGGACACGAATACCACGGTTTGGACGCTCACTTGCGTACCATTTCCCTTCGTGTGACGCCCTCTTTTCTGCATCCGGTAATGAAATATATCGCCTCAATCTAGATCAAGGTCGATTTATGACACCTTTGGTCCTGCAGGCTGATGAAGAAATCGCTGGAGTGAACATTATTGATGTCAACCCGGCGCATCAGCTGTGGGGCTTTGGGATAGACGGCAGTGGTTCGGTTCATTTCTGGGACCCCCGATCGAGATCTTGCTTAGGTATCCTGCGAATACCGACGAGTAGACTTTCGACGCCAGATGTTGTTAGTGTGACGGCGTTGTCGTCTCGTGATGATGGGCTTACTTACGCGGTGGGAACGTCGACTGGCCATTCACTGTTATATGATATTCGGGCAGCGCGGCCGTTTGCCATAAAGGACCAGGGCTACGGGCTTCCTGTGAAAAGCCTCCTGTGGATCGAGGGTGGTAGCCGTATGGCTGGCGACGGCATGATCCTCAGTGCCGACAAGAAAGTAATCAAAATCTGGGATCGAAATACGGTATGTTGTACCCGCCGTGCACGCTTCGACCATATGGTAATGATTTACTTCTAGCCCTCAACCAACTTCGTTTCTATCACACCTGCCACTGACCTTAATCACGTTCACCATGTTCCTGGAAGTGGGCTTCTAATGACTGCCAACGAAGGTATTCAAATGGGCACTTACTTCATTCCGCAACTCGGACCTGCACCACGGTGGGCTAGCTTCCTTGAGAACATTACGGAGGAGATGGAAGACCAGACCCTGCGGTCTGTTTACGAGGATTACAAGTTTGTCGAGAGAAAGGAATTGTCAACGTTCGTGTTTTTCATTTACTCCCGTGCTTCTTCATGTGGCTAATTATCGATATATCTTCAGATTGGGCCTAGACCACCTAGTGGGTACGCCTGCCTTGAAGCCATACATGCACGGATACTTTGTCTCGCTCAAGCTTTACGAGACGGCTCGTCTCATCGTTAATCCATTTGCATACGCTGAACACCGAGAGAAGATGGTCCACGAAAAGATGGAAAAGATGGCCGAGACCCGTATCCGGACGAAGAAGGACGTTGGCGTCAAGGTGAACAAAGCGCTAGCGGAGAAAATACTGAAAGAGGAGGAGCGCGCCTTGAAAAAGAAGCGCAAAGCGGCAGAGAGAAAGGGCGAGAACGAAATGGATGTGGATGAGCCAGCCAGCCAACAAAAGAAACCCAGTTTGCTGAGTGACCCGCGGTTCTCCCAAGTGTTTGAAGATGCGGCGTTTGCAATTGACGAGACCAGCCGGGAGTATGCGCTGCTGAATCCCTCGTCGGTGGCGCAGTCTAGAATCGGCAAGAGCAAGACTGCGGTTGAAGACGAGGAAGAGGAGAGCGATAAATCTTCATCTGATGGTCTTGGCAATAGCGAAGACGACAGTGACGACGGAAGCGAGAGTGGAAGTGATAGCAGCGATGCCGGCGGTACGTTTTTTCCTCTGCATTCTTATTTCATGCACTCAAAAAGTTTTTCATTCCAGAGCTTACCAAATTCGACCGACGAGCGCGTCCTGGACAACAAAATGTTCGTGCCAAAGAAGCCTATGACCGAACTCGACAGCAAAATCGGGTGGCAAATGTCAATATGGTACCGATGCGTGTGCAAAATGGTCCTCGGAGCATGGATAAGGACGCCACCTTTGGCCAACGCCGCAAAGGTCCGTCTAAGGCCGCACCTCGGTCGAATCCACTCGATAGCGAGGTGGAGCTCAGCTGGGTACCTTCGAACGCTGGTCAGAAATCTGGTGCCAAGTCTCAGCAGAAACGCAAAGGTGTCGAAACCTTCGGCGCCGGCCTTGAACGCGGTGGCGAACCCATGGCCGAGGTGGCAGAGCATGACCGTAAAGGCCGAACCCAACGCAGACAGGGCGTACGGAGTGGAAGTAAAAATGTATTCCGAAGAATGTGATCTTATTGGAATATTATGTTACAAGCCTTCGATTTATAATTTGAAAGCTGAAGCTGTAGTTTTTTGGGGAAGGCCAATTACATACAAAGCGTAGGACTGTCCAACATGATGACCCACCTACCCACTGCTCTCCTAGTAGGTCTTCTTTTTCTCGTCCACAGAAAGCCCACCTGGATGCAAAAGTAAGATGCGAATGTTCATGCGGGGACGCAACTTTTCACGCTTACCAGGTCCCATGTTCACCAAGAGTATAAGGCCACCAACGATAGCTACAACTGGAGTCAGCGAGAAGAATAGAATGAAATTCCTTCTAAACGTACAAAGTGTCTGGAAGAAATCATACCTATAAGGTCGTCAGAGGATGTGCGTAAGGATGACATGGAAAACATACTTGAGGAAATCTCTTTGCGGGTGGGCAGAAGGAACGCTCCACCAGTTGTTCGCAAAGACGTTAAACGAGCTGAGAACGATAACGAGGAACGCAGCAGACCATTTGGCTTTGAAGCCAACGGCCACCATGATACACGCAGCGAGACCGACTATCGACACAAAGACACGCGCAATGCTCCATTTTCCTTGAATGATGAAACCGAGGAATAGGAAAATGAGAAGAACACGACCGGCGAGAAGGAAGCTGGGCGGGGGTTAGGCCAATTCAAAGGTCAAAGACAATTGGACGTACTATTTCTTGCGGTCAGTTTCGCTTATAGTAGGGATGCCGGCGAAGAGTTTCTTTCGTGTAACCATCGAGTCGCTGAAAACCATAAAGAGGCCACCGATGACACTAAGGTTGCGCAGGAAAAAGGTCATGTCGAATATGAGACCGTAACCGAAACCTTGGATAATGACCACGCCCAAGAGACCTGCAACCGCATATTCCGTGTATCGCTTGAGAATAACCGCAGAAGACGCGGACAACATTGTCTGTGTGAACGAACCAATGTCATGGGAACACCGCCATTTGTACAGTAAAGAGCAAACTCACGACAACGTTGAGAATAAGGAAGAAATGTGAAATGCCCCAAGGAAACTTTCTGTGCCTATTTACACCGCAGGTAAATCCTGGAAACGGCGGGCAGCGAGGTCAGACCACGTACTGCTGCAAGTACCAAATCTGGTCTCCCCACTGGGTCATGATTCTCAGCGCATCCTCCAAAAAGGTCACCACAATAAGAAAACGCCCAATTGCCGGCAAATGGGGTTTCAATGGTTGAGTGTAGATTTCGATATTGTCCTCGATGGTCTTGCTAATTGTTCGTAGCTTCTCCAGAGGATCTTCTGGGTTGGCTGCCCGGTAGCCTGACGATGGGCGGGAATTCGAGAGACCATGGGGGTCGACGTTGTATGAGCTCGACTGTGGGCGAGCAATGTTGATCCTGGAGGACATGGTAGAAAATGAAGAAACGAAACGAAAGAGACGTGTACAAAAGTCACGGTGTACGTGGCGGTGAGTGCACGTGCCGCACTGATCTCATTCTCGCTTCCTCGTACACCGCTACCGGTGATGCCAACGTTACTGCACATCCCAGGAAAATGTTGTAGACATCTCTTATCATACTCTGTGTCAAAAAAGAGAATATTATGCGGAAAAATATTATCGGCTACATTTGCTGTCAAATACCGCAGCCAATACAACTTAGCCGATCTTACTGCCATCTTCTCCCGCTTTCCATACCTCCAACCCGCCTTCACCACCGACTCCGACAAGGCCTCTCTTCCAGTCGACGGCGAGCACCTTTTTCTTCCCTTCCCAGGCCTTGAAGCTCGACAACGCACCCTTGGTGCTCCGTAGATCCCACAGCCGGACGACGCCGTCATAGGCACCGCTGACGATCTGGTGGAGCGACGACGATGCCTTGGCCACGCATGATGGCGTTGCGGGATGCATGAGTGATCCGGTGCCAGATACGACGCCCCCGCGCAAATCGTACAGCGAAACGGTGCGATCAGTCGAGGCTGCGAGCGCTGTGTTGCCATCCGACGAGATGATCATATCCAAGAATGGTTTTTCAGAAGCAGTCTATCAACGGGAATCATTACAGAGGCTGTTCAAAAGAGACGCGGCACTTACGATCGTCTGAGTACAGATTTCGTTTTCGATGTCCCATATCCGCACTGTGGAATCGAATCCACAACTGTACGCTGTTTTTCCATCATTGTCGCTGAACAGAGCTCGAGATACTCGCAAAGTGTGCGATTTCAGTACCACTTGAGGTGCTTTGCGCTTTGGTTTGGCTGATTCATCGAGTTTTCGCCTCTTTTTCCGTTCGTGATCGACATTTTCCTCTGTGACTTCGTCGCTGGTGGGTATTTTGGTATCCCAAAGACCGACAAGACCATCCCAAGAAGCAGTCAGTAGGTGCGAGCCCGTGGTATTCGACGCGATTGAAGCCAGGGGGGACGTGTGCAGATGGAGCGTTGCGAGCAACCGTGAACGCGACTTTTCAGCGCCTAATGTAATACGCGTCAACTGAGCAGTCAAGTCGTGCGAGGCGCTTGCTACAAGGTGCGAATCGTCATCCGCGTTCGTAGGAACCACACATATAGAAGTTATGGGCGCAGAATGGATAGAGCAAGCTGTATCCAACTTTTGGGAGTAGTCAAATGCACGAACTACGCCGTCATAAGAGCCTGTAAGAAAGTACCTATTCGATAAATCGTCAGAAAATTTGCCTCGGAGTGATAAAGCATTGGTAAAAGACAGAAAACGCGTTCAGAGGTCAAGACGGAGGTGGGGGGAGTGCCGCAACCAAGAGACAGAAAGGCGCCAAAAGAACACTCACACACCCTTGAAGTTCACAAGAAACCGACGAAACCCAGTCTTCATGAGGCTGGTCGGACATTTTTTGAGGAGGAAGAATAGATTCAATATATTCAATCTCTAACGTTTCTTCCTACACAATCGTAAGAATCACCGAAACCATATTCACAAAAAAGGACGAACCTCTGCAACACCATTCTCTGCACACCATTCCCCTAGACTACTGGCAAGGACTTCCTTTTTCACCAAAAAGTCAAATGGTACTGGGGTCGACAGAGACAGGGCCTTGTTTATTAGCTGGGAAAGCTGGAACCGTTTCCATGTTGCTGGAATCATGAATTTTTGGGTTGGGAGAGGGTATGGAGTCTGTGTAGTGAATACTACGGGGACGGAAGGCCCTGAGGATGATGAAGAGGCCATATTTGAGTGAATTTACGGCCTGAGAAGACTCTGAAGAGTTCGAGACCGTTAACGAAGTTTTTCTTTGTGAAAACGAGAGTGAAAGAAATTATTGTCACAGGAGTGACAGTAATGTGACATTTTCGGTCCGAGTCCCGGAATGCTCCCGTCTGCCCTTGAACCGTTACCACAACATCACCATCTCCAACTGACAATAGAGACCCGTTGAGTTCGAGTATTCTAGAGAAATTCGCTGGTTCTCTCTCTGTCTCACTGAATATAAGTGAAGACATACACATGTATTCCATCCATTCGTTCCTAACGAGGGACTCAGAAGGATTAATGATTTGAGTGCAGGTACTGAGGTACATACTTTTACAACTTGTATGGTGGCCCGTGACGCTTACTTTGACTGCTTGCATAGACGCAAAAATCATGAATCCGACCACGTAGGCGCCTGCATCAGCGTTTTGACGCGAGCTTCCAAACTAACTGATGAAAGAACCATTCACTGTGTCATACTCGCTATATAGCAGACACCCTTCCTGGGTCTGGCTGTCTTCCCTTTTTGCTGGGAAACCTCACTTTCCTTTTTACCAACATTCCTTTAACTTTAATCGCGCTCTCCACCTACGATTATGGGAGGCCATTTTTTATTCTTGATCTTCGTCTATCTCGCTGCACAAGACTTCTTTCTGTGTGTAAAATCAGCACCTGATGCTCCAGCGAACTGCACCTCTCCGGCTATCAGGGTGGAATGGTACGCCACTGTTCTTTATTTTCAGTCATTCGAGCGAATGTCGATCATAGGAACACGTTCACCAACGAGGAAAAAGCCGCATATTTTGATGCCGAATGGTGCCTCCTCAAAGCGCCTGCTCAAACGAGCATACCTAGCGTTACTTCCCGTTATGAAGACCTTGTAAGTGAACCAAATTCATCACTGCCATCACAACTGACCCCGGAACATCAGGTCGGCGTTCACTCCGAGCAGAGCAACATTTATGCGGATACTGATACTTGGCATATGACTGGGCAGTACGTCGGCTGGCATAACATTCACCAAATCAAATGTATTCACCACCTTCGTATAGATTCCTCGCCGTGAGCAATTGTCGGATAAAAGGAAAATTATAATCTTGCTGACTGGCATCACGAACTAGGTCCACCGCTACTACCTTTATACCCACGAGACACTTCTCCGAAAAGAATGCGGATACACCGGTCTGGTAAGCTGAATTTACGTGGTTCTAAATCCAAAACGTGACGACCCTCCTCTGTTCTTGAATAGATTCCATACTGGAACGAAGTCCCAGACGCTGGGTCATTCGCCAATGCGAGCACCATTCTTGACTTTGGTGGTGAAGGCGCCGCACAGTCGAATTATGCTGTTCTAAGCGGTCCTTTTGCCAATCTCACCTCTCACCTCGGACCTGGGGCTAAGAACACGAACCATCTCTTGACTCGCCAGTTGGACGCAGAGAGTTCAGAGTATGCTGGGCAGTCTTATGTGGACGCTGTGAACAACAAGACTGCCTTTGCTCATTTTCAGAAGAATTTGTTCAATACGCTGCATGACGCTGGTCATGCTGGTATTGGAGGAGATGTCAGTCTTGATTTTTGTGTCTCGTCTGTTTGTTATTGATCATTTTGTTAACGAAATCACAGATGCTCAATATCATGACGTCGCCAAATGATCCGATTTTCTGGTTGCATCATGCTTATCTGGACTACGTGCGCTGTCTTTATTAGTGAACGTTGAGCATGTCGCTCATGTCCACTATCTTTTTTAGGTCTGGTGGAAATGGCAAGGAGATGATCAATCGAGGATCCATGATCTCACAGATGCGGGGTATGAAACGCAAGGTGAACCTCCCACTGGCTATGTGGTAAGTTTCTATGTTTGTTTTTGAAGTGGATGAGCTCTATCGAACACGCGGCTGTTTAGGAAACCAACGAGGGCACGGTTCTATCCGTATACGGTATTTTGCCAAATGTAACGGTGCGTCGTTGACTTGTTAGGTTCCAATGGCTCTTCCTGACCTCGACTTCATAGGTTGGGGACGTTTTGTATACGAAAGGCGGATACCTGTGTTACATATACGTGTAAAACGCTCTGTTACACGCGTTCACTGTCTTATACTAGGACTGGAGAAATTTCACTATCTCTCGCATTTCCTGACTTAAAGTTTCGTTCGAAGATCCGTGCTTTGGGATCCCGAACGCTTCGGGAATTCGCTGACTCGTTTGACAAGTGTCGATCTAAGCACTGTTTAGTCTTCAGATGGATATCATTCAAATCCTGATGCCGTGGCTGACGAGTGGAGTCCGATTCCATGAGTTCCCAGGTCCACTGATACATTCCGAGTCGGGGTGAGTGAGCAAGTACTGACGATTTGTGAAATGGAATTTGCGTCGGGTCCGACAGTGGCTATTTTTTGATTTTACCGACCGCCCTCCTGCTCCATGCTTCTAACCAGCAGATAGGATCAGCATCGGGCGAATTAATTAAGAGAATTTTTGGGGGGGGGGGGTTCGGCTTTGTGCGGGGGAAGTGGGGAACTCGGAAGTGTCAATTGTTGCAAACACTATGTATTGTTTTCCTTGACACCGTAGAATCGTAGCGCGTAGTGCATATTTTTCTCTTTTTTCCTTGTCCAACGATGCAAAATTGAAGAACTTGACGTCGTATCATCTGATAATTATACGGATTGATGAATGTACGTACAGCATAATTGACGGCCCGAAATTTTATCCCCAGAGCAAAATCTTCATCCTATCGTTTATATAAGGCTTTGTTGACGCAGAGCTGACACCCTTCTATCTTCTCAAAAAGTATCACTGCCCCCCCAAAAGTTACCGATACACCTCCCGGAAAAGTCGCGACCTATTTTTGGACATACACCCCGAAGGCATCCACCCGTCTTGCACCACTTTGCTTCCGACCACCACCATCACCGCCATGTCTCTCTCTAGAACGCGTTCTCCCAAGGCCAGTGCACAACAATTCACTTTTCTCTAGTCTCTTTCTTAACGTCTATCTTGTACAGCTTGTTTCCGGCGTGTACAGAATTATTAGCGAGGCGTCTCACTCGACTGTACGAGTCCACCAGCACGGAAAGCCTATTCTGCTTTCACACCGTTACGAACTTTTGGGCGTCTTTGAGCAAGTACGTCTATTCTCTTGCTTCCCTAACCGCGTCTCATCGTTCTTGCGCAGTGGGAGCTCACCGAGCAAGAAAAGGGAGGGTTCTTGATCAGGAGCATGGGTCTGACGTTGGGGCAAGTTGGCGCTGAGAATGTGAGGGATATATGCGTTTGAGAACATTCCTTGTACTCACAACTCCTGCAGGACGTCATGATCATTAACGGAGGCAATCCTATTGCTTTCATCGTGGAACCTCTGGGTGATGGGCTCTACACGGTTCGTCTCCGACCCTCTGCCATCTTTTTCTATGTATTCATTTCTACGACAGGTAAAGGCACCCGGTGATGATGGACTCTATTGGAACATCTCGCAGCCGCCCACACGACAGCTTCCCGAAGTTCACGTACGTATTGCCGCCACCGATGTCCCGTATTACTTCTGATCATATATCCTCCATCTCAGGTGAAGCTCGGTCCCGGTGCGGCAGACGGCGAGTTTGAACCTACGCAGCTGTGGCGATTCGAGCGTCTCGACGACGATTCTGGTGCTTACTTTTGAACGCTCGTGAAAAATTCCTGCAGGGTGGTTGGTACAGGGTCGAATAGGCTTTTGATAACCGGTTCTATGCTATGTATACCTCTTATAATCAAGCCACTTTTTACTCTGGGAACGAACATTTGACCTGTGACGCGACGCGACTCTAATCATTTTACCCCAAAGAATGAAGCATGGGGACGGAAGCTAATGACGGTGGAAGGTAACAAGGACAATTACCGGAGTGTTCCGTCTCTCGAATTTGCAATTAGCTTCGCGCAACTTGGCCTCTTAGTTTCTGATTCATACTCAATGGTTAGTGGTAGCAACTGTTCAGGACTTTTGAGTCAAGCCACAACAAATACTTCACATATTTCCAGGCCGCCGAAACTTGGACTTACCCATGAAATTCCTCGTGAGCCGAGATGAGTTCTGATTGATCAGTGATCGCATTGATATACACTGTGTTACATACGGCGAATACCTGTGCTTATAGCTTTCTCTGTTCACGGAAACTCTAGTACTACGGGTCGCTCTGTCGGCCGCATCATTCTTAGGTATCTCATGGGTCAGTTTTTGTGGCGTGGGTGAAATAATACTTACTCCCGAGACCAGGCTGAAACTCGCTCTCAAGTGAACTTGATCATGCACCCGGGCAGACAAGCGACTGACTCTAGGGATTCCAATCCTCAGGATACGGATGCAAGAGCAGTTTCCCAGGAAACTTCAGATGAAAATTGGCGAACGCCAGCAAAACCCAAGGTCAGCAGTATAAATCTCTGGCTAGATACTTAGGACTGATCATAATGCCCAGGAACGAGACGGTCCTCAATTTCGGGCCGTCATTATTGGAATCGATGCATATCCAGACTATCCTTTATATGGTTGCGTATCGGATGCAGAACTGATGGAGAAATATCTTATCGAGGACCTCGGTGTTCCCAGTGGTCACATACAGCGCCTTCTGGGTCCTACAGGGGAGAAGACTATCGACAATTCTATCAGTCCTACTCGCGCCAACATTATCAGGACACTTTACAGCCTCATTGACAGTCCTGATATCGTCAATGGAGACAATATCATTGTCTACTTTGCAGGAGATGGCGCGCTCTACGATGCCGAGGAATACTATCGTAACAAGGTGCCTCCGGGGGTCTCTGTTGCATCAATCAGGCCTATCAAGGCGCTATGCCCTATGGACCGCGGATCTCTCGACGACACAGGGTCCGAAATCCTTGACATTTGCGACCGAGAAATCGACGCCATTTTCAACCAAATCTCTGAGGAAAAAGGCCACAAGCTCACGCTCATCCTGGATTGCGCTTACTCGCGTCCGAGAATTAGATACGCCTCTCCGCTGGGAACACGCCGCTCACAGCGCAATAAGGCCCCGCTCCCACCTCATACGATTGAGCCTATGCTCGAAGGCGCGCATCAGCGCTTGTCAGTCTTTCCTCAGTATCATGCCCGCCATTCAGTAGTCGCGTATGACTGGCAGCCGGACATGAGTTCGCACGTAGTTTTGGCCGCGTGTCAGGAGTATCACTATGCGCGGGAAGAAGAGGACGACGAAGGGGTAATTCATGGCGTTTGCACAAAGTTACTCGTGGATGCTTTGAGGTCAAGACACTCGAGAAAATCCACTTACGTTGGTCTCATGAGCAGGCTTCCCACGATGCCCTTTGTCATTGGAGATCACAAGGATGAAGCAATCTGGTACCAAGAATGAGTGTCGACCGACTTTCCTCATCATTGCTAGGTTGCAGTTTATTTCATCGTCAAAAATAGTTTTACTCATACGTTTCCTACATTTACTGATGTTTCCAGTTGTATTATATTCTATATGCTTAGCTTTACCTCTCTCTTCAAAGTTTGAACATCGCCTGAGGTTGTTCGTACTCTCATCAGCGCTCCTCTATATCGTGAACTGGATTCGATCCTTCGCTCCCCGCAATCTGATTCCCCAGAAGCTCAAGACGTGGTCCTGTTTCGCATGACTCGAACTTAGTATTCAGCTTGAACTTCGAAAATTGGCCTCCAGTTCGTATTCACCTTCTAGTTCCCAACTTTCTCAGGTTCCCGTCTTTCGATAAACTACCAGAACGCGGCCCGCCTTGGTATGCGAACCATGTCGCTTTTGACGACAGCAACCCCCTGATGCCTGACATGATACACAGCGACCGAGACATCGAAATCCATCTCAGAGCCTATCTTGTCCCATACACCATCGCAACAGGCCCCTCACCCAACAAGTTAGGGCACCGAAACACTTGCGTAAACGTATTCGGAGCATGTCATTCATACTTACCTCCAATCAAGTCTTTGTGGTCATACTGCAGTCTCACAGGCGAGACGTCTCATGAAGCGAAGAAATACGATGGCATAGGGTCTTCATATATTGACAAACAGCAATACTAGTACATTCAAGCTGGTCACACGGGAAATGTATGTATAAACATTACAAGTATTCAACCACCTGCTCTCCTTACGCCTTGCTGGACACAGGGACATAGGCTATGGTCGAGTTGACCTTGATGTGCTGGTCGACTTCGACGACGTCATCAAAAATGAGGTTGACCTGGGGACCAAAAATGAGAGCATGGGATGAGCCACCAAAGTGGAACATCCCGAGCTCATCACCAGTCGAGACCTTCTGTCCACTCTGAACGGTAACCTCGCAAGTCGACACCTCTGCCATTCCAACACCGATGAAGGCGACGAGTCCAATGTCTGGGCTGTCAGCTTGGATGTAGATGATGGCACGAGTGGAGGAGTGGGTGAGCCACGCCTGAGAGCGAATGAGGGCTCCGTGGGGGTCGCCGGGCTGGAGGTCGGGGTCACCGACTTCAGCTCCAGCGTCAGGGAGGACGGCATAGTAGGTTCCTGGAACAACATCTGCACGGGTGATGGTACCGTCGATGGGGCAACGCCAGCGGTGATAGTCCTGCGGGCTGAGGAATGCCTGGTAGACTGTTCCACCGATGAAGGACTGGGCTTTGTCCTCGTCGCCGTAGAGCATGTCATAGACGGAGTAAGCCTGGCCCTTGAGCCAGAACTGGTCATGATCTTTGACATCGGTCTGGATGCGATATACGGTGGACTCGCAGGCGCTGTGGATGAAAGTAACTTGTTTGTCCTCGGGGACGTCGGCGGGGGGGGCTTCGACGGGGCGAGCGTCGGCTTGAACCTCACGGGTGAAGAATTCGTCCCAAGAGGTGAAGCCACGGTTGACTGCATCAGGATCAGGACACACGTAGGTCGTGTTGAACTCGCCGCGATCCTTGTCCTCGAGACTCTTTAAGGCGATAGTGCCGAACCAACCCTCATCGTCATCGGTGAGTGTCTTGTTGGAGTCTGGGGTCTTGAGGTACGCGCCCCAGGCGTCCAACAAATCCTTCAGGGCAGCATTGAATGCCTGCTTGCGAAAGAGGTCATAGGCTGCACCGGTGTTGCTAAGGAGATCGAAGAGGAGATACATGGGGACACCAATAGGTTCCCCAATGATGTTGCCTGCGTCGTCCCTCGCCATATAGAACCTCGGCGGCGCGACAATAATTTCGTCCATCAAGTAGAGCAACTGGTCAAAGTCTGTGATCTAAGTATAGAAACGAGTTACTGTGAGGTGGCGGCAGGTAGCAAGGATAGAATCGTACCTTGTTTTCCGTAGAAGCCTGCAGGAAAATCTGATTCCACAAGTCGACCATCTCAGGATCGGCATTGATAGCAGCTTGGAAGTTTGCGACAGGTTCGGTATGGGCGGCCCTAGCCCTGCGTTTAGGCGCGCTGACCTGAATGAGATTCTGGACGAAGCTCGTGATAATCGCAGGATTGACTGGGAGCCATCCACCGTAGCGGGTCAAAGATGTCTTCGGAGGCTGCGACATTGTCCTGGACAAGAAGACGTCAGCGGGTATGCTCGAAGAACGGGGCGAGAACAGCGTACAGAATGTATTTGTTCTCGAGATGTAGTAGGTGATACCAAAGTGAGTTCTGATGTCGATGCAGAGGATATGGTCCCCTTTTTATACAGAGGGTAGGCGACCATCCAAGAAATAGATTTTGTCATGTGGACGCGATATCAATGGTAGGTAGGTTGGTGAAGTTTGAACCCGGGACATGGAGTCACCGTCAATGGAGCTCCAGGTAATACAGGATGGATGCCCGACCCATCTATATTGAATTAGTATGACATGTTCGGTGGGTTATGTCATGAGTCCAGCCTTCGTAGTGCCACGATTCTTGTGCAAATGTCAAGATAGGAACGATTCCTAATTGTTCCTCTGGTTAATATAGATGGTCGGAAATCTTTCAATTCGTCCATGAGAAAACTTGGGACTCGGAAGGAGCGCTTCCTCTCATAAATTTGAGTAATTATGCTCCGGGTTGAATTGACCTAAAAAATGCTTAGTACCACGACAACTTGCATGGTCAGCTGTTGTGCAACATACAATACGACGAAGATCATATAACATTTGAAGCGCACCCATATACGTACTTGAATCGAAATACTATTGAGTCTCATCCTATAGCTGACAAAGTTACCGTGTTCCTCAGAAGTCCTTCCACCACGGCCGGAGGTCCAAGTTCACCGGAAGAAACCTTCGGAGTTCGTTATGGAGGGTTCCCAACTTATGAAATGAAACACTACTGAGCTGCGGGGAAGATACTGAGAAAAGGTGGCAATCCCGAGCCCTACTTTTGTCACAGTTTTTGCGTTCCCATTTGGCTCAGAATTTGTACTACACGCAGGCATCTTCTCCCGTTCAGGTCCTGCTTCGTGTCAAGACTCAACCTGCCTAAGGCCACCAGCTTTCAGGGAATGGATCTAGCATGTTGCCGGAAACCATTGTTCGAATGAGTTACAATAGTTGTCGATTGACGCTCTCCATCCCAGGATGGCGAGTAAGACAGCAGTAGAGAGTAATAAACCAGGTCGCCTAAAAAACGGAGCTAAGCTTCAGTCGATTCGACCAATCATTGAGCTGTATAAAGACGCACAGCAAGAAAGGTAATTAGAACCATGGTAACTGCATAGTGTGGACCTTATTACTCATATAAGTGGGTTACGCCACACTCCTGGGAGTATAACGCAGAGGAGACGCTAAGCTGGCTTTTCATTAATCGAGGCGAATCTTCACTAGATTCCGTGCCCGTCTCATACAAAGTGGGGGGGCGTCGCAAGCATGACAAGTCCGAGTCCTCAAGTCCTTTTGATGAGTCGGTAGGTGAGTATTGCGATGGTACATCAGCTGAACTCCACTTACGAGTAAGTAACGGTGAATCCATAACAAACAGAGACACCCGTTTCTCTTCCAATACCTCCCGTTCTGGCCCCTGATATCTCTGCTGAATAGATACCCATCCCTAATTCCGTACACAATACTTACAGCCACCCCACTTCGATATGCTCTTGGCACTCCTCCGAGAAAGTTAGGGTGAGACGGTGCTGGTGCCGGGAAGAAAGGATACAAAGCCATCAACGAGTCCTCCGGTGTTCGACATCTGTCCCCTTGGGTTTCTTCGACATTTCGGATTGCGGACGGTCAAGGAGAGCATATCTGCAAAAGATCAGAACGTGGCAACAGTGAGGTAAGAGGGCAAGTACTGTCGCGCCTGTCCGAGAAGAATACTCCTTCCGAAGGCTGATACTGTGTAGATCCTGTTCATTCTGCTGTGTCGGAACGACGAGGGATCCAGCAGATATACGTTCTAAGCAACCGGTGCATGAAACGTGCTTCGAAGTGGATTCGTCGATACGTAATATCCAACCCCAACGTCTCAATGGCCCCTCATCTGTGGTCATACCGTCTCCAATACATCACCTTCGTCACAAGCCATACCGAATAACGGCCTGGCAATGATTCTTGCCTGCTCATGGGAAGAAGGCGCCGCACGCTTGCTTTGCTTTGGGCATCCAGTTGAACAAGTGTCGTAGCGTATTATCTTTGACAGTGAGAAATTCGGTTTCCGGGTTGGCAATAGTACAAGGTAATGAGTGATGAGATCAAGTGCATCATCATCGATTGTGTCCAGCTTCGCTATGTTCGATGTCTGCAGAAAAGGTGGACGTATGAAGCGCTGCATTAGTGGTTCGAATCCAGAGAGATCGGCCGAAGCGCTCCCGAAGTGTATAACCGGCCCGGTATGGCTAAGAATGCGAGTTAATGATATAAATTGATTTTATATGGAGGTTACCACGCATCTAGAGTTTCCGGGCTCGTGATGCTGAGCATATTCCCAGCTGGTACACCATTCAACATGTGTAATGAAAATGCTTAACAGAATGTATTGGTTCCTAGACTATACGGCAAGGAATCAAGCCTCTAAACACACTTGTGTTGTAAAGATATCCCTAATATCCAGGCGGGCGTTTAGGTACTTGTTCATTCTCAAGGTGTCTAAGCATTTATCGTTACGGAAGCGGCTTTATAGACCAAAAAAGTATAAGGGGAAGGGGAAAAAATAGAGTTCAAAGGACAGTGAACTGTTTCGAGCTTTGTTGAACCTCTTTACACAATCGGAACATCGTCATCGGTTCACTCCAAGCAAGTCATTTGTTATGATCTTTCTTGATATGTATTGGTGGATTTGAGGTCCCATCAAATTCGGTGGAATGCGGATGGACAATGCGCCTCTCATAATGTCTTGGGTACGGCGTAACACCAAAGACAGGCGCACGAGAGTTAGGGACACGATGCCGTGGCACAAGCCAACGATTCGACTAGGAATGCGGACACGTTTTTCTAGGCAACGAGAGATAACGAGGTGGCTCTGATCACATTCAATAGAACGAGGAACCTATATTTGAGTGTGAGTATACAGAGCTCAACTAAGACATATGAAGCTACGTGCATTAAACACGAGGTTGAGGATATGCGAATAGGGGAGCAGAAAGCAGACCGATCATCTTCTACTAGAATCTGCAAGCATACACGCATTGCAGACGAAACGACGGAAAGAAAGCAATAATCATCGTCATCACTATGAGGAATCAGTGCGAACCACCCGACTAGTGTATATTGGCATTTCCTAGCCGCGGTTGCAGCTCGTCTGACCGTATATCCCAGCCACCCAGATCCCATACCGTGTAAAAATTGCGAATAAGGTCCATACCGATGATCCACCTACCGCTAGAAGACCTAGGAAAGCCCGACAATCAATATACCAGAGAACCGCACAAAACGAAGGGTTCCTTACGGCTCGAACAAAGGCCAGCAATACTGCTCCTCCGTAAACCCAGGTACAATCAGGTCTGCAGGGCGGACGGTAATCGTGCCCTCCGGGAGGATGATAGTCATTTTGAAGTCCAGTTTGCGAACATCTTCGCATAATGGACGACCGCCCTCCTGGATGAAGGTGTAAATGTAAGTCTCTGGCACCGTTATATGTGATGAGCCAGTATCCCAAACCGCAAAGTTCTCCACGAATACGGTGTTACTGTGCGTGGCCCCGTCCACATTCAAATTGAAGTCAACACGGTTGATATAGGTCGTCCAATAGATGATTGCATTATTATCGTCTATGTATCGCTGGATGTTGAAATAGGTAACGTCCGTGCTGTTGTACTCCGTGTTGTGGCCGCCAAATCGGACGACACCGTTGTTTGGAGACAGGTATTGTCCTGTATAAATGGCGAATTCGTGCGCTTCGAGGATTTCGGGGTGGAAGAGGCTCTCAAGGAAGGAAGCGTGGACGGGCTCTCTACACCGCTGTGAATAAATCTCGTCTCGAGTGAATGTCAAACGTACTCTACACGAGGGAAAGCCAAGCCAAGCATCCCGTCCGCATCAAGCCATGCCCGATTGGAATAGCCGAAAGGAGGGCTCGTGTGGACGCTCTGGTCGGCGTGTTCACAATGGACAATGCGTCAGTGAAGATTGTGCTATCTTCCAAGTAGGCACAGTGCTGATCATCCAAAGAGAAACACACCCAGCGACGGCACCCCCGAGGTAGTCAACGTGGAGCGTCTCTCCCGTGGCATTATTGGTCGAGGACTCAGATGGAATATAAGCCGTACGTTTAGCATCTGAAATCGAGCACGGTTCTATGCACGACTGGCTCAGGACACATGTAGGATCCGAGCCTGTGTCAAGCCAGAGATTGAATTCTTGGGGAGGTGTACCCAACCTAGGATACAATGAACTCGAGTCTACGTCCCGTACCAGTAAAAGCTTACGAAAGGGTGACCGTTCGATAGCCACTCTCAGTACGACTGATGGGCACATTGAAGGTAGTAGGTCCGTGTGAGCTGTTCTGCTCATAAGAAAAGTTTTGTCTAATAATGACCGTGTTGTTTCGCACCTTAATTGACAGAAAGCACGGCCTAAGCCCAGTAGCAGCCACAGCGTAAAGATAAGAGTCATTGTGAAGAAAGGCTTTTGTCATAATGGCCATTTTATACCGTTTTCCGCGTGCTTTCCCTCTGCGACCTCACGGGTTATTTGCTGGTCCTCGGAAATTCCGATTTTCTTTCGGTACAGATTTTCGTTTGGAGGCGATTCATGGCCATCAATATTCAAGCAGAGAAAGTGGTGTGTGGCCGGCCATGTCACGATGAAAATATGGGCGACACGCTTATCCGGCCGTGGTAACACGTATCTGGATACACTTTGAGTACGACAGACACAATATAGCGAATAAATTACTTACCGGCAGTATGCTTTGCATCCTATGCCATATGGTTTACGAGAGTCTCCATAAAGTTCGAGGATCATATAGACGGTGATTGCGGGTGTGTCGCTGAGAGAAAAGAGGTCGTAGACAGTGGCATGTCGAGTATTTTATTAAGTATAGCATCACTATGACAAGTTGTGTCTTGAGAAAGTCGAACTCCATGCTAACTAGCATCAGACCCCTCCGCGAGAGTAGGTTTTTAGTGCCAGAAAGACAGCCGTGAACTGGAGGAAAGATAGCCATCCTATGCATAAGCCCGACAAACATGGCTCTTCAGAATCGGACGATACAGCAGAAGGTCGCGTCAGCCTGATGGATCTAGGTATATCTTGAGCCACGAGCCAGTATCCGTCATCAACAAAAGCTCCTACCTTGAAGGTCTGTAGCAAGATGATGCTTTTAAAGAAGCATGAATGTATCCGATTCAAAACCAGGTGTTTCGAGCGTCCTGCTTAGACGAGACAGACTTCAAAAAACATAACCGAAGCTAGGCTGACTGTCCGCGGGAGTTGGATATTATGCCACAGATACACGAAGGGACAAGTCGCTAGAGATCGCCATTATTTTCCTGTAGCGAGAGAACGGCTGTCATTGAGCTGGCGTATCCACGAGCGTGATTATCACACAATACGCCGTGTTTGAGATATCTGGTTCAGAGATAAATGGGAAAAAATTGAAAAGAAGAGCAACAAGGCGACAAATGGTGTCTAACCTCAGGCTCTTATAATTTGTCGCAATGGAGCTGCTCGCGGAACTTCCCTCTCATCGAAGGCGCTTGCTCTCGTGGTTTCTGATCCTGGAAGCAAGGTCTGCTGAAAATTTGGTGTTCAAGATAATGAGATGGGACTCTGCGTCGAGACTCGAGATCGAATTTCTTCTGGTGCACGGAGAAGTACGTTGCGCGGAACAGATGACCGGGCAATAATTTCAGGGTGATAGATTATGATATACCTGAGGTTGCGAGTGAGCAACAGGAGCGGTATGAGCGCTTCTGGGACTCGGAGAGTTCAGTTCGGTCGATAGGAGTCCGAGGGAAACACGAACAAAGTTTAGACCACGTGCAATTCTTGCCTTCTCCCTTCATGTCGTGCAGGAGCTGTGTCCTTTCTTCTGACCTTCAGCTACAAAATCTCAAAACTATTCGGAACTCGAAAGGTCTTGTCGTACAAATTCTACGCGGGGAATGGCCGTTGCTTGACCCTGACCAGGCATCTATCAACGCCGAAATTATTCAGTTGGAGCAGCTGTTATCCTCGTATGATGCTCAGTTTCAAGAGATCCAATTGCGCCGATGTGCAGTCCTAGTCACCCTTGAAAATCGCAAGTCGATCTATGCCCCCATCCGTCGTCTACCCCGAGATGTACTTACCGAAATCTTCCATTTCGTTTGTACCTTTTGGTGGCCGAAAGCAAAAGAGGACTACATTCTCGCATCAGAATTTCACGGGGATGGCCTAGATGTATCTAGGCTGCTTTGGGTTCTAGGCCGTGTTTGTGGGCTTTGGAGGAAAACGTTGCACTTGTCTCCTGCGTCCTGGGCTCAGAAGATCATTGTGAAGGCCCCTTTCTCCAAGCATGCTCCCGATATATTGCAAACCTATCTCGATAACACTGGCGAACATCTTCTCAATCTGAGGGTCTTTCTTCCCAGTAACAAACCGTCAAAAATTGGGGAAATCATGTCGTTACTCATCCAATCCTGCCAACGTTGGAAGAACCTAATTCTCTACATCCACACGCATTATTTGCACTACCTAGAATCGATATCGCGCCTTCCTGTCCTGCAGACAATTGAAATAGATATCCTTGGCCTCCCCCGCCGTGATTATCGCACGAACATCCTCTTGAATGCCCCACAGCTATGGCAAGGAACCTTTCGAACCGAAGGAATCCATCAAATAGGGTTACCGTCTGGGATAACTCATTATTCCGGGTGTATCACTTGTTCAGAAGATTTACAACTCCTTTCCCAGCTTCCTAAGCTGATGACATGTCACCTTAGGTACTTGTCAGTCCCTGAGGAGATGCCGATGGTTATAACTCAACTGCGTCACCTCCATGTTGATTATGTGGACATTCTCAACTTCCTAATCGCACCTCTTCTCAACAGTTTGGCTATCAATGGGATCCCACAAAGGGCATCGTCTAGAACAGAATGTCTCGTCCATTTCCTCGATCGATCTAGATGCCGTCGTCAGAGCTTGACCATTGGCAGCAAGGCGATAACTGCGTCTCAGCAGTTGTCATCCACAATCAGGCAAATCCTCTCATCAGAAGCATGTTCCACCCTCTCTCGCCTCAAATTCGAGCTTGGTTCAAGACTGAACGATGCTTCCCGGACCTTCGAACCTTCATTAGTCATACCGAACCTGAGCTATCTTGCTCTATGTATATCACGGCCCTCAAAGGACCTGTCGTCGGTCTCGTCCGACCTGCTTCCCCGCTGTGATGTAGGATGGCTGAAAGAGATTGAGGTGCAGTTTCAGGACAAGGAGTATGAGGACATACTGATAGCAGATATTCGAGCTCTCTGTGGGGGCGACTGGGATATGCGGGTCGAAGAGTGGGATCCGCTCTGTCGAGACCATTTGCTGCTCTCTTGGGGCTGACCTTGATATAACAGGTGAAGGTCGCCTTCAGACTTCCGGTGAGTTGATGATTCCTACTGTCTTTCTCCTTCCGGTTGATCATTTTCACAGCAAGTAAAACACACATACATGGGATCGGAGAAGTAGTACTACAGTAACTTCGCCGGCCTTTAATGAAATTCGCATTTGTAAGATCCATTGCTACCCCTACTGTTATATCATTGCTTCACCGATAATAATATCAATGTTATTCTAAGGTCTACGAAAATTGGATACATCTCAAACCAGACATCTAGTAGCTCTCAGTCTCTGAGATGGTGTTAGATGAACGGAAGAACAAAAAGGACCAGCTCTCGGTAAGGAACGGAAAATCAGCACTCTGCTTCAGTCAAGTTCAGTCAAGTTGATTTCGATGCTAACTCCGCGAGTATAGGGTTTCGGTACCACTTCGAAAATTAGCCTCCAGTTCGTATTCACCTTCTAGTTCCCAACTTTTTCAGGTTCCGTCTTTCGATAAACCACCAAAATACGGCTCGCCTTGGTATGCGAACCACGTCGCTTCTGACGACAGCATCCCTCTATTAATGCCTAACATCAGCGACAGAGAAATCGGTGCTAATTTCACTCAATTTATGTGATTACACTCATCCCGGATTGCTGTTATTCGGACAGGAGCACCGAATACCAATCCAGTGAAGCAATGCGATGTAGATCGCCCTAAGAACGATGCAGTCGACTGGACGACGATGATTGCCAGCTCGTCCCGGCGATATCCAGCGACACGAGTGCCTGGTGAGCAGTACCGTTTACCTTAGCGTCATGAAGGGTTGTTAAACCGTAACAAGAGCATTCGGGCATTTTCAGGTCACCAATACTTCGTTAGCTACGACGGAGCTGGAAGGAAGGCAATACCCTCGCCATTCTTCAAGTTCGTAAGCTGGGATGTATCCCAATTACTCTCTATCCATGTCGGTGATGTTGATCCAATCAAGTCATTCCGGTCATACGGCAGCCTCACAGGCCAGACGTCTCATGAAACGAAGAAATACGATGGCATTCGGTCGTCATACATTGACAAACAGTGATACTAGAACATTCAAGCTCGTCATATGGGAAATTCGTGTACAAACATTACAAGCATTCAATCACCTGCCCTCCTTACGCCTTGCTGGCTTGGGCTATGATCGAGTTCACCTTGAGGTGCTGGTCGACTATGACGTGATCCGCAAAAGTGACCTTGACCTGGGGACCAAAGATGAGCGCATGGGACGAGCCACCAAAGTGGAATGCCCCGAGCTCGTCACCAGTCGAGACCTTCTGTCCACTCTGAACGGTAACCTCGCAAGTCGATACCTCTGCCATTCCAACACCGATGAAGGCGACGAGTCCAATGACTGGGTTGTCGGATTGGATGTAGATGATGGCACGAGTGGAGGAGTGAGTGAGCCACGCCTGAGAGCGAATGAGGGCACCGTGGGGGTCACCGGGCTGGAGGTCGGGGTCACCGACTTCAGCTCCAGTGTCGGGGATGATGGCATAGTAGGTTCCTGGAACGACCTCTGCACAGGTGATGGTACCGTCGATGGGGCAACGCCAGCGGTGATAGTCCTGTGGGCTGAGGAATGCCTAATAGACGGTTCCGCCGACGAAGGACTGAGCCGCAGTGGCATCGCGGTAGAGCATATCGTAGACGGAGTAAGCCTGGCCCTTGAGCCAGAACTGGTCGTGATCTTTGACACCAGTCTGGATGCGATACACGGTGGACTCACAGGCGCTGTGGATGAGAGTCTTGTCCTCGGGGAAGTCGACGAGGCGAGCGTCGGCTTGAACCTCGCGGGTAAAGAATTCGTCCCAAGAGGTGAAGCCACGGTTGACTGCATTAGGATCAGGACACACGTAGGTCGCGTTGAAGTCGCCGCGATCCTTGTCCTCGAGACTCTTTAAGGCGATAGTGCCGAACCAACCCTCATCGTCATCGGTGAGTGTCTTGTTGGAGTCTGGGGTCTTGAGGTACGTGCCCCAGGCGTCCAACAAGTCCTTCAGGGCAGCATTGAATGCCTGCTTGCGAAAGAGGTCATAGGCTGCACCGGTGTTGCTAAGGAGGTCGAAGAGGAGATACATGGGGACACCAATAGGTTCCCCAATGATGTTGCCTGCGTCGTCCCTCGCCATATAGAACCTCGGCGGCGCGACAATAATTTCGTCCATCAAGTAGAGCAACTGGTCAAAGTCTGTGATCTGAGTATCAAAATGAGTTACTGTGAGGAGGCCAGCATGTCGCAGGGATAGAAATCGTACCAGTTGTTTTCCGTAGAAGCCTGCAGGAAAATCTGATTCCACAAGTCGACCATCTCAGGATCAGGCATTGATAGCAGCTTGGAAGTTTGCGACAGGCTCGGTATGGGCGGCCCTAGCCCTGCGTTTAGGCGCGCTGACCTGAATGAGATTCTGGACGAAGCTCGTGATAATCGCAGGATTGACTGGGAGCCATCCACCGTAGCGGGTCAAAGATGTCTTCGGAGGCTGCGACATTGTCCTGGACAAGAAGACGTCAGCGGGTATGCTCGAAGAACGGGGCGAGAACAGCGTACAGAATGTATTTGTTCTCGAGATGTAGTATGTGATACCAGAGTGAGTTCTGATGTCGATGCAGAGGATATGGTCCCCTTTTTATACAGAAGGTAGGCGACCATCCAAGAAACAGATTTTGTCATGTGGACACGATATCAATGGTAGGTTGAAGTTGGTGGAGTTTAAACTCGGGATATGGAATCGCCGTCAATAGTAGAAGTCCAGGTAGTAATGCAAGATGAATGCAAAACACATCTATAGTTAGTATAAAATGCTCGGTGGGTTATGTCTAATGTCATGAGCCTGCTCGGAGCCCGCCCGCCTAGTGCCACAATTCTCGTGCAAATGTCAAGATAAGAACGTTTCCTAATTGTCCCTCCGGTTACTATATTTGACGAATGGTCGGAAATCTTCCAATCCGTCCATGAGAAAAACTTGGGACTCGGAAGTAGCGCTTTGTCTCACAAATTTGAATAATTAAGCTCCTGGTCGAATTGACCTAAAAGATGCTTAGTACTATGACAGCTTGCATGGTCAGCTGTTGTGCAACATAGAATACGATGGAGATCATACGACGTTTGAAGCGCACATCATATACGCACTTGAATCGTAATACTATTGAGTCTCCGAGTCATTCTATGGCTGACAAAGTTCTTGTGTTCCTCAGAAGTCCTGCCACCACGGCCGGAAGTCCAAGTTTACCGGAAGAAATGGTGAGGGATACAATGGTAATCCCGAATCCTACTTTTTGCATTCCGTGGCTCGGCATTTGTGCTACGCGCGAGCATCTGCTCTCGTTTAGGTCCTGCTTCGTGTCAACGGCCTGCTTAAGGCCACCAGCTTTCAGGGATGGATCTTTTTGACAAAGCATGATTGCTAGAAACCATTGTTCAAACGAGTTACGATGGTTGTCGATTGACGTTCTCCATCCAGGATGGCGAGCAATAAACCAGTGGAGAGTAATAAACCAGGTCGCCTAAGAAACGGAGCTAAGCTTCAGTCGATTCGACCAATCACTGAGTTGTACAACAATGTACCGCAAGGAAAAGTAATTAGAACATGTTAACTGCATGGTGTGGGCCTTATTACTCATATAAGTGAGTTACACTCACATTTCTGGGAGTATCACGCATAGGAAATGCTACGCTGGCTTTTCAGATAATTGAGGCAGGTCTTCATTGGATTCCTTGCCCGTCCATCGCAAGCGTGGCCAGTCCGAGTCCTCAAGTCCTTTTGGTGAGCCGGTAGGTGAGCATTGCATTGGTTGGTCAGCTGAACTCATGAGTAAGTAATGGTGAATCCATGACAAACAGAGATACCCGTTTCTCTTCCAATACCCGCCGTTCTGGCTCCTGATATCTCGCTGAATAGATACCCATCCCTATGACACCCCTTATTCCATACACAATACTTACAGCCACCCCACTTTGATATGCTCTTGGCACTCCTCCGACTACATCGGAGACTCTTCCCTCTCCGTCACCCTAGGACTGACTTTAAAATTCGTTACTCTACTCCGCATCATACGTCGAATCACCTGAGGAAATCAGATGAATGAACGGAGGGACTGGAACAAGAGGGCACGAGAGTGCCTGAGGACCTGTACCTCCATCGTGTCTTAGTAGTAGTTAGCATACTTGTGGCGGTTAATGAAATGCAGAGTTGCAAAAGAAAGAAAGAAAAAAACACCGGGACTGAGTGCTCCCCGAACTCAAACATCACTTTTTACCTCCGCATACACTATTATCGTATGTGCATCTGCTCTCCATGCTTTTTCTGCTCCCGAACATTGTTCTTACTTGTTTGTTGAAGGAAAACATATGTACCTTCGTGTCTCTTGCTGCCGAGTGGAGGAAACATGAAAAAACACGAAGATGGTAATAAGAGACGGCTTACATACCGGGGATTACCATGTTTACACCGAAACTGGCGCCGGCATTACACTTTATTGTCGGATCACATCCGCCCGCCAAAGTATATAAACAGTCAGCAGAAGGAAGGAAGGAAGGAAGCAAGTAGATTTAGTCGTCGGTGCTCCTGAACAGAAACGTAAAGGAAAGATATCGCAGTGAGATAATTGCAGTGTAAGCACTCGTGTCCGATGCGACAATAAGTTCCCAGAGCGTCGCCAGTGTAGCAACATGAATGATGTGGGGAGCAGCAAGAAGGACAATATACTAGGGCTATAAGATGCAGAGGTGCGCGATGCCTTCTTTCTTCTGTGTGCGGTGAAGAGGCTCAGCAGCCTTCAACAAGCAAAGAAGAGGAGAAAGAGTCAAAGACGACACGTAGTTGCTGCTGGTCATGTGATTGAGGTAGTAGTAGTACGGCACTTGAAGCCCCCCCAATTCTAGTGGCCGTCAGAGTCGTCGGGGGAAAGTTAGGGAGGCAGTACTGGTGTCGGGAAGAAAGGGTACAAAGCCATCAACGAGTCCTCCATATGGTGTTCGACATCTGTCCCCTCCGGTTTCTTTGGCATTTCGGATTGCGGACGGCCAAGGAGAGCATCTGCTGCAAAAGATCAGATCGTGGCAACAGTGAGGTAAGAGGGTAAGTACCATCGCACCTGTCCGAGCTTCCGAAGGCTGATACTGTGTAGATCCTGTTCATTTTGCTGTGTCGGAACGACGGAGGATCCAGCAGATATACGTTCTAAGCAACCGATGCGTGAAACTGAAGACTGTGCTTCGAAGTGGACTCGTCGATACGTAATATCCAACCCCAACGTCCCAATGGCCCCTCACCTGTGGTCATGGCGTCTCCAATACATCGCCATCAACCGTGAGGCAACGTAGGCCATCAAGTACGCTTGCTTTGCTTTACGGAGGCGGGCATCCAGTTGAACAAGTCGCGTGATGACATGGGCCTCATAACGTTCAGTGTAACAGCAGCCGTTGCGAGTTATGTCTAGACTCAAATCTCTCCGGTCTCACTTGGGAGACCAAAGCTTGCGAGATTGACAGTACACAAACAATCAGAGTCGGTCACCGAGTAGTGGCAGTTACCGTCGTGCACTCCTACTGGGAGAACGACACCGTTGTACGCCCATTGCAATTGGCAAGTGTTTAAGCCCTACGTGTAAGGTACAGAGACTATCATTCTTGAACGACACTTAGCCGGCGTAAGAAAATTGAAAAAATCAACTTACCACCAACAATCCGAACCAGCACTTCTTTCTGACTACACGTTATGGGCATATCTTTTGCGTGCTTCATACTCAAAGTTAGTCACAAATCCAACGAGAGAACAGCGTGCCCTTACCTTGATCACAGTCACCTCCCCGCTAATCTGCTCATTCAAGGTCAAATATCGTACTCCTCGTCTGCCGCCATCGCCGTATACCTCTAGCATGGTAGTCGATTTCGTCACCGTCGCAAGGCAGCCCCGATTTCCAATGGCAAGGATCACCTGTCAGCGGATACCAGTTGTGAGCAAGCAAGTTAGTCTCAACGCTGCAACCACGTACCTTTAGTTGCTTGATGATCACAATATCACCCTTGCCAGTGTACACAGATTGAGGGCGTCACTCCATACTTGCCGACGTGTTTGCGTCCTTCAAATTCAAGGTTAACAGCAAGTCTAACAAGAAAACGGCACATCCTTACTTCGATACCTTAACTTCTCGCTAATCCGTTATTTCGATCGTCGTGCTACCCATCTAGCGTCACCGTCACCGTGTACCGCCTTGCATGGCGTTCAAATCCGTTGTCGGCACCTCTTCACACTGCAGGTGTGACCTTGGTCACACACCTTGACGGGCCGCTCGTTCTGGCAAATCCCGGTCTCGAGTCTCGACATTGTGTATGCATTATCTTCGATATACGTCTTTAAACTTGTCTCCACTTGTAAATCACTTATCATTTCACCCGATGCTCTGTAGACACACTTCTCTTCTTCTCATCTTTGCTAAACCTACGCGTAAGCATTCAGGCCTTAGGCCTGAGCTGTCCGAGTATCCCGCCTTCCCAGTTCTTTCTTGTTGGGATTTTGCCGGAAAGTTCTAGAAGGAGCAATCCGGCATCATGCCGAGAGTTGCTGAGTAAGCACGAGACTAGTAGAAAGTTGTAGTACATTCTAGATTACATTGCGAAGTAGTATAAATACAGGCTCTGTAGGAGCCTAGGAATAACAAGTTCATATCAACTGGCCTTACCAGCCAGGAGTCTACCCTGTGCAACACCGAGGATTCCAACATTTCTTTTTGTTGGGATTTGGCAATCCGGCATCATGCCGAGTCTGCTTATTAAGGAAGAAGTCTGAGGAAAAGCGTGGAAAGTTCTAGTAAAAGTACATTTAGTATAAAAGTAGGTACTTTAGCATAGATCCTCATGCGTTTGCAGAGCTCAGCCAAGCGCAATACTATTGGCTTGCTACCGTGCATGTGACACTGGGAACGAACCGATACCCCGTTTTCCAACACTTTTATCGCATTCGTCCTCGTACTGATTCCTCTCCCATGGCATCTCCAGGCCTGTAATTCGGGGACGTGCCTCTTCGTGATATGAACGGCACTGGCGCTCTTGAATGTCTTCTTGAATAGTATTGTATGGCATAACACAGTTATTTACCGGTCATTGCAACACCATGGTTCAATGAAACACTTAGCCTCTTGCTCTCCCTCCCTTCATCCTTCATCATCAACTTGTATTACATTGCTGATGTGTATTGTATCTTCATGTTCTGCAGTGATTCTTCATATGTGACATGAATAATATTCCCGAGAAATTGAGGCTTCTGTTCTAAAAATATCTATTTTCTCATGAACTCAAAATCTGACCTGGAAATGTGTGTCCTCCATCTGAATGTAATCACCCACAAAGGCCTCAATAATGTTAATGACCTTCTGAAGAACCTGTGTGACAGGTTTGAGACCAAGCGGCCATTATCTGAGGAGTCTAGGGCATAAATAAAAGTGCGGTTCTGCCAAGCCATCACCTTTGATGGACAGTCTGACAGTCCAATGCGTCCATTATTGCCCTGCTGCCTCCAAACTTTATTTCTCCTCTTGTTCAATTTTTTACTATGCCTGGACATGCCAAATCAAACTTGAAAAAGTGTCAGATTGCTCACAAATGCCATGACCAGCTAATGGAAAAGGCAGTCATTGCAAATGATTGCATACAAGAATGAGCTTGTCAAACTACCTGGTGCTCCTCGGAAAGGTGCAAGAAAAATCTGCAAAGATTTTGAGGCTGTATATCAGAGAGAGACTGGAAAGGAGATCTCACTTTTCTATAGCACTCGAGCGATTCCGAGTAGCTGACTAATGAGGTTTGGGTATATGGGCCAGACTGTTTCAATGACTCAAAATAGCCTAGAATACCCACGCCACAATAATGCTGTGAAAACGGACTTGTACTCGCACCTTTGAGCATCTTTTTTTTACTGTATCTTATTGTTGTATAGTATTACACATTCTTACATTCAAACCTAGTCAAAATTCCCAACCAATTGGAACCTACAGTAAATATCCAGTTTTGCTGTTTCATTGACCGGTAAATAACTGTAATGTCGTTGATTGGGTGCCTGTGTGCTCTTTTCATTGAGTGTGGCGTACATTGAACGGACGAAATTAAACCTTGGCAACAAGAATTAACATCGCCGCCTCAGTGGCTATTCCCGCGGCGTCTCTCTGTATCAGCCGTCGCCTGTATAAAATTTCTGCTTGTCAAACAGTGTCTATTACGCGCCAAGATGTATGCTCTCTTTTTTTTTTTTGTTCTTTCAACATTTCATGTTAAGCTGCTTTTTTTTGCCAGAAACGACGAGATATATTCATCGATCTGGCTATTGAAGTGGGCCTGCCTCTCCTTGAACTCCCACTTCGTGAGCTGTGACCTTTCCCTTTCATTTTATAGAGGTCGCTAATGCGAAGTTAAGACTATATCGTCAACGGACATTGTTACGACCTTCTTGAAGACGTCGGATGCACCGTCGTGGCCTACAACACCGCACCTGCGTACCCCTTGGTTTACGTTTCGCTTCTTATCTGCTCCATTTTCTGTTGTACGTCTATCTTCTTTTCACATTATCAACTGGAGTTAATTCCCCAGCAGTTTTCACCATCCGTTCTTTCCTTCTCCATCGGCTCCAATTCAACCAGTTCCTTTCTTCCAATTCTTCTTTGACCGCCAACCGGTATTTCCGCCTTATGGCTCTAGCCTCTATCGAGTTGTTCGTGAATACAATTTCCGGCTATGGCCTCTATACCAATATCAACCGGGGGGAGATCCACCCCTGGGTGAGCTGAGCTAACACCCACTATGGCTGGTTATGCCCTCGCCATTCTTCAAGTTCGTAAGCTGGGATGCATCCCAATTACCTCTATCTGCGTTCGTCTCCGTATCCACTTTGGTTATTTGTTATGTATGCTACTTAAATAACTGTACTAGTAGCCTGTTCTCGAAAGATCCCAGGAGTTCTAGTGGCAAGACGCTTTTGATTCTGGGCCACCAGCTTCACTCGGCGACGCTGTCTCACACCTATGTATGCTTAGCATGCCGATGATGTTGATCCAATGAAGTCGTTGCGGTCATACTGCAGTCTCACAGGCCAGACGTCTCATGAAACGAAGAAATGCAACAGCATATGGTCGTCATACATTCAAGACAAACAGCGATACTAGTACATTCAAGCTAGTCATATGGGAAATTGACGTACAAACATTATACGTATTCAACCACCTGCTCTACTTACGCCTTGCTGGCCTGCGCTATGATCGAGTTCACCTTGAGGTGCTGGTCGACTATGACGTGATCCGCAAAAGTGACCTTGACCTGGGGACCAAAGATGAGCGCATGGGACGAGCCACCAAAGTGGAACATTCCGAGCTCATCACCAGTCGAGACCTTCTGTCCACTCTTAACGGAAACCGTACAAGTCGACACCTCTGCCATTCCAACACCGATGAAGGCGACGAGTCCAATGACTGGGTTGTCAGCTTGGATGTAGATGATGGCACGAGTGGAGGAGTGGGTGAGCCATGCCTGAGAGCGAATGAGGGCTCCGTGGGGATCGCCGGGCTGGAGATCGGGATCACCGACTTCAGCTCCAGCGTCGGGGATGACGGCATAGTAAGTTCCTGGAACGACCTCTGCACGGGTGATGGTACCGTCAATGGGGCAACGCCAGCGATGATAGTCCTGCGGGCTGAGGAATGCCTGATAGACCGTTCCACCGACGAAGGACTGAGCCGCGGCGGCGTCGCGGTAGAGCATATCGTAGATGGAGTAAGCCTGGCCCTTGAGCCAGAACTGGTCGTGATCTTTGACACCGGTCCGGATACGATACACGGTGGACTCGCAGGCGCTGTGGATGAGAGTTTTGTTCTCGGGGAAGTCGATGGGGCGAGCTTGGGCTTGAATCTCACGGGTGAAGAAATGGTCCCAAGAGGTGAAGCCACGGTTGACTGCATTAGGATCAGGACACACGTAGGTCGCGTTGAACTCGCCGCGACCCTCGGCCTCAAGACTCTCTAGGCCGACAGAGCCGAACCAACCCTCATCGTCATCGGTGAGCGACTTGTTGGAGTCGGGAGTCGTGAGGTACGTGCCCCAAGCATCCAACAAGTCCTTCAGGGCAACGTTGAATGCCTGCTTGCGAAAGAGGTCATAGGCTGCACCGGTGTTGCTAAGGAGGTCGAAGAGGAGATACATAGGGACACCGATAGGTTCCCCAATGACGTTGCCGGCCTCGTCCGTGGCGATGTGGAACTTCGGCGGCCCGACAATAATTTCATCCAACAAGTAAAGCAACTGGTCAAAGCTTGTGATCTGAGTATAGAAACGAGTTACTGTGAGGAGGCGGCAAGTAGTAGGGATAGAAATGTACCTGGTTTTCCGTAGAGGCTTGCAGGAAAATCTGATTCCACAAGTCGACCATCTCAGGATCGGCATTGATAGCAGCTTGGAAGTTTGCGACAGGCTCGGTATGGGCGGCCCTGGTCCTGTGTCTAGGCGCGCTGAGCTGAATGGCATGTCGGATGAAGCTCTTGTGAATCGCAGGATTTGCTGGGAGCCATCCACCGTAGCGAGTCAGAGTTGTCTTCCGATGCTGTGACATTGTCCTGGACAAGAAGACGTCAGCGAGTATGCTCGAAATACGGGGCGAGAACAGCGTACAGAATGTCTTTGTTCTCGAGATGTAATGGGTGATACCAGAGTGAGTTCTGATGTCGATGCAGAGGATATGGTCCCCTTTTTATACAGAGTAGGTGACCATCGAAGAAATAGATTTTGTCATGTGGACACGATATCAATGGTAGGTTGGTCGGTGAAGTTTGGACCTGGGATAGTATGGAATCGCCGTCAATGGAGCACCAGGTAATACAGGATGAATGCACGACACATCTATATAATTAGTATAACATGTTCGGTAGGTTATGTCATGAGCCCTGCCTACCTAGTGCCACGATTATTGTGCAAATGCCATTATAAGAACGTTTCCTGATTATCCTTCCAGTTAATATATTCGACAAATGGTTGGAAATCTTCCAATTCGTCCATGAGAAAACTTGGAACTCGGAAGGAGCGCTTCCTCTCCTAAATTTGAGTAATTATGCTCCTGGTCGAATTGACCTAAAAAATACTTAGTACAACGACAGCTAGCATGGTCAGCTGTTGTGCAACATACAATACGATGGAGGTCTTATGTCGTTTGAAGTGCACCCGTATACGCACTTGAATCGTAATAGTATTGAGTCTCATCCTATAGCTGACAGAAGTCCTGCCAACACGACCGGAGGTCCAAGTTCACCGGAAGAAACCTTCGGAGTTTGTCGTGGAGGGTTCCCAGCTTATGAAATGAAAAGCTACTGAACTGTGAGTTGGCTGCGGGCAAGATACTGAGAAAAGGCTTGCATTAGCTACTAGCGGGCTCGGCCTAGCTTATACGGTGTAATCCCTGAGTCCTACTTTTGTCACTTTTTTGCGTTCTCATTTGGCCCAGCATTTGTACTACACGCAGGCATCTGCTCCCATTTAGGTCCTGTCTCGTGTCAACCTGCCTAAGGCCACCAGCTTTCACGGAATGGATCGTTTTGACAATAGCATGGTTGCCGGAAGCGTTACGATATTTGTCGATTGACGTTCTCCATCCAGGGATGGTGAGTAAGAAAGTAGCAGAGAGTAATAAGCCAGGTCGCCTAAAAAGCGGAGCTAAGCTTCAGTCGATTCGACCAATCACTGAGCTGTATAAAGACGTACTGCAAGGAAAGTCATTAGAACATGGTAGCTGCATAGTGTGGGCCTTATTACTCGTATAAGTGGGATACGCCCACACTCCTGTGAATATCACACATAGGAGACGCTAACTGCTGCCAGTGGCTTTTCAGGCTAATCGAGGCGCCAAGCAACCGGTGCGTGAAACTGAAGGACGCCGCCGAAATGAATGGAAGAGGCATATGTCAAGGCTGTACTTCCAAGTGGACTCGTCGATACGTAATATCCAACCCCAACCTCTCAATGACCCCTCATTTGTGGTCATGCCGTCTCCAATACATCGCCGTCGATAATGTTCATCACGAGACATACCGAATAACAGCTGGCTCTACAAACGTGCAAATCATAGCGGTCATACATCAGTCAGCATTATAAGTAAGTACAAAAAGTGCGAGTGAACAAGATGAAATAATAAAGCTGTAACAGATCAAGTAAGCAAAAATGCACGCACAAAAATACAACAGAGCAGAAAGAAAAGGAATAATAAAGATACACGAACTAGCTCTCAACCATCAGATGCGCGCTTCTTGGTACTTCTCGCCCTCCGTGCAGCTTTCCTCTACAGAGGTAGATGGTCAGTAACATATAGGACAGCCGCGCTTGAGTCTTACCTTGGCGCGACTTCGAGCACCCCGGCCTAGAACCTCTTCCCCAGATTCATTGTCGTCTTCGTCGTCGTCAGATTCTTCTATTGGGCCCGTAACATCGGCCATTTCGACATCACTCGAAGCTTTCCGACTCGTCGGGCTCGTCGGATTCATCATCAGATCGACGCTTCTTCCTCGTTCGCCTGCGAAAAAGACAAGTGGGAATACTGGGATATCATACAATATATGAAAGCGTACCTTGCATGTCCATTCCCATTAGTGGCAGGAGCTTTACGTTTCGCAGAAACTCTCCGCTCCTTTTTCTCCTGGACGGTTCGTAAGAACATGTGCAACGCTAGAATCCAGAAGCTAACTAACCGCTGTAGGGACAGACTTGTACAAGTCGGCCGCCCATTTCGCCACTTCTTTCGGCAAATAAACAGTGTTCGCTGTCTGTAACAAGAACGTAAGAGCCCTTCTCCAGATCAATAAATAAGCTTGTGACCTAACTTTGTTGGCATCTTCAGGGTTTGCATGAGGACGCAAGATGTCCGATGGAAGTTTGATTTTTCCGGGATAACTTGGGATACTCCATGAATAATGTTGTGCCCGAGCTTTGATGATCTCTTGCGCCAGTTCACATATTACGTAGAAATTCTGAAAAAAAAAGATCAGTGTCAATCTCGGGCCCGATATCCGCAACATTACATGACTGTATTTTTCAGACTCAAGATCTCTGACGGTCTTTCCTTTGAGAGCATAATGATAGATGAGGGAAACGTTTTCGGCTTGGACTACTTGATCGGCGAAATACTTGAGATATCTAAGAAGACGATGAATGATGAACGCGAAGGGAAACATCAAGTTTAACTCACTTGCCGATATCTTGCAAGTCCTCGGGGGCCATTGAAATGTCGGGATGATGCGCGAGCAGATGCATCAGTCGAATGATGTTCATGTCAAAATAATGCACCCGCACATCTACAAAACACGGTCAAGGGGGAGATATACCCGAGAGAAAGTGACTAACTGGCCGGCAGCGTTCGAATGGCCGAGGTTATGTATGATGTCGCCTGTGAACAAGTCAGCACAATACTCCGCATGTAGACTGAACGTACGGTCGATTTGATATCTTCTTCGGGATCATGAACCGTCAGAAATGGTACGATATTGAAAGTGATCGGTATACGCCGTGAGTACAGCAAAATGATGAGCTTTCGCAAGAAGTTAAAGCGAACGTTGTAGCAGGAATCCTAATCGTTATGATCAATCATGATAAGGACTCATCTGCTGATTGGCTAACAAACCTGAATAACTAATGTCAATCGAGTAAAGGCCGTTGCAACCGACGCTTCGTATTTCTGGACAGTCGACAATTGTAGCAGCGAAACTGCCGCCTGTAAACGCAGCCGTGCCATGAATTTGGGGCTAAAAATGCATGAGCATGACACATCGCAAGGTACATGAAATCAACCTACTCTTCTGCGACGTCGGAAGAAAGTGCACCGTTCGCCTCAACTAGCTGTTTGAAGATCTTAAGCGGCGGTCCCGACACCATCAGGCCTTTATCCGAGTCGGCGTATGCCAGACTGCGATTCTTGAACACCTTCAAGGCAAGGATTTTGGCTCGAAGAATATCGGGCATAACATCATCCTCCACCCATTCCTCTTCTGTATCATCATCCTGTATAAGAGATTGAGCCAAACGCTTGACGACGTTTACAGGTCACTGACTGGATCCGGTAGTTGGGGTATCATAAGAAGCTTCTTCACTAAAAATTCCGTTATTACGTCGCTTTTGGACTCAAAGGCATCCGGCGCTAGTAGTGCAAACTGTGCAAGGGCAGCTATGTGTGCTACCAAGAGCTCAGGAGATGCCTCGGCTAATCCGTCGGCTATTGACTAAACGGATTTCGATCAAATAAATAAATAAAAAATAAACATCAGATCGATGAATGGAAACGTACCTCAACCACTTCAGTACAAGTCTCGCTCTGACGAGCACAAGAAGCAAGTATTCGGGCGGCAAATTTCGCCTGCTTCCAACCAGTACCCGTGGCATATCGAGTGATGCGATCTATGGTACGGCTTTTTACAAGCTTTCAGTCTGAAGACAAACGAAATGCGACCAATCTGCTCACGAGTCTTTGGGTGCCAGATCTTCGTCCCATCGAATCACACTAGATAGCGCTTGAAGAGCCGACGAAACCAACAAAGGCGGTGCCTCCTCATCCGAAATAGCTTTCACCAGGGCGCTGACGTGGGACTTGTAGATAGCTGGCCGGTATTTGGAGATATATCTCATCAGCGTGTGTATATGATCAGCGGTCACACTTGCTTCTCTTCCACGGCCATTTTCCAGGCGTTTCAGGAGCGTAGGAACAGAGGACTGATTAACGACGTGGTATGTTACCCGCCGTAGGAGGATAGACATCGTAGACACGATACCAGGAGAGGTATCTACAATTTTTTTCAGAAACTCGCTCTAAGAGCTATGTTAGCAGATTGCATGACCGTCAACCCGAGTATTGACTTACCCTTCGCTTGACAAGTGTTTTGAGGTCTGTTTGAGGATCTATACATTTCTTTAGAAGTTTGTACGCTGTCTGGTCATTCAGCTTAGCAAAACCGTAGAGGTCGTCAGCAGCTTTTGATGAATCAGGATACAAGGGCTAAGTCATTGCATCAGCATGGATGTACTCCTGAACGCCCTGACTAAAAAAACATACCGGCGAGCTGTCGGACACGTCGGGTCAAGTCGCTTTTGACCCTTTTCGGTCGTTTCTTTGTCGCCGTCGATGATGCCGTTCTGGAACGCATCCGTTCACTGAAGCTGCAACATTTTGAAATTGGAGTACGTACATTATTCTGGATACATGCATCTATGAAAGCTTGTACTTGGGCTTGCTGACTACGCGAAGCATTAGTATATTGGGCAGAGAGTAACAACATAGTACGCACGGTGACTTCAAATTCGTGAAGGCCAGAAGGCCATTGACAGAACGCGCTTCAACGAGGAACTTCATTGTGTTGAGAAGTCTGTCCGTCCAGAGAGCCTCATCGACTTCACTGTCACTAGATTTACCCTTATCCAGCGGCAAAGATCGAGGCAGAGGCAGTATGTAATCAGCAAGTGCTTGCTCGACTGCAGGTCTGAAAATAACTGCATTCAGAAAAGACAGACAAATAGATGTCATGTGTCTTACCTGGTTTCCTGGTTCATGCCTAGCAAAGGCAATAGAGCATTCGGTATCCACGAGAAATTGGAGATAGCAATGGGGTCATTGATCTCACTGAAATTCATCAGCTTCAAGAAAGGAACTCGACAGCAGAGTCGTACATTTGAGGGTAAGCGAGATCATAGAGCTTACCAAGACTCTTCAAAGCCTCAGTTCGTACAATTTGCTGAAAGAAGATGAGCAGAGTTCGCCCGTTGAATTCACAAAACTTCCGAACCTTTTTGTCAACGGCACGCTGGGCTACAGCGCGGAGCTGTTCCTCTGTAACGTGATGAGCGGCTGTCTCATAGTCTAGTTGACCGTATATTTTGCAGACAGCCGCGCGCACTTTCTCATCGGGGTCCAAAAGTTTCGTTTGGAGGCACTCTAAATAGAATTAATAGGACTGATTGAGGGTAGCTGTTGAAGCGCACCTTGCACCGCTTCTCTCATCTCAGGGTATCCTCCGGATATGATGGCTCGTGACGATTCCAAGGCCTTCAGTCTGACGGAGACTGACCGGTCGTTGGTCCTAACCAACCACACCCTCCATGTTGTTGGATATTTCTTGGAGAGATCGTACCCACCCTTATCAGCAAACATTTCCCCAAGGACTTGCGTGGCAATGGAACGGAGCTGAACATCCTCTGCCCGCAGCTCTTCCTCCAACTGTGGTATCACACTGTGAAGAAGTGTGGGACATGCCAGATGTATCCTCTTGACAAGCTCGTGAGCTTTACGGACTTCCTTCAATTCTTCGTCCCCAGAGTTGGCTACGATGATGTCCTGTGAAATACATGGACACATGTCGTTGCAGCTTGTCGGCTGTCTGATTGCATACTTGCACTACTAAACGGTATGCTGGCTGATCAGGTTGCTAGAAGAAAAGACGTCAAGAATTGTAGGACTGACGATACCAGAACACACACCGCGTTCTTATCCATGAACTGAGCCATAAGTATTTCAAGGACGGGTGCATTCAAGGTGTGGCATTCGTCAATGAGCGCGGTAAGAATATCTCCCATAAAACTCTCTGTCTGTTTAGAAAAGTCGCGTCGAACAATGATGAAAAAGTCGCTAAAGATGTGTTTCATCATGTCATCGGCATTTGGGAGGTCACAAACGAGGACGACGCTCTTGACAGTTGACAAGGACTCGAGGACGTGGAAGTACTGATTGTAGTAGGTATCTTCTGTTCCCTTGAGGCCGGATTTGAGTTGCTGGAAGATGAACTGAAATATATCGACAAGCTCCGCGACCGTGTACGGTGCTTCTGGTGCATACAGGCCAAGGATATCAGCCAGACAGCAAGCAGCGTACGCCTTGACACCCTTGTCCTTGTGATGTAGTATCGAATTGAGAATGAGCTCCTTGCGAACACTGTCAAGTGACTTCGTGTCAACCCGGTCTTGGTCCAACACGCTGAGCTCCTCGTGTAAATTCTTCAGCTTTTTGAGGAGAGCTGTCGGTCGTCGTGCCTTTCGTGACGAGCTTTTCCTTGAACGCGAGCTTCCCAGGAGATGTCTGGCCGCCGTGGCGGGTTTGCGCGACCATGACGGGAGAAAATGAAGATGTGGGAAAGAGCAATGAGCTGCAAGTCACGGTTGTTGCACGCGTTGTTTTGGTCTTGTTTTCCTTCGAGCTCGCCGCCGGCACCGGGCAATTTTGTCATCTCTACAGCTACCTCTACCTTACACGACCACCGGCCATGTCTAGAATCCTCGGAATACCGCCCAAGAGGGCACTGCCGTTGAAGGAGGCATCTCTCTTCAAGGAAGTTCTTACCATGTACGAGGCTCGGCAGCTCAAAAAAGGCCTCAAAACGGCTGATCAGATATTGAGGAAATTTCCGGAGCACGGCGGTGAGTGTTGCGGGTCCTAGGGCCTCTCATAGTATTTATTACTGTGCAGAGACAATGTGTATGAAGGGCCTCATTCTCACTCACATGGGCCGACGGGAGGAAGGCATTGATCTCGTCAAAAAGGGCGTCCGTCTCGATCTTACTTCGCACATATGCTGGCATGTCTTCGGTCTCATTCAGAAGGGAGAGAAAAACTACGAGGAGGCTCTGAAATCGTATACTCAGGCCCTCCGGTTCGACAAGGTGCGTTGCGAAGCCATGGAGACGGAATGTAACCACAGTTTGCGTAATTAGGAAAACTTGAATATTCTTCGGGATGCCGCCCACCTGCAAACGCAGCTTCGGCTATATGATGGGCTCGTTGAAACGCGACACATATTGCTTCGGCTTCGTCCTACCGTCCGCCAAAACTGGGTGTCCCTCGCCGTCGCATATCACCTCAGCGGGAATCTCCTCGAGGCCAAAAAGGTGTTAGAGCAGTACGAAAGAACTCTGAAGGTATTTTGCTGTGGCCGATTTCTCCGATATAGTAGTGCTTACTGTCTACTAGAACGTCCCCGATTACGACATTGAGCACTCGGAGACAACGATGTATCATGTCCGGTTACTTGAAGACCTTGGAGAGTTCACTGAAGCCCTCTCCTTACTCGACGTCAACTCTAAATCGCGTGTAATCGTAGACAAAACTGCCATTATGGAAGCCAGAGGTCTGCTGGCATATTTCAGTCGCCTGATGTGTCCCTCTAAACGCCACCACAGCACGCCTACTCTCCAAGCTCAAATCCTGATGAAGCAGAACATGCGTGGCGTGTCCTCATTGATCACAACCCAGATTGCACTAATTACTATCATGGTTATCTTGCCAGTCAAGGAATTGATAGCGGTACGCGTGTTTCACCGGTTCATTGATCTCGTTAATCTGAATTACGATATCACAGATGAGGCGTCACTTGCCGTTTTGCGTGATATCTCCTCACAAATCCCTCGAGCGAATGCCCCACGCCGACTAGCACTGTCCTTCGCGTCCGGAGATCGCTTCAAAGATTTAGCAAAACCATACCTTCTTTCAGGTTTCACTAAAGGCATCCCTTCTCTCTTCGCCGACATCAAACTGTTATACAAAGATCCCATCAAATTGGGGCAAATCCAGGCGCTGCTCGAAGAGATCCGAGCAGAAAATGCGCCGGATTCTGCGGCACCTTCATCATCAACATTCACTTCACAGCCCACAACATACCTGTGGATACTGTATTTCCAGGCGCAGCATTTCTCCTACCTTGGGCAGTTCAAGCAGGCCCTTGAAATCTTGGATGAGGCACTCAAGCACACACCAACGCTGCCAGAGTTATACACATGTAGAGCTAGAGTTCTCAAACGTGCCGGAGACTTGTTAGGTGCCGCACGGTCAGTAGAAGAGGCACGGTTGTTGGATGGCCAGGACCGTTTCTTGAATACCAAAAGTGCCAAATACCGACTTCGTGCAGGTCTTGTGGACGAAGCCAGTGCTCTGCTAGGACTCTTCACGAAGGTGCGAAACGTTCGTATTCATATTTGAACGGCGATTGACTTGAGTTGCAACTAGAAAGACGCCGCAAGCCCTGGAGCAGACCTTGAAGACATGCAGTCGCTGTTATATCTCATCGAAGAAGCTGATGCTCAGAATCGCATTGGCAAGATTAATTTGGCCCTCAAAAAATATACTGCCATACAGAAAGTATGCAATTTCCCTTACTCGCCAAACACTGCTTACAACTGTAATAGATCTTTGATGAGATAGAGGACGACCAGTATGATTTCCACGGTTACTCGATGCGCAAGTTCACAATAAACATCTATCTCAAGTACGTCTTCCTAAAGAATAGGCCGCCGTTCCATGTCTTGACGTTGTCATCACAGTCTGCTTGCGTGGGAAGACAGATTAAGGTCACATCCGGCCTACGTAAAAGCGGCTGTATCTGCAAGCAAAGTTCGGCGAGGTTTCATCTCTGTTTCTATATGCCACTCATCCGAAGTATAGATATTCGTTGCTGTCCATGATGATCCTTCAATAGCAGCTTCGTTGGCGTCTTCTGGTTTGCTAAAACTTGTCATAATCCGCATGCGCGTCTCATGGATCAACAGGTCAACTCACAGATGCCGAAAAGAAGGCAAAGAAAAAGGCAAAGAAAGCGGCACAGAAAGTTCAGGATGACTCCAAAAAGGGTAGGCGAAGGTATTCGCGCCAATTCTGATATATTAACGGGTTTCCTAGGTAATAGTCAGCAGTCTGCTAATGAGGACAAGGGCCTAGAACCAGCCGCTCCCAAAGACGACGATGCCGACGGCATCAAACTATTAGGATGCAGCGATCCTTTAGAACGTGCTGCCAAGTTCCTACATCCGCTCACCACCTTGGCTCCGGAAAATATCGACGTTTGGATAGCAGTTTATGACGTTGCGATTAGGCGCAGTGAGTATGTTAGCCTAGGCGTGTTACATTGAGACTGACCATAGTACAGAAAAGCTTCTACAAGCCACTAAAGCCCTGAAACATGCGTGTTCGATTGACGCCGAAAATCCCGAGCTGCATATCCGTTTTGCACATTTCCAACAAACGGGTATGTACATTCGTATCTCATCATTTCGATATGAACGTCTTATGTGTCTATCATCAGCGGCCACTCTTCCTCAAGAACCTCCGGCACCAATTGGACCCCTTTTCAAGGAGGCCCTCTTGGAGCTTCTACCCGAGGAAATATCGCTGGAAACGTTCAATTCACAATACCTCCAACGACATCCTTCTTCACAGCAGGCTATCCTTGCAGTCGCCAAGGTCTCACAAATGCTCCAAGCTCCTCTTGATGAGGTCGAAAATGTCCTTTTCTCTGCATTAGGTCCAGATGCGAAACTTGACCTTGAGGTATGCTTCATTCACCGTCTTACGAAGGACTGAGCTAACTTAGTACAGTCGTCACAAGCAATATTGTCGTACCTCAAGTCCCTTGGTTCGCAACGCGCAGAAGAGTTCCGAATTGCATGTGATGGAAATTTTGAGCTGTCGACGGTTTTCAAGTCGTCAGAGGAGCAAGCGCTATTGGTAAAGCAGGCTTTGAACGTTGCTATCGGGTATCCCGACGAAGTGGAGGCGGAAGTTTGATCTATAGAATTGATTGATGTAGACTGTCTAGACGTCGACCATCCAATAATTTATATCGATATAGTTCCGTTTGGATTGAGACAGTTCAATCTCTTCAAGATGTCTTTGATTCCGCTTGAAAGTCGTTTTGCCTTTTCGAAGATCACTTTAACCTACTTCATAAGTCAGGTTGAACTACTCATACCTTGTCTCATGAGTTCCTTCATGGCTGCTATAGCATTTCTCTCTAACAGCTATCGGCGACGCAAGCCTGAACACGAAACGACAGCATTCGTAGAGCAAAGTCTGAATATCAATTTGGATGTATGAGAAAGGAAATACTGCGAAGGTACGGAAGCGATATTTGATCTTTGTATCGAACGTTGAACCAAGGACGCGATATCATCACGTGTGCGCGCTGTCTAGCAGCGAGAAAAAAAGGAATTACCATAGACTATTAGCAGTTTCACACAAAAGCACGAGCGGGAACATAAAACACTACAGCAGGGAGAGGGAGAGAGAAGCAAGGAGTCCAGAAATTACAGCACAAGGGTATCCAGCAATCACGAATCAATAATCATTCATCCATGGCTTCGCCCTCGTCCTCAACGACAGCCTTACTCTTCTTCGGTCGTGGGACTGCCTTGGCTTTCTTAGCAACCGGTTTAGCGGCAGTCTTAGAGGCAGGTTTCTGCAGGTATTTTATGAGTTCGCTGTTGAAATGATAGACTGACATATACCTTTCTCTTCTTGCTAGCTTCGGCATCGCTAGCATCGTCCGCTTCGCCTGCCGATTCCTCATCCTGAAGAGACGGTCAATAGATGCTAGAGAAGGCCTGGGCGAGCGCCTACCTTTGCAGTAGCCTTCTGGGCCTTCTTTGAGACGGGCTTCTTAGCGGGAGCCTTCTTCTTGGGAGTGTCCTCAGGTTCTACCTCGCTATCATCACCGCCTTCAACGGCATCAACATCCTTGGAGAAGTCTTCGCCAGATTCCTCGTCGTCAGCCTAGTTCATAGGTTTAACAGGAGCATCTATTGTCGAGCGGCATATTTACCTTTTTCTTCGTTACCCGTTTCTTGGGAGGGGCCTTAGGCTTCGTTGCTCGTTTCTTCTTGGGCGCTTCCTCCTCTGCATCGTCGCCATCTGACTCCTCTTTCGCCTTCTGATAAGGACCCATTCAGGTGACATGGACCAGTCAAAGACGAAAGACGAACCTTGGTAGCACGTTTCTTCTTGGGCGGTTCCTCTTCATCCTCTTCTTCAGTTTCCTTGGCTTTCTGAAATTGGCGAGGTCAACGATGAGAAAATGAAGCATCGTCATCATAGCTACCTTGGGCGGTGCACGCTTCTTCTTAGGCTTCTCTTCAGCGTCTTCTTCCACATCTTCATCTGCTTTAGGCGCCTTCTACAAAAAGAATTCAGTCAGAATATGGCGAAGACAGCTTCCGCGCCACATACCTTGGCCCTAGGTGCCCTCGGCTTCTTGGGTTTTTCCTCGCCATCCTCTGCCTTCTTCTTGCCTCTAGCCTTCTTCGGTTTCTCCTCTTCCTCCTCCTCCTCAGGCTCTCCTTCAGGTTTCCTGGCCGTCTCCGGGATGTCTTCATCCGCAACTTGGCCATCTTCCCAGGCCTTATCGACCTTGGCTTGGTCTTCAGGTTTCATATCCTCGTAACCATCCACTTCAGATGCCTTCGAGAACTGTTCCTTAACGTTTGACAGGACTTTCTTCGTCACACATCCCCAGTGACGCCAGGCGCTGCGGTTAAGGGTGTGAGACGCGTCCGTTGATAGTGAGACAGCGCGACCTACAATGACTGTTTCCCTTGGAACTCTACAGTCGTGCCGAAACGCAACGTTCCTTTCGAGATGACATTCCCTGTACGCGATGGTTAGCTATGGAATCAACTTGAGCAGTTGGGGACCCACCAGCACAGGGCTTGGGACCTGCAACCATATCAACACTCAGCATGAAAGCGAGGAAACGGTAACGAAATCAAGTACCTTTACATTTAGCACGGTTGGATGAAGCATATTCCAGACGATATCCAGGCATGGTGGTGGAAAAAGGGAAAGAATCGATGAAGGTTTGAAAATTGACAGCTTTTGACTGTAATTGTTCAAAGTCCGCAAGGAACTGCACAGTACTGCCACCGCACTGACCACCAACCACCTGCCCATTGCCTTTGTTTCTCACAAGGCGGTGATAAACAAACACATTACAATCAAATTCTCTTGATGTTTCTCATGCATAAATGAATTCCCATATAATGGGAGGAATGAGCTGTTCACTACAAAAATTACTGTTCATATTTTATAATTTCGCCTGCGCTCGAATCTCAACTCAATTTACGGTTTTTGAGCGCTCGCAGGTTCCCACAGACCAACGAGGGAAAACCTCTGACTGCGGACGGAGGGAAAGACCCGAAATATTGGGACAAGTTTTGCATAAACTATACATTCCTCAATTGGATCTAGGCTCCACCGTCAGAATCCAGATTAATAGAAGAGAAAAGGGACGTAACGTTATCCTCTACGCCAAGTTCCAACCGTGCGCGCCTCTACCAATGAAATCACTACTTCAGCTCCCTCCAACCGGCAAAATATGCTTATCATCTCCGCGTTCTCCCAGCAATGTGAATTGTTTGTTGACTTGGCTTCTTGAGTATCATAAGCTTCCCAACCAAATTATACTGGTTCCCAATGGCCTTTACGTCCTTCTGTAGCGCCGATAATACCTTTCAGATATTCCAGTCTGCTCATACACCATCTGTAGCAATTGAACTACCAAGTAAAAATATTTGGGGCTGTGTCAAATCGGGAAGAAAGTCGCTGTAGAGGTGAATTGTCGATGCGGCCTCCCTTAAAATATAGGATATGAAATGGTAAGCGGGAGAGGCGAGAGAAAGCGGTACCATCTAATGTAAAGCGACTACGGGAGAGTACTGGTCGAAAGAGATTCTTCACTGCATAAGTATGTCCTGAATGTGTTCATCTGTAGGTCCCCGCTGCGGGAAATATATGAAGTAATGTTTTGAATGACTGGTTTGATTGATAGCAATATCGCTGTAGTAAGGCCAAATGACGGATAGTTGATTCTGCAGAAGTCCTGTAAGGAGAACACCATATTAGCATGTATCGGTGTGTCAAATTGGTCAAAGGCGCCGAGAACAAAGAAAATTCTTCGTGGGTTGCATTTGAGATGTTGCAAGTGAACTTGGTTCTGATCTTGATGCATCAAGCAGGTATACTCGAGGGGGAAGGAAGAAATAAAGAAGTCGTGGGGTTCATTGTGTCTAAAATACCGATGGGATTAAATGCGCGCCCACTCGCTTGGTGCAGGACCAGGTCAAGATTCAAGAAGGCGGCAGTCCAGTACCCTCTCTTGGAACATCCGGAACGAAGGCTAAAGACTTCTTGAAGCGACGGAGATTTCGCTCTACCTTCGACACCTACCTCTCACGGTCTATGAGGCATCGGTGGATTTTGATTGTACCTGGGAAGTGCAAAGCTGAAGGACGGCATCCTAATTAGGGTCTTTGAAAGGAATCGAAAAAGATATGGATAAGGCGGTCGAAACAGGTAGGTCCGAGTCATTTGAAGCTGTATATGTATAAATACACCTGGAACGTTGATTCATTGCTGTGGGAACTGAAGCTACCGTGAAACTGATTGCTCATGACGTTATCAGAAGTTGGTGTATTACTCACTGTAATACAATAGAACACTGAAGCAGGTGACTTCGTTGACAACGGAGCTGCTTGAATACTTACACGCAAATTGCTCACTCAGGGACATCAGAAAATGGCATAACGCGAAAAAACAACTTACACATTGGCTTGCTACCTAGTGCTGATAACTTTGATGGATTGGTTATTCGAACCAGGATCGAGCTTCGCGCGCGACCGCAATTGTTCATGTCAGGATAACGAACTGTGAGCTTGATACCAATCATCTCTTGAGCACTTTTTCAAGTATTTTATTCTCTGAAAGGAGCGTTGGTACCTAAAAATGGAGTTAATATGAAGCTTCAAAAGGAATGCGTCTTTCGACGACTCGAAGGATACCTCTGTCCTTCGATTCTTAGCTTGCATCATGATGTTCTATCTGTAGTTTCATGAAAGTTTCAGAAACAATCCCAAAACATGGAACGCCTGGTACATGGCGTATCCAACAATGCTTGACCTGAGACTTAGAAAAATGTCTTGGAGAGAAATGGTGTTACCGACGTGCGGGAGAAGGGTCGGTTGTTTCCGGTCCGGAATCCTGCACGTGCGGGCGCGTCGCCATTATTTGGATCTATTTAGAAAAACGATCACGTGCTGTTCAGACTATTTCGGAAACGGTGCAATATTCTGGACTTATCGTCACCCACCACCATTTTCTCTCATTATCTCCAGTCCTTCTCTTTACCAGTGGCTCGTAGCACTAAAAGGCGCGCAGATATCCAGCTATCATGTCCACAGTTCCTGTACGCTCTTTTCGTTTCTCTCGTCGTGAGTGTGAAGTGGCTGACCATCTTGTAAGGTACGGAGAACGTTGCGAACGACCCGCACGACCGCCAAGGATAACGAAAACGCCCATGCTCGTCCATCTCGAATTTCTTCTCGCGCGAAACCCCTTTCATCAGTTTCTCAAAACGTTGTCTTGAAGGCGAAGTCTATCGGTGACGCGAAGGAGGCCCCTGCTGGCAAGAGGAAACGTGAAGTTCTCACAGAGGTCACCTCACTCGTCACAAACAACGCCAGCCGACCAGTGAGGGAGAAAGGAAAGGATGCTGCATCCAAAAAGTTCGATGGTGTTGTCATCAGCAAAGCCAAACCTGCATCTCGCCAGCCTCTGCGAACGATCGCCTCAACAAGGCAGAACGTTGTCAAAGTTCACCATGACTTGGAGAACGTCAAAGAGGAGCCAGAAGTAGTCACAGTCCACGATGACCACGCCATGGTTATTTCCCCGCCCGTTGAGCGTACCCGCATCACTAGGCAAAAGAACCGCTCTTCTGCTCAGCCCAGTCGCATCCTACTGCATCCCAACGATGACGCGGAAGATCATCGGGTGGTTAAAAGACAGAGGACATCTTCTGAAGCGCCCGAAGTCCCCGTCGACACGCAGTCTGCAGAAGCTGAGATACAGAGGGACGAAGATGCGGAAGCCGACGGATTTGAAGATGTACCCTTCGAATTTGAGCCAGAAGCAGACCCCGATGGTAATGAGTGGGATGACTTGGACGCCGATGACGGGGATGATCCCCTGATGGTCAATGAGTATGTTGTTGAGATCTTCCAACACCTGAAGGATATCGAGGTAGGCCTATACCTTCTTGCTTTTATTCCTCAGCCTGACACGTTTCATAGGCTTTAACCATGCCCAATCCGAACTACATGCAAACACATAAAGAACTCTCATGGCGGATGCGTGGAATCCTTTTGGACTGGCTGATAAGCGTACATGCTCGATGCCGCCTCAACTCGGAGACGTTCCACCTCTGCACGAACATCATGGATCGCTTCATGTCACTGCGTGTCTGCTCCCTTGTAAAGTTCCAGCTAGTAGGTATAACGTGCATGTTCATTGCGGCCAAGTACGAAGAGACCTGTCGCACCTTCTGCTTCCGATTTCGTCACGCTCACAGACGGCACATACACCGAAGCGCAGATGTTCCAAGCTGAACGGTACATCTTGAAGACGTTGGACTACAACTTGAATCATCCCAATCCCATGCATTTCCTGAGGCGAATAAGCAAGGCCGACGATTTCAACGTTCGAGTCCGCACTTTGGGGAAGTACCTGTTGGAGATTGGATGCATGGAGTGGAGGTTGCTTGCGGCACCGCCGTCGTTATTGGCCGCTGCAGCAATGTGGTTGGCGCGGCTAGCGTTGCATATGGAAGATTGGGTCAGTCGATTTGATTTCCAATTTGTCGCATCACTGATAATGGTTACGTTAGACCCCTAATTTGGCGCATTACTCGACATACTCGCAGAGCGAAATCATACCAACGGCTAACCTGATGTTAAATTACATCCTTAAGCCTATCCGTCACGAGCAGTTCTACAAGAAGTTCGCTCGTAAACAAAACATGAAAGTAGGCATCATTTGTCGATCAGATTTAGTCAAATTTTGACAGCGCTACCATAGGCTAGTGTATACCTTCGAACTTGGGCATTGGATCGGTGGCCGGAAGGCTCGCAGGTCGAGCTGCAGGCAGTGCTACCCGAACTAAAAGCAGCAATCCGGGAACAGCGCGCGGCGGATGAACTCGCCAAAGAAGAGGCGGTCGTGAATGCACAACTACTTGCACGAAAGTCATAAGGATAATCCTTACTCGTTCCACCTGCGCTAGTAACCAACTTTATTACCGTTGTATGGCTTCCACTCTGGCATTCATTTTTGGCATTCCATACGGCGCATACCACCGCATCTAATCCCTATCAACGCGTTCAACTCCGACTATCTTATCCGTTTGCATCACTTCATGTCCTTGTCGCCAATAGGCCGTCTCTTCCTGTTCACGCTATCTTAGATCCGTTCGCTGTACTCTTCGCTGTGGGCTTGGCGTTGTTCCATATCTTTCATCTATGTATACCAGCACAGACCTTTCTGCCTCTCGACGTTGAATCCATTTTTTGCCTCACGCTCGATTTGTTTTTATTGGTAAATGTTGTCGACTCGTCTCCCTTCACGCCCAACCACCACCATCCATTGTAATATACATTGTCCACCTCTACCTCCTTTCCATGGGGCTTTCCTATGTATATCATAAAACCGTCAGTTAACATTATTCGTTACGTTTCTCATGCATCATCTGTGAATATAGTCTGAATCACGGTTTGACAGTGAATAATTCATTAGATTTGCGCTATCTACAACCGAGAGACCGTCATATGTCCATTTTATCTTCCTTCTCCCAGCCAGGGTTCTTCTGTAATATCACGAAACCTTCTAGTACATGGGCAAAAGGTATGAACTCCTCTGTTGCAAGCTCAGCACGCTCGATCGTTCCCAGCCGGACTGGCGTTTGGTGAGTCTGGAAGCCGGAGATTGTTCGGGGCTTTCCGGCTTGTCCGACGACATCGACAGCCTTGAAAAAGTGTCGGTGAAAGGATACGGTTACAAAAAATTGACAAAACATACCTGACCAACGCGAACCGTCACAGGAATACTGTTGAGTTCTTCGTCTAGTGTGATCAAGAATCGAGGATACATTGCGGGCGTGAGGAAGTACAACATCCAATGGTATTTGTCAAGAATAACTAATAGAAGGGTCAGCCTAGCACTTAATAAATAAACCTCACAAACAAACGTACATCCTTTCGAATCAGTGAATGCTGTCAGCGTAGCCAACAACCCAGCAACAGCAGGTCGACTCATAATACTCCGATCTGAGAAGAAGGGGTTGATGCCAATGGTCCCCTTGCCCATATGGACAAGACCCTGCGCTATCCGCACCATGAAGAGACAGTCGGGCTCTTTATGGTAATATCCAGCCAGCTGACGCAACATCTGGGCTAGACGAGCGTTGTTTGTGCCGGCGCCGACAAGACCCATCGCGAAGATAGCGTTAAGCGCAACCTGAAGGTCATTGTCGTGACTGTACTTTGAAAGGGTATCGAGGATGGGGAGCTGAGGATTTGATGCGCTGACAAGACCGATAGCGAGAGGGACGGCTTTTCGTATTGTTGGTTCGCCGTAATGCATCTGGAAGATGCGTAAGCGAAACATAGCTGAAGAAGAAAACAAGTTGATCCTACCAGATGGTTGAACTGTCTTAGTGACATTTCAGCACCAATATCTTCACCCATCGAGATGAGGGCAACACCGATAACAGCGAAGGCCTGGAAGGTATCATCAAGCTTCGTTTCTTCCTTTGTCTCTTCCTTGTTTTCCTTGTTATCGTCCTCCTTCTTCTCTTCCTTGACAGGTACAATGTGGTCGTCGCATTGATGAAGCATCCCCTGCACCTTGAGCACGTTTCCAGTTCCAGCGAAGGCACAGGCCTCGACAATGATCTGTGCGGTTTTGGACAACGGGTGATCAATAGCCTTAAGCGTTTCTATTGTTGCATCGGATTGATCTTGCAAGCCTATAAAAATGTTAGATGGAATATCGACAGAAGGCACAGGTAATGACTTACCAAGATACAGTAAACCTAGACCTAGTGCGAAGAATTTGCCCCATTTCTCATCTAATCCTTTGTCTTCCCTTTCGGCTCTCTCCATCAACGTCTGCAGGATGGTCCCGGTCAAGTCGCCATTCCCGCTGCCGACAAAGATAAATCCCAGAGATAATGCAGTAAGACTGGCAAGTTCCATAGTTGCAGTGTCGTCCGATATATGAGATTGCAACGAGTCCAGGATATCTTCTCGGTGTGACCCCACGTAGGCCATTCCGAGACCCATTATGGCGCTGGTTTTGAGGGATAGAGACTTGTTTTCCACGTACTCTCCGAGAAGAGCCATGGCAGCATCTGCTTCTGTTCGAATACCGCAGTTCAGAAGACCAGTGGCGAAAAGTGCGCCAGCCTGGAGAAAAAACATCAGCTTGATGGTTGCTGAGAAAACAAGAGTGTACCTTTATGTACTCCTCCGATGAATACGTGTACTTGTCAATATGAGTAAGGCCCATGTCTGTGTCCCATAGCAAACTCAGACCAAGGGAAGCAGCAGCGCTCATCATGCCTGTCACAACTCAGTACTTCCAATCATGAGACTTGTTACACGCTTACCGTGGTCTTTATTCTTGTAAATCCAGCTGTTGCCTTCTTCGGCCTCTACCATGAGCTTGTCGTTTCCAAAACCGGCATTAACGAATGCGTTAACAAACGTTCCGGCCAAGTTGGCACGAGCAGAATCCACATTAGGTTGGGCCCCAGGTCCTAATACAGAATTAGCACCGCCTAGTTACTATCACGCGTCTGGAGCTTACGCGTGTGTTCAAGATGCGTCTTGTAGACGTCCTCGAGACTTTTTGGATCTAAAACGCCGAGTTCTTTACCAAAGTCCCGGAAATGGGAGCTCAAACGGGTGTTGCTTAGACACTCTATAAGATCTTCAGGTAGTTCGTCCAAGTCGACATCATCACCCTCGCCCTCTTCACTGGATGGTTTAAGCCAGTCCAGAGGAACCTGGGCCCGCGCAAGGAGGAATGCCAGTTGTCGTTTCATTAGACTGCAATAGATTCAGGCACGACGCGTCAATGAGTGTAATAAGACAAGCGTACGGATTTCCTGGAGCATTAAAGTCTTCTCTCACAAGGATGGGGTCACCCAATCGAATTGCCAAAGCAAGAGCTTCAGGGAACTTGTGTTGTTGCACATATATAGTATGCGCCGTTTGCAGGAAAGAAGTGTCATCAGGTGGAGGGAGGAGGTTCACACACCTACGGACGGCAGATCAACAAGATATTACGAAGAAATGAAGATAAGACGCACCGAACCATGTATTGGCACACCCGTCCATAGGTATTGTCGTCCACCAGATCAGCAATCTGGTCCACGATTTCCAGCTCCTCCAAAAGATCGACAGCATCGGGCTCAGCGTTGTGGGCAAGGAGAAAAGTAGCACACTCTCTTCCAATAGCACGTAGCTGTTCAATAGTGCCAATGGGCTCTATCTTCTCCTTACCTTTCTCTGGCGGCTCAAGGTCTCCCTGCTCTTGTGCTACAAACTCTTCACCCAACTCGGCCGCAAGGTGGCGAACATATTCATGGCCCCATGTGCCTGGGTCGACGAGGGGAGAATCAGCTGGACGTAGAGAAGCTGAAAGAAGACGGTAGCGGAGGGTGCCTCGAGGTTGCGTGTCCGAATATGTCATAGCAAGAACAGACATAATGTCTGCGAACAAGCTCTGCGGATAGAAATCATTCAAATGGTGCGAAAGGGTACTGTAAAAAGCGCACCTTGTCCTCGGATGCAGGCCATGTATCATAAAGTTTTTGGAGTTCAGGATAATGTGGGCGAAGGAATTTGAGAGGTTTCGGGACAGATGTCATCGATGAAGTAGAAGTCCTGATGAGTGTCCTGAGCGTCTCCAAGGCTGGTCGATAGAGTTCGGTGTTCGATTCCTATATACTGAGTAAAATGACACGGACAGCCTAGCAATGAACCAATCGCACCTTCAACCGTTCAACAAGCATTTCCAGCTCAGTCCGCAGCTGAATGTCTTCTTCTGACTGCAAATTAAAATATCAGGACCTGTAAAGATACAGAGGATAAAAACGTACTAGCTCTTCACCTTCCTCCTCCTTCCCGTCCTTCAGTTTCGACGATCCTTCCTGCTTGTCCTTTTCACCATCTTTCTCATCCTTCTTCTTCTTCTGGGGATCTTCAGACGGTACGGGAATAGCAAAGTCTGTCGGGGCTGACATCGTAGTATGAAGGTGACAGGTAAGCTGATCGCTGGGGAACGCGACGCGCGTCCAGCATTTTTTTTCGCACGACCTATATATGGCAGAAAGACCCCTATCATAATCTTCTCGGACGACGGTCATGTCCTTCGCGTGGTCTACAGCCCGTCAAGCCCCAATTTTCTTCGATACACAGGATGGGTATCTATAACTGTACGATGACTTGATATTCTCTCAGATGCTACCTTCTTCTGTCAGCTGGCCACTTGAAAATACACTCTTCACGGCGCACACATCATTGCTGTATCTGACTTGAACTATTGCGAGGACCATATTGCTAGACGATCCCCATGGCCATACTTTCCCTCTTATTCAACTTGGGTGCTTGTAAAGATGACCGTGGCATCTTAGGCACGGAACACTTGTATCCTTACCCTGGAAGATACGCCCAATTCAAATAATGGAATGCTCTACTTGCATAACAACTGATATTCCAGACACTTCTCGAAAACCCTGACCCTGTATGGAACTATAGGAGGACGCGAGGTGCTGGAATGAGTAATACTGTCAGGCGCGCGGCGCCTGCGGGATCGAATCCGTTTTTCTCACAGAAGCATCAAGCTATAACCATATTCCATCACCAGAAGGTATACACATTCTATGGCAATGGATCCGCCTTCCCAGGCTGATCTTCACGTCGTCTTTCTACTTGCCAGGTCATTCCTCGGCAGCCTGCGAAAGGGAATCAAGGGATAGAAGCGTCCTTCCCAGCTCGTGGATGCTGACTCGGAGCCCTATACGTTTCATACAGCTACAAAATTGTCTTCTCTTCCGGTATAAGGCGGATACTTCGACGCACACACTTTCATCTTGAGATGGTGCATATATCATATACTTATTACACGGGATCCAAATGTACACATTCTACTACAGGCAGTCTATCACGGGGTTGGCGCAAGCAGAGCCACAGAAGCGCATGCAGCAGAGCACCTGGATACAGGCGTAAGCGTGAGGATGATCATAAGAATGGAACCACCTACGTTCCGAGTCCAGAGTTGCAGGCAACGATCGCAGCAGGTGCAGCAGGTGCTGCGACCGTCCCAAACGTGAATCCAGCAGCTGCATAGCACGCAACAGCTAGGACATTACAGCCTACATGTCTCCATCAGACCACGCCCCCAGCTAGCGTATTCGTACCCACCAGTTTGGCATATACCATAGGCGATAGGGCCTGCATGGGCTTGAGGCGCAAGGGCCAGAGATGTGACGAGGAATGCTAAGACGGGAGAAAGGCGCATCTTATAAGTTGCCTGAATATCGAAGAGATGGGGGGTGTTAGCTTCGTGGTCTCGTTACTCGATGGCTTATATATGAACGGAGCCTCGTGTTCCTGCGCTTTCTGTATCGCCTCAAGGACTTGAAGATATAAATAACATTGCTAAGTATGCAGCAGCACTGCGGGATCGAATTCAGTACCAGTACTTTCACAGAAGCACAAAGCTGCAACAGAAACCTCGAGCATGCCGAGGCTGACGTTGATGGACGGCACCACCTTTGAATGGTGTGGGAATGCGCATGTACCTGTCAAGGCAGTGAGAGGATCAATATCAATCTTCGACTCGATTCTTGTCACTTCACGCAAAACGCATTGCATACGCGTGTCTTGATTGCGGCCTGACATACAACTGCAAGTAAGTCTCGCAATGCAGTTCGAGTTACTTCAACGTTGCGAATCTTGTATGACATTGTTCCCGTAGGATTGATACGCGAAAGAAACATCCCGGTGCTCATCTAGCGTAATGGATTGAGGGATGTGGATTAGATGTGCTTGTAGGTGGGGAAGGATTTGATGTAGGCGTTGCTATGAGGCTAAGCGTGCCATGAGGCAACAACAATGTTACTATGAACGGTCGAATTTCCGACCATTCGAGCACCCAGTCAAAAGTCTGTAAGTCTATGACATCCACAGGTACGAGTCGATCCGTAGACACCTGTAGGTCTGTAGAGAGATCTGTGAAGTGATGAACTTGCCTAAGTTTATAGAAATCTAATAAGTTAACCCTCGGACTCATAACCTTGGTTCGACTTGGCAAAAAATTGTTTATCAGTGCCCAAGTTAAGCTACGGAAGGGACACGAGAATGTAAGAAGAAATATATGACATAGACTAAGAGAGTGAGGCAAGAAATCGTTGATTTCTTGGGTTTGGGGTGAGAGAAAACAGCTTCGAGGTACGAGCTAGTCGAGCGGAGGAAGAACCGGCAACGAAAAGTTGTACTGGAGGGAAAGGAAGCCGGAAGCTCAGACTTGCGTAGTGGTAGAAGCTGAAATCTCAGGTGTTCAGGATACCTGGAACCTGGACAGCTGAGAAAAGTAGCTGCCGCGTCAAACCAGGCACAACCCAAACACAGAAGGGAGTAGGTGGGCGGGTCAAAGAAAGAGAGCGAGGAGAGCTGATGAAGCGACTTGGAAGAAGCAGCGAGTGAAAATACACGAGCGCAGAACAGCTCGAAGAGATCGCGTTGCTTGGCAAATGGCCCTTCGCCAAACAATTGGGGAAATACGATCACGCGTTGGGCGAAGGGCATTGATGCTCGTTCTTCTCTGGGCTTAACTTGGCCTATCACAAGTTTTGACGTGAGGCACGAACGGCTCAAAACTTGTGGGGCAGCTTGGTAAATCTCCCGGGCACCTGGGCCGATGTTGAGATCGTTGAGAGGTACATAGCTCGCAGATGTAAGTACTCCTAGGTGGCGCGGCGAATAGCAAGGCTCCGGCTAAATCCGAACGTCCCTCAACCTCTTACTGTCGTGACATCCGATGCCTTGTTAGTCGCGTCCACTGGCTGCTGTCGCTCGTCTCGTTGATTCCTTGTAGGCGCTGCCTTGGCCATGTTCACGATACCGGTACCTTGTATCACAGATTACGCCTATGAACGAATACCTGCCTCCCTTGCATTCATACACGCATGACATCGACTATTTAGCAGGTAATTCGTTTCCTTGAGAGGCTTGTGGGCTTGTGGGCCAAAAGAAAGCGAGGTCGCAGGGCGGCTAGACGATGAGGACTACACGTAGACGAAGCGATGATGTGAGAGAAAGGGATTCGGATTCTCGGAAGCGAGTGGACGGGAATCACGTGGTGTCAACGCGTCTTTGGCATTTGCTGCTTCCACTCCTGTCCTGCCACTTCTAACTCCTCTTTCCTAGTTCTTGAATGTGAAGCTTGTGTGAGCACAAGGATGAAGAAGGTGATGCGGTATACTATCGCCTCACGAAAGCAGAGGTAAGCTCGTTGGAGCTGTTCGTCACGCCAGGAGAGGCCGCAGGAAGCTTCTGTGAAAGACCACTCCATTTTCATATTCATCAATCGGTGAGACTAGTTGAATTCTTTCCATTATAATGATCACTGATGAGAATTCGGTACACCATAGCGCGAACCTGTGTAGTACGGACTCTCCTTAACTTCCTTCTCAGGGACATGACAACTAAAATAAAATCCTCATCATCGAGCTCATATTTATTTAGACACTTAAGAGACCAAAGATCTTCCCCTCATCACGGAGCTACTGTAAGCGAGTCGCACAGGAGACGCATGGAAGAAACTCTGTCACCGTCGACATGACAGCAGGTGGCAGGATTCTATATATCACCTTCCATCCCTCGCCGGTGTCCAGTTGTGACCATGGCCAACGGACCTCTTGGCTTGAAATTGCTCTCACTCGGTACACACTTATGATGCACCCGAGCTTTTCCGACTCTGATTATGCATATAGACGGAGGAGGTATACGCGGACTGTCTTCGTTATTGATCCTGTACGAATTGATGTGGAGGATCAAGCAGACGGAAGGCCTCTCAGAACTTCCGCTACCGTGCGAATATTTCGACCTGATAGGTGGGACGAGCACAGGAGGGTAAGTCTCTGCTTTCATAGCCGTTTATACCCACTTTGAACGACTCGCTGACTTTAGGTTGATTGCCCTCATGGTGGGACGCCTACGCATGTCCGTAGGGGATGCGATAGAATGCTACGGGAGGCTTTCTAGGAAGGTCTTTGGTAAGCCCAAACACGGTGTACGCGATGGCAAGTTCAGAGCTACGAAATTGGAGGAGGTCTTGAAATCTATCGTGTCGAACAGAACACATGACGCCGACACCGAGATGGTTGACGACAACTACGAAGCCTGTAAGACGTGAGTAATTCCGTTCTAGCGTAAATGTTCGACCCAGTGATGTTTCATTTCCAAGCTTTGTCTGCGCCATGGACGCCCACAACATGAACGCAGCTATTCCCGTCCTGTTCTGCACATATACACATCATAAAGAAAAACGCGTAAATTGCGCAATTTGGCAAGCGGCGCGTGCTACGTCCGCTGCTCCCACATTTTTCAAACGGATCGAAATTGGGCTGGAGAACATGAAACAGCCATACATCGATGGCGGGATGGGCCGTAACAATCCTGCTAAGGTCTTGCTGGAGGAGGCCAAGCAGGTCTTTCCCGGTAGGCGGATCGCATGTTTAATCAGTATAGGAACAGGCCGTGCCCAGACGATAGCAATCCCTCGTCCCGGATGGTTTCAACGCACCTTGCCGCTCGGTGTTATTAACGCATTGCAGATGATAGCAACAGATTGCGAACGCACAGCGGAGGAACTTGCACGAGATTTCTATGATATGCCGGATGTGTACTTTAGGTTCAATGTAGAGCACGGTTTGCAGGGTGTCAAACTGGCGCAGTGGGATCGCCTAGGTGAGGTAGCATCGCATACAACGCAGTATCTTAAGACGGCGGCGGTGGACCAGAAAGTAGACAGGGCGGTTAGCATCCTTCGAGGGGGCAGGCTGGGAGGAAATGGGGGTCTTCGTTGACCTAAGGACTTGATATCAGTTCTACTGTAGCACTGGTATTTCGATCAAATGTTTATTATAGCCTCAAGCCGCTTTATAGATACCGTACTCGCAGAACTCGTACTTGTATGTCCTAGCTGGTGAAAACCGCCACATCTGTGCGGCATAACTGAGTCCCATAAATGCCAGTTCATCTGAAGCACCGTCGTGCATATTAGTACAAATGACCAGTATTTTGTTATTGACCATTAGTGCCTTGTCATCGTCGCAAAGATGGTGATACACGGACCTATGTATTCGGCCGTGAAGTGTAGTACGTCTGCAAGATATACGGCTCGTCTCAGCCGGTGATCTTCATCGACTATTTGTGGATAATATCAGGTTATCAGACGTACAGTGAAAGTTCTGTTTTGTTACCAAGGAAAAAGATGATCGGCGATGCCCGGACTCGCTCTAGCCAATAGATAAGCCCTTGTTACTACAGAGACCCTCAGGTATCACGAACAATATGCAGTTCATTCATGGCTTCCTTGAAAACGTGTGCAAATGGGCCGCAAAACAGGTTAGCACCAAGCTAGCCGACGCGAAGCAAAACTGGAATACCCGATTTCAAGCTCAAACCTATAAAAATTTCCCACCAAAATACGCGCAACAACGCTGTGTAAGTTGACCCCTCTGGACATTTACGTGGACGACGGTAGGAAGCAAAGGTAATGCCTAGCATGGCAACGCACGAACATCAGTGTCGTGGACGGCGCAATTAAGTCATTCAGAAGACGGACGTGTATGAAGAAACAAAATGTACGTATAGCACTGTAAAGATCCTTTAATAGGGCAGAGACAGCTGCGGAGGTGACGACGACACAGACGTCTTGATGTTTTGTATAGCATTCTTAAGCGTGTCAATGCGCGGCAGCACGCCATGTTTCATAGATGAGCGTCATCACGCAATGGAGAGTAATTGATCCAAAGAACACCATCCCGAGTGCTCGGCGTGGTGAGAGAAGAGTGGTAGGTCAGTGCAAAAATCATGTAGGACATGAACGTCGAACTCAAGTTGGATGTGATTACAGTGGGCATGGAAAGGCTTCTGCGGCAGGGGATATAATTAATGAAGCAGAATATAGGCAGGAGGTACATACGAGGAGCCTTATGCTATTCTCGTTCCTTGAGCAATTGATCTGACACACCTTAGCCTGCTCGAGCTGATCGTCACAGAAGCAGGCTAAAGGACGCAGTAGCAGACTGTTGGCCATTCCAGAAGTGTCGCTGTCGAAAGAAATTCGGCATAGGGATCAACGTTCAGATCGTTGGGGATAGGCCTATTCGTAAAGAGAGTAGCTGTTATGTTGTTCCAGTGATCCAATTGGTGATGAATGGAATAACCGACGTACTGACGCACTTTGCTCCGAAAAATCTAGTGCCCACATATTACATCGCGCCGGCCCATCAAAGTATGTTCGACGAAGAAAACAAGAGAATGAACAAAATGTCCTTTGCCATGGTCACTCGGAAGACCTGTAATTAGCAATGGGTGTGCTGGTGGTAGACTGGCCGAATTGGGTAGAAACGATGCCCAATTGTCATCCAGAAACCCAGATAATGCCTAAAACGACGTTCTGAGAAAAGGGAAGGAGGCGTTGAGAGGAGGCATTTTGGTCTAGCGGGACCTCCGGCTTACCGGAACCGTCAGAAGGTTTTGCGTATTTGAGACCCGAAATCGAAGACCTGAATCGCGGAGGTTGTCGAAATCTGAAGTATCCTGAAGTACCGCTTGGTCAAGAAGTTACCCAAAATAGCTTATGTAACTTACCTTGCAAATACCGGGCCGGCACAGGCGCTACAAATTGTCCGGAATTTATCAGAAAAGGCAAACCATACCTAAGCTCCTGGTAACATGCAGTCCCTCGGTTCAGAGATCAGAAATGCCGTCAGAGAGGCCATTGGACGACACCTTTCTAGGAATCCACCGATTTCCCTATCGATTGCTGATTGCTCGGTTATCATCCTCCCGTCACAACTTAGCCTAAGCTAAACATGACCGAAACGCAGATCAGCGAAAGAGGTCTGAAATTGCTCTCCATAGGTACGTCTTTGTGAAACGCTGTTAGACTTGTGCTGATCTCGACAACCCATGTAGATGGAGGCGGTATACGCGGACTGTCTCCGTTATTCATTCTACATAACCTGATGTGGAGGATCAAGATGGCCAAGAACCTTGAAGACCTTCCACTTCCATGCGAGTATTTCGACTTGATAGGTGGAACAAGCACCGGGGGGTCAGCTTCTGCTTTGGTAGCTCATCTATGTCTAGTCTCAAGTAGCTTCTCTGCAGGCTGACCGCCCTTATGTTGGGACGTTTACGGATGCCCGTTGGTGAGGCAATCGAACGTTGGGGAGTGTTTTCTGAGAAGGTGTTTGGAGCGAACAAAGGATCCTCAACGGCATACAATGACGGACGAAGAGCTGCGACTTTCGAGAGTATGTTGAAATCCCTCGTGCAGGACAAGACCGCCAAACGCAACGCCAAGACTTTGATGATAGACCAGGAGGGAGAGTCCATGGTATGTAGAACGTGAGTGATTTGTTTTAGCACCACATCTCTGACAAAGTATCATTGTTCCCAGTTTTGTCTGTGCAATGAACGCACACAACATGAACGCCACAACCCCCGTCCTCTTCCGCACGTACAAGCATCCCAAAGAAGTTCCAAAAAACTGCATGATTTGGCAGGCTGCCCGTGCTACGTGTGCCCTTCCCCTACTGTTCAAACCAATCGAGATTGGATCAGGATCTATAAAACAGCCATATATCGATGGTGCCATGGGTCGCAACAATCCTGCGCAGATTGTGCTGGAAGAGGCGAAGACGGTCTTTCATGGTAGGGAGATCGCATGTTTGATTAGTATAGGGACAGGGCATCCGCAAACGATGGCGATTCCTCCGCGTTCGAGGTTCCTGGAATACGGTGTCATGCAAACAATGCAAAGGATTGCTACGGACTGTCTGTACACAGCACAGCTACTCGAACAGCAATACCGCGACACGCCAAATGTCTACTTCAGGTTGAACGTTGAACAAGGTATGCAAGATATCTCGTCGGGACAGTGGGAACGTCTTTCTGAGGTACAAGCTCATACGGAGCAGTACCTGAAGGATGAGCGTGTGGATCAAACCGTAGAAAGGATCATTCAAATTCTCCGTCATGGCAGGCTGAAAACCAAAACACCAGTTCACGGCATAGTTCCAGTTGCCAGAGTCTCAGCTACCGTCGCATTGCGAGACAAGGAAACCATAATCAAGCGTTCCAGCAGGACACCCACACCAGTTCCCTCTTCGCGGCCGTCGACTCCGCTTGCTATCATGAACCGTCCAAAAGACCCTATATTTGACTACATCAACAAAGATTTTCAGCGCTGGACCAAGTGCATCGATTATGACACTGCCGTTATCACAGCACTCGCTTGTGCCGTGGACTATCATGTAGCCGTTGAAAAGCTCACAGAAAAGATTAATGCGGAGAAGAGCGTGCTGGAGAAGAAAGAGCTTCAAGCCTATGAACAGCGCCGTCGGAGGCTCGAGCATGATTATGACCTCCTCACGGAACGTTTTGAACATCGTTGGCTTGACATGTCCGACCACGAGATATCCTTGGAATTCCTTCCACAAGACGCGTCTATGCCAAACCAGGAACGGTCGCTGGAAATTTCATGGGATCCTCCCGTAGATGCACCGCTGGAGATTATCCTGGTCGTCATTATTAATGGCAATCGCATTCCAAATCTTACCCTACCCTCTGACCACAGTAATAGAGCTATCGTGCAGGTTCCGAAGTTCGACCTCCATGCTAGCCTCATCGTCACTGTAGAAGTAGCGGTGTGTTCCCAAACGCTTCACTCTGGGCAAGTAACGTTCCAGAGCCAAGGAAATGTGGCAAAAGCAGAATACAGAGAATCGCCCCCCAGCACAACAAACCTTGACGCATATACCGATTTCTCCTTCACCGAGCATCCCCCGGATACGAAGCCAGGTGGTATGGGGAGAAACTCTGCAGTCTTGTTATTAGGCGCCTTCCGATATTGGCGTACGTTCGTCTTTCGGTTTTTTGGCTATCGATAACTAAAGTAGACGAAGCGTTTAGCTATGTCGATAACAGAATGGCGACGGTGCTCATTGCGCAGGATCAGAATGGGACCGTAGCAAAGCTGTGGCACGATCTAAAACCTGCACGATACGTTGACCGAATTGATATCGATGGAGATAAGGTCACATTCACAGGACAGTCAAATTATACTGTCAAACTACGCCTTCAAGATCTTCTCATCCCTCTTTCACCACCCATATATCGGACCAGGATCACAACCAGAGACGCTCGTATACAGCCTCCGCTGTTAGATGATCTTTGCTATTCTTCTACCAGCCTGGAGCGATATCCGGTACTTGTCATCGGGACATACACCTTTTGGCGTGAGTCGTCCTTCGAGAAATCTTACAGGTATACTGATGTTATTGTCGGATGTAGCGGTGACATCTGTTCCTTCTCATGAGAAGGTAACGATTCTCATCTTCAACTCGCAAAAGGAACATATTAGGGAATGCATTTGGGCGACAGAACGCAACATTAGTGTCATCTCCCGTCTTGATATCGAGAAAGCCTCCTTGAAGGTTTATGACACGGAGGACTTATCGGCCAGTATCCCCTTGCAAGATCTCAAGAGCTATCTTTCCGATCCTCGGCTACGCTAGTCCAACTTGTCGGGGTACCTGTCACAATGATTTGCTCCCTTTGTCGGGGCCATGTAACATGTATAGGAATCTGTATTCAGATGTGAACAGATATCATGAAACGTACTAGCTTCTCCCAATGTTCCGTCCACAGTTCACACTGTAGGTCAGTGGCTTTCTTCCCGGAACAATGTTCCCTTTTATAGTCTGCATTCCGACATCTGATTCGCTGAGGGAGCTCGCAAGATTTCTTCTGCGCCTTGCCGGCTCACTTAAAGGTCTCATGACTTTACACTATAAAATCGCATCGATTGCTGATGCCCTACTGATACGCCACCTATCTTCCTATTATCATCATAGGCAAAGCTAATCATGGTCGAAACACACGGTGGCGAACGGGGCTTAAGATTGCTCTCAATAGGTTTTTACCTTATGCTTTTGACGTAGAGAAGTTCTTGCTGATCAGGCAATCCATGTAGATGGGGGCGGTATACGGGGATTGTCTGCGTTGTATATTCTCCAGAACCTGATGTGGAGGATCAGGGTGGCGAATGGCCTTGAACAGACTCCAAAGCCATGCGAGTACTTTGACTTGCTAGGCGGAACAAACACAGGAGGGTCAGTATTCATCTCTTGCATTCATAAACACGTTTCTAACTTCTCCGTTGTAGGTTGATCGTCCTGATGCTAGGACGCCTACAGATGTCTGTCGATGAAACGATCGATCGCTGGAGTGAATTTTGTGAGAAGGTTTTTGGTGACACGAAAGGTTTCGGACGTGACGGCAAATACAAGGCTAGCACTTTCGAAGATATCCTGAAATCGATTGTGAGGGACCATACTGAACCTCGGGACCCCGAAACTGAGATGATGGAGAAAGATGCAGCGGCATGTAAAACGTGAGCGATTCTCTCTAGTAGCGCAGTATGCTCGACTCAACAACGTTCCCAGCTTCGTCTGTGCTATGAACGCGCACAACATGAATGCATTGACTCCCGTCCTCTTCCGCACCTACGACCATCCCAAAGAAGCCCCGAAAGCCTGCAAAGTTTGGGAAGCCGGGCGCGCTACATGTGCCATGCCCGTTCTCTTCAAACGAATTGAGATCGGACCGAAGTACAGGAAGCAGCCATATATTGATGGCGGGATGGGCCGCAACAATCCTGCAAAGGTTGTGCTCGACGAAGCTAGGGTTCTGTACCCTGCCAGGGAAGTCGCATGCTTGACAAGCATCGGCACTGGCTATCCCAAAACGATCGCGGTCACCGCTGCGAAGTCGCACCGGAGCAGTTCGGTTGAAGCTGTCGACGAAGCGCTCGTGATGATGGCCACAGATTGCGAAGGGACAGCACAAGACCTTGCCAAGCAGTATCGCGACACACCGGATGTCTACTTCAGGCTCAACGTCCAGCGGGGGATGGAGCAAATCACGCCGGAGCAGTGGGATCGTTTCTCCGAGGTGGGGTCGCATACAGACCAGTATCTCAAGGACGAGAACGTGGAACCGAACGTAGAAAAGGTCGTTAAGATCCTTGGAGAGGGTGGGCCGAACTTTGACATATCGATCGGGTTATGTTGATTCTCAGCTTACAGTTGCAGCGAGGAATGAGCAAACCCTCGTAGAGTCTTGCAGTATGTGATACTCAATCAGCAATCTTTTACGATGATACATGAAATACGATGTTTTCCTTAGTTAAGTCTGCAGATTAGATAGCAAGTGTCTTCAATCCATGTACGCTATATGACTCGAAAAGAAGAATACTACGAGAGAGAATTGTGACATCGAGTATTCAAAACGGTCAGAAATTTAGAGGAATCAATTGTTACAAAAGACGGACTGAAAATTATACTAACAGGACATTACCATATCGTACGCGTCTTTCGAGGGAGCGATAGGTAAACTGTTTAAGAAAGACAACTGGATACTAGGCGTCGAACTGTCGCCTAAACACATTCCTTAATTGCCCCGTTCTTCCATGCTTGTGCATTGAAGATATGAGATAATTTTGCGAACGAAACATTCTATGCACAAATAATATGCTATTGGGAGCTCTAGTACTATGACTGGGATCATAAATGTGTCTCTGAAACACAGGATTCAAATGCGTACATCCTACTACAGGCAGTTTGTCACGGGGTTGGTGCAAGGAGAGCTACAGAAGCGCATGTAGCAGAGCACCTGGATACAGGTGTAAGCGTGAGGATGATCATAAGAATGGAACTGCTTACGTTCCGAGTGCAGAGTTACAGCCAATAATCGCTGCAGGTGCTGCAGGTGCTGCGACTGTCCCAAACGTGAATCCAGCGGCTGAATAGCACGCAACAGCTAGGACATTACAGCCTACATGCCTTCTTCAGCGCACCTCCAGATACAGCGTATTGCACCCACCAGTTTGGCATATACCATAAGCGATAGGGCCTGCATGGGCTTGAGGTGCAAGGGCCAGAGATGTAACGAGGGATGCTAAGACGGGAGAAAGGCGCATCTTATAAGTTGCCTGAATATCGAAGAGATGTGGGGCTTTAACCTCGCAGTCTCGTTACTCGATGGCTTATATATGAGCGATGCCTTGTGTTCCTGTGCTTTCTGTATCGCCCAAGGGACTTGAAGATGTGAATAACACTGCTAAGCATACAGCACTGCGGGATCGAATTCAGTACCAGTACTTTCACAGACGCACAAAGCTACAGCGACAGTCCGGCATCAGAAGGTATACACAATCTATAGCGTGCAGTAGAGCCCAGACATAAGGTCTATGAAAACCTCAAGGAGGATGTCATGTCGAAGTGAACGTTAATGGACGGTGTTTGAATGGAGTGGAATGCGCATGCACATCAGTCATCTGTCAAGGTAGTGAGATGATCGATCTTCGACTCAATTCTTGTCACTTCAGCCAAAACGCATTGCATACGTGTGTCTTGAGTAACATACAACTGCAAGTAAATCTCGTAATAAAGCACCCCAACTACGACCCAGTTCGAGTTACTTCAACGTTGCGAATCTTGTACGTCGTTGTCCCCGTAGGACCTGGTGTTCCGGAACTGCCTTCCATCTGATGAATAGGAATGAGCATAACGTCCCATCCAAAGGTGACATAGAACAAACCTGCAGATTGATGATCCTGGATGAGGGGGGAACAAAATAAGTGAAGAATCAAAGGATAAGCACGGCGATCGACGAACAAATATAAGGCGCTTCCAACAAACCCTTGACCATACTGTGTGACCTTGAATTCACCGTCCATGTAAAAGTCGATCTTCACATCATCCCCGTTGGATTCCGCAGTGAGGACCGCTTTAAGTGAGTGGAAAGACAGATCGGTCGGCCAAGCCACCAGAGTCGATTTGACTACCGAAGAGGTGTTGAACGTGTTGTACCAATTATTAGCCGTGCCTTTCCATTCGCCAATGTCCGCTTCAGGAGGCCAACCCTCAACTGCCTGTGAACGAGAGTAATTATAGAAGTTTGTGCTGTAGTGCTATCAATGGGCCTACCGTCAACCAAAATGCAGGCCATGTGCCTACTGCTGTCGGAGCGCTGAACTCGCCGTAGATCGTATACGAGTTTCCGGCAGTCACAGTGATGTGCTCTTTGGCATGGATTGCACCGCTAGGGAATAAGATTATAAGATCGATACACGAAAGAAACATCCCGGTGTTCACCTGGCGTAATGAATCGAGGGATGTGGATTAGATGTGCTTGTAGGCGGGGAAGGATTAGATGTGGGCGTTGCTATGAGGCTAAGCGTACTTGAAGCAACAGCGATGTTACTATGAACAGTCGAGTTTCCGACCATCCGAGCACCTGGAAGCTCATGAATCAAGTATGGGCAGAGTATAATTGACTCACTGCCATTATGATCCGATCCCCAAGGATACAGATAATTCCAATAGCTCTCCAACGTTGAGTAAGAGGAGAAGGAAGTGGAAGGTATGACTGTCACGGCCCCTACGAAGGGTACCAGTGCCACGGCCCATAGAAACACGGCTGAGAGCTTCAATCTGCAAGAGCCCCATCAAAAGGGGGAACAAGGCGAGGATATGAAAATCACGCACTCTAACATGAAGGGATCACGACCAGAATGGAATAAAATGTACTGCTTTTAAACCCGTGAACATCACGAAGAAGTCTGCAAAAACATGTCATGAGGACGCCTTCTGAATCGCGACGGACCGCGTATATTATCCGAAACTTGTCCAGCAGTAGAGAGATTCGTATTGTTGGGAACAATCGAGTAACCATGACGCGGTAAAGTAGGCCTGGAAAGTGTCGATCCGAAATGGGTCGGGAAGTACAATCGTGCCCGTCTCCACCTGCTACCACGGATCAATTGCTAAGTCAAACATATGGTCAGGCCAGAAGCTACGAGTAAATATGAATGTTGAAACGTTGAGGAAGGATGGGCCATTCCTAAAAACCTCGCCCTTATATGCAGAGATCACCAAATGCGTCATCTCTGATTCGTACGTCCGGGTCATTTCTGCGTCGTTCACCGTGCGTTGATTAGGTTCTATGGTAATAGAGCCACAAGTGCGCTGGCTATAGAGCAGTCTAGGGCGTGAAGGAGGATTTAGCCTCAGTCCGACCGCCAAGGTTCCAAGAAGACATCGTTACCGTGGCATGGGCTGATCGGGAAAGAGCGAGCGCGCTGTCGTTGTAAGGCGGGCTTTGGGTGTGGGAAGGAAGGAAGGAAGGACTCGGCAATCGGCAATCTCGGGCCGTCAGGTCTTTCGCGACGCGGAGGCGCAACAGTAGTTAGTCGTCGCACTGGCAAACCGCAGAGTAGATTAGTACTCACTTCAACACAATAGGACTGCGACAGAAACTGGCAGTGGATGTCTCTGTTTTGAATCCTCACGCGTCTATAAAGAAGCCTATAATGAGTGCGGCGATGAAGGTCGTAAGACATCATCTGAATGTAGACGGATCACGAAATTGCTAACTTGTCACTAACAAAAAACAGGCCTGGTCGAAGCGTCAGTTCGTGAATCATAATGTGAAATCTTGTTTTGTGGAAATATGACCGTACTTGCGAGTTTCGGTCCGTGAGTGAAAGTTTTCGTCGATTTGTACGTGTTCGCAAAGAATGCCGGACAGGCAAAATCTGTATTAGACTGCAATCAAACGCGCCCATTGCAAGAAAAGACTGCGCCAGTACGGCTTCAAATTTGTGGAGATAGCGGCGCCTTCGCCCTCTGAAAACATACCAATCACCATAATCATTCACGCTCACGAGGTTACAAACCTCGGCTCACTAACGGGCCAAGTACAACGTCCTTGACGTACCACCCCGCTAGTCGGAAGGCCCCTACTGCGCGGGGTGTACGAAGCTATACCAAACGTTCCACAAAAAAAAAAAGTTGTTATCGATATGTAATTGGTAACAATTCTACCGATGGTTTCTGTATCGGGGAACCATTTCTAAAGGATAGAGTCAAGGTGATTGATTCCAGCCCTGAGGTTACAGTCATAGCCGACGCTGCGCCGTATTGGGCTATCCGAGGAAGCCTCCACAAAATCACTGGTGGTGTTGACGTGGTCCGAAAAAATGAGGCAGTGAAAGACAGTTGGATACTGAAGTAGGCGGGTTAGATGAGAGGCTAAACATCGAAGAACTTCGTCTCACGTTCTTCGTCAAGTCATGCTGCTCAAAAACTGGAAACCAGAGAAAGATTGGAACAAGATGTTACACCAAGGGAAGAAACCCCAAACCGTTGAATCCGCGACAATCGCAATTCTTGTCACATTCGGTGAAGCAATCTGAACGCCCGGATGAGTTTTATACGCGTGAAGTGCGCAAACAACATTCGAACTTACGGTAAAGGCTTTCTCCTTGTGTAATCCGTGTAACAAGGTAGAAGTTCCCAGCCAACAGTGCAGCACGGATATGACGTGTCTCGTCTTCAAAGGTTTGTTGACATTCAAGACGATCGCCGAAATAGGACTTGCAGGGAGGGTCGCCGCCGTTTTGACATGATGGAGTGGAATCATTGTGCTCAGAGGTGCAGGTAGGCAGCAAGGCGAACGTAGGAATCGCAAGGGAGAAGGTAGCAACGACGACGTTGAGGAACATTGGCTTGAAGTTGGAGTAGCGAATGTTGTGGTAGTGGTGATATCGCGACGAGTTGGAATAGACCGTTCCAAACCACCTCGCCCTTTTATACTGCAGAAATCTCCAGACGTCATCTCTGCTTCGTACGTCATTTCGACATCGTTCATCGTAGGCTGATTAGGTCATATGCCAGTGGTAGAATTACAAGTGCAAAGTGCGTTGGCCAGTCAAACAGAGGATTGACCCCAGTCCGACTACCGAGGTTACAAAAAGCTGTTTTCTAAAGGCATCAGTACAGTGGCATGGGCTGCAGGTCAGGAAAGAGCGGGCGCTGTAATGACCAATGTAAGGCAGGCCATGGGTGCAGGAAGCAAGGAAGGACTGACAAACGGCAATCCCGGGCCGGTAGGGCTTTCGGGGGCGACAGAACGAAGGAAAACATCTCTGACCAAATCTGACCAAACTGCAGTATAATAATTGAAGTCAAACTAATATCACAATGACTACATGTTTACGTACGCTAGTACAGATCAGATACAATTCAAACTTGGGCTACAGCAACAGTAGGAACGTTCATCGCTACAGTCTGCTGTTCCTTCTTTAACTGCTGCGCTGCCAGATAGTTACGGTGCATGGCATTCACAATATATTCCTTAGCTGTCTGTGCTGCATATTTATGGGTGGGTCCATCGACAAGAACGCCTGGGCGCGGTTGATTGAAGTAACTAGTATAAAAACAGTCAGTTCTGTAACGAAGAAGGAAGACAATAGATATTACCCAATACTAAGACGCGGCTTTTGATTATCGTTTGGTCCCGGGACACGGACTCGATGGAAAAGCGACCTGAACCTGTCTTCACTCCAGGCCATCAGCATGTCACCTTGCAAATAGAACCGTTAGCACATGAGATGTACGAAAGCTGCATACACATACCAATGTTAACGGTGATTTCGCCTGTCCGGGCAGGAACGGGAGTCCAGTCGTCTCCACGAGCAAAGCTAGTGTGAGCCTCTCTGCCGGGGCAAACCTCTAGACCATCACCGCCGTCTTGCTGATACAACAACGTCAAGCAATCAAAGTCCGTATGGGCCCCAGCTCTCCACGAGTTCGGCCCAAAGTTTTTCCCCGTCGCATCATGATACTGCAGAAGCCTCAAAGTCGACAAGCAGTCCCCCTTGGTGACATCGTGTGCTTCGGTGAAAAAGTCTGGAGGGAAACCAAGGGCGACAGCGAAGAGGGAGAGGATCTTGAGGGAGAGCGCCTGAGTCTTGTCCATGAACTCCAGACATCTTTCACGGAATTCGGGAATGCCGGGAAGGTCTGTAGGCCAGTAGGTGTCGGCACGGAAGGCTTGGAGCTGTAGGGACTCTTTGGGGTCAGCAACGCCAGTCGATGGACGGACCTGTGCGTCCTTCTCCCAGCCGCAGTTCTCGTCCCGAATGAATGGGACTTTCGCCTTAATCTCTTCTGGCAACGCGAAGTACCGCGCACTAGAAATGATATCGATCAGATGGAAACATACTGGAAGCGCCGCGACCTGGACTCACGAGAGCTCGAACATATCGGTTATATCCTTCTTGCTAGGACTCTCCTGGTCCACAAGTACAAAGAACCCAATATTCTCAGCAGCATCGATAAGTTCTTTGGCAATCTCGTCTTTTCGACGATCGAAGTCGCGAAGAGAGATGTAGGGAACAGTACGAGAGGCCATCGTTTGGGTAGGTTCAAGACAGATAGAGGGGTTACTTTGCACTTTGTTGTCATCCCAGGCTTCTACTTATCGGTTCACGATAAGGACAACTCTATTATCGTTTATATCAGGTAGTACAGAAACCGCGGCCGAGCTCCGAGGAAGAACAGACGTCGGTGCCAAATCCAATGAAGAATACAGCAGTTACTGAGCGACGTATGGAGGCTGCGAGTGCCTCCAGACTTTAACAGAAGCCAAGCGCTGTTTCTGAGGCTAGAATTAATGATATCTTGAGGCCACCGAAATCTGCAGAAGTTGTTGAAGCAAGCAAAGGACAAGACTCAAAATTCACTCACTGTCGTAGCTGGCTTCGCCGCGGCCAGCCTCCTTCCTTTAAAGGGACTTCATACCCACGTGGCCCGGATTTCTCAACTTCAATGCGAACTGCCGTATCTGAAGCCGTTGGCGGCTTCGCAGCAGTACTTATTACGAGAATGTTGGTTGAAATGGATATTCTTAATTACTCCCGTCATGGCGAAGGATACCGAATCTGTCGTTATTGACAGCCACCCTGTCAATTACGAGCAGGAACATCCCAGTCTTCGCAAGCGTTTACAGGTCGCGCATAATCCAAGCTCGTATGCACCTTAAAGCAAATGGTCCAATCGGGATATGGATCCCACACCGCCTGAGGACAGGACGTGGGGTACGTCTCCCTTCCTTGGGTGCGCCGACTTGTTTAATTAAACGGAAATACAGACACCTGGGATTACTTTGCGTATTGGATATGCGACGCATTCTCGGTGAGAACATATCTGAAAATTTACTTGGAATTCATTATTGACGCGTGTTGTACTGGCAGATTTCTATATGGGAGCAAGGTAGTTCAATGGTTGCAGTTGGATTGAACTGGAAGCTCTCCATTGTATGCGTGTCCATAGGATTTTTCATCATGGGCATCATCATCAGTATCAATGGTGTTATTGGAGCAAGGCTTCGAATCCGTATGTGCCGCCACTCGTCTCGTGTCCCTTTGTTCTGCAAATTAAAATGTCCCGTATCTAGCGTTCCCACTCATTATTCGGTGAGCGGGATCCAACAGTAATGATTACGGTAGTATTGATTTTGTCTTTCCAGATCATCTTTCGGAATCTTTTTCTCCTGGTTCGCAAGTGGGGGTCAATCACAATATTTATGATTCCCGCAGCTAATAGGATTACAGTTATTTCTCGATGCATCCTTGCAATATTCTGGCTTGGTGTAGGTGCTGTTACAGGTGGTCAATCGTGGGTCCTCCACTAAGCTATGCTTCTTGCTCCTTACGCACCCTGTAGAATGCAGCAATTGATTAACGCTATCTGGCCTTCATTCTGGAACGTTCCTGATCATTTGCCAGACAATATTGGTATGACTACTGCTGGTACGTGAAGTCTCCCTGTTGCATTTCTCGTGATTAACATTTAACCGCAGGCATGTGTGCATACATTATCTATTTCATCATCTAATTCCCATTCCTCATCGTACCATACACTAAGATTCGTTGGTTCTTCCGCTTCAAGTCGATCATTGCACCAGTTGTCATGATCGCCATAATGGGGGTGAGTCTTCAGAATTATTCATGCATAATTCATCCTACTAAGTACATTCATTGCAGACCACCGTTCATTCCGCCGATGTTTCAGCTGGAGACACCCCGTTGTTGACCGATGCAAATCCGTTGCACGGGTCTCTGCTCGCATGGAGCTTCTTGGCCAATCATAATTCATGTCTAGGAAGCTATGCTATGCTAGGAGTGAACATTCCTGATTTCAGGTATGGTGTGCACCTTACCGGCATTTGACAAGAACTGACGGGGATTCTGTAGTCGTTATTCGAAGAGCTTGCGAACTCAGTGGTGGCAGGCATTCCATATTCTGGCTATCTTTACAGTAGTTACGATCTTAGGTATCATGACCGCAGCTGTTTCTGAGCCGTTATATGAAGAAGTGATTTGGTGAGTCTTTACATCTTACTACTTCTATGTCTTCTCAATCGCTTTTTAGGAATCCCAATGAAGTATAATTCTACTTATTCCCTATGGCCACTCATAATTCACAAATTTCTTCGGCTGATAGATTGTAGACAACTGGAGTAAGCATCTAGCGTTGAAATTCTACGGCGTTAAATCCAATCTAAATATTATTTTTTTTTCTGTGTAGGATCTCCCAGAGGACGTGCTGGTGCGGCCTTTGTTTCAATCGGCCTTGCGATTGCACAAATTGGAATGAACGGTAAGTGTTTTAACCAATTGTCCTCCGATCGCACTGATGATAGTTGGTTCTTCTTTGAAGTATCAGCAAACTCAATCAGTGCTGCGAATGATTTGGTGTCTATCTTTCCGAAATATATCAATATTCGAAGAGGACAGATTATAGCAGCAGTAAGCATATTGGATCTGCCATATTGCATGGTTTTTTGACGCCATTCAGTTCATCAGTTGCTGGGCTTTCGTGCCATGGGAAATTTTGGCCAAGGTATGTCACTCACCCCCCTTTAGGTTTGCCGTGTAACTGAGTTGTCTTTATAGGTGACGAGCTTTTTGAATTTCAGTAAGTTTCAAAATATCTATGTCCATTCACCTCTTGCTAACCGTTCCGAACAGTGTCCGGTTACACGATTTGGTACATTTCCCTCGGGTAGCTGGGAGATATTGCGCTAACATCTAGTCAGGTTAGGTCCTATTTCAGCAATGATGATGGCTGATTACTACATTATCAAGGGACGCAAGTTGTCTGTCCCTCAGCTTTATGACCCGAAAGGAATATATTCATATGGAAATGTTTATGGGATTAATTGGAGGTGAGTATGCTTGTTGACTTGCGAAAATGTACTGATCACATACACAGAGCGGCTCTGGCGATGTTTATTGGTTTCGTGCCTCCTCTCCCTGGACTAATCAATACAATCAACACGACCATCCCAGTTTCGACTGGTGCTATCCACCTATTCGATATCGGATACCTATATTCATTCTTCATGGCAGGGACCATTTATGTTATCCTGAGCAAGGTTTTTCCAGCAAAGGAGACGCTTTGCGAGATGGACTTTGGTGAAAGGCATGACCATGAGAGTTCTCATTCTGATGAGAAGGCGGAAGCTTAAAGCTCCACAGATACATGTTCATAAGATTATCTGTAGATAGTTTAGACAGTAGATATGTAACTTAGATTTCAGTGCGCATTACGATGCACATTAATTTTCAATAAAGTTCTTCATTAGAATACACATACGATTTTGTGGTTTCCACGATTGTCAACATCAGCTACTAGTAAAATAAGGGCGACTTTCTTCGCATATGTATTTCTCTAATTCCTCGAAAGGGCCGGCACAAATGATATCCTTCTTTCCTCGGGTGAGAAGTTCCACAGATCCGAGGTCAAACCCGAGATTTTGGGGATTTGAAAGACCACAAAGCTCTAGTAGAGCATCATTTGATGCTGCCCAGATGATACGACCGATGTTGGCTTCAACCTTAAGTTAGAAATCTCAGCTAGGATGCACAGTGAGGCGAACGAACCCCAGTAGATCATAGAGGTGCACATCTACATTGTATACTAGATCAGTAGAGACCCGTGTTTTATAATTCGAAAAACCCCACTGGACATGGTTCCCATACCGTGTACAATGTGCACTTCCATAGGAAAGGTAAAGAATAGCGTGTTACTGATACAATTGATACCTGAGTTTTCTACATAGAAATTTCATGAAAAAAAAAAGGCTAGACGAGCCAAAGAAGCTTCCGCATGGTTTACGACATCAATGCTCTATGAAGAGACATGTTTAAGACTTTAATGGCTGTCTGGACGTTTATAACATTGACATGCCTGATGTGTGAGTAATACTTCGCCCTCAGGCCCCACAAGTATGGCACTGAAAGGACGCTTCCCGAACGTCACAGCGTGTTTTTGGATAGATATTGCATGGTTGAGATGTTTCAGCATTTTAACCAAGTTTATCAGTCACTTTTGAGGCAATCGAGTAGTACAATGTAGGAACAACCTCATCGTGACTGGGAGTAGGAGGGCGTGTTGACATCAACTCGGATGTGTCCTTGATGCTGTTTGTAGCTATTGTGAAAGGATTGAACGAATTTGAAGACTACAAGATGCAAATGCAATGTTCACGCTAAGATATCCAACTGTTAACGCTGGCCGCGGCTTCGGTCCGCGGAACGGGAAAGGCGGAGTTGATCCGCACTTGGAAAACCGGCCCTTGATAAGCTGCCAACCTTGAATAAGACAACCAACACTAAATTCTACTTACTAGCACCAAGATAATGTGTCATTCAAATCCGAGTCACCGCAGTTCAGGTCGTGTTATCTTCAAGCACCTGGTACCGCTACCTTAGCAATGACCACCCCACACGTTCCCGTTATCAGTCTCGCCAGCTGCAACGTAGCAGGGCGCAAGGCAGAGGTCGTGCGCCAGATTGGCGAAGCTTGTGCCTCGTCGGGATTCTTGTGCGTCAATAATCACCGATAATCGTAGAGCGAGCTAAAGTTTCGGCATTTCGGGTCAGCCAGATAGTCGACCACCCTATTCCCCAAGAATTAATTGAACGAGCGTTCGAAACCTCGGTTCGCTTTTTTGCGCTACCTGCCGAAGAGGTAATTTTTGGTATTTTTCATTTTTCTTCTCACTAGCTTGTAATTGCAGAAACTCGCACTTGCTCGCGATCCTTGGACCAACCGCGGTTATGAGATTCTCGAGCGTCAGAGCCTCCAGGGTGCAGTCGTGGGTCATGATGAACTTGGCATCTCTCTTGAAACTAGGCCGGAGAATGAAAATCCTGAGATGGATCTCAAAGAGGGCTTCCTGATTGGAGACGGCAAGATAGGCGAAGACCACCCATTCTTCGGTCGTTTTGCTCAAGGTGTAAATCACTGGCCGAACATTGCTGGGATGAGAGATGTGATGAATGAGTATGTTTGTTTTATTTCATGTGGTCCCTCGTAGTGTTGATATGTGATGGCAGATATTACGAGGCATGCCTCAAGCTTTCAACGAATCTTATGGAACTTGTTGCTTTGTCCCTTAATCTTCCGGAGAAATATTTTGCGCCATTTTGCAAGGATCCTACTGCTGCTATTCGCCTTCTTCAGTAAGGTTCGCTTGCCTTGCGTGCTCATCTTAAATTGACTTCTTTCAGTTATCTTCCTCAACGTGCCGACGCGATAGAACCCCAGATTGGTGCTAGTGCCCATACCGATGTCAGAACGTTTTTTTTTGTTTCCTTGTGATGACTGAATTTTCACTACAGTTTGGAGCCCTGACTTTACTTGCGACGTCCGGAACGTGAGTTTTTTTGCTGATACCCTTGCAATTGGCTTGTATTGATCGAATACACAAGTCCTGGCTTGGAGCTGTGGTCAGACGGTAAATGGTTTCCTATCGAGCCTGCTCATGGTGCCTATGTTGTTAACGTCGGCGGTAAGTCTGTTACTCATTCAATCCACCATTCACTCATCACCTCTTGCAGACCTACTTCAAATGTACACCACTGGGAAATATCTTTCTTCTTTACACCGGGTGATTAATCGTTCTGGAAATGAACGCTATTCAATCCCCTTCTTCCTTGGTATGCATGATTCCTGTATTGTGGTTTTTGTTTTTTTACCCCCGGTGGTTAGATGGAAACCTCGACGCGATTGTCAAGTCTATCTACGACACTTCGGACACTGTGAACGCAGTTTCGGTGGAGTCTCATCTTAGGACTCGGTTCGATGGAACGTATCAACAGCCCATGGCTGCAAAGATGGCACAGGTAGCATGAAGATCATACTCACTTTCCCACAATGGCGTAGGCCTCAGCTCCGTTGACAACCTACCACGCAAACTTGAATAACTAATTATTTGTACTGCGGAAACGTCACCCATATTTATCCCATCCCTTTCGACGAGGATTTCAAACCACAGCTTTATGCACTGATTATTCTACTAATATTTACAGACTCGAATATGAATTATCCGTAGACGTCTCGTTGGCTGCAAACTGGCTTAGTTGCAGGCCGCATGAGACAGCTCGTATAGGCAACGGAGTCGCACCGTACACTCGAATCGAAGGGAAGCCTGTCTCTTTATCCCGTCGATTATGATCTTCCACTATTGCAATCTTTCTACGTATGTACTTTGTTTTAGTGGACGTCTCTCTTGCACGATTTGTACACAGGTATTCCTTTTCAGAGACTAAACGGCCTCGCCGTCTAGATCCACAAGGGTGCAACTCGATTCAATCGTAATTTGGCCTGAAGTGGCTCTTATTAGTCGAGCCAGGCATCTACGTAGAAACTTGGTTACCAGCCATGTGATAAATGCAAACCAAGGAAACCAGTGACTGCCGAATGGGCTGGAGCTCCCTCTTGCCTCTCATTGTCTGGGTGCATCCTCCGACCTATATTGGCTGGAAAAATACTGCGGTCACATTGTCTCCGTAGAACCCACATTGCAATTGCCGCAGCCTACACCGATAGATCTCCGACCATAGTGCGGGAAATGTGCCGTTCAGAGCCAGCCAGCTGGTCTGTGAGAAGTCAGTTTCCCGTACCGCACAAGTCTTGTCTCCCTGTTTTAGACGTTATCCATATGCTCATCGGTGGTACCCGTATATTTTCCCTTAGTGAGATCAAGGTGTACGTACAGGCATGAGATTGTGCCATTTAACCTTCGTCGGTTGTATCTCCATTCAAAAGCACCGGAATTCCGACACCATCTGTGATATCTTTAGGATATGTTTTCTCTTTCGTACTTACCGGACGGAAGGGGAATCGGCTTCCTGTGAGAGCGTCGTGCCATTGATGTCCTAAAAAGGCAACGCCCCAAATTCCCATTTCATGACTGAATCATCACACAGGGCTACCAACGGATCCGGCAATTTTACCCCTTCTCTCCCACTTTCCTAACTTTCCTTCCTCCGCATAGTTCAATCCAACTTCTTGTGTAGCGACGACCTGGACGCAACGGCGAACACGCCGCGCCAACAATACCTGTTCGACAGCTCGACAAGCATGCCGGTCGCAGGTCCAAGCACGATGCCCAGTAGGGCCCCAGCGGTGCGACGAGATGAGAGAGCAGCCGGCGGCAGGAATATCGTGCGCATATATCTCGATGTCGTTGGCCATCTACTGATAGTTGGCCTGTACCAGCCTCCACGGCTTGCTAAAGAGCCAAAATATCCTCCAGGACTGTTTAATTCTGCCCAGGACTCCAATACTCGGCCTACGTATCAACGGCTGCCATCACTTTCCGACAATTACACCGTTCCTCGCGCCATATGTCCTCCGAAACCATATCCTCCGAAGGGATTTCCCAGATACTCGAAAAGCCAAGAGATTTGCAACAATTACCTTCGAGGCTGGTGCAAATGGGAGGACAGATGCCATCGGCGGCATATATCTCCCTCAGAGTACAGAGTAAGCGCGCTAGTGTTCGATTACGACCATACCATGACGTCTGCTTAGAATTACAACCCACCACCCGGCAAGTTGCCTCCCCCCACACGCATCGAACCCGAATCGCCTCCCGGTCTTCCGAAAGTAAGGGTTAACAACCGAATATCTGATGCTGCATGATTGAACGTGCATACAATTTTGGTAAACCATCGTTTTGTACCGACAAAATTGCATGAATGCTGGTTTACCAAAATTGTATACACGTTCAACCATGCAGCATCAGATATTTGAATGCCCTCTATTGCCAGATACCTGATTCAATCTCCTTGCGCAGAAACCAACGAAGTTAGCTGTAGGCTTAGATAGTGAGTTGAAAGTTTGCACATCTCCGAGTGATGTCACGATCCATGGAGTTTTGCCGTCGGGCGGTCGGGATGATTCCTCTCAAGTGCATGCGAAGATTGGTTCCTCTCCACTACGATCACCTCGTAGCGACGTCTCAACCGACGGGTCGTGTCCGAAGCTCGTCCGAACAGAAGAAGGCATGCCAGCTTATCGCCCCAAGGAAACGAATGCGAGTGAGTCGTCTGATGAAGAGACTGTTTGGGGAAGTGGAGTCGGTGGTTTTCTCCAATACAGGCTTGCGTATTCACTAACGCACTATCCAGCAACGTGAATCGTCGGACTCAGATAGCTCATTAGATACACTCGAAGACAGGTCAACAAACGAGGAACAACTACCTTGTCCTCCTGGAATATGCCAAGAGTGGTGTCGCAGGATCTGCTGGCGTGGTTCCTATTGTCAGCTTCTACACGTCGACCATTCCCACAAGGCAAAGCACCCACGCCCAAAATCCAATGAGGTTTGTTGGGGCTGGGAACGTGACTGGTGCATCCAGGGATATGACTGCCCTTTTATTCATGGCGACCTCGAATATGACCCGGTAGGTACTTTCTGGCGGTACGCCGAATAATCATGGCTTATATTTCATTCCAAGCCCGAGGAATCTGTCGCCGAAGAAGAGACACCTAAACCGGAACCAGTGAAGTATCCACGACCAAGATCTTCCGACGTTTGCCGCGATTGGCTTCGAGGCACCTGCCAGCGCGGCCCTCGTTGCAACTTCATTCATAATGATATCGAGTACGAAGATCCTGTCAGTCTGAGCTCCTCGGGTGCTATGAACTTCATTCTGACCGTACTTTAGCCTCCAACTGTCCCGACGTCGACGCAGAAAGAATGCCCCCCGTCTCCGCCCCGGTATCCTCAGGCAAACTGGTTACTTACAGTCCATGATCATATAAAGGTTAGGTATGCTGCTGGATTTGAGGTGCAGTCCATCTCAACCGGGTTCGAAACGCCTTGGCTCTTTCTCGAGTACCTTCCTGCAACTGTAACCCTCGAGGACGTCACTCAGTTGCTGAAGCCATACGGGCAACCTGAGATCAAGATGCCTACGCATTTGACATCCTTATCCGTGGTAAAGGCACGTTTTGCCAATCACGAAGAGGCCAGAGATGCGTACAATGCTCTCAATGGGACTCAGCATTTCGGCACCACGATCATTGCCCGTCTGTCTGTACGCAGCGGTGGGTCAGGTGGTGAAGGTTCTTTCCGTGATTCCATCGTACGAGTGCAGTGGGATGCGCCGTCAATTGTGGGATACGGAGGTTATTCGACACTCGAGAAAGCACAGAAGGCTATAGCCGCTGCGAAGAAACCTTTCCGAGATGTCATCGTTACAGCAACCCTGCATGAAGATCTCCCGGCTGTTGGGAACTTCACCGTCCGCTTCCGCAACCTACCTCCAGGTATAACCAAGAAAGACATGAAGCCTTTTGGTGACTTGGACGATTTGATGTGGGAGCGGCTCAAATACGATTCGGTCCCTGAAGCTGTTGCTGGGATCAAGAAGATTCTCAGTTTTCACTTTAATGTCCTCGACTTTGACGTACCACCGCCCCCATACGTTGACGGATACGTTCGTGCTTGGCTTCGGTTTGCCTCTCCCGTGGAAGCCCAGCAAGCCGCCAACCACCTCCACCTACGAAGACCTATTTGCATGGGTGGTAAAACCCCTATTTTTGCACATCACGTCCAGAGCATCTCGTACCGCATTTCTGTTGAGAAGTATGCGACTCTCCGATCAGATATTTTCAGCATGAAAGAGTCTCTAAGGTCGAAAATGTCCCGGGCCGCGAGTCTCATCGTCAGCTTTCACGGTTCTCTGACTCAATGGGTTGGGATCAAACTTTCGTCGGATAATCTCAAAGAGCTCAGCCAGATGAAAGGCGAGTTTGAAAAGATTCTCAAAGGGGAAGTTGTCAAGTTCGAGGACAAAATCGCCTGGGATCCTTATTTCGGATATCCTATCGGAATCGAGTTCGTGCAAAATCTGCAGCGGAAGAATCCCGGAGTAGAGATTATGCGCGACTGTGTTCGCCGTTCTCTCATCCTGCGTGGATCGAGTGAGCAACGCGAGGACGTTCGTCGCCAGTTGATATCCAAGATCAAAGAGCTCCGTGCGAGAGAAGTACGGACTGTACCCATTCCGAGCAACGTCATAGGTTTCTTTGTGATCGCAGGGTTGACGAAGTTGAAGCAGGAGCTGGGCGACGAGAATGTGACGCTGAATCTGTGGGACCGCGTCTTGACCGTTCGGGGTGGGATTCGTTCGTTGCATGCAGCGAGATGTGCTGTCAAGCAGGCTGAGGACCGGCAGCGATATGGCCGCCGTGCCAACATCGATGAGTGCCCCATCTGTCTCGACGAAGTGGTTACTCCATTCACACTTCGTTGTGGGCACAATGTCTGTCGTTCTTGCTTAAAGAACTATCTAGTGGCAGCCATCGACTAACCGTTTCTTCCCTTTGACATGTCTCGCAAATGACGCTAGTTGCTCGGAGCGGATTCCACTCTCTGTTGCTCGTGAACTCCTTTCTGCGAGCCAGTTTGACAGCGTGATGCATTCCGCTTTCTCTGCCCATGTTCACTGCTCATCCCGATGAGTTTCACTACTGCCCCACGCCTGATTGTCCCCAGATCTATCGCTCTGCACCGAAGGGTACGGTTCTGCAGTGTCCATCATGCCTGATACGGATTTGTTCGACATGTCATGTTGAGCAGCATGACGGTTCGGAGTGCCCGGACCGTGATGACACAGATGCTGCCTTCAAGGAGTGGAAGAAAAATCATGACGTGAAAAATTGCCCTGGATGCAAAGTTCCGATTGAGCGTGCGGAGGGGTGTAATCATGTTACGTGCACCAGGTGTCAAACACATATCTGTTGGGTGTGTTCTAAGACTTTCCCAAGAGGTGATGGGATCTACCAGCATATGCGTGCGATGCACGGCGGTATAGGACTGGAGCCGTTGTTCTAGGTTTTTTTTTCTTCGCTAAGTTTATATCTATCGTCTCGGTTTCTCTAGTTTCTGGGTTTTGAGGTCCGAGTATGTTATTATCTGTTGTAACTTTTTTTCTCACTTGGCATGCTGTGCTGCGTAAAGTAGTAATGAAGCATGATGTACTACATGTATTATCGTTATCCTACTTCGCCAGTTCAACAACTGGTAGATGCTATATATATAATCCCAATGGTATGCTAAAGAATACAGATGTCGGAAAATTAGTATTTAAAAGTAGTTATATACTACGAACTGGAATGAGGAAATTCATCAGCATCAATGCATACGAGATGAACGAAATCCACTTACACTTTCATAGGGCCTAACGGGAGATCGTCCAAACCTTGGTAATGAATCCTGCAGCTCGGTCCAATTCGGGCTCTGCTTCATAAAAGCCCCCTCATGATTCATGAACCCATCTTTAGTACGCGGATAATCCTTAAGTTCGGCAGGGTGGGAAAGATGAGGCGGTGCGTAAACAATGTGCCCATCCGGCGTGAGGTGGTCTCCCCGTCGATTCCAGAATCCCATACGAACCTTGCGCTTGTACGTTTTAGGCGGCGTTTTCTGCCTAGGTGGAGGTAGACTGTACTGGAACTCGCGAGGTGGCTCCGGAAGGGGATTGTGCGACATCAGAGGAGATGTTCGCCGCGAACCTGAGCTGGAGCTTGAGAATCGGTGCCGGGAGGAAGATGATCGGGATGAACGGGAGCTGTGTGGGGAGGGTATGACATTACTGTTAGGTGAAGGGATGACGTTACTATAGGGTGATGGCACGGTGGCACTGTGGGGTGAAGTTCTGCTATGAGGTGAAGTCCTGCTGTGTGGCGAAGGTACAATGCTACGGGACGATGCCTCTGGAACGTGGTGCGAGGACGACTCCTGCGTGTTTCGAAGAATGGCCATTACTGTGAGAAGAAGGAACGACGTTACTGTGTTGCGAGGGTATGACGTTCTTGTAAGACGAAGTGCCTCGTGAAGTCGTCTCCGGAACGTTGCGGGGAGATGTCTCCGGAACATGGCGAGGGGATGTTTCCGGAATGCCTCGAGGCATGACGTTGCTGGGAGGTGCAGGGCCCGGAGGCACGTTGTTCTGTGGCGGAGGTGTGACGTTCTTCTGAGGTGAAGGTATTGTGGAGCGAGAGGACAGTTTCCGGGGCGTTGCGAGGGGGAATCTCCTGAACGCTTTGAGAGGATGTTTCCACGACGGCACGGGAGGATATCTCCGTCTTGCCTCGTGTCGCAGTCTCAGGGATGGAGCTAAGCGTCGGGGCTGTGTGATGGCGTCCAAGGGAACGATTAGGAAGGGCTGGAGTATGGCTAATGACAAGAGGGCTCAGCAATGCCGACGGTTCCTCTGTGTAGATCTGTGCACTTGCACTTGCATGAACAGTTGACGAAGAGGAGGGCATAGAGTAAGTCGGTAGTGATGAGTGTTCGGGCCAGAGGCTGAGTCGGACCTGCGCCTGTGCTCAAGCGGTCCATCTTGGCAGCTAACTCGGCATCAACACTGCTGCTACGACTGGACTTCCTGCTAATATGACCAGGGGAGGTAGCAGCACTGCTCGGTCGTGTAGGTGAATTATTATTGTAATGGCCAGGGATGCGAACAATGTTAGTCGAGAATGTAGGCTGGAGAGGGCGATGGTCCTGTTGCTGAGGCTGCCGTGGTTCCGGAGAACTGTGGCGGCTTTGTTGGCTGTATGACGACAATTGAGTCACAGGCGGCTCAGAGGCACCTCGCCGGGGAGCAGGTACAGCAGCGTAGATCTGTGGCGAAGGCTCAGATGATTGTCGAGTACTCGTATGACGCTGAAGGCGCAAAGGTGAGGGAGACGGTGGTGCCTCGTGTTCGAGGGATGAGCGCCGACGCGTCGGCGTAGGGCCGCGAGATTGCAGAAAGCGATTGCCGTGCGCATCACAATACTCAGCTTGGATGAGACCTTGTTCATCCTCCTTCTCCACTAGGCCTCGAGGATTCCATATCCATGGTGTGTGTGGTGCATCGTCATCGCTGTTCTCTTCGCCGTATACTTGTGCCCTGGAAACGAGGAAGCGATTAATGAAAGAATAGAGAACAGCGGATATAGAACGAACCTTGGAATCATGCCCGTTAGGTCCAAAGCATTTTCCTTCACAGGTTGGGCCAGATATTCCGCACTTGGCGGCTTTATGGGCCGCTGGTAAGGATTCTGTTGTTGTTGGGGTTGTTGCTGCTGCTGCTGCTGTGCTCCAGCCCATGATTGACTAGGGATCCAGGGAATATATTGCTGGGACGGCTGCTGATGGTGGTGGTGGTTGAAGGCAGGATTGAACTGCCATTGACCTTGGTTCCATTCATTAGGCTTGACGTTCCAACCCTGCGGAATCGGTGGAGCGCCCTGGTAGGGAGGCTGCCAGCCGGTAGGAATCTGGGCAGCATGGCTCGCACGGGGATACTGATTTGCATACATGACGTGAAAGCGTGGATATCTGTACAACTCCCCAGTTTTGGCTTTAAGTGTACGACAGCATATATGTACTCACAATTAAAATGCAGCAATGACAAAAGAAACTGTTGTTGTTTGCTGCCGCTAATCACTGATGAAGAATGAAGACAATAAGAATCAGCGGCTCTATAGCAAGGCTCACGACTCACAATACACGACTCCCAAGTACCTCCTCTGCCCTTGAATTACGTCGCGTAGTCTCTTATATCTCGTCGTCGGCGCCGACGCGACTGTATAATGATCCAAGATCGATCAGTAAAATGGAAGCAAAATGAATGTGTGCTGCCAGCACAGGATTCGTCGATGGGGACGCAGCCAAGGATAGCGGGAGCGTCAGGTCGAAGCCAACGGCGTGTATATCTCGAGTACGGCCACGGCAAACGGCCAAATTCTGGCGTCCTGGTCGTTGAACGAGAACCGCAGGAGGAATTGGAAAATGGAAGAAAGAGGTCATGTCCGTTTTGGGCGAGTTCCCCCGCCGGGTGCCGCGATTACTTGCCATTTCTGGAAACCTCTCTTCCGTACCCTTTCTTCCAGCGGTTTTAGTGAAATGGGTGAAGTTGAACAACACACAGACATGGCGGCAATCGTACAAATACGTTTTGCTTACTAGACGCTGGACTTTACTACTTTGCTCCGGTGTACCCAGGCGCATGCTGTGTGACGTGTGCGACGAGCGCCGGTGTACTCGTGTCATCTGTATCTGTATCTTGGGTCTGGGCCACAGCTTCTACTTCCTGTGAATCACGGCGTTTTACTGTTCGCTACGCGAGCCGCATGTCTCTCATTATGGGCGTACTGGAGAACAGCCGTGGGACTGTGCAAAAGGAACCACCAAATCATCACAATTGATATAGTACACCTTACTGATTGAAACGGTTACATGCTTGACGAGTTAGTGTAAAGTGCAGGTGCCTTTATTTAGTAGAGAGCAAGACGCAGCCGAACCACCAGATACGTAGCCGAGAGACACCAAAGCGCCAAAGTCGAGTCCGAACGTCGGTTCATCCGTCAGCTGAGCAAACATTGAGCGAGTAGAGTATTCAACATGGATCTGAACGACAGAGACGATCTGGGATCCGAGAAACACGGAGAGTATGTCTATGCTGACGACTCCTCCGACTTGATGGAGCGCCTTGATCTCGAAGGACTGGAGTTTGAGAGACAAGCGTTGGTTGCCGAGAAGACTGGCTATATTGAACGTTCGTGGGAAGTCGTCTCTAACAACAATAAACGCGCGCTTACCTGTCGCCCTGGAAGCTACAGAGAAGTCTTGATGTGTAGCTCCGGAAAGAATAAAGAAGAACAAGCATGCTCTAAGAAGACCTATCAGGGCATTATCCTAAGCGCTCACCAGGAACACGAACCATGAATGAGGAAGCAATGCCGTGAAAGAGATGAACGCCAAAACCAGAAAGCAGGGATAACAGTTGGAAGACATAAATCCTGTCAAGAGAGCCTAGATATTCAGCGTCGACTTCACACACGCCGGTTAGCTCGGGGACTGAAAACATGAGAAAATACACAATACCCCGCAAAAATATCTCCAAAAATCTCATAAATCCCGCTTTAGCCCAGTGCGTTCTCGGGAGAAGACTCTGGTGAAGTAAGATAACCGAGGAGTTCATTTTCCGGAGTTCGTCGTGTGCTCCTGTGGACATCCGGTGAAGAGACTCAACGAGTTCAGTGGCAGTACGCGTTGCGTTCGCTTGTTCTTCCACAAGAACCAGGTTGCGTTCGGTCGATTCATCAAGTGCCTTGATGACTTGTGAACTGGCTTCTGTCAGGAGTAAGATGTTCTTCGATTCTATCATTAATGTCGCAAAGCCAGACGAAATGGAACGGAAACTTACATGTTGCATCTCAACGAAACTCGCTTCGATTGACATCCAACGAGAATTAGCTTGAACCTATCGTCATCAACAGTCCAGTAAAATAACTTTTTTTCAATTGCCATAGCGAACATACCGAAAGATCCGTGTTTAACTGCTGTTGTTCAGCAACGACCGCAAACACAGCTTCTAATTCGACAGCCACGGTATGCCTAATCATCATCACAATGTTGTCGAGTGAGCCGGTGTGCTAGGAGACTGTTAGTACGGGGATATGATGGTCTACGAGCTACTCACACGTTCAGACATTTCGGCGAAAGTAGCACCGATCTACAGATCATGAGATCATCAACAGAAGACGGACAATGACTGAATCCATTACTTGTTGAAATAAGACTTTGATGACATCCTCGCCCTGAGCCCGCAGGTTTTGGATCACATCTTGAGACACTTCGGATGTCTGCGAGCCCGTGAGTGTGAGCATGGCTCGTAGCCTTGGAAATTTACTTTTTCCATGTTCCTCAGTAAGCGATTGATGGCACTCTGAGCATCAGTGTCCATCCTGGCTGAAAGGACCTGCATAACAGCCGTGATATTCTGTAAACTCTATTGCAAGCATGAACCCGGCTCAAGAAAACGACAAGGAATGGAAGTACCGACAAATGAGACTCCCAGGCCGACATGTGCGCATATTCCGTGCGCTGGCGCTGTGAGAGATACCGTAAGAGTGCGATCTTCTCTTGAGTAATGGTGCTGTAAATGTCTCTCGCCGTATCTGCAAAACGCGTCGCCCGGCATGACGCTCTGTAGGTGTTTTAGCTTACCGATGTCGTGCCATCTTCTGAAAGAGAAACAAAGTTGGGCTAGCGGACTTCGGAGCATATTCCCGACCGATAAATAGCGTCACTCACGAACTTCTCTCAGATATCCGGAGTAGCTGGACCAGAACTGTGCGCTCCGGGATAATGCTCTAAAACAAATGGAGTGAGCATAGTTTGTTACCGGGGGAAAAAAGTACCGACTCACTCGACGCACTTTCCCTGAGTATCACCATGTCCTTGGGAATATAAGGGGGTATTTTCAGATGAGAATAGGGTGCATTCAAGCGGCGGTGACAGATGTTTGGCGGTTGCAAGTTCACACAATGTCATGGATATCGCGGCTAACGAGCCGACAGTGAGAGGGAGAGAAGCGTGTTTCAAGGAACACACCGGCGACGCGTTCATCTTCATCCATTTCCAAAGCACTGCATCGCACTTTGATGTTTCCAGCGACGCGACGAAAGCAGTCTGATTTCCGAGAATACTCTTGAAGAGAGTCTATGCCTACGATGACATAAATTTACGTGAAGAAAAGACATTCCCACCCTGCGTTCGAAATATACTGCCTATCTCGTTTGGTGTTAGGGGCAGCTCTACCGGACCGTGAGCCTCCCTTCCAGTACTGCAAAAGAAGTGGCGATACCTGTTAACAGCGATTGACGATTTTTCTCATTTCGCGACCACAGAAAAGCATTGGAAACAGGAAGAAAAGACAATGTCCAAGGCAAAAGAATGAACAGCATGGTAGATACAGCAGGAGTTACGACAGATCGGTCCGGAATGCCACCACATGGTGTCGACGACGACACGACCAAACAACGCGTGTCAAGCGCGTGTCCCTGTGACTTCAACGTTTCAATTTCAATGTCAAGTTCAAGTTTGTACTCGCAATGAATTTGTTTGCTTTACACTTTGTGGAATGGTTTTTTCCTATTTGTCATAGAGTAGTACAGAATGTTTACCCACGCTTTATTTTCGCGGTACCCACGATGTTGTTCCTCGGTTTCCCCGGAATGTGTGTGAAAAAGTTAGGGCAAAAATTCCACAGATAGCGATCCTTGCAGCAGGCTCAAGCCCCTTCTCACCCCAACGCTAGATCCGTTTCTTTCTAAGGCAATGTGGACGTCGAGGCAGGTTACATATCCGGATGATCTGGTTTCCGCAGGAGCGCAGCTAGAACTTCGACCTTGATTCTGGAGCCGAGTCGGAGTCATGTGCTCGTGATTGGAACGATCGTCCATTATTGACCGTCCAATCGACATCCGCTCAAGTTCATAGAACGTCGCACAGGATGCCCCCACAGCTTCTTCCCTTCCCCTACATCCAGGATAATGATTATTGTGCATCATCTGAATGATTCTCGATCCCAGAGAATACTCTGGCTCTTGGTGAGTCTTTGGGCTACTGTGAGCACCTGATAAGGCTGATGAAATGCTAGGAAGAGCTAGGCGCCCCTTACGAAATCAAGAAATACTATCGCAATTCTCTTCACCGGGCACCGAGCGAGCTTTTGGAGGTCAATCCCCTGGGAAAATCTCCTGTCATCACCGACGGCGATATAAACCTTGCCGAAAGTGGCGCAATTATTGGTTGGTTCATTTCTTTCTGGCAGACGACGTTCCAAGTTCTCATGCTTCAGGACCAGAATATCTTATCGAAAAGTACGGAAATGGACGGTTCCGGACGACAACTGAATCCGAGCACATCAATAATTTATACTGTGAGAGATTCTCCCCGCGCGCATACGCAAAACGTTTGAGCTTCTGTTGTCCCTATACTTTAGACACCCACTACGCAGAAGGTTCCTTGATGCCAGTCCTTGTTATGGGTTTGATCTTCCGCTTCGTGCCTCAGCAATCTCCTTGGTTCCTTCGTCCCTTCGTGCGCTTCTTATTTAGCCAAATGGAAAAAGTATTGGTCAAGCCCGAACTTTCGAAACATTCTGAGTTAGTGAGTTAATGACCTACCTCATTGTCCAGCGCTACATCTAACCAACAAAAGGTCGAGCAGCAATTGAGTAAAGTCAAATGGATTGCCGGAGGCGTTGAGCCTACCTCCGCGGATTTCATAATGATCTTTCCCCTGGAGGGTCTAGTTGATATCAACTCCGCAGGGAAGAATACGTCAGGGTACGTTCAGAAAGTACATGCTCGGTAAGATGTGATTTACCTCGACCTTCAAATTCAACTAATCATCGACATCTCGACATTGCATCACTTCTAGCCCAGCATACAAGCGAGTGAGTATAATCTCAATTAATTTGTATGAAAATGGCTGATCCAACACTTCGTATCAAGGCTCTTGAGAAAGGCGGGGAATTCGCGTACGCATGATGTATTATCATAATTCCATACCATACTACACATGGGTTTCGAATCAAATTCATGGACCAGAGATTATCCTTCGAACTACCTTTTTCGTTACGCCGCTCAAGCACTATGTTTCCTAGGCCTCGGTCATTGTTGGTCTCGTTCACGCCGGCCTCCAAAAAAATACAAATGAACTCTGTTTGGTCCCAAGGCAACTCGATGAACGACAAACGATCCCGCAGACCCGGTGCTCGGAACGATTCCGGCGATCATTCTACTCGTTGGAACCTCCCATCACCTTTGGCAGCTACACATTCGAAACACTGATGACCCTCGTAGGAGTGTACCTTTCTGTAACCTAATTCACAGCACTGTCGCCTGCACGGGCCGCCTACCCGTGGTTCGGGGACTTCACGTCCAAGTCCACACTGGATGTCACACAGGGCCTTGGAAATACCAGCACTTTGATGGTACTACCCTACATGGGTCTAGGATCTATTCATCTTATATCATTGGGCCCTGTCCCTAGGTAAATATTTGCAATTGATCCGCCGACAGCTCGCGCATCTCTGCGTAGCGTCGAGTGTTTCATTGGCGGGTATGTATATATCAAGATCAGATGTGGTGAAACAGACCTACGTCGGGCCTACTCTGCTTCGGTCCACTGCTAACAACAAGAGCGAGGTACACGACCCGCACTTACACGTATGTACAGAGTAAGTTCTACGGGATACAATACAAGCACTGGTAGAATACATAATAAGATATTATATAAGTAAAATCAATTAGTCGAAATACATAGTATATATGCTCATCTTAAATGACAGGTGGAGTGGCGGCAATGAGATCATTGGGACGCGCAAGAAGTGAATAATGTCAAAGTTCTATCATTCCACGGTCCATCAAGTGTTCCATGTCCTATTTTGTTCATCGACGATCGTGGTCTGCCCGAGGGCGACGAGGATTCGTAACACCGACATGAAGTTGCTGCTCCCATTTTGCAGGTCCGTCTCCAGCTACCCAATCGCCTGTACGAGGATCCCGCTCGAAATCACCATCCCGGTATCCGTATCTTTCCTGTAGTAGCTTCAGGAGAGGGTTGCGTAACGCGGGATCCATCCGGACATTCTCCCCAGGGAGGTAGCTTCCAACGCCATGCCGTGATAAGCTTTCCTCAAACAGTGCCTCTTCGAAGGAACAGCCACAATTGAGATATCCAGGGGGAGCCATCCTGGGGGGATGTACGCGTCGTTCACGACGGGAATCGTGCCAAGCACATAGGGCATTGCCAGCACGATTGAGTGAACAGAACTGACGCTGACGGGCCTCAGTACGAAGCCTCCATGACTCTTGGAAGGACGGCGAGGTAGATAGTCGGGGAGATGAATTGCTGTTCAATTCATTCTGAAGCATTTGTATGCGATCTTTGTCCTGTTCACGAAGACGCTCAAGCTCCCTGACTTTTCTTCGGAGGCTGCGAATCTCTTCTTGAGGCGGTGCGGGATATGGAGATCCTGATGACGATGATGGCGGGTGCGCCGGGAATGTTTCGTACTGTCTGTATGGGTCCGCGAACGGCGGTGATGTGAATGATGAGGGTGGCGATGAATCGTTGCGATACTCGTAGGGGATGGTGCTGACGTCCGCCTCTGCTGTGTCATAGAAGGGTATATGGGGTGGTAAACTGGGATACATCGAGGATTGGGGTTGAAGCATCTGGTGCTGTGAGTGACCTGCAGGCCAGGCCAAAGCTTCGTTCATCCCCCCTGGAGATGGTCCTGGAAATCTTGAAGTCGAAGGAAGGATGCGAGGATCCCCTATTGCACCGGAGAGACTGGAGCTTGAGGACGTAGGCCTGTCTATCTGCTCGTAGTGACGATCAATACTTGTGCCCAAAAGATTGACATATAAGATCCTTACTGCGGACGAGGCAGAATAATTTGTTGTAGGGTATGACATTTGCTGCTCGTCATCTGATGAACGTTCATTGCTTGATCTGCCACTTCCAACGCTTCCACCACGAGCTGGCCACTGGTTGTTGCTGTTGTATGTTGAAGACATTTTAGGGTCTGCCGAAGTACGAACGCGATTATCGAAACGCGTAATCAAAGGAGGGTAAGGGCGTTGTCTTTTAGGGCTGCCGGAACGTCGACGACAAAGCGGAGTGGACAGGGTGGTATTCGTGAAAGAAGGAGAGGAGGGAGGAGATAGCAATGGCGTTTCCGTTTGAGGCTCGACTTTAATATCGAGACTCGATGCCGTTGGATAGGGCAGCCATTGTAACGCTTGAGAGTTATGCATGAAGGACAGCGGGCAGTGCAAATCACTGGCACTATGAACGTAGTGGAAAGATAGAGACCAACACGGCAGGTGCTCCGGACTGCCACTGTTTTAAAAACCGTGTTAGCTGCCTGGACGATGGATGGGGTCAATCCTGTAATTACAGAGATCAAAGCACGGGTCGTGAGGGAGATCTTAAAACTTAACGACTCAAGATGGTCCTGCAACGGGCTGTACTCCGGAGTGATCAGGTCGCTTCGCATGGTATATACGAGAATCTTGTAAATTGATTGATCTCAGCATCGATCATCCGATTCACAAAATGAAAGCAAACCGAACCTAATAAGCGCCCTACATCCAAGGGATCATGACGGTTCAAAAATATGCGCTCTGCCTGGGGTCGACACATGGCAGGCAGATCGTGCCGACTGTTTGTTTGATGCGAATGTCATACGACGGTGAATGTCGGTACTCCAGAAGACATGAAAGATTGTATCTAAGAGGAATGCCTAGGCCGCAAACCGGTAGGGCGGACTCGGAGATGCCCCTGCAAACGCGAAACAGGTTGCCAAATCGGCACATGCCGAGGGTCTTGTCACATTTCAAGTTTAAACGGTAAACATACTGATCTACACCTATAGGAAAATCACATACAGCGAGAAGAGAACTTTGAGTGTTTCAATTTTTGGCAGGAACGATACACGAGACCAATCTCGGGAATTTTCAGAGGATCTGAAGCGCTTACGGGCAACTGATCTAGCCGGATCATTGGACCTCATGGGAATCCTAGTAAATTCAATCATCAGACAGAAGAACCTAAGCCTTGAAGAGCATGGTCCCTACCCTGAAGCGGCACAGGTGTGACTCAGGTAATGCTTTAGATTGGCAGCAAATATATTCTTTCGGGCGGTGCGGATTCGTGTGATGCTTCGGTGTCGATATTGTCCAACGTAAATCAGCTATTAGCCGGACATTTCATCATCTGCGCCATGCTCGCGATGTATCTCGCTGAAGGGTTTGCCCTTCGGAAGGATTTTACTACATGTGAGAGATCAGTGGGCTGTTGGAATGAAACGGACCATTGGATGGAACTGACTCGATGTTGCTGGGTATTATCACTTCCCCTTGGTCGGAAATAGTGACCACCCTAGTGATTTCTACCGCCGGTCTCCCAGCGCATCTGTATGGGAAAAGTTGGCAAGGTATGAAACTTGTCGGAAATGCCCTTACATTCTGAAGAGACGAACGATGGGCGAGCAGTCCACTACTGATCTCCCCTGCTTGTTCCTTGATTTGCAGGAATACTGCACAATTTCTGAGATTCGGCAGCCTTTTTGTTTGTCTTCCATGCTGAACCTGGTGGTACCATTGGCAGTTTAGTGGCAGCGTGAATGTACCGTGACATATGTGACAGATCACGTTTCGTCACACACGTCACACCGTGGACAAAATTAAATTTTCTGGAAAAAAACGTTCGACCTTTTCCTTTATCTTCTCATCGATCTTCTTCATTTCTCGATAGTCGCCATGGTCTTCAAAGTTGCTGGTGAGTGAGATGGCATCGATGTTGCTGCAGCTGTTGACGCTGTTGTAGACGTTTCTCTCGCTGCCTTTGGCCGCAAAGAGATTGAGATCGCCGAGGTTGGACATATCACTCCTGCATCGATATTGATGATCTGATTTCGTTTGGCTGTAGAATGAGATGCCCGGACTCATGTACCTCCGTCAGAAGGTTGGATCGCCTCTTTTCCGTTCTTCGCCAGCATCTCACTTCATTGGTATATAGTACGGTCCCTCCCAGCCTTTGAAAGGCGCCCGTATTGCTGGATGTCTTCACATGTATGTCTTTTGTATTTCTGCCTTTATGGCGTATCTTACTATGGATTAAGGACCATCCAAACCGCAGTCCTCATCGAGACCCTCACTGCTCTCGGAGCCGAGGTCACCTGGTCGTCCTTGCGTTCGTTATGATCCCCTTTTATTCGAGACGACAACATCGTTTAAAAATGCATTTTGTAGAACATCTTCTCTACTCAGGATCACGCTGCTGCTGCGTAAGTTGAACCGTCTCATCCCGCTATACGTGGATCCTGATACGCCATCAGCATCGCGGCCACGGGTGTACCTGTTTTCGCCTGGAAAGGTGAAACCGAGGAAGAGTACAATTGGTGTATCGAACAGACTCTCGCTGCCTTTCCTGGCGGACAGCCCCTGAACATGATTCTTGATGACGGTGGTGATCTCACCAGCATTGTTCACGAAAAATACCCCCAGTATCTCAAAGGTCCATTCCCCTCAATACGCACTGCTAGGGCATTCTTACATTCTATACATAGGCATTCGCGGTATTTCTGAGGAAACCACTACCGGAGTTCACCACCTTTACAAGGCATTCCGTGACGGCAAACTCAGAGTCCCAGCTATCAACGTGAACGACTCTGTCACCAAGTCTAAATTCGACAACCTTTACGGGTGCCGTGAATCCCTTGTCGATGGGATCAAACGTGCGACAGACGTTATGTTGGCTGGTAAGGTAGCTGTCGTTGCTGGTTTCGGAGACGTCGGAAAGGGCGTAAGTGGTTCGTTGCTACAGGTTGAGTGGTCCTAACGGAATTTTTAGTGTGCCGAGTCTTTGAGGTCCTATGGTGCTCGCGTCCTGATCACCGAGATTGACCCCATCAATGCCTTGCAGGCCGCCATGGCTGGGTACGAGGTTACCACCATGGAGGAAGCTGCTCCTAGGGGCAACGTGTTCGTCACCACGACTGGAAACAGGGATATCATTACTTCTGCTCATTTCCCAGTGATGCCTGAAGATGCCATCGTTTGCAAGTAAGTAACACGCATCCATATGTTCGGCCTGTCATTTTATTGATCTTCCGTTTAGCATCGGTCACTTCGATGTTGAGATTGATGTTGCCTGGTTGAAGTCTAATGCCCAGTCGGTTGTCAATGTCAAGCCCCAGGTCGACCGTTTCACAATGCCCTCCGGACGTCACATCATCCTTCTTGCTGAAGGCCGCCTCGTCAACCTCGGGTATGAACGCATGCAATTATGCTTTGGTTTTTCTAACAAATTCGCTTCCTCTTGACAGATGTGCTACCGGACACCCATCTTTCGTCATGTCTTGCTCGTTCGCGAACCAGACTCTTGCTCAGATTGCCCTGTGGACTACACCCGAAAAGTTCCCTCTCGGAGTTCATATCCTCCCCAAAGAGCTTGATGAGGAGGTTGCCCGTGCCCACTTGGCACAGCTGAACGTGAAATTGACGACCCTGTCCGATGCCCAGTCAAAGTACCTCGACATCCCCATCAATGGTGAGTGCACAGTTCCGGTCATCTATTTCGGAGGTATATTGAAATCATTACGTTTCTAGGCCCTTACAAGGCCGACCACTACAGGTGCGAACGATGATTCATGAAAATATCTCTTGAGCTGACCACCTTCCCTACATAGGTACTAAGCGCATGGTTAGTTACCCGTAAGAACCGATGGCCTCAACGAGCCCTCGCCAATCAAACGGGAAGCAAGGATCTTCAACGTCCTTTTCTGAGCGGACTATCATTTCAACACTTGATTCCCTCAGATACAGTTTATTTATGGCAAGGGAAAACACATACAGTTGATCAGGCAGGTCGAGCGCGCGACGTGGAGTTGGTGGAAGGTGTGATAGTGTAGAAGGCATGTCTAGAAATGGCTTGTTGTATTTTACAAGGCCTCAACGAGCCTCGAAGTGATTGTTGTCAGTGTTTCTTTACTCCAGGACGTGTCTAAGTCCCAAGATCAATGTTTGCGAAGGCTGGTAACGGTAAGTAGATGGATATTTGTCTCCTTATCGAAGGTTGCCATTGTCGGTGAATGTGGCCGCGGTATGGTATCGCTTTTCAAGCTTCGGTACCTGATATCTCCTTTTGATGATGGTATCTCGAGGCGCCTATTGTTGTCCCCTCAAGGTGCGCCTTTGTTCAAACTGTTTATTCTGGCTCAAGTCGTCAAAAGGAAAAGCGGGACAACATTCGTCCAAATTTACTGGTCCGGTCACGGTATGAGGTGAATTACCTTGCACAATGCGTGGACTCTCGTCTGTTCTGGACCAACAGTTGGCATGTCAAACAGACCTGTTTGGTCGAAATCTTCAATCCTGTGCTTCTGCTACCTTCCTTGTGATGTGTTTAATTTTGTCCATCCTGGTGATCGGTGCTGACCAACTTGAAAGATTTCCACTTGAACGGGGCAAGTTCTTTCCGGGGATCTGAAGGGAACATTCTCTTGCTTGGTTGATTCACTGTGATAAATTCAGGCTCCCTTCGAGTTGGCGATGCACGTGTGACTAACCGACTGTTCTTGTCTTTCAGACTCTTTCTGAGTCTGATCAAGTCAGCTCTTAGTAGTTGCCCGATGATAACCACCACAATGGCGCGGCCTCTTACTACAACTGAAGACTACATTGCTGCCGCACATGCTCGTCCTTTCCAGCTACGTTATCTCTGCCGTGGGCGATGCAACGATGAAAGCAATTACCGATGTATATGTGTGCAGCTTGTTACTAGGTCTTGCCCTCCGCATCCGTATATTCTGGTTACGTTGTGACCAGTTCGAACCCAGAGAAAAGATTCCCCAGGTATGCAGTCGAGTAGGACCTGGAGAACCTGGAAGGAAAACCCCGGGATGCTTGACGCGGATCACCTAGCCTTAAAACAAGACGTACGTCCCAGCCCCATGAAGCCCAGACTGCCGCAATCATAGATGCGCACTCACTGAAGCCCTAGACGCCGGACACTATCAGTTTGCCGCGCAAGGGACACAATGAGAACCATAAACAGTCCGAGCACATGTTGCTCATATCATTCCCCTCCTCTTTGCACCGAATTCAGAGAAGCATGCTGAGGGGAGCGCTTTTGCCTTAAACTGTGTGGAGTCTCTTGTTAGTTGCTAATGACAACAAGTTCATCAGGCATTCAAGTTTTTCGAAACTCCTGAACGATTCGGTGGCTTTGATAGACTTAAAGGAATTGGCACCAACCACGTTAACAATGTCATGACGCTCACAGTGTCAGCTCACGCTCCTCCGGTAGCCCACGCACCTGGCTGGAAGCGATGCAGGCTCACGACCGATCCGCACTTGGCCCTACCCAACCCAATCCATATTGCTATCCATGCAGCCTGTGCATAAGTATATAATACTTGTGGCATGAGTAAAGTTATAGATCAAGCTTTGCGGAACCGAGAGATCAAGGTGTGTTCAGAGAATGGGTCAGGATCGTCGTTTGGGACTCTCGAGCGCTCTCTAGCTATAAACATTCATCATGAATGGGACACCATTTAAACCCGATAATTGTAAGAGTTCACGCGATTCCTGCCTCTCTCTCAGACTTAGATGAGTGGAGTGTCTGACACGAACGTATACGATATATCTATTTGGTAGCTGCACGCGAATTGTCAGGTATGTTTTATTTTTCCTCTCCTAGTTTACTGCAACTTGTGTATGCGATGAAGATGCTGTCGAAGCTCAGGTCACCCTCTAATGCAAGGCGCTTGTGGGGAATTAGCAGACAGGCGTTAATGATGCACCAGCGACATTAGGGTAAGCTTAGGCGGCCCTCAAGCCTCGTAGATGTGTAGATGAATAGAATGACTGACAGCCGACGACTGCGCGCGAAGCAATCATGAGGCCATCTAGCTAAAGAAAAACTTGGCTGGATTGATCTATGAGGTCGTTGTTGCATCGCTCCTATCATTGCGTGAAACTTTCCGTTTTACTCAGCCTCTACGAGCCTCCTTCACCTCCCGGTTCGGCGTTGCTACTTTGCTTACTCTTCTTCACATTCTTGTCGAGGGCTGCCGTTGCACTAGGCGTGGGCCAACTGTTGGCATGCCGAATGTACTTTGTGAGTCGAAATCTTCAATCCTGTGCTCCTACTACCTTTTCTTGGGATACAGTGATTGCATCCATCTGGTGATCAGTATTGACTGAAGATTTCCAACTGGACCGGGAGGAATGTTCTTTCCGGGTTTCGGACACAAGCAAAGGTATCTTGGTTAGTCAACTACCATCCACTTGATAAATTTTCATTCCTAGGACGCATGTGCAAGATTTCCGGCACACCCAAGCAGATGGTAAAGGTATCAAAAATAGATGGCGGTGCACGTGGTATTGTTCTATTATTGTCATTCCGTACAACCATGATCATGGACGCCGCGTTCCTGGATACTCACACTCAAGTTCCTACTGACCACTCGAAACGTTTACGACTGATTCTGTCTCAGTATTCCTGAACAGGAATTATGCCTGACGCCTCCGCCTTAGGTCCTATTGATCCTAGCTCGGTTATTGCTCTGGATCCCAGCGGCAATTCTCATGAGGAAAAGGAGATAAGGGCGCCTTGGATAATGCGCAAGCTCGTGGGGGTAAGTGGAATATATGTTAACCTTGTTTGATACGTGTCCTCATGCTACGATTACTGTGATCAGTCGATGACAGGCCGGATCGTACTATCATCGTATGAATCTCTCCGAGCAGCTGGTACTAGTATTATATGTCTTTCACCCTGGGGAGACTCTTCGCCGCTTTCGCTACCGTGCATACGCTTTCGGGATATCGCGGTTCACACTGTAATCGCCGCGACCGTACGTTGATCTTCTCCATCATTCTACGAGCGCTGATGACAATAATCACAGGGAGGCATGGCTGCCGTAGCTGCCCCAGTATGCGCGTTAATCGATGAAGTACCATTCAATATACTAATTAAATCGCTAGGTAATGGGTCCAGTATCCGACCTCGTCGTGGGATCGCTCGGGGATTCCATCCTTGTTGAGATAGGAATACACGCGGGTTTCGAGGCTACCACAAAGATAGCAAATGACCTGGTCATCGATAAGGCAGTGAAGCACATCATACCCACACACTCAAAGCTTCTTGAGACTACAAGCGTTAAAGTGATTCTTATCACACTCAAGTTCAAGCAGACAATGGAAGACGCCGCTCTTGGTTTTTTCAGGAGCAGTGTACATAAGTAAGCCTTACTCGCGATGAAGAGAGATTCTGTCAACGTTATGTTTGCTCAGGGATCCATCTCTTTTCTCCTTGGTGGTGGACTACTTCTCCGTCGAAAAAGGATGGTTTTCACCTTACCTTTTCACCAGTTCGCGCCGGCCTATCATTCCTCGTACAATGCAACCTGATGTTCTCTTTTGTCACGGCCCATTCCTTGAAGGTACTGTAGAGTCTTCCATTTGATCTACTACCATACTTACCGTTTTTACCCTATGTTAGGAGATTATAAAATCGGCGAGACGCTCATGAAAGAATCGGCATCAGTCATTATGTTAACAACTACTCCTCCCCCGGAGGTAAAGGTCGTTCAAGCCGAAGAACCTTCACGCTCTTCCCTTTCAAATCTGAATATACCCTCTTTGTCTCTGTCTAACATTCTCTCTCCGTTCTCGCAGTCCTTCCCCGTCACCAGAGTTGGGAAAAGGTACCAACGAAGGGGATCCTACTCCTCAACTTACACCTCTCCCAGCGCCTCCGTCTCCCAGGCGCATGGTGATTGTCCTAGTGGGGTTGAAGCCCCATAGGAAGCTCTGGACAACAAGCGCGCGCCCGGGAGAAAGCGTCATTAACTATCTGCTTCTAAACGGCTGCCCAGCTATCGTGGTTCCCGTCAAAGTCGGCGCACCGCTCTTGGCGTGGGATGCGCTTACCTTGGAAGAGCTATGGAAGATAGAACTTCCTCCCGAAGGATGCCGAAAGCCCGTCAAGGCAATTCGAAGGAATTGTCAGCGCACTCTATGAGTTCCTGGATTTATGTATTGATTGGGAGAGGGTTGTTCTCGACGAGGGAGAGTTCCGAGCATGACGAAGATGTGAAGAGGAATACTCTCAAGGCAGTCTTTGATGTTACTACTCGCAGGCAGGCTGTTAGAAGCAAGGGGTGCAAGGAAGTCGTGGATGAAGTCGACAAGGAGAGGAGCGGGATTGCAATGTGGAGAATCCCGTAGAACTCCCAAATTATTGTCAGGTATCACTGATTGTGACTATTCTTGGTTGTGTTCCAATATGGAAGCTCTCACAGTGCTTACTTGCACCTGTGCAAATACGATATGGATATCAATCAGACTTTTGGGGGAAACTGTATATTGTGGACTCATCAAAATTCACGCTGACATAAAAGATACGGCAAGGAGGTGATAACTGACTCTACCAGCGGCAATTATTCTATTCTCCTGACATATCAATGACAGCGCTTCAAGCTTTAAGTTACGTCGTATTGAATGCTTTATGCAAGCTATGTATTTACCTTCCCCCAAGTATACATCCGAGATCAGGGAAATAATGCTCTTGATCTGAATGCTTGTCCCAATTCCAACCTCCTTCCACCACAAAATCTCAGAATCATGCTGACTCCAAACTTTCAATGTACCTCTCCAAACTTCTCCATCCCAACTTCAGCTAATCGCGATAAGTCAAGAAACCCCCGGGCATCCCACCCTCTGATGAACCTACGTCTGTGCACCTAAGGCCAGAAGATTATAACGTTCCAAAGCGTATGTGTGATATTGATATTGATGCAGGTGGTTGTATGTATAAGTGTATATGCTAGGTTGGTTGGAAAAATATGCGCAGGCGAAAAATATAGAACACGAAAGAAACCTCAGAGGAACACGTACAACAAGATCAAGCTTGAAAGCCGAAGACAGCACAGGTGAGTAAGTTACAGGCCCCTGGAACCAAAAAAAAGCTCGCCGAAGGGGTATAGTTAGAAACGAATCGACGAATGAAAAACCATAATAGATGGGAGCGACTGCATCGTCGAGTGAAGGGGCGAGTCCTTGCTTGACGTCTAGCTTCCCATAACGAAAACAACGTCATCCTCCTCCTCCTCCTCCTCGTCATCTTTCGCATCTTCAGACTCTACTTCGACCCGGTGCTCCAACTTGCCCACGCTGATAGCACTCTCTTTTGCATCCGGCAACACAAACTGCTCCCACCCGACCATTCTCACGTAGTTCCCAGACGCATGTAGCTCTACCATCATAGAAAGGGTGAGCACATCTCTCACAATTCCATTATCAATACCACCCGTTATTTGCCTAACACGATTGAACGAGGCAATGAGTGATATCGGTATCCATCCTTGCGCGTCCATCTAAAAAACAGTCAAGTGAGAAGATGATCGAAATTTGAGTGACACGAATTTACCTGCCGCCGTAAAAACAAGTCCTGAGCCATATTCTGCACACTCAGATAATATTCGAGCTGTCCAAGCAGGTACCATCTCGTAGAATCGAGTGGAAATGTGAGCACCGTTACAGGCGTCGGCAACGGTGGCGCATTCGGACTATGCGGTTGTACTGGCACACCACTCATGGGCAAAGGCGGTGGCAGCCCATGCATACCCGGATCCTGATGCTGCTGATGCGGTTGCATAATACCACCTGGATATCCGTCATACCCAGGATCGAAGTATTGCGGCTGAGGCTGAGGCGGTGGGTACATATGCCCATGGGTAGGATAATATCCATCACTGTACCCCAACCCATCGCCTACACTGTTAGCAAACTGAGGAACGAAGTGCTGCTGCTGAGGAGAGTAACCAGGCGCCTGTGCACCGCCACGCTGGTATCCCCTCCAAGCGCCCCGCCCTCTAGATCTCCATCCTCGCCCTCTCCTCTCACCATTATAGTATCCCTCTGTCAAAACCGTTATTATGGCTACCGAAAAAGCCACCACGCTTTCCTCGGGGAGCGTACGGTGACCGCTCCCGCACGTCCCCATTTTCGTTCCAGCCATCGCTAGCCCCATTTCCACTGATAGCACCGTTTACAACACCATTTTCGTTCTCCATTTCCCTTTCCCTTTCCCTTGCTCGAATCCTATCCATTTCGCGCTCTCGCTCATATTCCCTTCGCAATCTTTCCTCCCTCGTCGTGCGCACCGCGTATCCACTCCCACTGGCACGTCCAAACCCGAACCCAAAATCCTTGACCGCCCAGTCCTCATCCGTGTGATTCGCCGCATCGATCTCGACAGGCGACATTATTGAGGACTGCGTGTGACGATGATGAGACTGGTATGTGTCCACTGGAGCCTCAACACCATTCGGTGCTGGTCCCTGATCGTACACCGGTCCGTTCATTATCGGAGGTATTCCAAACTGCGGAATTTCAAGGACAGATAACGTTGGATGAGGAGGATAGTGCTCGTTTCGGTTTCCATTTTCACCAACCTCCTCGACGCTCTCCTCCCGCGTAACCTGATTTTCTTTTACTATTGAGCCTGTTGTTCCGAATTCCCACCTTTTTTCTGTGAGATCTATGACGTCTTCGTCGTTTGACCTTTTTTTGACACCAATTGAGAAGCCGCTAAAAGCTCTCTCCAGTCCATGTGCTACTGCACTATCGGTCGAAGGCGGAGCGGGGCTCGGCGCCTGACTACTACCTGGCATGCCAACACTGCCAAATACCACTTTTCTCGATGGCTCGGATCCCTCGCGCCCTAGTGCAGGTCCGGCAACAGCCTCGGAATCCTCCGGTCGTGGGGGTTTCGTCGCAGCGGTGCTATTCGGCGGATGGTCGGTCGACGGTGTGCCGTTCGGCGCTTGATGTGGCTGAGGTTCAATTTCTGTTTGGGGAGGAGGTTGGAGGACTTGAGAAGGAAATGGTTGGGGAGGGGGGTATGCATATCCTACATACTCTGGCGTATGATGACCAGATCCTGATGTATGGTAGCCATTCCAGTACAAGTATGGTTGAGGCGGTGGCGGCGGATACATAGAATATGGTGACGGCAAGGGTAGATGCTGCTGATGCGAGGGGCTGTGATAGGTATAATACGGTGCACTGACTACAGGCTGCGGTGAAAACGAATAGGGTGAAGGAAGATTTTGTGTTTGAACTTGCGGAGACGACCGCGAGGTGCTTGCTAATTCCTCGTCCGGTAATCGCCTCCCTCTAGGAGGTCTTGGGCTTGAGGCCTGACTCTGGACGCGAGACTGGGTCCGACTCTGGGAACCACTTGGGGTATTTCTTACTGAATTGGAATGTGAAGGATGTCGTGAACGAGGGTGAGACTTGGAATGAGAGGTGGCGCGGAGTGCGGCGTCGGCAGCAGCTTGCAGCTCCTCAGCAGGTATTGGGATCCATTTTGGCTTTTCGTCTGTGATGCACAACAAAGAAATCAGGAAAAATAGGATAGGTATGCTAGGCCACGCGCACTTTTTGTCATCGGCCTTGGCTCGCCAAAATTACTGATATGTCGTGTCGACTCACTTGTTCCCGACTGTGACTCCTCCTCACCTATAAGTATGTTTCATAATGATTTGTGAGTACTGATTGGAGCTTAATACGTACCATTTGTTGTCGAGCTGCTATGATTCGACACCGATTTTCCCACCTCTGGCCAGCTGTCGCCATCGTCTGGTATTGGCTGCTGTGGCATCCGAACCACAAACGGGTCATCATCTTCCACAAAGTTCGGTATCGATGGCTTGAGAGTTGTCGTTCGCGAAGCCGCCATTTGCTCCTTGCGGACGTTCCAGACATTTACAGCCGGCACTTTCGCGTCAGTGGTATCGAGTGAGGGCGAGGGCGGTCGTGTTCCCAGGATAATGGACGAGCTCGGTGTTGTCGAATTTGAGTTGGTTTTGGAAAAGGAAGTAGAGACTGTTGAGGTCGACGAAGCGTTGCTTGTAGTTGCTCGTTGAACGTCGTTTGGTGAACGAATATTTTGGGCTCTCCTGGCGAGATCGGCATACGACAGCCTTGAAGGGGTCGCCATGGATGTCGATAGAATACAATTTCTTGATTCCGGACGTACAGGAAGGAGAAGATTATGAGAGGAGGTGGTGGTCGCTGCACAAGCCGTGATTTGTGATTGTTTCCCCCGCTCTTCCAAGAAAAGATGAAATACGCCCCTATTTCTAAACTCGAACATTATTATTTCCTATTATTTCTCGCAAAACTCTAACTGGGAAGAGCATTCTTGCTCTTATTATATGAAACAAAGCGACGCGATGGTACCATGATAGATGTGGATGAGTCACCGCCCATCAACGTCCAACTTTTAGGATGAATAGTGGTACCACAAATGCACATTCTGACCACCCAAAATCCCCACAAATATGCTGTCCTGGAAAACTAGATGCATAGCAAATATTCTGAACAACTGAGAGACACCCTGCCTCAAACACCGATAACAGTCATTTCATACACCATTATGAACACCATCGGAGATGCTGATGATATTCGGAATTCCCAGTAGGTTGTTGCCCAGATAATATCGACAGAGTATCCTTGTTGCCCAAGAAGTAATCAGTTGGATCCAGTGATGGTCAACCGCAAAAACACGGAGCTGAAGCAGATGTATAGAAACCAATAAACCAGTACTATCGCGTATATACAGACAAATACCAAGCCAAGAAAGTTCGGGGGATCAATGGGATATCTACGGTAAGATCAAAGTGTCTATGCATTTGTGGCGCCATAAGAAGGAGGTGCTTGATACGGCGCAGAGTTGAGAACGGGCTGATAGTAACCGTATCCCACATCTAAGCAACATAAACAACATGATTAGCAAGTCTACTTCGATACCAAGAGATGCATTACGCACATTCGTACCCCCCCGGACCATACAACTCTTCCGCCTTGATTTTTTTGTAAATAAGCCAGAAAGCGTGCTGTGCAGAGGAATTGATTAGGTCTCAATACAACGTACCCGATGCGTAGCTGCGCTTACAATGTGCCCAGGGAAAGCGCCGATGCTGTACATACCTCAATCAGTCCGGGGGGCAAGTCGGCACAAGTATAACTCACAGAGTCAAGAGGAAGTTGATGAGAAGGTCAGCACCACAGCCAGAGACGAAGAAGGCAGCTGCAGGCGGAAAGAGAATAGCAACCTGTAGTAACCCAGAACCGTCAGCTGCGGCCGGCCAAGGAAGAAAATGCCTTCCTGACAATAATTAAAAGGATATCCGAGGACTTGACAGGCATCTTAGGCAAAGAAAGAGGCAAGGAAGCTAGAGGAAGTGGTGGTATGATACAAGTTCGAATCCAGAGCGCGCATGCGGTCGATGTACGTCATGCACGTGGTGATCCCCAGGTGCTCCTTGACAAACTAAAGATGGGACATTTTTTCACAATTTCCGCCTTTCCTCATCTATGGATCTGGATAACGACACCTAAATATGATGCACCAGAAGTAATTCTACAGAGAAGATATAATATACAGTACTAAGGTAAACTATTTGAGCAGAGGGAAACAGGAAAGCAAAACCACGAGATATATGAATAAATAACCGTATAAATCTTTACAAAATATTGGTTTGCGCCAATGTCTTGACGAGTATAACTTCTTGGACTACTTGAAGCATTACAGGTCAAATAATCCTCGCAGATATTGGCAAGTTCGTACCTTGTGTGATGACCAAAGACGTAGATTCAGTATCCTATCAATTTGAGATACTAGTCAGGGGAGGATCCGGTCAAAGATAAATCTACTACGTACTATTGCACATGTCAGATGCGCATGAACCTTCCTTTTCTTTGGGGTTGACTGGTTATGCATTGCCGTAAAAACATCCAGCAGATCTGTTGGGAGGTGGTTCATCAGGATCTAGGCCGAGAACAACAGAAATGTTACATACATTTGGAGACATGCTTAGCTTCATTCGGCCTGTCCTTATAGTTGGGCACGTATTTGCTGAACTGTACGCCAGAGTCAAGATTTGCTTCGAGTATATCCATCTTGTTCAAGAACAAGATCAAGTCAACAGGGGCGAGCAGCTTATTACTGCATATCATCTTCCACAGTTTGAATGAATCCGCCTGGAGTGAACCTTTAATGTTGAGATTCCTAAGGATACTATGCGGACGGACTTACCAGCCGGTTTACGGTAGCATCTTCAGCCAAGACTTGATTGAAGGCTGTTGGATATTTCAGCTAACTAAACGGTGCTATGAGGACGAATCCGTCCAAACCTGATATAGGTGCTAGAAAAATAATCGCCGTAACTAAAGACCATGCGCTTTGTCAGTATCACCGTGCCTAGGCCCGAACACAAAGGCGACGTACCATCATCAAAGAACTGTGCCCACTTCGCTGATAAGAGAGATGTGTCAATACTATTATTAAGTGAAAGTGACACAAAAATAATGACCTCGTTGACTCCGACTGCCTCCAACATCGTATATTATCCAATGTTTCCCTTCTGGACCTGGCGGAAAAACACCTCGACCCTGAATCAGCGAAGGAGATCTTGATGATCATACCACCATACACACCTGTGTCCATTGGTATACGATGCTCCTCGGGCCCTATCGTCTTTACCCTTGCGCGTAGTATATCTTCTATAATTCCAGTTAGTCATGCCAGCACGTAGTAATCGACCAAACGACTTGCGAGACGTAGGCACATAGCTCTGTTTTGATATTCTTTCGACGTCTTCTAGGAAGCTGCGGAGAAAAGGACCATGTGTTAACATTACTGTTACGAACCTGAGCAATTGAATACACTTACAAACCCGGCTGGTGAACCAAAGATATATCTCTCTTCGCTAAGCGATTTTGCACCTCCCTCGCCCTCCATAGAGTCTGGATATCATCCACACAGGCTTCCAATATCCGCCTATTCTGTTCGTCCTCCATCTTTTCCTGTGCAGACCGGCCGGAGGAGGAATCAGCTGGTTTCCGAAGTTTCATGAACCCCATCCAGCCCGAGCCAGATCGTACAGAGACTTCGGACGCTTTGGCAGGGTGATACCGGGGAAATTCCTTCAGTTCGTCGCCGCTGACGACTGGGAGGAATAATGAACCAGATATACGATGCATCAAAGAGTCCTCAACTTGCTTCAGTGGCCGTAGACTGAACTGTATTCGTCGCAGGTTATCGGGTTCGGAGGAAGGGGACATGGAGGGTGATGAACTTGTCGGTCTTTCAGATGATAGAAGGTCTAATATGAAGTTGACAGAACGGACAAGGTTTAGATGGATTATAGGTCGCCATAGTTCAGCCTAAAGTATAGCTTCGATGAGCAATGGGTTCAAATATACGACGAGGGTAGCTACATACCTCGGCCTGAAAAGTTTTCGGTGCGAAACGCAGCTGAAAGTTCTTCAAGATGGTAGACTTTCCAGATTCTGCCTGGCCTACATGTACATTCTCACAGTCAGAAAGAGCGGGCTCCAAAAGCGCTGAGGCGACGTACCTAATAAAAGCAGCTTCACTCCATTCTGCTTCTTCCTCTGCTCTTTCTCGACGCTGATGGCACGGTCTATTGCATCACTGACCTTCTGTGCCTCTCTCTCCCTCTCCAGGCGCGCCAAACGTTCCTCTTCATTAGCATCCGGTGGATTGGGCGGTGGCCAAGGTCCGCCGCCGTCTGTCGAAGTACGCCCAATCGTCGCAATACTAGGCATGAAGGGGAAAAGCAAACACGCTATGGAAAGCAAGCGAGGGTCCGGTCAAATCATAAGCTCTCATGGTACATGATCGGCTGTTGGTAATTTGAATTGAGCTGGTTTCTGGATTAAGGTTACACCCGAGGGTCGGCTTTTTGACTTGTGAAACACATTCAATTGCCCGCGGCACCACCGCCTTCCACCTTCTTGTGCAGAGAAAAATGAATGAAATGTAAGACAACCCTTCGAGTGTGCGGGTCGAGTGAGTGGGTCCGACTCGGAGACCAAGAGTTCCCCTATTAGTCCGACCCTAGCGGGCCAAAGGGGCACATGGTATTGAACGCGTGTGGAGCCCAGATAGTGGTGTGTAAAATGCAGCTCGGAAAAAAGGTTCGAGTTCCATTTAATCGTTGGACGGTCAGGGAAGAATTGTTAAGCGAATTCTGCTGCCAATATTACTCAGGTGCGCGCGCGACGCGTAAGCTCGTGAATAACGCGCCGGCACCAATAGCTAGGATACAATGTTCCGGTAGATCAGAAAGCCTCACTACACGGCGTAAATAGAGCATACCTTGTGGAACCTTCGCATCGCCATACCATATCGAGCCAATACTCTGGACTCTTTTGGGAGAATTCGTCCTACAAGACTCAGATGATCGGAAAGTCGAACTCAGGACTCGTATTCGAGCGATGTGCAGTCGGCACCGCAAGAACAGGAAGCGAGACTGCACATTTGTCGACTTGAAAATTGTGGCGCATCAAATTAATTGTGATCTGCGAAAGTCGACAAGTTTTATTCCAATGTCACAAGTATAACTGGTGTTATCTCACTTGGGCAGTAAGAGGCAGGCATAAATCCCGCAACTTACGGAGGCAGATATGATGGCTCGTGAACGCCTGAATGATGGGTCGATCCAGCCACAGCCCCATTCAATTAGACTTGATTGCTGTCAAAGTTGAGTCACCATGACTTTTCTAGATTTGACACCGTTGAAAGGCTCCTTGACACGAAAAGGCACGATTCAATAACCTCGAAACGCATCCGCACAAAGAATGCCGCTCACCAAAGATGACCATGTACTCTTCTGGAAGCCACAGCAGCCTAAGTACGTCTTTAATATGGGGTTCACATTGTTCGTGGTTGACCTGCACGTATCCTAGTGGCTGGGCTGGCCAATGGTACCCCTCTCCATTCACCCTTCCAATAACCGTCTCAGAAGAGACCGAGACACTTACATTCCCTACGGCCGAGCATTGGATGATGTTCCAAAAAGCACTCCTTTTCAATGACATTCCAATTGCTCGGCAAGTACTTCTTACTTCCGGCCTTGCAGCGGTGAAGGCTCTCGGCCGACAAGTCTCCGATTTTGACGATGATATCTGGAACCGCGAACGAAGTCGGATTGTATTGGAAGGAAACCTACATAAATTTGAGCAGAATCCTGAGCTGAAAGAGTTGCTACTCGGAACTGGCGAGAAGGTTCTTGTAGAGGCCAGTCCCCGGGATCGAATATGGGGAATCGGATATGGAGAGAAAAATGCGATGAATAAGAAGGACCAGTGGGGATTAAACCTGCTCGGAAAGGCCTTGATGGAGACGAGGAGACAGCTAAGGGCCAAAGCTTAAATTGAACCTGACAATTGAATTGCGTAGCAGTATGCGCTTTGTTTAGTCGTAGCCGACTGACTTTTCGCGGCTTGTCTGGACCCAGTTAACGCTCAGATAACATAGGTACCTCAATACCGATCTAAATGTATATTGAACTTTACAGAATCAAGATGTGAAGGCAAGGCCCAGAGCCTAGCCCAAGCCCAGTATTTCCGATCGTTGTCAGAGGCCACAACAAAGCCGCCGGTAGTGTTTGTATAGTCAAATAGGCGAAGAATGATGTACCGCCGGACACTTTACCGATTACTTGAATAGACCAAACAGAGTACAAAAATTTAAGTCTTGTACACAGCTGTGAAGAGAGATAGGATCATTCGAGCTGGCATTGTCTGAACAGATTGCCGAGCGTTTGAAACAACGGGTCCTAGGCATTAGAATCCATAGTTCGTGAACGAGAAGGCTGTGGGTTGTGCACATTGCCCCGCTCCTCAGAGGCGGCTTCAATGCGCTTCGCATGGTTACATTATTCCAACCTTCCCACGATATGGACGGGTCCCGAATCTCAACGTGGGGACATTCCAATCAGTGGTCCTGGACGGGGATTTGTGTCGTTTGCGCGACCATGCTGCTGTAGTTCGGGAGTAGGCACTAGACACGATGGTTGCGCAACGTACACATCTGTCCGGACACTACTGAGAGATTCATTGCGTCGTAGAGTGTAAGTATCGGATGATACAAAGGGAACACTGACAGGCATCCTTTATATAATGCGCAGCAACATCTTGTCAATCTGTACAGTGACTGGTTCCTTCCATTGGGCTGGAAGATGGAAATTCTAGATAAGTCACCGTTAGGACTGGCCAGCCTTGGCTGAATTCCCATCCCATCGGCGCAATGGGAACATTTCGACAGTGTGAAGCGGCACGAGCGATTCACGTGATCGCGGCTGAGACGAGTACTGGGTAGACCTGGAAAGATGTTGGTCATTTGCAAGGCACATACCTTTGGTTTGGGGCTTGATACTCACGATCGTGGCCAGTGATAGTATTGAGTAAGTAGTTTTAGCGACCGGAGTTTGAATATCCCGTACATTGAAGGTGAATGTTCTCACGCCGTTCACTTGTTGTGGCGCCCGGCTTTACGACCTCATGTACGAAAATCTAGGCGTCTTTGCTGGCATGTTCTTGTTTAAATATCCTTGACTATATCTGATGCATATCCCATACGAGGCATCAAATACAAATGCATTCCCATTGAAATATTGGAAACAAAACCAAAAATTTGATACCCCGGGTGGTAGGCTATGGCGAAGTTGGACAACCTTAAAATTTGAAGGAGGAAGATGAATTCCATTTCAGCGACATCAAATGCAGATGTGACCTGAGTAGCCTCAATCACCGGCTCCCCTTGTTCTGCCGCATCACTCGTTTCATACGTTTAGCCTGGAGAGGTTAGCCGCAATCGTCGTCGGCATGACTGAAATTGTTAATTAGACTCAGCTCTGTGATAGTACTAATAACGTATCCGATGGTCAGTCTTTTAATCTGCATGGTCGTCGAGAGCTGTCAGTTCCCGGCAAAACTGAGGTCGAGTTAAATCTTCGTCCGGGAAATCGTTTGTTTTCGTGAATACTTAAGAATTGACGAGGTGGGCACGGACGAGAACACGGTATTCGTAAAAGCCATCATCAGAGATAAGAGGGATGTCATCTATCAACAACTCCACTGCCTAAGCCTGGCTAGAGTTACCCGTGTTCTCTCCGATTATATCTAATACTACAGGTTCAGGAAGCACAAGTCGATTCAGCAGGGTTGAATCTAATAGGGAACTGTAAGTAACTATCAGCGAGGTGAAAGGAGTCTCCGTACGAAGTTGCAACTCGTATTCTATGCCTAAAAAGAAGTGAGATACCCCCAAATGCCGCCTACGGACAAGGTTATTCACTCAAATAACTTAGACAGACAGAAAACAGATACGCTTACGCGTATAGGGTATAATCCAATGCTCACAGCGCAGCCCCGGCGGAATTGCTGACGTCTCCTGCGCCTTGGATACCATGTAAGATCAATAGGCAGATCGATGGAGACAGAAGCCTCACTATACATGATTGGCAAAACTGTTGGCTTCTCCGAGGGCATGAACCAGACTTCTTTTGTGCATTTGTGCAATATCTGGGGTGAAGACCAAAAGATTGTCATGGATGGTATCCTTCGTCATCAGGTATCGCGGAAAGCACCTGAATATTAATGTCGCAAAAACAAAAGATATTACGTGTAACGCGGGTTATTGGGAATAAAATCCTGCCTCTTAATGAAGGCGCCCGGTCCAGAGTCAAGTATCCCGGCAGCGTAGATGGCCTGAAGTGAAAACCTGGTAGTTGGGTGCATGTGCACCGTCATTATATACCAGTCGGCTTCAGTATTGATCTTCACAAAGTCAGCAGCCACTCCGGCGTCTTCATAGCAGCGATGAAAGCGCTTTCGCTTTCGAACGCGTCCTTAAAAATGTTCACTAAGGTTCTTCTGTCCGACATTGACGCCCTATGTTACACGCGTGCCTACAAAATATTATACGATCAACTATATCTAGCACATGAACAAGCCTGAAGTCGTACCAGATGTAAGGAAGCGTACCGTTTGATAGAAACCGTCATCGACGGCAGGATCCATGAAGGCTGTCACAGAGAAGTCACTAAATATCGTTTCTAGCCGCCAAACCACGAGTATTAGGATGCAGGTTTAAACCTATAAACTGTCTGGTGACAATATTTAGATCAAAATTAGTATGACCCCACTGTTAGCTCTAATTCTGATAGTGAGAGGTGTACCGATAGGAATTTTCAGAGTTATCCAAGGTGTTTCAAAGGATCTGATTCTTGACGTCAGGCTAAGCCAGTATATCCGTCGCCTGTTTGATAGAAAATGCTTGACAAGAGATTAGGAGAAGTCGGTTATACGGCTGACCAACGCTGTCGAGTCCAAGAAAGAAGAAAAGCAGAGACACAGAGAGTATACTATATACGGAAAGTCCGTTCAAGACAACACTGCAGATACACTTTTCGAACTCCAGGAAAAACTTGGCGGCAGAACGGGCTTTGTCATCGGATAAAAGAAAATGCGACTGCGGGACTCGGATTGGGCGAATACGAGTGCGATTGAACTAGCTTAGCGAGCTCAAACCATATCTTATTCATCGTGCACAATATCCCAGATCTGTATTCAGCGATGCATAGAACTGGCAATCCTTGAGCAGACATCCTGGAAATGCGCCACACTTGACAGATGTCAAAGTTCCACGGTAGAAGAGAGACGAGACCCTTCCTAGACAGAATACATCAGCTGGACTGATATTTTTGACTGATCGAAAAAAAAATAAAGCGGCCTTCCACGTCAACCTATGTGGTACTGAATTGAAAGTCGTCCGAGTCACTCTGCTTGAGATGGAAATGCCGAAATGATCTTAAAACGAAATTTCCGATGAAAAAAGCCAAGCAAGGTATGTCAGTCACCGATCAAGGACCACTAGTAGCCGCTAGTCCGCAGTGCGGTACCGTCGAAGAGCCTTGTTGGATGTTCGCGATGTTAGGATGAAAGAGGATGAAAGGCCCCGTAGCAACCGAATTTGACACACCGGCAAGTTCGGGCCGGGATATTAATTCCTTCTGCAGTCAAAATCCGTAGCTTGCCCTTGGCTCGTCCGTAGCACCTTTTTTTCCGAGTATTAAAATTATTGTGCAAGTGCATGTGTAAAGCGGTATCTACATGCGTACGTCTTATGGTATACGGTGTCCGTTTATTCTATCTTGACTTCCTCCTCGCGTTCTCTAATTTCTAGAGCAGGAGGCCGTTTGTCTATTGTTGACATGTTGTCGTCCGAATCGATGTCCTTCGCAGCCCTTGGCGTATCTTCATCGCTCCATGCGGTCTCCTCTCCCTCTGTCCATGATCCACTCGAGGGAAATGTTTCGCCGTACTTGACGACCCTCATCAATTCACCCGGAGGTACGATTTTTGCAATATCCAAGATATGAGGATGACCGCCGTCAAGGATACCCACGCGTTTCATTGACAGCAGCTGAAGAGGCCGTCAGAAGACGTCTTTGCTTTGAGTAAACAAAATAACTTACGTTGTGGGCCGCATGCGAATGGTCATACACGCCGCCAAAAAATGCCGTGGTTGCATCCCTACCAATGTATCTTGCTAGCAACGGTTTTCCGCCGGGATGATGCTCGAGGAAACCAGACATGTCGTGTATAAAACCCGAGACAAGAACGAGAGGTCGTTTAGTAGCCTGTTTTTGGACTGAAAGATGAAAAGATCAGAATCAGTCATGGCGTTGGAATCTAGGAAAATACCTACAACTCTCGTAGGAGACAACAGGTAACTGTTCCGCGTGATTGCACCACTCGATGCGTTCTTGCCTTTCCCTAAGACGCTTCATCTCCATCAGGAGCTCTCCCTTCTGGATTTCGTTGGAAGGGAACATCTATAGGAAGACATTAGCCAGAATCACAGAAGACGATGGACGGAAAGAACCTTTAGTTGCGAAGCAAGTCCGACACATTCCATGAGCCAAATGAACCACTTGGTAGGATCATATTGGTACCATTCGATAGCATTCCGATAATCTGTTGGGAACTAGGAAGAAAAAGGATGTCATCTTGAGGTAACCTTGGAAAGAGATAAAAATAAAAGAACCAACCTGGTGATGGAAATTATGATATCCTTCGCCGACAGTAACAATCGCAGTAAGAACATGATTCTTGGGCGTGTGTTTGTCGTCAAAGGGGGCATCGCCGATCCAATGAGCGAGAGAGTTGACACAGAAAGTCGACTATAGAAAAGATCTCAACAAAAGAACATAGCGACAGGGGCGGAGAAATGACGAACGTGGTGAACAACTAACAGCCTGACGATACCAGCGTATACGAATCCACCTTTCGCGTCTCCCCAACCAAAGTGAGCTATTGCAGTAGGGACACCGAATGCCATGATAAAAATGAGCCAGACAAGATTACGGTGTTGCCACTGGAGCAGCGGATCCTTTCCAAGGTCGCTGACGTCGGCTTTGCCGATCTTTCTCCTTGGCCTCACCAACATCCAGCCTATATGGCTGTAAAAGAATCCTCGCAAGGCATTGTACGGGTCCAGATCGGTATCGGTGTACCTGTGATGCGCTCTGTGGCCTCGGCTCCACCACTTGACGGACCCCTGCACTGCGCCAGAGCCGCCAAGAAGGAGGAAAATTTGTAGTGGAAGGGTGGCGTTGTAGGAACGGTGAGCCCAGAGCCTGTGGTATCCAGCGGTGATGCTCAAGCCCGTGTAGAAATAGTAGGCAAATGCAAGAAGGAACGTAGGAAGACGTAGAGTTGTGGTTAGCGCACCATAGAGAGAGGCGACCGGCACAATGGTGAGCGCAAAGAGTGAGGTCCACTCAACTTCGCGAAAAAAAGAAGAGCTCGTTATGGGGGGAAGTGGTGTGGTAGTGAGCAAAATATGTTGCACGTAGTTTTCTGGTACAGAAAGAGGATCTTCATATGGATCTTTCGCTGCTCCTGGATGGACAACAGAAGACTTGTCGGAGGGGCAAGGTATAGTGACCATTATCGAGGCCAGATATCCATAAAACTGGAGTAGTTGGGGGAGAAGATGGCGTGTCCCATTTAAATAGTAGTGAATATTATTGAATGTCCGTCGGTCTAATGCCGTCGGCGCTCAGCCCCCAGGTCCACGATGATCATGTGACCGTCGAGAAGCTGCAGATGGAAATTCGAGCAACTCAGGTTCGGACTCGGACTCGGACTCGGACTCGAGCTCGAACTCTCTTTCATTATGACGACGTATTCATGTTTTCACGCATTCAGATCTCTACTTGGCAACTCGGATCTGTATGCATAGCCGTGGACGGGGACTGAAGTCCTGGGGGTTCCTCTTACTAGTACTAGTTGGGTATTACTAGGGTACTAGGTCCTTCGTGTTAGGTATTGGCAAGTGTTTCTGTCGGTCGTCCGTACTTGGAGTCTCGACGAAATAAACAAAATGCCTGTACCATTCTTATTGCCATTTACCGAGTCCTTCCTTCCGTCCCGCACCCACGGCCTTCCTTACACAGGTTATAATGCCAGTTCTTTCCTGATCAGCTCAAACCACGGTACGGACGCCTTTAGAATGCGACCTCTTAAAGCATCGGCGCACGCGCGCGGTCGAACTGAGCCCAATTCTCATTCACATTTTGGACTCACCAACGTACTGGTACTTGTTCCACCGCTTGCTCTAGTTTCCTGCCGATTTCCGGTGCCTTCTCTAGGCGACTCAACATTGCGGAGCAACGGATATGACTGCAACTTCAGAACTGAAATGATACCGATATCCTTCTGGACAAACTCGATGTGAAATGGACTCAGAGTATCCCGATACCCCTAGAGGCATTTGACACATTTGTATTCAATAAATAGTCATCGGCGAAATTATTCCGAATTCTATTATCACTATAGCGTCGACGGACCTATTTCAATGTTATACTGACTGGTGCGCGTTTTGTTGAATCTAAATATATACAGTTTTTGGTGCTCGCTGTGGGTCACGGAAGCGTAAAGTTTCAAATATTGGAGGTTCAACCACTATGTGAAGTACTCAACTGTGAAAGGACAAGCCATCCGTTTGTTCATAAATCATTAATCATGATTGACTTAGATGACAGGTTTCTGTTACTAGTACTGACTTGAACAAGCTTTCTCGGAGTCATATGCAATCGCTTCATTTTACAGTAGTGTACACGTTGTTATCATAAGAACAGTTAAAAAATCCTTCCGAGACGTACGACGAGCTTGTCCGCTGTTCGCCCAGAAGTTAGGAAAAGGTAGGTGCACTACAGCAACTACTGTTGTTATCCCCCAGGCTGCAGTCGATGCAACGCGCTATATTTTTGTGACATAGACCGCATGTAGCGTAAAAGATGCAGTCACCGCAGAACTCTTTGTCACAATACTCGCAGAGGATAGAGAGCCGTTGATTCAGTGAACATGTCCTGCAAAGAGCCGAGTGGCATGTATGACATGTCCAATGAAACTTCGGCACATCTCCGGCTGATTTGTTTCGGGCTACGCCTCTTGGTTTGCTCCCCTTGATAGTCGACGATGGATTATTATAACCTTTCTCTCCTTTGCCAAACTCGTTTTGGCACAGTAAACACCATTCAGACTTTCCACAGCCAAAGCAACGATTTATGATGTCACAGTCGTTGCACAACGCATCAAGACAGCGTAGACAGTTCCATATCGGACTGATCTCCTTGGACGCGCAAAGAGCGCAAATCCAGGAGCAGCCCGTACAGCAGGCCTCTCCGGGAGTTCCGCAATCTGGGCACACCACCATCTTGCAAGATCCCATCCATGTTTCGAGGACTTTCTTGGACCAGCACTTTTTCGAGGCATATTTGGTCCACGCAGAATGGGAAGAGCAAGGCGCAAGAGCTGAAGAATTTGCACGAAGAATGCATGTCTGGACCAAGGAAGAAGGACCATCATCTATTTCAACAGTAGAACTCGACATTGCAAGCAGAGGACGGCCAAGACACCATTCCCAGTCCTTCTCGCAGGTCCATGTCTTGCACTGTTTGACAGGACACGTCCTCAGCTTTGCGTCGTTGCCAGTGCCGATGCGACTCCGGCAATAACGAGTATCCTGGTGGTTGATACAATATTTGAGTCCATCGATGGAATGGCTGGGACAAGAGGAGACTACGCAGCAGAGAAGACCACAGTTGAGACATTTGACGAGTTCCTCTGGTCCCTTGCATACCGGGCAAGTATATGTAGGTTGACTGGGGAGATCAGAGTGTTTGATAGCTCCATGCTCCACGAGGCACTTATAGAACAACTACGAAGTAGGCTGAGCAAAACATTTCGGTATGAACTGAAGCGACGGCTCACCAGACTCACCTCCTCCTTCTGTCGTCTTTCCTCCTGCTCACTTTGCCTCTTTTGTTGCCATATGAGAAGCCTACTCTGCCGAGTTCCTCGAGCATGTTTGAAAGCCGCATTCTTCAGCTCCCGAAGTTGTTTCGCAATCTCGTCTGGGGAAGCGATTTCCTCATTATTGAAGGCGTCAAATACTCGTTGCTGGTCCACAGAGATCACAAAATGCGTGCGCCAAGGCTGGCCATATCTCATTTCGTCCAGTTCGAGGGTGACAGCGATAGGTGTAGATGAGACCCCTTCGACTCTGTAAGTAAAGGAAGGCTTATACGACCTGTCGGAAAGTACGAGATGATTCTAGCAATCCGGCATCCCGGCATGCTGAGTAAGAGATTGGTAAGAAAATGATTGTACGGAAATTACTAAAATAGTCGTAGTTTAGTATAAATATGAGAAGTCAATGGGCAAACTCTTCACGAGTTTGTAACCCAGAGACTAGAGGTCTCAATAGCATTGTACTAGGATACAGTCCAAAATACAACACGACCGTCCGTCGAACTGAAGAGGAACGACCAGGCCTCGACATCGGTACACAGATTGTGCAACTTCAAGGATAATTGGCTTGAGTGAAAGAGTGACTATATAGGAACCTTTCCCCAGCCGTCTTGGGGCTCATGATAATGTTGGCGAGAGACCAGGTTAGGTCGGCCGGCGACAAAGCCGATTCAAATTTCTAATCTCCGATTCTGACCAACTGCTCGGAGTCAATGTAACCTTGCTTGTTCACTGCCTCCTTGGCACGCAGACGCCCGTTGATCTGGATATAAAAATACCTGGACTTGGATGAACAGAGTGAAGGCTGACTTCTTCGGTACAGGTTTCACAGCAGTACTCTGTCATTGTAAGGTACCAATCGCACTGCTGCCGCGATATCAGGGGAAAATGGTATGGCCTTCACGCGTAAGTAAGTAATCGGTAGATTATTTTAAATACATAGCTCTCAATTCTTATTCTACAGATGCTACCCGCAGAGGATAAGAAGAGACGAAAGTTTGAGAGCACAGTCACCATCGAGTCACTCGGTGCCGAACATGGTCACATGCGTTTGCAATGTACAGCGCGCTTGCACGAGTCCGTGGGAATATTAGCGCGCCACCCATTTAAACGCGCGCGTCGCCTTATTTACGTTTTTCCTCAAACTTTGTCCGTTATACCATGCCTCCATCGCCAGAGCAAGTGGCTTTGGCCAAGAAACAGCTTGGTATCTCTCCCTCTGCACCAGTACGACCCTCGATTCCTCAGTTCATTGCATGGGGTGCTAATGTCGGCGCTTGTAGAATACAACCGTGCCAGCAGCATATATCGACGAGCTCACGAACCACTTGAAGCTTTATCCTCACGACATCAATGTAAGCCTCATCTATCGGTCGGTTCTCCTTTTTCCCGATACGTTTCCTCTAGTTTCGTATCGTGACAGAACCAAACCGCGGCTGTGAGCACCCTAATCATGATAAGCCTCGATCCATGAGGTCTAATAACCCTCTTTTTTTAATCCTAGACGGAAGATTAACTTGCCTGGAAAATGGATGCAAAGGCCCTTCTATGCCTCTCGAGCGCAATGTCAAGCTTGCAGACGGAGGGAGGAGCATAGGAGTTGGGTCCCTGTCAATGTATCGTGTAGGCTCTTTTTCGGTCTCCGAGTGATACATGCAAACTTTTTCCATGCAGTTCCACATTGCCCAACATCCCACACATACAAAAAGCCGATATGCCAGGGTCAGCTCACTATCCTCGGCGCCACATGTATGTCGCGTTTTTTTTTTCCCTTCCGTCGTGCCACACCGTGTCTAATCCTGATCTCTTCAAGATGCCATCCCCCGCCGTGAAGCGAGAGCATAACAGCCTGCTGAACCTGTTGGACGAGGTCTCCCCCTTCGGAGCCCCTAATGTCACGTCGGCGTCAACGCCCTCCGATAAGCCCTTGCTTGCTGCCCGTCGTCGCAGTAGTCTCGCCAAATCTTCCCCAGCACGGGCGGCGTTTAAGGTCAAGCCTGAACCTGTCGAAGCCGTCGTGCCTCTCAAAAGATTATACGAACCGAGCTTACTGGACACTCCGCGCAAGGCCCTCGTTCCCTCTGGCGCTGCTCCTTCTTTGAAGAAAGTCAAGAGAGAGGACTCTCTGATAAAGCCTCTCGGCGTCGTCAACCGTGACAGAGACGGCGACATCGCCATGGGTTCTCCCCGCACTACGAGTGTCGAAGACCTTCGTCGAGAGCTCACAGAAATTCAGATGAAAATCTCTGATCTCGAGCGTCTTCACGAGAATCTCAATCGGAAGAAGAGGAAGACGAAGGCGGACTTGACGAAGATGTTTCGGTTTATGTCTGAACTGGACGACTTGCGTAAAAAACGGGACGAATGCAACGCATCTATCCCTAACATGTCTCCTTTAAAGAGAACCCTTTCCAAGCCGTTGTTTCCAAAACCAGAACCTATCTCGCTCAAGGTCCCAAAACCGGAAAATAACCTTCCGTCGACCTTTAGTAATCCATTTTATAATGACAGGCCAAACCCTCTCGCCTCTGGTTCCAACGTCAAACTCCCGGGACTTCCTGGCTTAGCGGGCTTCCCAATCAAAGATGACTCTGATGACGACGCGATGGACGTCGATCCTGCTGCAGGGGCAGCCGCCATTTTGAATCGCGTCGTCGGAATTGCCATTCCCGACATTGCACCTGTTGCTGGTGCAGACAACCGCGATGCGAACGGAGACTACTTTGGCCGAGGTCGTGATACCTTCCAAGGTAAGCCCATTTTGCAACTGATTTTATCTACTAATATCGTTCATAGGTCCTGTTGCTAAGGCCGACGAGTAAGTTCTGCTGTCAATCTTTCTCCTGCCATTGTTCTGATTAGTTGAAAGCATCGAGAAGTTTTTGATCGAAGCCGGCAACGCCGAGCAGTTTGACGGCAATGCAAGTGTCAATGAAGGCCTCCAGAAGCTTGGCCTCGACTCTATCACGTCACTGTTACCCGGGATGGAGGTCCCTCTCATGCCACATCAAGTTATCGGTGTTGCTTGGATGGCTGAGAAGGAAAAATCCACTCTCAAGGGCGGGCTGTTGGGTGATGACATGGGATTAGGCAAAGTCAGTCATCTCCTCGTGTACACTTTCAGTTCTAACTGTTTGCTTCGATAGACTGTTCAGATGTAAGATTTTCCTTGTCGCCTCTTTCGCAGGGTCCAACTGTTTAATAGGATCGCGTTGATGATCAAGGATCGCTCGAATGACCCGCTGTGCAAAACGAATTTGATCATGGCTCCATTGGCTCTACTGGACCAATGGAAACTTGAGATCGAGCTCAAGTCTAATGATTCCCTGAAATGTATTGTTTATCACGGTAGGCGTTTCTCCATACTTGTTGTCCATCGTATGTCTAACTTTGTTTTAACAGGATCAGGGAAGCCAAAGCGTAAACAGGACTTATTAAAGTATGATGTTGTGTTAACGACTTACCAGGTTCGTTTTTTAGTACTTCCATTTCTTCGTCATTCATTATATCCCTCACGTAGACCATGGCATTGGAATGGCCGGACTTCGAGAAAGATCAGAAGGCGAAAGAGAAAGCGAGGCGAAAGTCCGGCAACGATTTTATCGTGTCGGATTCCGATGATGACTCAAGCGGACCTACCCGCAAGAAGAAAAAGCAACAAAAAGGACTGCTGTTCCAGGTTGACGTAAGTATATCTATCCCAGTGTAATGTATCAGCTAACAGACAATGATATAGTTTTACCGTATTATTTTAGACGAGGCGCAGGCAGTGCGCAATCGACGAACGAGTAAGTTTGCGTAGCCGTCATTGGTCTAACCTCTTAATTCGATCGTCATAGGGGCCTCTCGAGCTACAACGGAACTCCAATGTATCTACCGATGGTGCCTAACGGGGTATGAAGCTTATTCGACATAATGACACGGCTTTCTGATTCGCTTTCCTCCAGCACTCCAATCATCAACTCGCTCTCAGATGTCTACGGATACCTGAGGTTCCTACGGATCCGGCCATGGTATGATTGGGCCGAGTTCCACGGTCATGTTAATCTCTTGGAAAAGAAAAACCGTGCGTCAACCCCGTCGCAACTCAGCCGAGATACGTTTGAGATTAAGCTTCCATCACAGCGGCACTAGCAGTTACCCGACTTCAAACTATTTTGAACATGTTTGTCTTGCGCCGCATGAAGAACACGATGCTTGATGGGAAACGCTTGATCGATCTTCCAGAGAAGGAGACTGCTCTTACGAAGTTAGAGTTCACGGTAGAGGAACGTGAGATCTACAAGATGGTAGGCCCTTTAGTATGTGCCCTGTATGATTCCTTAACGATATCCCATCCAGGTGGAAGCCCGATCGCAAGCCACTTTCAACCGCTACCTTCGTGCGGGGACTGTTCTCAAGTACGTTCTCAGGCCTGTCATCGATCTTAAATTCATACTCATTTTTCACAGGAACTATTCGCAAGTCCTCGTGCTCCTGCTGCGCCTTCGACAGCTTTGCTCCCATCCTTCGTTGATTCAGGAAGATGGCGTGGCTTTCATCCAGCCTGAAGAAGACGAGGACAATTGGAGGCCGGAAGTGAAAGAGGAGCTACTGCGTGCCCGGAAACTCCTTGGCGGGGAGTTTGTATCAAGGCTTAAGCGGCAGTTCATGGAGGCTACCCTGAAACGGATGGAGGCCGAGAAGGCTGTACGTATATCCATTAGGCCTCAATTGATACTCAACTCATGTTCGTCATAGGAAACCGAGGCAGAAGTTGAGGAATGTGCCATCTGTTTTGATGCATTCACCTCAGCGGTCGTTACTGCTTGTGGTCACAGTTTCTGTCGTGAATGCTTGGGTATGCGACGTCAGTATATTCGTGACAATTATTAGCTCATCTTGTTTCTTCTTAGATGACGTCCTGAGCGGTCCCCAGGTCGATGCTGAGGACGAACCGAAGCTCAAAGCCCAAGAGCGACGATGTACGTTATCAACCTTACCATTCTCCTTGCTCTCTTATGCATGTGATAAGGCCCTAACTGCCGTCAACCCATCTCGGGGGATCTGCTTTTTGATCGCGCTGCCTTCGAACCTTCTGATGCTGAATTGAACGGCGGTAAGAGCGCCGATGGGGACGAACCCGCACAGAGTACAACATCGGCTAAGGGTAAAGGCAAGGCCAAGGCAAGGGCAAAGGGTAAGGGCAAGAGAAAATCGGCACTCAATGCTGATATCATTGATATCGACGCTCTCGATAACGAGGACGAGGAAGAAGACGAGGACGACATGAGCGATTTCATCGTTGACTCAGATGAGGACGAAGAAGAAAAGGATGCTCGTCAGAAATTAAAGAAGGCTATGGGTAAGAGGAAAGCGTTCATCGTACTCGATTCAGACGAGGAAGGAGACGAGGTGGAGGAAGTTGTGTTTGGGCGGAAGAAGGAGAATTCCATGTCCGGCCAGATCAAGCTCATGCCTAAGTTCTTGGCTTCCACCAAGATGCAGGTGTGTATTCTTTATCATCCTCTTGGTGACGTGTATTTTAATCTCAACCTGACATAGCATATGATGAAGCAGATCGTAGGACTCTTTGAGGAGAAGCCAAATGAGAAGGTGAGAGACTCTTCATGTTAGTACATTTCGGCAGCCATTTTGACGACGTCTGAAGGTTTTGGTCATTTCACAATGGACCGGATGTCTTGATCTGGTGTCGGCGTATCTTACTGAGAAGAGCATCGAGCATGTCAAGTATGTTTGGAACAATTTATCTAGAGATTTACTAAACATATGCTCTTCTAGGTATCAAGGATGTATGTCCCGTCATCAGCGCGACTTGTCTGTACGCGCATTTATGTCGACAAGAGAGTCCGCCAAGGTGATGTTAATGTCGCTGAAGTGTGGAGGTACGTTTCCAAACTCTCGTCGTCGACAATCATAATCATCTCACCTCTCCGTAGGTGTCGGACTGAACCTCACGCGCGCGAATAATGTGATATCGCTGGACCTCGGATGGTCCCAGGCCGTCGAAGCACAGGCGTTTGATCGGGTCCATCGACTAGGCCAGACTCGACCTGTAAAGGTCGATAGGTTGGTTATTTCCGACACTGTCGAAGATCGGATTTTGGCTTTGCAGGAACGCAAGCAGAACCTTGCAGATGGCAGTTTGGGGGAAGGCAATGGCAAGAAGATTGGCAGTAAGTACCTCTTTATGGATACGGTCAGTCCAAATTCTGATCGAGTTCGACAGAGCTGAGCGTCAAGGAGTTGGCCAACTTGTTCGGTCTCGACGCTCGCGGCAGGCTTTTGTAACGCTGCTAATCGTGCGTAAGAACACGATCGGACCATTTCATTGTTGTATTTTCTATATTAGTTTCCCTCTTTCGCCCTACCATTTAGACAGGTTGGTATGTGCTTGATTATACATGAGTATTGTAGTATTGTCCCAGTCGTCAGGAAGTAGTGCACTTTCTGACGACGAAGACCATAGTTCGTATTGTATAGCATTGACATACATATTCATCGTTTTTATTGAATTTGCGTCCCGGGGGAATCTTGCTCATTTCGCGTGTCGCTCAAGGGTAATCAAATTACACTTTTGCATTTGAACTAAACCAATCCTAAGTCACCACACGTACGAGATCACTGCGCATCTGCCAAATCTCCACAGAACTCCAGCCAGGTACTGGAGATGACGGAATATGCGTTGTTGTTGTCCTCATCAGTGATGAACACCGCGTCAATCCCTTCCCCAGTAAGGTCGGACAAAAATCCGCTCGGCAGGGAGGACGGCGAAGGAGCGTCATGCAAGATTACAGGCCTGCTTAGAAGCAGGTGTCGAGTCACTGATTTCGAGGCTTGAAACCCTAAATAGCATATGAATCAGAAAAAGCGGAGTAAATCAGAATGCCCAGATCGACCTACGCAAAGTTGGAGTAATAATCTTCTGCGGTGACAATCAAATCCGAAAACGAGAAATAACCTTCATCTGTAGTCGTTCCGGGGTTCAAGACTACCGTGGCAGTGTTCCCCAGGGCAGATCGTGCGGCAGAGGCGTAGGTCTGATACAAGGACACGTCCGATGCCTCCGTACTGCCCTCATCGAAGAATATTCCTGATGGCCTATACGCCTCTGCCCAGCCGGCATAGGTACTCACGTCGGCCTCGACGTCAGACTGTGCCCTATTACCATATGAGGTTGAGACGTAGCCCACAACTACAACATTGCTCCCAGTGGTTTTGAGGGTAGAGATGCATGAGTCATACGTGGAGTCTCCAGTGCCAGGACCACTGGAGGGGTTGATAATGACGGTGAAGAGGAGAGAGGGGAAGGAAGTTATTCTGATATTAAAGGGTCAGAAACTGACGAGGACGACGAAGAACTGCGTACGCTTCAAAGACGGGTTCCCACGCATTGCATCCGTCATTGGGATAGACATAGAGCGGGAGAAGCACACCGGTGCTCGCGAAAGCTGTGGTGAGAAGAGAGAAAAGCGTGATCGAGAGTTGAGAACGCATACTGTACTACCAGGAACGTCTATCCAGGACGCCTTTAAATACTAATCTACTGTAATTTCAATACCAGTAACTTGGTCGTGAAGTGTTGATGTTCGTGTTTCAGGTCGCGCATATGACACCTGCTTACAGGTCCTTACCATTTGATACGAGCATGTGTTCTGGTTATAGAATGGAGAAGAGAGGCAAACTAGCCCGTTGCGTCTGACCATCGGTGAGCATAGTGGACCAAGTCGAGAGTGATGGAATAAAACTGACCGCTCTGGGAACATGTTAACGAGAGCCGGCCGAGGCTATAGAGTGCCTGGAACGGAATATTTCAGGCTATTTGTGGCTACCATCATTTGACATTCAGTATTTTCCGCAGATACTCCGTAGGATTGAATGAGTAGCTTCAAATCACAGATGATCGAAATGATGCTTGATATCAGATAACAAATAACTGCGTCTTAGAAGTTAGGGGTGCGTATTTAGCAAGAACACGAACGGTCTTGCGGTAGTATTGGCAGGTCCTCATCAAAGGACACGAAATTCGTGTACTGGAGGCGGTGACTTCCAAAAACAGACTTTGACTGGGCGATTCTTTGGTTATCATTCTGTCTCGAAACAATTAGAATCAGTCTGAACTGATACTAAAACCACTCCGCCATAGGCTTGTACAAGCCCAGCCCCTGCAAAAATTTCTCAGTTGTCTCCCAAAGTTCTTCAGCAAGGTCCGTCTTTGCAGCATTCGGATTCTTGTCTACAATCCTCCCCACGGGGATGATATACTGTCATTTGTATTTGTCTGGATCAGCTTTGACGACAGGTGACGCAGCAGCGAAGCAAGACGTATACGCTCCCTGGTTAGGCCCGATGAAGAAGAGCTTAAAGGCGATAGTAGCGAGCCGAGGGTAAGGGGTTCTCCACGCCCAGCCGGTGTCGACACTTCCAGGGTGAAGCGAGATGCAGGTGATAGGAATCGACTTGGCAGATAGACGGCGTTGCAGCTCGGTGGTATAAATGACGTTCATGAGTTTCGAGACCCCTGCGCATAAAGAATAAGTCGTGAGACGAGTAATTCATGTCCTGGCGCACCATAGCGGGCTGAATCAGGCCAAAACTCTTCCTTGTATTCGCCATTGAAGTCTTCAATGCTTTTGAAACGAATGTCGGGATTCGCGGCTGGGCCATTTAGGTGTGCGACCGATGCAACATTGACAAGACGGACGTCCGAGTTGGGTGCCTTGGACGTCTCTATCATAAGAGGTAACAGTGTCTGAGTGAAAAGGAAGGTGCTGATATGGCTGGGAAAGGTTTGAGTCGAGGAATTCCAGCCAAGCTTCTGTGCTTACTTTATCATCACAACCTCGGAGACACCTGAAATACATGTAAATATGAGCACGCGAAGATAAAAACGTACGTACCATCCTGGTCGGTGTTGTAAGGACCTGTCAAACTGTGGAATGTTAGGTAACGTCCCAAGCAATGCAGGATACGCACAAAGCCGCGTTATTAACTAACACAACTTCAATTGAATGCTGACTGACGGGTGACCATATGACTCACCAAGAACATCCAGCCTCTTCTCTTTGCTCAGAAAGTCCTCTGCAGCTTTCTTGGCTAACCTCGGGTCCTTCAAGTCGAAGGGGAGCCAGATGACTTGCCCTGACCCAATACCCGCTTCCGTCATGCTCTTGATCGCGTCCAACGCCTTGCTTTCATTTCTTGCAGCAAGGTATACCTTGGCGCCTTTCCTAGCGAGATGTAAAACGGTCCAATAGCCGATTCCTGTACTACAAATCTCCTCAACTTTCGAAAGTTACGAGAGCTCAACACCACTCACTTTCCGCCAGTAACAATAACCACTTTCCCCGTGAGGTCAAGCAAAGACGCGCCAGCAGGGTAGAATGTCCACCTATCCACTATACCGTGGATGACAGTCCATGATGGTGAGAGCACAAGTTTGCCACGTGAAGCAACCAAGCTATAGGATGATAAACAACGGAGTAATGGCGGCTACGACTTACGATGTCCTATATATCCTGCTCCTGGCGCATTACATTAGTATAGTAGGATGGAATTAATCATATCATCCGCAGTGAATGTAGCTGCAGCTGAGTCACTGTACAACGCAGTTTCGCAGTTTCAGCATTTATACGAGCCCGCCGAATAAGCCGATCGGTAAAACGGGAAAGAGCATGCACTTATTCCCGGGGCGAGAACACCCAGAGATACGATATGCGAGTTGTCCATGCTTTGTTCAAGTAAACCTCACACCAGCCTACCCAGTATTTGTGTGGTCTCACGTCCCTATGCTTCTGACTTTTCTTCCTTCTCATCTCCCAAATCCGGCGCAGTTCAATGGAGAGCCAACTGCGACGAACTGCGCCGTAAAGAGTCAGTCATGGTCACTCTAGCTTATGTGGTAGTCGACAGGCATGGGCCGTACCTGGACCATAGTCATCAACTTACGCTATCTTTACATTCGCCCTGCTTGAAGCCTTGATTTGACGCGCCAGCCCCACCACATTGGTGCGACGGAATGTATAGTGACGGATCTCGACTCGACTCACCTATGTAAAGGCATCACAGTAAGTACTCGCAGTCGGTGAGCAGAAAACAGCGATATTAAACAGCAAGAGAAAAGAAGAAAAGATTATCACTGGAAGACTCTTGGGTTAGGCAAGTGCACCAGTATCATTCGGGTGTATTTGCAGATTTTGAAGAAGATGGTCATCACGGAACGATGGAAACATGCGGGCCGGAGGCACTCGTCGAGAGTATTGCAATCCCATGATTAAAGGAACACTACGAAGCATTGGAACTTGCGGCATCGTGTGAGAACGCCCCTGCCAAGCATTGGAGTGGGCCCGCCATTTTAGCCTATCCCACATCCCACATCCCACATCGTCCAATGCAGAAGCGGTTATCATCGCCCAGACTCCTCATTCGCGGTTTAGGATTGCTAATGCACCAGTATGCTTCGGTATAGTTAACTTCATACTAAATTGAAAAGGATGATACATTAGGATGGATGCAAACGAACTAAGGTCATTGTCAGAACAGATGGGAAAGGGGACAATAACAACGCGCTTACTGACGTATAAGGATCCAGTAAAATGGTAGCTCATCGCTGGTATAGAAGTTTGCGAATTGGAAATTGAAGAGAGGGACACACTGATTATGTTCTAGCTTCGACAAAGTATTAATTCAACTTCACATAAGCTCTACAGCTATGCAGCAGAACGTTCGCCGCTACCTCCACGTAGGCGAAGTGACAGAAAATTGCAGAACAGTCATAGCACTAAGAATGGTCAGCCAAGGGAATAGCTGCACCGAAATCCTTGTCAATTTTCCCCTTTAGAACTATTCCCTCTCATGTATCAGTCTGGACTGCTGAAGGTGGCAATGTCAGTTGTCATATCAAAAGCTTATCCGAAGGAACTTCTAACGAACAGTCGGCCATGCCTTGCAGGTGTAAATTGCGCTAGAAGCGCGACTATATGCGTCTATACACACGCCTAGATGATCCGGTAATGTAACTTTTTGCCTTTGTCGTGGTAGATCCGAGTCGAGGCGTGAGTATCCAGACAGATCCACTGTCAAGGACGCGTAATATGGTGTCGGTGGCCCATGGATTGACGGTGAAAGCCCTTTCCAATATTTTGACAAGGATGTTAGAAGGAAAGAGTGCTGTTTTAGAGGAAATTCATGTATTGCTATATTTGTAACAGATTTTGTCGCAATTGCTACCCGCCCCGGCGGCTCGAGCAGCCGCTCCTTCCACCCATCGAAGAATTTTTATCGTCCCATTCAGTCGCCTCCACACAATGATGCAGAGCGCCATGTGTGGGTAGCGCCTTCGTTATCATCAAAACACGCGCTAATACCCTACTGAAGGTCTGGTTGCACTGTTTGAAATGATACCTGCTTCTCTGCATTGCTTACCATGCTTCCGCAAAGCCCCGATAACACACCATGACGACGAAAGGAGACTTGCCGAAGACAGAGGTAACATGCATGTTCTCAGTCCGTGGTTAATGACAATATTTCGGAAGTAGCAATGATGATATGTTGGCCAGCATGGCTCCCAACTGATGTACACTGGGCAACTGCAGTGATGCCGTCTGGTGGAGGCGGCGTTCTACACACTTGCTGAGGCGGGCTGTGAAGTTATTTTCTCCTTGCCTGGGATTCGGGTTATCTTGACTCTTTCTGGCTTGACATAATCTTCTCCTTCGGTTCTCAGGATCAGTCAGATGTCTCTTCTGGTTGTTCGATGTCAGAATCCATCGGTGCGATGAGTATCCGTTTGGATGGAGGAATCTTGCATTAAGGTTTTGCGGCGCTACGAACTTCGTCCTTTGACACCGCTCCCAGGACTCTGGCTCTGCACAATCCGCTTTTTGTATTGATTTAGCGCCATTTGGGTATCCTTCCGGTGTGTACTGTATGAAATTTCTTGTGGCGAAGGGGGCCGTGCGGATGACTGGCCAACCTGGCCAAAGTACGTCCAAAAAGCTGGTATATGGAGTAAAATTTCAAACGTTATTTTGCCCAGCGGACCAGATCCGGACTTGGCTTCATGAGATGTTCCCGGATCCGAAGCTTTTTAACTTATAACAATCGCGGCTTCTTGTTTTGCAAAGACAAACAAGTCCTCAACGTGCTCATAAAGGATGCTTGATACTGCTATCTAACCTTTCTACTTATACCACACCCTCCATTTATTCCGTTGCATTGGATCGCCACTTCCAAGTCCCCCTTTCCATCTTGCATCCTTCTTCCATGGACGCATTCAAATCACTTGTTCAACCTCTTGTAGGCAGTGCCGCTGGTTCCTCCGTCATCGACGGTATGAAGCTCGTCGTCCTCGGTGGCACAGTAGAAACCGCTAGACGGGTATCGAGCTCCGCTTGGTATGTAATACCCCGGGATCCCTCTCTTCATCCTGTAACATATCTGTGGCAATTTAGGTCGCATTTTGTCAACTGTGAGCATGCTCTATCCCTTCTAATTTCTTTCACCTCCGAGGCAAACACATGGACTCCGCGCTCCAAACTCACTCCACTGCACGCACGTCTCATGTCACTCTATTTCATCTTATTGCAATGGTGCATTTTTATGCCTGCAATAGTGCTTTGTATCCTCTTCACCCTATTCTTTCCTCGATCTCTCCCCTAGAATGCTCTGCGTTCGGATGTCGTACCGACGTCGATGTCGATATCTTATCATTCTTCCTCGTACTATTGCGTACTAATTGGACAATCTAATTTGTAGCCTTCTTTCTTACGGCACATTTTTCGGAGGAAGACTCCCCTTATGAGTGGCTTATGCTTTGGTTGTCACGAAGGCCAGAGTGGCAACGGTCTCGAGAATTTGAGACTACCACCCGTTCTTCCTCCGGTTTTGGACGGACAGCTGACAACTCCTTTGGTGACGAGGAGGACGATGCGGACGGCGACGACATACCGGGAAGGGTCAAGACGCGAGTTGTATTCCAACCGACGTTCGACACTACTCATACTATTTTCTATGGGGGACACTGGCTACGCGTCAAGCGGGGCAGGAAGAGTGACGGGACTGGATGTGAAGTTCTCTCCATAAGGTGCGCATCCTGTCTCTACCATTTTTGCGCTTGTTAATTAGACACAAAGCGTGGTCGCCCGGAATAATACAATTTTGAAACAGCTTGTCCTCGAAGCTAAGCGAGGTTTGTATCCTCCCTGTACGATATAGATATTCAGTCTGACGCCGTTTTTTTAGAATTTGAAGCAGAGGCGGTCCATCGCATACAGATATACTTTGCGGATTTCTACGGGAGCTGGCGCTGGACGGACTCACGGCATAAACGCCCTATGGGGTCAATTGTACTTAACCCGGGCGTGAAGGAGATGCTCCTCAATGATACGCGGGACTTTTTAAAATCCGAGAAGGTGCTGTTGGTTTGTACATTACTCGTGAAAGCGCACTTACGGAGATTTGAATTGTAGTGGTACGCAGACCGCGGCATTCCTTTTCGACGAGGCTATCTCCTCCACGGTGTCCCAGGGTCCGGTAAATCGTCCCTGATACACGCAATTGCCGGCGAACTCATGCTGGACATTTACGTCGTATCGCTTTCGTCCTCCTGGATCAGCGACAGTACATTAACGACATTGATGGGTCGTGTTCCCGCAAGGTGCATACTCCTACTGGAGGACTTGGACGCCGCTTTCACGAGAAGCGTCTCGCGAGACAAGAACTCCAGTGGAAACCCTGAAGGGAATAGCGATGGGGATAATGATCAAAGTGATATCCCCAATGGTCCTCCCACCGCCAGCCGCAGTAGGAGACGTCAACGAGACCAGTTGTCAGAAGTAAACACGTTGAGTTTGAGTGGACTCTTGAACGCACTGGATGGGGTGGCGGCAGCGGAAGGCAGATTGTTATTCGCGTGAGTTTTCTCCCCTCAACGTTGCGCACACGTTGTGATCCGTATCTTTTTTTGGCTAGGACAACAAACCATCTAGAGCGCCTCGATCCTGCACTCTCTCGACCAGGTCGTATGGATGTCTGGATAGAGTTCAAGAACGCGTCCAAATGGCAGGCGGAGGCACTGTTCCGCAATTTCTTTCCATCTCTGGAAGAATCTGCATCTTCGAAAGGTAGCTCCACGCCAAGTGACTCCGAGGACGATGAACTTCAAGGTATAGATTCACCTCCGCAAACACCGAGTCCAGGCTCATCGACGTTGTGGTCGCTTTCCCCTTCATTTTCATCGTCGTCCACATCGCTATCTCTTTCACCGAAGAAAAACGTCAACGCCAAATCCAGAGGCCAGGTGCTACCTCAGTTCGGCGCGAATAACCGGGCATATTTGCCACCGCCGATAGAGGAGCATATTGCGAATACTCATCACTCTGCGAAGCCTCTGGACAACGTGACATTGGCATTTTTGGCGAAGAAATTCGCGGATGCGATCCCACAGGAAGAATTCAGCGTGGCGGCGCTACAGGGATATCTTCTGAAGCATAAGAGCCAGCCATATAGAGCGGCAAATGAAGCGGCAGAATGGGTGATGAATGAGAGGGAAATGAAGGAGCGGTTGAAGGCAGAGAAAGAGAAGAAGGAAAGGGAGGACAACGAGAAGAAGGAAAAGAGGAAGAAGGCTAGAGAGGAGCAGGTGAAGAAGCGGCAAGAATTGGAGCTGGAGAGGTCGAAGAGGGAAGTGAAGTATCGGGAGAGGGACGGAGGGAGAGTCCTTGGATCAGTAACGACGGTGACTGAAGAACCCTTTGTCGCCGCAGTGCCTACCCCTCTTCCGGAACCGACGGTTATATCTACAGTCGTTGCTGACGATGACGCGAATGAATCGGAAAGCGACGGCGAAGACGAGGTCGTTCTCCCTGCACCCACTCAACTCGTTTCTCCTAACGACTGGACTGCGTGGATGTCAAATCCTGACTGGATGTCGCGCCCACTCCCTACAGAGCCAGGAAAGTGGGCAAGACATTGATCTGAGTCCAAAGAGTTTCCGGACAAGCCTAACATGGAATGGAATTCACTAGGAATGTCTCGCCACCAGGTCAGTTTAGCATGCGCGCATGTATTATTCCATCATCACCACACGGATTTACTTTCAACTGTACACAGCATGACTTCATACTACTGTATCTCATCATTTGTTGTTTATACTACTGTAATCTCATTTTCCCTCTTTGGATCCGTTACCAAGTACTCTTTGTACAGGGAGCACTTCCTCGCTAACTTCGTATCTCAAAAAATTTTACGTTGAAGAAAATCAAGGTACAGTCACTCAGGTGTTCATTGACCCGCTTCCTCTACCACACCAGCAGATAGTTCAAATCTGGGGTCCCGGCTGGCTTCGCTTCGCAAGTTCTGTGACCATATGGCAGCGAAAATTCTACGTGCTTCTTACCGTCGGCAAACAAAGCGTGGAAGCAATCATTCGTCATGACATCTTCAATCCGAGACGACGGGCTGGACTGGTCTAGTGATCACCGTCATAAGCGGAAGGTGTATTTTTGATGTATACACATGTACATCCCAACCTTGACAAGGACACTTGTTGTCTCCATACAGCATATTAATCCAAGGATTGATCGAATTACACGACTTCGGAACGAGACCCAGAAGTTTATCTTCTGCTAATAAGAGCCTACAATGCGTTAAAGAATATCTAGAAAATGGTTCCGAACAGATTGTCTGCTTTCCCGGACCCGTCACTGGTTTGATAGACCTAAGGTTGAATTAAAAAACCCCGAGGGATTTCTGAGCAAAGCAAAGAAGCTGGTCGTGTTGTGTGTGTGTTTTCGCTTCTTTTACGTCGATGACCGACTTGTTTTGATTGATTGCCTAGCCGCGCTTTTCATCGGAGCAGAACTGTCTGAAGGTTGTAAAGACGGACTGGTGAATACAACGCAGAGCAAGACGCGTATGACACGTTCTTATTCGTTCTTATCGTGGTTATCTACTCTCCGTCGTGTGAACATACATATTTCTCTCTCTTCACACGAGCTCTCTGAACTCTCATGATCGAAAGATCTCATGCATGGATTCGGAATCTCATGACGTGAGCTCAGCCAGTACGAATTCGAACATCCATACTTAGAATGTCAAACAGGACTCCAGCGTCCGGTTCAAGACGAACGGAATTATCACTGCGTCTATGGTCTGTCACAAATCATCAGCTTGTGAAACATCTACTCGTGTATATTACTCGCGTAGTAGTGGCACTACCAACGTGTTCACATACATAAACACCTTCCAGGGTCGTGTATCCTACAAACTAATACATGCAGATTATGTTCAGCCTGAATAATTCAAGACGTCTATGTACGGAATACCGTGACCCTATGCTTGTCCTGTGGCACTCTTCTCTAGAAAATCTTCATCGACCTTTTGGAGGAAAGGCACACACGTCCGACAGATCCAAGCAGCGGCAAACCAATTCCAAAGGATCCAGACAAAATAATTCATGCGGAGCGGTGATACTGATAGTCATTTTCGGAACTAGGCGAGTGATAAAGGATCTAAAGTCCGTGCCGACGGGATTCAATGGAAGGCATACAGGACATCCACTGTTCCTATAATCTATAGTAGTGCGCTGACAGCACCATTTTATCTCTCAAATTTGTCTTATGTTTTTTCTTGACTGTTTACGGATGCAATCCTATTCAATTAGCTCGGAAATACACATAACCAAGTCAGTTCATCTTGACACTTAGAGGTATTTTCTGGAAAGTTTCTGATATCCGGATGCTAAGGATGCCATCTACTTGAGGCATACCCACATAACTACGAACCTGACACTAACCTAGATATGGGAATCACGTCATTAGGCGGGGAGCGGATGGCTATATATACGGCTTTGCAATCAGTTATTCTCCCAGAAATTTGCCTATAGCGGACTAAATTGCAGGGCCAAAATGAAATTCGGCGCCGGAATCAACTCGTTACAATCAAACTTTGACAAATTCCATGCAATAGGATACCACACGCGGGGACAGGATATCCGATACATAAGTACGTACTAAAGGCTGGTTTTCAGGTGTTCACGCCCTTTTGTTCTTCGAACTCTCTATCGCCCAGTGGATTTTATGGGCGTAGGAAAAACTTCGTCCTTCGTGTTCCCTTTCCACTCCTTCAACCGGTTGTCATGGGCTTGTACGACGAGTCACTAGGTGACCGACAAAAACTTTATAAAGCGTAAATCCTGCTGATTGATCATGTAATTTGTAGGTGTCCTGCTCCTCGGTATAATCAGTAGGTGTAAACTTGGTACGCAAAGTCCGTGTCTGTCAACGCTGAACACGCTCCCCTAGTTAATACCTATTTCTTCGGCTTCGTAACTTATCAGTATATGTCTTATTTCAACCGCGGTGAGTGACCCTTTGTTAGACATAAGTAGGCTAAAATTTAGGGCGGACTAAAGGATACAAGGATAGTCTTTGGGTCAAGCAAGTCGTTCCGAACATATACGACTGTTGGGACACTAAGATACCTTCTCCTGTAGAGCCACGGTTGCTTTGTTGTGCCTGAACGACACCGTGTATTCTGCGTCGTACGTATTTTCACTCATAGGCTAAACTGGGAGGCTGATTTTTCATGTTGAACAGTTTAATTTATATGGCATGGCTTTACTGGTACGTCGAACGTTCATGAAAGTTCCCGGACTATGAGCGAGAATGTTAAAATAGCGTCCAACATTATGGCGACCCCACGATCTTGACAAGTAAGTGCACCACCTTGGCGGTTGTCGTTGTCTTTACCATGGGGCATTGTACTAGGTGTTCCATGGCCTTCTTCGTATACCCCAGTAGCCAACGCCATCTCCTCTATCTTGACGCACCAATTCTTGACGGCGCGGTAAGCTCAAACGGTTCTTGTATGTTACTCATTCAATTCTAATTTGAGTATTAGAACCAGCCGTCTAATGGAGAGTAAGATGGTCTATGTCGGGATCATGACGCTCTCAATGGGAAACTTTGTTGTTGCGATTGTCGCTGCGGTAAAGGTTTGTACCTTACTTGGTATTCACTGTCCTTGTCTGATAACAATTTTAAAGTCCTGGATGGCTAAAAAGTGCGTCTTCTGTTGGATATCTATTTTTACGATCTTATCCTTTCGATCATTTCCAGTATTTATGATCAACAGACCCTCAAGGAATACCTCATTGCGTGGCTTAGCTTACAAGCGGCGGTCGACATTATAGTCGCAGGTAGTAACCAGTGCCTTTGTGATCCAAGCCTAGTTAATGTTATTTGTAGGCACCCTTTCCTATGCACTGTACCGTGCTCGTACAGGTTATCATCGCACGGATAATGTTATCTATCGGCTCATTCGTGGAGCGGTGCAAACCGGTCTATTCGCCTGTATCTTTGCGATAGGGCACCTGACGGCCTTCCTGGGTAGGCCTGGATCTCCCTGCTTCTCATTCTCGTGCGAACTCATCTCTGTAGTTTCCCCGGATACTCAAGTGTATGCGTTCTTCGCTGGTTCAACAGGTCGCATGTATTCAATAGTGAGCGCGGACATGTTTAGGAAGTCTCCGCGACTCATGCGGATTCATTTCAGACTCTGATGGATACCTTGCATTCTCGCGACCAGCTACGGGATGCGCTGTCAGGTACTATGGATGTATGAACGGTACTGGATTCGTTTGTGTTATTTCTGATGTTTTGTCATAGGTCAACAGTTCCATAATTCGAACACATAATGGGCATTCATCATCAGATTACCCGAGGATATTCCAATTATCTACTGTCAACACCCGCCAGGACGTATTATCCGAAGGTGGGCCTGGTCGCACCAATACCAAATTAGTTCCTGGTCAAGATAGTAGCGGCACCCTTGATACCGACAGGTCGGGTGAGTATCTTTCATAGCGTCAGTTAAGCTTCGAGATCGAGGGTAAAATCATATATTCAGCCGTGTGTCGTAGTAGAAGTATGCACAACCCAATATGTACATCCAGTAGCAAGGTATATACGACATCGAAATCACTGGGTGGCGCCATAGTTGGGTGGAGGAGCTTGACCAGGAATTAATGCGCCCTGAGCCTGAGGATATGGCTTGTACTGTCCGTTACCGACGTCTACACGAGAGCATTCAGCTGAGACCTTTGAAAGAGAATGGTATGCACGGCGTACATTGGAAACCCCCAGCTCCGTAGCGTTCCTCGGCCTGCATCTTCTTGTAGATAAGCCAAAACGCGTGAATATGACCAGGAATGTATCCGAGACTGACAAGATATAAAATTTAACGACTGAAAGCCGTAGAAATACAGAAAAGCGCACAGAGTCAAACAGATGTTAATGAGAAGATCACAGCTACATCCCGTTAAGAATGCAGCTGCAGCTGGCGGAAATATGATTGCGACCTTGAGATCTGTCATTACAGATATAGATAATAAAATAATAAAGCTCACGAGGATGATGATGACGTCTGAAGATTTGACCATGATGGCAAGACGAAGGAGCTGGAGAACGGAGCGCTTGGAGCCTGTGCATTTGATTACGTCACTTTACAGCCCCGATTTAGCAACGCCGATTCTTGACTTTGAACCACCACCATGTTGCCGCTCCCTTTCCCTGATCCTCCCACTATGTCCAGCCTTTCCGACGCTCGCAGCAGCCTGGAGACGTCCATACAGTCCCAGGAGGCTCTCGCAACCGAAATATCCGACGCGGAAGCGAATCTTGCCAAAGTAATTCAAGAGGCTCAGTGTCGCATCGACGCCCTACGGCGCGAAAAGACTCAGCTGGACGAACAAATTATCGCTACCCAGGCATATATCTCACCGATGAGACGTCTGCCGATGGAACTTTTACGAGACGTTTTTTATTGGTGCTTCGAGGACCACCCTTGCTGTGCATGGGTTCTGGCGTCTGTCTGTGTGAACTGGAGGCGATTGGCTTTGACAATGCCCCGGATATGGGCCAAAGTGAGTATTCCTTTTTGTTATTCCATTCTTCCAAATTCTCTCCTTCTATCTTGTTCTGGAGATGCGGTGGCAACTTTCGGTGCTTTTTCGTCGTCCGGGGTTCTGAGACGTCCGGCTGTCTCAGCAGTCACGGCCATGCGGATCTAGTCGACAATGCATTCATTTTCGGTGTCCCTGCATTGGCTGGCTGTAGCCTCATTTTTCAATGATGTCTCCGCCACCGTTCGGGTCCCTAGTGTCGAACAGATGATGGTTCTTCTGTCGGCAGAAAGAGGCATCGTCTTGTCCTGTTCTACATGCAGGATTTCTCCAACGGCTGTGATCCAGCTTGACGCCACCTGTTGCACCGGTGCAGTAGACCAAAGACATCGGACGTCGTGTTTTTCAAATCGATGCCGCGAGGACAGAAACATGCACATTTCTTCTTAACCCCGTTTTCTTTGTTGCTTTTCCCCCGTTCTTTTATGTTTTTCCCCGCGTCTACCCGTCTCTGATCGTTTCCTAGATACGCCTTGTCACAACTCCTACCTCCTCTCCAGAAACCATTAGACTTTGGCTCGAACGATCAGGATCATCAGTGCCTTTGGACATTGAGATATACCTCCATGTTGCAAAAGGTAGCAATGATGTCCCAACTAGTAGCCGTCGGAGGCGACGGTCCTCTTCACCTCCGACATCGTTCCTATACCCAGTGTCATTTCCATCTTCAGGACCTTCATACGTGATATCTCCTACAGGAGTGCTTCCGCCTGCGAACACTCCCATCATCATACCCATGTCTCCATCATCGCATCACAGTCATGATGTTTGGGTGCCTTCATCTCCACCGTCATATCCCAGCGATCGTCCACGCGGCGATAAGTCAGCTTGGGGTCGCGGTACACCATGGGGGTTCGTAGCGGTCTACTACCTCGTCGAGCAAATGCACCGTTGGGAGCGATTTGTGTTCCGATTCGACCGCCAATTCCCTTCCATGCTCGCCCTCAAATCAATTACAGGTGGGTTTAAATAAAGATCACTTGTTAGGGCATGTCTGAATATTTTTGGTAGGCGACGCTCCCTTGCTGAAGCACTTTGAAGTGTCAGCTGCGGAGTCTGTTTACTATCCTGATCACTGGGCGTGGCTTCCCAACACTCCATCTACAAAGCAGGTGGTGCCCGTCTTAGACACTGTGACTCTACAATACATTCCCTTCAAGTGGTCTTCGCCTCTTTTCCAAAGCAACCTCCGAAACCTCAATCTCCGCGCTCTACCTGCCTCACAGCACCCTCTGAACCAAATTCTCCATATCCTTCATGCAAATCAGCATTCCCTGGAGCGCGTTTCTCTTCACTTCCAAACAGTACTGCCTCCCATCCTACCCCTCTCTCAGTTGACACTCCCCCATCTGAAGGAGTTCAATCTAGGAGGGCACTATATGCTCACGAACCTTGTCGAGTCCCTCGTTTTACCGGACCTCGAAGAGTTGAATCTCGATATTGAAGCACGGGAGTCTATCGAAGAATACATCCAAACTCTTCTCGCGAAGACGCCGTCAACCGCGATGAACCTTAAACATCTCGGAATCGCATATGGTTACGGTACAGGACATCATGCGGAGGGGTCCATTCCAGACACAGTATCTGCATCCTCGCCGCCGTTCTATTATGGCTCGGGAGGTGTGGTTGTGTCATGGTTATTCCTGAATGATCTTCCCCATCTTGAAAGTCTCCGTGTGGGTGGTTCACATCTAGATGTACTCATGGCAGGGCTTGGCATGCCAGACGAGGAGATGATGACCGGCGCGGTGGCGATTGGTGTGATGGGGAGCACTGTCGTTGCAAACGCGTGGCTGTGTCCTAAGCTGAAGGAACTAGGGTTGAGGAGTTGTCATGGGCATGAGGGATGGGCAAAGCTTGTTCAAGCCGTGGAAGGCCGAAATCCCGACGGTGGTGCCACAGGGACTGTCGTCAATGGTTTGTCACCTGTTAGGCTGAAGCGGCTCGAGTTGTACGATAGCCAAGGCATTGGAGGGGATGTTATCCAGTGGCTAGAGAAAAGAGTTGACGAAGTTGTTTGGACGGAGAGCGAAAGGTATTTGTCTTTCCTGTTCTACCCCTAGCTGTTGGTCTAATCATTCGCCTACCAGGTCATCGCCTTCCATGTCCCCATTTGCCTAGATACCTTCGGACTATTTATTTTTTGTATTACTTGGGTCTTAGTGGTGATCTATCAGTAAGTATTAAAATGTATCTGTACCTATTATACTTCATCAATTACATTTATTAATGAATAGGGTGGTGTGTTGAGTGTCGATATTGAGTATGGTGAGTGTATTGAAAATGACGACTCTTGAATGCTGATGATGAAAGAAGATATTCGGAATCACTGCCCAGCCTGTACGGTCCCACTCCGATAGAGTAACTGGTAGGGTCGTATATTGCATGACTCATGCCCTCAATTGCCTCGGGGCGCACTGTTGGTGGCTAGTTAAGACGCTCAGCTATTCTCAGGCACTACGTCCGAAGCCAGTGTTGAGTCATTTGAATCGGTGTCCCGAATACCTTGAGATGGCAACCTCCCAGCATTCAGTATCGCGCCATTCTATTGAAATTTGTAACTCTCGACAAGCGGTCGCTTTCTGTCGGATACAACAACATCAGGTTATGTTTGATTCACGAAGTGAATGTTGACAGAGTAGGAAATCATGGATACTTACGAGAATCGGTGGATCGAGCTCCGCCCAGCAGGTGTGTTACAAGCATGTGAGGGCAAATGGCGTACTTTCTTGACCGTTGCCTCTACTGCGATGATGCTTAATACCATGCGAATGATAAATCTGTTTGCAGACGGTTTATATTGCCGCGAGTTTGAAGGTAACGCGTTGGCTCTTTGTTCAACATTGAACGCTAAATAGCCAAAACCGCAGATTAATATTCAATGCACTCCGCAGGGCTCTAAAAGCTGAATAAACGAATTTCATTTCAAGGCTCAAAAAGCTCAATCAGGAAGGTGTCGGGGTGCGCCGGCATCAACTAATCAACACATATATGCTGACTACGTATTTATCAGAAGCCAATAGCCAGCGAACTCAGTATCAGGCATGCACATGAGATTCAATAAGGCCTCTGCCCTATTCGTGATCACGAGGAAGTTAAAGCCAGCCCTGGAGGTCACTATCAGATCTAATAGCTTCGGTACGTCAGTTGAGGTGATGTGACAACGTGTTTAGTATTGATTGAATCCTATTGAATCCTTCTTATTCGCAGTTACCACCTTTGTGCGTTGTAAATCAAAAAAGCGATGGCCGAGGACTACTGTTCACGCATTTAAGACACATCTGGAACAATCTCTCACGGTATAATCCCTAGCCAACGGTATATCCCCTAGCCAATGGTGTAGCTTCGTCAAAGATTCAAGAACTTGATATCTTGACAAGTAAGCTGCCTCGTTTCTTCCTGTTCTTACGCTCTCTCCTTTTCGTTATGTTGACGGTCTTGCAGGTTTTGACTGTTATCCTCGTTCATTTCGCAGCCGCCGAGGTTGTACCGTTCTTGGAACCGGTGTGTTTCTGTATGCACGTCTCGAAACGATATCACTCAAGTTATGTGGAACATAGGGTTTCTTTTTCGATTATAACAAGGCGGATGACCCGGTCCCGATCCTCCTTACTCGTAACGAATTCTGCTTTTTATTATGACAATGCCTCAATTGCTATAGAGCAATGTGAAGTCATCCACCTCAAATGGGATCGATCTCAAGCTATTGGGTAAGTTTCTGTGACGACTCGGTTGGGGTACCTTTACTGAAACAATCTGCTAGACAAAATCCCGTCGCTCCATATTCCCTCTTGGTGTACACTTCGTGAGAAGCACCTCCACGTTCAGATACATATCTGACTACTGTATAGAACAAGCGAAACGGCAAGCGTCATCGACGCTGGTAGCGGGCTGAGCTTTGTGCGTACATTCTAATCAACGATTCTAGAAACTGAATATCTCTCATCCACTAGGATTGGGCGGTACCTTTCCCCCCTGGAGCTCAGGTACGTTTTCCTCCATCAGTGATCTCGAATCTCATGTCTTCGATACAATTCAGTACCAAATATGTATGGTATGCACTGTGGCAACACATCAAATCTAATCCATCTGATTTTTGGTTTGCAGTTTGATGTCAACGGAGTTTCGGGAGGATGTCAAGACATGTACACTATGATACCGAACTCCAACGGTACGAACGTTAGCTGTCCGAATGTCACCTCTGCGGTTCTGTCTGCAAATGGGACAGTGTCCCAGCCTAGCGGTCCTATGTCTCGGTTTGGTTTTATCAATCAGGTATAAGGCTTCTCTATCTTTTAGGACTATCTACCAATATATCGTTCATTTAAACCTCAGTGCACCGATGTATCTGTAACACCCAACGAAGGAACGTCTCCATTCACACTCACGGTAAGCCAGTGATGCTACTACAACCTAATAACTTAGCATGCATGCTTAAGACTACATTCAGATTGCACCCGCACTCCATCCTCCGTTCAACTTAACCTCGAATACTATGGATCCAATCACTTGGACGGTTTCTCTTGTAAGTCTTGTTCGATAACGAAATTTCTGTAAGAGCTGATTCGATATGTAACCTTCAGCCCCGTGCAATGCCATTCTATATGTCAATGGTAAGCTCTGAAGGAAAGCTCTGGGCGAATGGACCTTTGCATGTTGGTGCCTTTGGTCCGACAGATTGTCTAGCTCCAGGAACTGTGTAAGCAGCCTGATCTATCATCGTTCAGATTATGCAAATATACTTACTACTTCGTCTCCAGGAGCACCAATCATGCAAAATCTGTCGCAGCACGTGCAGGGGTTGGAGGTCTTTTCGGCGGTGTAGCTCTCGCGGCTGGAATTCTCATCGCCCTATCCATCTGGCGCCGTCGACGTCAACGAATGCAACTGATAGAGATAACAAAAGATTTTTCTCCTTTCAATGATCATAGATCGTCGATCGTTGTTATCGGACAACCCCAAGGCCTTGGAATGTCTCGCGAAGAGCGCGAACTTGATGGTGTTTTGATTCTGCCGACTCTTTCTGAACTATCCCCTGCGTATGCATCGTCGGGTATACACCCGTCTCGTGTGTTCGACGGGACTAGTTCGGCCTGGAATCAGGAGGTTGACTCAGAAAGGGGTTTACCGCCGTCGTATTCATACCACGGACGTCAAGGTTCTCGCGAACGTCCTCGCATCATGCCTGGAGGAAAGACGGGACGTTAGTATGTGTATGATCTGGTTCGATGTAAAACGAGAAGCAGAACAGGACTTGTAGCTATTTGCGTTGAGCAGGTTCAGAACAATTTTCGATCACTGTTCCTATCTGTAACCCATTTCCCCAGGCTCGTACTGTTACAGATCAATCTGTGTGTGTGTAAGGTGCTTACACGTCGTGATCTTCAGAACTCTTTCAGTCGTGTCTCCGGGGTCTGTTGGCTTTGATTTCATCATCCCGGGGAACTCATCTACCAAAGAACTTACGATCCACAAGGTGCTAGCTACGATCAACTACAGTGATATCAGGTATGATTTCCGGTAGTCATTGGTAAGTCATTGGGCAGGCATCATCCTGATATTTGAAAACTATCACCGAGAACAATAGTAAGAAGCGATATGCATGGAGAAACCTTCCGGATCCGGTCCGGGAAGGGCCGGGCAAAGACAAGCACCCCCGAGTTCGAGAGCTTAAGCTTGTAGCTGGTTCAGCGGAAGGTATTTCATTAGGTTGTAAAAGACGTAAACCGTCCCCTTTGATTCTCCGTGAGGCTGGATAGTTAGCTTGCAGATAGCGGGAAATGCAAAGGCTTGCAGAACGAGTTGGACCTCTTGAGGGGATATGTATCCGAGCGCCAAGCTTCGAATATGGGGCAAGTCCAGGCGGAACGCGGTCGGAGGCGAATCAAGGTCGACGACGCAGGCGAGTTCGAGACTTTCTAGGGTGTGCATGTTGTTGGAAAGGATGTCGCGCAAAGTCTCCATCGAGGGTCGCTTGTCCTGTGGTTGGTAGGCTAGACACAGCTACCGCTCCATCGCTGCAGTTGTTGAGACGACGGTAGTGTTCCCTCTTGCTGGTATTCGAGTACTTGAACCGGTGCTATCTTGCATATCTCGTTATCAAAGCACTCTTTGTACGCAACATCTCTTGAGCAGGACAGCTCCCATTTCTTCAGACGTGGCATGACGGTCCAACGTAATTCATAGCAGAGATAAGTAAGGAGGAAGCAGCTTCGTACGGTCGCGAAGAACGATCGGATATGATGAGCGTGAGAGGTGAGGAGACAAGAGAGGCGTAGAAAATGGTCGTCGGTGAGACTGTAAGGGACCCAGAGTTCGCCTGGGATAAATCTTGGGGGTTGAGAATCGAGGAGGATTTCGAGGTCGATGTCCGAATCGGCCGAGGGCTCGAGGATAAGGTCTTCTCGAGGAAAGACTGTCTGAGCAGTCTCTAGAGGGTCATCCCGACTTGGCTCTGGGATAAAACGTGCGGCATGACCAGTGATGGTGAGGGAAGTCCAGAGATGCGCTTCGTTAACGGCAAAGAAGCGCCATAGCCTACATGTAGTCGATACTCGAAAGGAAAAGGCAGTATCGCGAGTGCTGAGTGCACCAAACGCGAAGATCTCGAGCAGTTCCTCCGGAAGGTTGTTGATGTAGTCCTTAGCTGGGGGATGCCCTTGGTTTGACTGTACCAACTCGAGGCTGCGTACAAGATTATTGAGAAACGATGCTAACAAGTGAAAGATTTTTGTGACACACCCGTTCATGTTATAGACAGAGGACATCGTCGAAATCAGCGAACTTGAGAGAAAAAAAATATGTAGATCTCGCACCAAAGAATTGTTTATATAGACCATAAAATCTGAGGTGGCGCGCGCAAAGCAGACAGTGCTGCAGGTAGGCTTTTGTGCCATTTAGCTATTTTTTATGTAGTCCAACGCAGACTGGCAGCCGCACGGCATGTTAGCTTTGGGATAAATAGGTAAATAATATAAAGTTAACTATTTTATGGCTATTTATTTATTTATTATTATGTTGCTAATTAAATAATTAAGTCTTATGTTCTTTCCAAAAGGGGAAGATTACACGAGTACAAGTCTCGGACTTGCCTATACTCACATTCTGCCCGTTCTGTCATCTTTCTCCTTGCTCTATATTATTCGTCCCATCGACGTCCTCAACGCAATTCTCGATGACTGACGACAAATTTCGCGGCGCGCCGTAGTCGAAGTAAGCTTTGATTCGATCGTGAATGAATCTGAAGCGGTTCTAATGAGCATTTTTTTCATTACAGGACTTGCAGCTACCACCAGCCTTTGCCCTACCTTCAACCGAAGTCATATCTCGGGCCATTGAACTTGCCTACGAACGCGATTTCTCGCATATTCCGTGCGCTTTCCTTTTGCTATTGGTGCCGTAGACGCTGGAAGCTTTCGTACAGTGTCCTCGACCGTGATAGAAAGCCTCTAGGATACTTGGATGTGGCGAAGCTGAAGCAGGAATGGGAAGCAGGGAAAGCTAATCCGGTACGTCGCCAGTTTGTGCTCTGCATATATGCCATGCTGAATTGGAGGCCTTGAGGATGACCGCATTAGCCAGTACATGACCAAGTTCAGGCGAAAGTCGACCGAGCCGTACACTTTGATAACACCAGCTACACCTCTTGCGGAACATCGAGGCTTTTCTCCAGGACAATATCTTTGCTCTAGGTGCAATCATCTTGTCAGTTCTTGCAGCTTATTGTCTAACATACCATGTTGTAATAGTCACGGACTACCAGCGCAAATTCGTACTGGGTGTTGCTACGTCCCAGGATTTGGAGAAATTCGTTTCACGAAGGGGTTTCTAAACGGGCGTGAAGCATAATGTATTATATCCCTAGATATTGTTTGTACTTCGTCCTCATTCCTATATCGTTCATGAACGGATACGCGTCCAGGCCCATTCAGACGCTATTGCTGAGAGACATCTACGATGAATTGATACAGAATAGATTTCATTTATCATGTGAACTAAGTCGTGTCCATAGCCTCGCCTACTAGTTGCGTGATTTCCTCGTCCACAATCAAACTCTTGACAGTCTCACGCTTCCATGCCGTCGTTCCACGTCGGAACCCATATGTCTTCTCTTTCTGTACACCGCTGGTGGGCATCTCCACGTTGACGAAGCATCTCAGTATGAGTGGCTGTGATGATGCACGCGTCGACATTGGATCCAGAGCCAAGATCGTTGAAAATACCGGCAGAAATAGCATGCTTGACGAGGGTGAGAGCTTCGTCGCGCTGCAGAGTCCTCAGGATATGGTCGTTAGCGTACAAGGTAGCATACTCACCGGTCATATTCGGCCGCCAGCTACTCTCAAAAACGGCCCATCGCAGCAAGACTTCCAGATCCCATAGTCACATAAGGAAGTTTGTACAGTCGACCCGTGTGGGTGGATGGTGAAAAGGTTGGGACCGGTAGCGTCCACACCACCAAGGACGAGAGCAGCACCGATCTGACCGTGGTATCTGCTCAAAGTTAGGAGTAGGAGCGAAAGGCCACATATTGATACTCACTGGAACAGCATCTGCTTCAGCATCGTCATCGCCGTCACCACTCGCGGTTTACGGCCAGTATGGAGAGCATGGAGCTCCATATTGGAGGATATAAGCGCCGTCGTGAATTCGGTATCGGCGGCTGTACCAGCACCGCAGCATCTAATTGATTCTGAGATATAGTGGATCTACCAAGCCCTAAGTATGCAGCAGTATGAGGTTCACAAGTGCGACTTACCTTTTCACAGTTTTTGTCCGCGACAATAGGGCCCTCAGTGGCCCGTGTATCTGCACCAAGAACAATTCCGTCCTCAAAAAGGCATCCTACGATAGTTGTACCGGTACTGGTAGCCTTGGGCAATGGCAATCCCTTCTCGCTCAGGAAGTTGTTTCTACACAAAACCGGTTAGCCATTAGCATAAAACACAACAAGATCTTTCACCTTATTTGATTAGAAAGTCAAAACCGGGCGAAGAATAGACGGAAGAGCTCGCCATGGCTGTTAATGAGAAAGAAAAGGCTTGCGTGTGGTCCTGGGAGGGTACGCGTACTTTTGCCACGTGACATACGGCTATCGGGCCGATCTAATCTCTGGTCGACCCCTCCTTCCCCGACGGCCTACTCTTTGACACGGAATTTGACTCTCACCTTGACTACTATCTACCATGTCCGTGCAGACGACGATAATCCCCCACTCCCAGCAGCGCTCGTTACGCGTACCTATCCCTCTGAGCAAGAGCTCGATGGGTTCATTACCTCTGCTTCAAAGGCTCAGAAAGCTTGGAGCAAGGTTCCGCTAAAGGAGAGAATCGCGACTGGGTACAATTTCATCGTGTGTTTCCTCAATATTGCATCAGACTATTCTCTGACTAGCATTCCAGGATGAATTCAAAGCCTTGAGCGAGGATCTCCCTATGGAACTGACTCTGCAAATGGGCAGGTGAGCCTCAGGAATCGCGGAATAGCCTTTGCCTGATTCACTTGGTGACCAGACCAGTGTCCCAATGCGCTGGAGAGGATTCGCGGATTCCTCGATCGCGCTAATTACATGCTGTCCATCGCAGAGAGCGCGCTCGCCGATGTCAGTCTAACTGACACTGACAAGCCTGGCTTCCGACGATACAGTAAACGTGCCCCTTTAGGTGTCGTCCTTGTTGTCGCAACCTTGGAAAGTACGTACTCTCTCACAATCAACTTGTATGAAAATTAATAGATGAAATAAAGCTATCCTTATCTCGTCTCGATCAATGCTGTTCTCCCAGCCATTATCGCTGGGAACGCGGTCATCCTGAAACCATCACCCCAAACACCTCTAACTGCTGAGCGTTTCGCGCTTGCATTGACTCGGGCAGGTGTCCCCCAAAGATATTATTCAAGTTGTGCACATGTCACCCGCGTTTGACCTCTCACGCTGTTTCAGCATCCTTCCATAGACTTTGTTTTCATTCACCGGCAGTGTTATAGGTGGCCGGGCCGTAGAGGAAGCTGCCGGTCCAGGCTAAGGGTTTCAAAGGCGTTGGTTTGGAGGTATGTGAGCCATTTTCTCGTGCACAATTCATTCATCTGACTTGCCTCAGCTTGGTGGAAAGGATCCTGCCTACGTACGGCCTGACGCAGATCTGAATTACACGATCGGTGAACTGGTCGATTGGTATGGCTTTATAAGATTATTTAATAACCTAAAGCTAATAAATGAAGGGGCCTGTTCAACTCTGTCAAAGTTGCTGCGCCATCGAGGTAAGCATGAATTTCCCTCGTGTCGCTATAATTTGACACACCATGCACTCAGCGAATCTACGTCCACGAGGCCGTATAATGATGCTTTTGTTGAAGGGTTATGTGAAGCTAGTCAAGGTATATGCATGTTGAAGGTGCCAGATCGCATGTGCTAAATAGCTCTTTCACAGGGCTACAAACTAGGCGATCCCACACTCCCCGAAACGAACTTAGGTCCTGTAGTTTCCTTAGCTAGTGCTGAGAGAATTCGTAAACAAGTTTCGGACGCAGGTACGTCAAATGTTGCCCCATCGTTAGGAGTCTTCCGATCTTCTTGCAGTGAAAGCTGGTGCGAAACGCTTATCCCGGAAGATTTATTCCCAATGGCGAAAGCGTGAGTGTCTGCACCCTGGGTATGTCCAAGCGCGATCCTGAAATTTTTCACAGCGGAACTACGTATGTTGCGCCGCAGGTTCTAGTCGATGTGAATCATAGTGAGTTCACGCCTATTCATTCATATGGCTTCTCAGATGATATGAAATTCATTCTAGGTATGGATGTTATGATGGTCGGTTCGGAAGTTGATGATTGTGCCGCTATGCTCATGAATTGTTCATAGGAAGAATCATTTGGTCCAACAGTCGGAATACAAAAGTCTCTTCCGACGAGGAAGCTGTCAAGCTCATGAACGACTCTCCATATGGACTCACAGCATCCGTGTGGACGAACGCATCTGCTAATCCGGCGTCCGAGGAGATATTCTTGAAGTTGTGTGATGAACTAGAGACAGGAACAGTATTCCTGAACAGGTGAGTGTGGTATGGCAGAAGCAATATAGAAGTGTTGCTGAATCAACGGTAGGTGTGACTTCTTGGATCCCGCGCTAGCTTGGACTGGTGTCAAAGATAGTGGTAGAGGCGTCAGTCTCAGTAAATTTGGTGCGTGCTGTTATCATCAATCACGACATTCGACGACCTCATTGGCCGTTAAAAAAAGGATACGACCAGTTGACCCGAGCGAAGTCCGTACACATGAAGATCAGACATCATAGAGCCCGAATTGTTTATAGGTAACATAGACGCTGCAATATTGTATTTGTAAAGAAAAGCCAATAAAATTCCCAGCAACCTATCAGTTACGCGTTAACAACGTGGGAGTAACAGCTCGAAGCCCCTGTACATCACGTGATCCAACGCGTGTTTGCACCGCCGCTGATCCGACACGCTGCAGAAGGGCACCATATACAACATAAATTTATATAAATCATGACATCGTTCCATTCTTCCTCCACTTCCACCCTTCCAGCCGCTCCTGCTCCTTGTGAGCCAACCTTCTTCCCTTCCCCCCATGATTTGGCCTAGAAATTCCTGCTTACAACTGCTGATCCTCCACGTTCTTTTTTACTACCAGCTAGGCAGCGCCTATGACATTGTACGGGATTACTCGGGCAGCACTTTCTTCGACCGATGGGACTTTTTGGGAACTGGGATAATCTCACGTTGGGTGCGTGTTTTCCCCTCCTTCAACATGTGGCTTGGTATTGAAGAGAGTGCAAGGGGATGTATGGTGGCTTAGCAAGGCGGATGCCTTTGCTCAAGGCCTAGCGTATGTAAACAATGCGGGGAATGCAATTATAAAAGTCGACAACATGCACAATGTGGTGTATGGCCAAAAGCGGAATTCGGTGAGGTTGCTCATCGTGTCCTGCTTCGTATCCTAAATGATTCTGTAGGTACGGATAACGTCCCAAGACATATACGCTGTTGGCAGTTGTGGATCATCGATGTCAAACATATCCCATTTGGATGTTCGGTACGCTTGCTTTTACAATCTACCCAACCCTCTTGAATTGACGGACGTGTTCGTTGTAGGTTTGGCCCGCTTTTTGGACCACAGGCTATCAAGATGAATGGCCCGTGGGAGGCGAGATTGAGTGGGTCATGTCCAAGCGTTTATTCTTTGAAGTTTCCTTATCCACCCATTCCGCAGTATAATCGAAGCCATTAATCTGATGCCCAATAATCAAATGGCTCTACATACGACATCTGGGTGCCAGCATGTTCCCGAAAACCTACAGTATCAAAGTGGAGCAACTACTCAAACGGACTGTTCTCTCTCTTCTGGTTGTACGGTTTCTCGAGTTGAAGGAAAACAGTTTGTACACTGGTCTCGCTGAAGCCGGTGGAGGGGTATGGGCTACACAGTTCGACGTTTCTGGGTGAGTTTTCAGTGGTGTTTTTTCTCAATGTCGTAATACTAATACGTGTTTATGTATAGAATTTTGTAAGTTTCAACTTATTCGCGGTTGTTGATCGCTAAACATACATCATGCACAGCATCTGGTTCTGGAGCGTACGTTAGAACTTTACTCATTGTTGCTCAGCGCCCCTAAATCATTCGCATTTAGCGGCCGAACGTTCCTGCTTCGATATCTGCAACAACAGCATCGACAGGCGTTGACCTTTCTGATTGGGGACCGCCTTCCGCTAGCTACCCGGCGACTTACTGTAATATCCCAGAATTCTTTTCTGCTCAGAACTTAGTCCTTGACATAACTCTTTGTGGACAATGGTAAAAGAACCCTATTGTTCAGATCTTCCATTACAGAACTTACATTCTTTATAGGGCCGGCCTTTCAAATTTGTACTTCCCTTCGTGCGGATCTGGCACAGGCACATGCGTGCGTATTTGTCTTTCTCGCTGTGAAGTGGCTGACGATCCCCCAGTACGCCGACAGCGTTGTGGGGCCTGGTTCCACTTTCAATGATGCCTATTTTGAAATATCCTACATTCGCGCTTATACTACTGGAGCACCTGCGCCCACACCGAATGCGCTGGTGAGTATTTCGACTTCGACGCCCACCGGGCTTCCGACAAGCTTGCTGGTGCCTTCGACGCCTACGGCTTCGAGCCTGTTCTTCCCTGGAAGTGCAGAAGGCCGTCAGGCCAATATGATGCGCGCGATAGCCGCGATTCTGCTGGTCGGATTATTTAACCTCTGGTTGTGATACATGTTGCCTGCTTGCTATGTTTTTCATTTCGTGGTTGGGACTGACGTTTACGATATAGGAAATGATATACGACGCCTATAGACAGATGTATCATTTTGGATCTCTTTAGACACACCATCTAGTTACGTTTACTCGTATAGGTGGATACGATGTATTCTTTAACGCACGAGTAATATCTACTCAGTCTGCTCACCCTTATACTCAAGATGCTTTGTCAAGAATCAAGCTATCGATTCTACACTAATAAGCTGTATTCTAGCTGTTGTCCTATTATCTATCATTATTATTCAGAGATTACGGCGCCGGCCTTGTACTTAGAATTCTTCTTCTACATAGCTAACAATGATACAGATTAGTCAACTCGGACCTAACGAGGCATCTCATGAATTACTTGATCTCCAGAACATAAGCTTCCGCATCACTCCAGGGAAGAGACCTGGCGACCTCGTGTCAGCATTTCGTAGCCTAACTCGCATTTCTCTGAAATGCCCACCGAACACTAGGGCTGGTCCCCAGGCAGATAGAAGCAGTGCCACGTGCTGCGTTCCAAAAGGTGTTGGTGTTTCGTGGCCGGCAACAACATCAACTAGGGTGGATATACAAGTAAGGAGAAGAACGATAGTGAAGGCACTGTGGAAATGGTTTGAATGAACAAATATCCCGCACATCTGAGGTGAAACTTACACTTGAAAGAACATTATACGCCATATTGCCGGTGATAGGTATGCAAGTCGTTTCTTTCGCTTGGGCATAGCTGTAAACAGTATAATTAGCATCCGTTCCCAGTATGTAATAGAAGTCCATACCGCCAAAGGACAGCGTTTTAGAGTAGGGCGATCTATAGTCAAAGTCGCTACATGAAATATCCAATGAATCCAAGTCATCGAGCTTCTCTCCCCCACAATCATTGGATTCAAGTTGGATATCATCGTCTCCGGGGCGAGTCCACACCAACGAGCTCGTCTTATCTTGGTCGGACTCTTCAGGCGTCGCAAGGGCTATTTCGTTCCAGTCATTTCCTATGATAGCAGAGAAATCAGGATGTCGTGGACCATCTCGTCGTATAGTCGGGGGTGGGGGGTCAACAGTGGCGAAGGTAGGGAAAGAAGAGGATACAGGGGAGTCGAGGACGTCTGTATCCGGTGGAAATAGAGAAGAGTGAGAAAAGCTCGTGCGATCTACAGGTGGGAGGATCAGTAGATGAACCAGATGCGTGGGACTGAACCAACCTGGTGAATCGAGTTCGTGACCAGAGGGCGTGGCCCTTCATAGAAGACGGACAAGGTGATGGAGCAACCTTGGGTACTATTCGATGACTGTAGAATCTCCAAGGTAATCGCGGAAATGAGTGAACCCGTTGGTTCTCGAGCTCCTCTGAACGGGAACGCTGGATGTGTCTGCTCGTCTTCAAGGATCGCACGATGGACTTGACAGAGAAGAACAAAACGGGTACTGCGAGAAGTAGTGGTGTGCCTGCATAACCGAAAAATCTCACCCTATCGTGAGAGGGCGACTGAGTGACTCGGAACCATTTGACGTTGATCATCACTCACCATATAGGGTCTGATGCATCACAGTGGAGGTCGTCAGTGGGTTTGACAGCATCCAATTTGATGATAATGACGATCTCTACTATTGTGGCAACAATAGGAAAGACCAGGAGCGTAAAATAGTAGTGATTCCGCCACACCAATACCCTGCAGTCAATGGTTAATGAAAATTATGCAATCGTCTCCGGCTGATCACGTACGAGCGCTCCGCATCCGCCCATGATTTGGGCTTCCATACAGTTATACACGTAGCGATACAAAAGACGCGCAGACGCCAGTCATCACATAAGTAGAAAACCCGAGAATGATAGTTTGGGCTGATACAGAGTCAGGGAGCAGGACAATGGAAGAGTAGGAGGACAACCCCACCAAGGCAGAATGCCCGAGGCATAGCGTAAGGATCAATCCTCCAAGCCATCCCTACATCGATGGCGTCAACAATTAACTCCAACGAAATTCACGACATTCCGGATTTTACCAATACAGAAACTGATTTGCATCAGCGTGCAAGCGATGCAGTAGATCAGAGGGCCCCAATATGATTCAATGCAACCTGCAAAAAGCATAAGGACTGCCCAGCAGCTAGCAAGGCCTGGGGGGATTTGACATCGAGCCTCAGTAAGATAGCGCGAGGTAGATCACAAGTCGCCCACCTGTGAGTGATTAGCACCATCCATACCACCTTGAGTGCGAAGGGTAGCATGTTACACTTCAGTTAGCGATCACCATCCGGTCGAGACGACCAGTGGCCTCACAGGTCTATGCCAAGTTGGAAGGGAGAGGAAAAGGGAGAACAGCAACACGCTGCCGGCATCAGAACCTTGTGAACCCTTCAATCATCATGCAGTTTTATTAATTTGCCTGCAGCTGCAGAAAACCTTGCCATTAGGAGAATTGTACCTCATCTCCGAAAAATCAAATGAGGTGGGAAACTGCGACCGACCACCCTACCGCATGCTTCTCGAAGGCGGAGACAACGAATTCGAGACGGTCCGAAGCAAGGCACTTGCCTGCCGCGGTGCCTTAATTCCACGCCATTTCCCTCTTTTTTTTTCTTTGGACGGGCCGATACGCTTGCCGGGCTGACCCTGCGCCGAGGGACGACCCTGGTCACCTTCACTTTACTGAAGGTAGAGGTACAGAGCGGGAGTACCCATATGACATGCACCGTCACAAGCTCATGTTTAGTGCTCAGAAGACTACGTGGAGTGTCGGATACGTCTGTCAGCTCCGAGTCAGCTCACATCTACGCTTCGGTGAAGATCTCTGAAATCCGCCATGTACGCATCATGACGGACGAGACAAGAAAAATGAAAAATTTGTGATCTTATGAATGATATGTATTCAATAGATATAAGTAGGAATTTTCCGACCGTAAGTACTAGTGCCTCCTGCCAGACAGGAAAATCCAAGTCGGCAAGAAAAAAAATAAAAAAAAACTAGAATCCCGTTCATAGGCCTAGTACAGTCTCAAGCCGTCGAGGACAACATTGGGAGACCTAGGTCGGGGTTAGTGGGGTGCAACGAAACATTGAGTTGGGTCAAGAGGCTCACAAAAAGTCTGACCCAGAAGACCCAGAAGCAACAGTAATAGTGAGAGTGTTTACAGTCGATCCGGTTGGGTTCAGATAACCAGAAGCTAGAGCCCACAGTCAGCCATGTGTAGCGTGACAGGAACAAGACATTGAACGTACAGGATTGAGTATGTATACATGATGTTCTGTCAGATTTATCAATAGAAGTTCAACGGCCCTAAGTGCTTGACAACGCTTACATTTCCACGCCATGTACCACGGGTTACACCTTATCCAAGGTATGTCAGTCATTTAAAAAATGATGGAGGGAGCATACCTCTTGAATCTGGTTGATCTGGAACAGACGGCGTAGAGCTCGTCCAACTGTGACGGTGACTACAGGGCGACCCTAGAAGCAAGGGACAACGTCATATCATGCACGGAGACACTGATAGGCTGAAACTTGCCTGCGAAGGCGAGCGTGGTTGCGACGTCAAGGGTTCGGCGCCACCTAAAAGGAACTTTCAATCGCCGCGTTCAAGCATTACGACAATTTCGGTACGTGCCTGCGAACTCGACAGCGTGAATTTCACCGTTACCGCTCCGATGTCCTTGTGTAAAAGAACTTGTTACGGAAATCCGAGATGGAAGATTTCACAGCTCACTTTGAAGATAGCCATGGGGAACGTATCCACATCATCACCGATGGTGAAGGTTACTGAGGGCTAATCAGCCCGGTAATATAGGCGTGCAAGAGTTTAAGCGCGTACCCGGCCCCCAGTCAGCCATTCGGCTGTCACTTGGACTGGAAAAAAAGGTGCCTTTCAATCGGCGAACGGGACCGCTCAAGCGCCACTTACTGCATCGTTTCAATCAAGCTGCAGAATTTCAGAACGAAGCTGCGACATAAAACATCCGTGTTGCTTACTCGGCATTTAGGAATCCTCTTGGCGTGCCATCAATCTCACCAATCTGCCAAATCACGGATGGTGTCTAAAGTTATAGTTGTTAGAAGGTCGAATAATCTCCGAATGAGAACACCTACAGCCTCAGTCGACGCGATATTGGACGTTCCAACGCTTCCAGCAGTAACGGTGACACTCTGAGTGGCAACTTCTAATTCCATTTTGTATACTGTGTCGAGAAGGCAATTATCAGTTTCTTTCACAAAAAAATCATTGAATGAGGAAATTCACTGACGCGTCATTGTGTAGGTACCCGCTTTCATATAGGGACTGACGAAATCACCGGACGAGTCCGTTCGCACCCTGAACAATAGACCAATGAGAGATCCCGAATAATTGAATATTAACACCACACTCACCAGTACTGAGCGTCGCTGTTACTGAAACCGACCGACATATAGTCGGCGTAGGCCGAAGGATATCCGGTCGCGCTTCCTTTGACCCTGCCTCTGTCATCTTCGGAGGTCCACCCGTCACATCAAGGCCATCCCAGAATGAGGTATCTACAGTGCTGAATTAAAAATCCGATGAAACAGTAGGTGAACGATGGCTACCGATGTCAGACGAAGGAGTGGATCCAGTCGTAAACCATAAAGCACTAAAAAGATCAATTAGATGATGAATTTTCAGAACGCGCACACCGAGACTTACTAAGGACCATGCAGACCCATGCGATACGCTATCTGACATGAGATCATTTATCATTAATACTGAAAGAAAATAACAAACATTCTGTTTGTGTGTGTCCGGAGTTCTAAACGCGTATGCCTAAGATGCGTAGACCACAACAATCAAAGAACCTTACCATGTCTACGTCAAAACATCGGCATGAGATCGGATTGATGAAAGATAAAACTCACAGAAATAAAGCTCTTGCTGCGAGGCTGTCAATAATAAACCATGATTCAACTGTGGTGAGTTTGACGACCAAAGGGGAAAAAATGTGTCACTGACTTCCTTGGTTATCGATGTCGCGCATGAAAGGCCCGCCGGAGCTGCTTTCATATCCGGTACCGGGGATAATCATCCAAGCAGCGATGCTTGATCCAGAAACTCCGTGAATTTGGTCATCGATAAACTGTCTGGACGAGTAGAACTTCGACCTTGTTTCGGAGCCGACCAAGTACACGTCGCTTCCTTCAATAGCAGTCCCGCCTACAATGTCTGATACTTCATAACCATTGGGGAGCGTCGACTGACTGAGACGGGCAATGAACCGAAGCTCGCCAACGGACGGCTCAGCTGTAGTGCTAATTCTCTTTTAGTAGTCTTCAGGGCCGGTAATCATAAACGTACTAGGTGGCCATATGAATAGCTGGATCGTTGTATCTGGCGACGTAGTACCTGTAACGGACCAGTTCAGCGTGACAACATTGGGAAAGGAGAGATAAATACTGAATAAGGGTGCTGGTGGTGCAGGTGATCTATGGAAAAAAGAGAATGAGTTCGTACTATATGCAGACGAAGCCGATGGAGTTACAGTAATATCTGAAGGCAGGATGGTTTAGTACACGACATATGATATCATAAAGCGCTTCTTACAGTTATTGTCATGGCCTCCGCGGACCCATGAGCAGTCAGCGTCAATACCCGACGCAATCTGACTATATTTGCTGGAGTCTTGCGCCTAGCACATAATGTCAAGTAGATGAAGAAGCGCAGTACTCGAGCACTAACCTCGATTCCATTGAACTTCATGGAAGTAATGTCTCCACTAGTCGAATCAACTGGGGGGGATAGTCCATAAACGCAACATTTCGTAGATCAGGTACCATAGGCGCACCAGTGAAAATCAAACCGGCGGAGGTATCGACAATGTACGAGTCTCCACTTTCAGTGAGGCCGAAGCCAGCAACCGTGGAGCATAATGACGCAAGAAGCGTAGTAGCAAAGACGAAGCACAACATGACCATTGCCCAGGGAAGGATCAGCGAGACACATCCTGGTTTATAGTGTGAGA